GTTGGCGTCCACGAAAGTTAAGAGAGGGCTGACTCTGGCTGATGTGCTTCAGCTTTAGTGTCGGAACCAGCCATATGACACTACATCATGGCACATGTCGGCCAACACACGACGAGGGCGAGCGCAAGTCTTAACATTCTTCAACATTTTGTGATCGCAAGGCTGCTTCAGGCGTAGTAACGTATACTGCACGAGGAAATTCGCGGTGGTAATGAGCACCCTGACAATTATATCTCGTGGTGCACCGGGAGCAAACGCACACTGAGCTTTGCTATGCCAACCCAAACCGTCATTTGCCCGGGGGAATACTGGTCTCGCCCTCCTGATTTTCACCTCCGCTCTCTGTTCCGACCACGGCATCCTTGAAGACTGCAAAACTTGATGGGGTCTCCTCCAGCACGGGGAAATGGAATCCGCACTGGGGACACTGTTCGCGGAGAACGGCCTGCTCCTGCGCCAGGTCATACTTCTTGTCCTGCGCCAGATTGCAAACAGGGCAAATGCGGAGGAGTCGGGTGCCGACCAGCTCGAAGTTGGTGATGATATCCTCCATGATCGCGCCGTTGGCGGCCCAGGTCTTGCAGTATTTGTGGTAGACGTTCTTGTGCCAGTCATAGAGCGCGCCGCGGCTCGTCCAGAAGCTGCATTCGTTGTACCAGCTCCGGTCGTCTGGATGCTCCCACCAGGTTAGATGGAGGAAACCAGGTAGCGTCATCAGATGACGACGAGTGTCCGCGAAGAGGACTTTGAACTTCTCGTAGGCGTCGGGGCTGGAGAAGCGCACCCGCTGCATAGAGAGATAGATAGGCATGACGGCGAATCGAGGCTTAATTGGAGGGCAGAAGTAGAAAGTTCCGTCGCAGTTCTGGGATGGGAGATGTTTGGCTTGCGACCCCAGCTGAAGTACGAGACCCAGCACCAGTCGGTTATAAAGATCCGGGAGGCCATCGATACTTGAGAACGGTCGAGTAAGGGGTCACGGATTACTTTTAGAGGGGTTCCCGTTGCGCCCACGGTCCCCTCAACCAAAGACATTGAGACGAGTCCTGAGATAGATAAGCCTCGTGCACCACCTCGTGGTCACTTACCTTGGTTGCCAGTACCGACTGATAGGAATGCCCCAGTTTTTGGGACTCGGCACCAATAGACTCCGCCTCTATCGCTGAATGGCAGCTGGGATCGACGGGGATCCTATCGCATGTCTCGTTTGGAAGTGGGGTGCGCTTGGCCACGGTCCCGCTCTTGCATGCGGAGAAAATGCCGCCTAAGCCTAATTGGGTCGCCGCCCAATCAGCGTGTCAAGATTCTGCAGGGATTAACATCGCTGAATTCGTGTGAGGTACACCCCCAGGCTTTGGTGGACAGCATGTTGGCGAGGGCCAGTCCAGAAATGCAAAACATCGAACATTCGCCCTCGGCTGGAGCTCGGTCTCGTGTAATGCTCCGACAATCGTCATTGTTGGGGCACGCTTGTAGCTGCAGTATAAGCCAATAGAGTACTGCAATCCGGCCACCCAGTCTTGATTTCGACTTCTTGAACAGGATCCAGCTTGGGCGGACTGCTTGGGATGCCAGAGATACCGGAGCTGGCTATTGGTGGGAGATAAGGAAGACTGATTTCCGAACCGAAGCAGAGCTCGGATATAACTGGCAACGATACCAATGCACACCGGGTTACTTCATTCGAACCAGCAGGTGCAGGGAACAACACAGGTTAGGTGTTCAATCCTCAGGTAGTGGAGTTTCTAATACGAATGTCGGCGATAGTGGCAAACCTGATGATTCCGTACATCAGATACCTTGTTGATGAGACGATTCTCCTTGGAAGCGAAGTTAGAATTCAAGCAGAATGGTAATAAGCATAGCTTCAGAATGAGGGTTACGGATAGGCTAATTTCTAGTATAAACCATCTGAGTTTCAAAGTGACGCCTTCTCCACGGAACCGTGGATATTCAACTACGGCTGGCTCCCAGTGTATTGATGGACGATGTCAATCAAATAGTTATCACTTTGATGTATTTTCAGCCTAGGTCGCATCGGTTTGTACCAAGTGAACGCCTAAGGTATAGCAAAAGCCCTGTAGTCGACTGGAGATAGCTGTCTATGTGCGCTCCAAGCCTTCCTGCACTGATAAACACGACAGCTGCCTCAACTGCGTGTGAACTATCCCACTGTGTAGCACGAAGCAGACCACCTTTCCCCTCATATACTCAAAGCCACCACATGTCTACCAAGAACATTGGAGCTGGTCTATCTTGCTCTTGCTCACTTGGGTGGTTGGCGTTTGTGATGACCCAGTACTTTTTCACGAAGGGCGCCTCGGAAGTCCAGGTGACCTTGAGGCCAGATGGTAGAGCGAAGATATCTCCAGCCTTGAACTTGTGTACTTTCCCACTCTTCTCCTCAACAATTGTTATATGGCCTTCGAGCACCAGGATTGTTTCGTCGCCCAAGGGTAAAGTATATGGGAATACACAGGACCCGTCGGGCTTGCAGCCTACGATGCCCACGCCTGTGCGCCAGAGCCCGCACATCATGGTACCGGTGGAACCGGTACCCCGGATGACGGTGAGCTCCCCAGCTGTCTGGGGACCTTCCACTGGCTCAGTCCAGCTGTATGGAGTCCACTCCTTCGGGTTGTCACTGATATTACCGATATAGAGGTCGTCGCCTTTCGTAGCCGGGGTAGGAGAGTCCCAAATCACCCAAAACTTCTTGAGAAAGGGTGTTTTGATGTTCTACGTAAGGTCAAGATCCTTTGGATGGCTCATAATATCGCCTGCTTCGAGCTTGTACTTTTTGCCAGTGCTCATGACCGTGACGTCGGTGGAGCCTTCCAAGAAGACAATGTTTTCGTCGCCAATCGGGGCTGAATACACAATATCACAAGTGCCGTTGTCGTTGCGTCCCGGCATCCCATGGCCGGTGCGCCAAGGACCTGACAAGAGAGTCCCAGAGGTGCCGCCGCTGCGGATAACCACCAACTCACCCTTGGCCTGAGGGCCATGAATGGGGTGGTCGAATTCAAACGGAGTCCAAGTCCCGGTGCTGTTGCGAGGTCCGAACTGCAAGTCGTGAACGACCGCCATTTCGAGTACAGAGGGGTGGCGCAGAACGGATATTTGTCGAATATGGCTGGATGGTGTTAAGATATTGTGAAGGGAGGGCAGTCGCTGCAAGATATCGAAAGAAGGGTATCTGGGTTGGCAGGAGTCTGGTCGAAACCCTTGTATTTAACACTTTGAACTCTTATAGTACTTGGAGTCCCCTTGGCAAGCTTGAGACTGCACTTCTATCTGTCTGCCAATGAACGCGTTCAGAGCGCAATCCGCTTGTCCGACTTACGATATAACACTATTGTGTAGCCGATCACTCCTCGGGTCCGGCCCCTATCACCAGAGCACCGAACGAACCAATTAACCAAATCCCAACTTGTCATGTTCATTTGTGCGAGCATTTAGCTGGTTCGATCTTCTAGTCTAGACCTCGACAAAGAATTTAAGATTCTATTTGCCGGTAGCCGTTTCAAACTGATAACCTTGCTGGTTTTTCTACGTTAGCCTTATTAGTGGTGACCTGGTGACCGAACATATTAGAACGAACGTCGATCTTGGACGAGTAGAGACATTGATCCGCAGAAAGGTATGAATCACAGCACATAAAGGCCTACGCCGCTAATGGGAGTGGCATTGGATAAGAATTACGATGTCAATGAGAAGCAGCGTGTGCTGCAGACGTCGTTTCTCAAGTGCCGGTCTTCTCCTGCATGCTGATATCACTAGGACGGAATCAAGCTTCGCTATTTTCGAGGAGGTTGTGATTCACAAGATAGATTCGTCGGCAAACGGTGTTGACGCGGCACGCACTAAATCCTGCTTAACTCGAGATCCTAGACGTAGCCACCCACTTCACACTAGCCTAGAAAGAACTGCCAGAGAAGCGGTTGACAGTCCTCTAGTACTGTATCTGGAGTGGTTGTGGTATAGAGGCTCCACTTGCGTCTGTCCGTTGGATATTGTGTCCTTCTGTCGATCATGAAGGGTGTTGAAGCATTTCGGTGTGCACTGCCGGTGAAAATGCAATTTATGTTGGCACAGCTGTGTGTTATCACGTAGACACTTTCAGTGTTCATCTCTTGTCTATGCGAATTTGGAAAGCCAACCACGACCTTGGTGAACGTTTACATTAGCATTGGCTACGAAGGTCAACTACTGCATAAGTCGTTCGGAGGTGTAGACTGGGCTTTCCGGACGTCCATTTCTATTCGACGCGTCAGCCGTTCGCGATGAATAGACTTCGGCAGCTGACCAGTGATAAGGTGCGAAGTTGATAGGAGCTGAAACAGCTCTATCAGTGTTGAGTTAGGTAGGCTACCCGATGTCTGTGCTGTTAAAGAGTCAAGTAAGTGGAGCCTCCTGATCTCTACTGACTATTGTACGTCCCCACGGGAGGTCGTAGTCTTGTTTTCTTCGGCTATCCTCATAGTTGAACTCTATTTGTACACTGCCTTTACGTTGGAAGCAACTGGTTCTTGCTTGAACTTTGAAATCATTCCAAGTGAACACCGAAGACATGAGTTACATGAAGCAGGCGCGGAACAGCCCCAACTGATCGCGATCGTCGAACCTGAGATTGTGGTCAACAAACTCCTAGCTTCGCTTAGACTCCTGCCAGCGGTCTTTCTCACAACGAGACAGAGGAGGTGGAGTTTCTGCTCAGGGAGTGACTGAATCTTCTATCTCCTCATACACTCTATCAAACGAGCTGAAAAGATAAGGGCATCCTACAAAGCCCTCAATTGGAAGGGCTGTAACTGACCACCAACTAGCGATAACGACTCTTGGGGAGATCTCCTGCCCAAAAACATGCGAACTTTGATGTTAGTGTGAGCTACGTGGCATGGCGAGCAAGTTCACCAACAAAGGCGGTATAAATACTGCGGTCGGCTCGGACGAGCTAGAGCAGCGCTGCTAGTTGTATAAACCACAAAGATTGCAGGATGGCAGGTAGTCTGACAGGCAAAGTTGCTATTGTTACCGGGGGCTCCAGAGGTACGTATCGATTATTCCGTCGTCACCCTATATTATTCCATTCACAACTAACTCAGCAGTAGGCATCGGTGCCGGTATAGCCAAGGAGTTGGCCAGCCGCGGAGCTTCAGTCCTCATAACCTACAAGTCGTCTCCTGACTGCGCTGCAAAGGTTGTTTTGGATATTGAAGCAGCAGAAGGAAAAGCGGTAGCTTTCAAGGCTGACTGCATGTCGGCAGAAGCTCCAGCACAAACCGTGAAAGAAACCTTGAAATGCTTCGACTGAGGCATTGATATCATCGTCAATAATGCCGGAGTCGGGGATGACTTATACAGCAAAGCAGCCGATCGGCCTGACGTGGCGATGAGCGACATCAACATCGATCGATATGATAAACTGTTTACCACAAACGTTGGATTTCCTCTGTCCCTAGTGAAGGAAGCTGTACCGTATTTGAGGGAGGGTGGTCGCATAGTCAATGTCAGCTCCGTGCTTGCCAGGATCGGTAAGTTGAGGACGAAAACTCTACAAACTCCCTCCACGAAGGCTGCTGCGACCTTGAAAAAGTGTGGCCGGAAACCCACCTCTATAGCGCCACCAAAGCAGCGCTCGAATCTCTGACGAGATCGATGGCGATCCACCTTGGTAGGTTGAGGCTGCTCGTGGAGTATATTGAGCGTCAAGAGACTAATTTTCGCAACAGGTCAAAAGCACAAAGTCACTGTCAATGCTGTCAATCCAGGCCCGGTGCAGACAGACTTGTGAGATTCTTCTTACGCCAAAGCCCATCCCCCCAAAGAATAGATTGAAGCAGTACTGACGATGAACGGGAGCAGATGGAGTCAAACAGAAGGCGATGGTACCTTCGCTGCCTTTATTTAAGGCACACCTGCTGCACCAAGGAAAGGGAGTGTGGAAGACGTTGCGCCAATTGTTGCATTTCTTTGCGAAGAACAATCGAGATGGATGACGGCGAACGTGGCCTGTGCCAATGGCGGATTCATTATGATCTAGTAAAGAGGAAATAGTGTTAGTACTCTATCATGTATCGAGAGAGAAATACGGTCTAGTCTGATTAGCTTGAAGAATCTCGCTTTATACATGCTCTGATTCGCATCTGGCAATGGCTCCAACCACACGTCACACATAATTTGACTGCTGGCTCAGCTGCTTAATGACTCCGTCCACTTTTGATATAATGCAAATTCAAATCCTACCTAGCGGCTTTCTTTCGTATTGGAGCACATGTAGCGGCCGAGGCATGTTTCGTCACCCTCGGGATTCCTGTTCATCATCTGGAAATAGTCGACATGGATGCTCCCTTGTATATCATTCAATGGTTGGGACATCGTTGCGGCGGCAAACAGAAACCGAGCAAATGGGGAGGCCAGACCTGCTGTCAATCAACAGAAAGACGTCGACCCTGACCGCGCCAGGTCGCATTCTTATTGCCATAGCATATCAAGGCATTCACCAAACAAGTTCTCTGGAGAGAAAACGATGGCTCCAGCAGTTTGGTCGACAGCTTAGCGACTCAACGGCTGAGTTCTTGTTCGATATAATCTGGATGACTCAATGTTCGAGCTGCTTGGCGAGACACGGTTAACAAATGGACACGGCTACAAGATCGCCGGTGAGTCTCTGAACGTGATGATCGAAGCGAAGCCACCCTTTCTTGTGTTGGGACTTTCTATTGCATCTAGCAAGGCTGAGGTCGGTCATTCAGGGCCCTAAGAATCCATCTTCTCACACAGGAATTCTTCTCAGTACAGGGAGACTGAGGATATTGATGCTGAGGGGAACAACGGATAGACGACTCATTCACAGTATCCATAGCATTAAAAACATTGAAAAAGAAGACATACCGAAGGTAATGAAATAAAGGGGCCGCTAGCGCTTTTCTAAGGCTATGGGCCGAGAAGCTAGTGGGGCACTTCTTGGTACCCCTCGACGGTCACATGAGTCGCGTCGCGCGCTGCGCAACCGCGTCTGTTGAAGCCGCCTGGCTGCCTTTACAACGCCTTGCTGTCTCCCCGCGCGTGAGCCGACATCCTCAGTCGAGATTGGAACAACGTCTCTCATGGCTCCTCGATCCGCACGACGGTCCAGAGCTCCCGACTCTGACGACGATGAGTCGCGGCCAAACACGCCTTCCTCCACCGCCCCCAACGACAGCAAACGCATACGAAGACATGCCAACGCCGTCGAGGATGAGGACGAGTCACCTACGCAGCCAGCCCCTGCGGTCCTAAATATGCGCAAAACGCATGTCGTGGCCGATGGAGGCAAAGACGAAAACGCTCGCGCGACAGGCCACCACCCTGGTGCCATTGTCCGGGTCAAACTTAAGAATTTTGTCACCTATACCTCCGCCGAGTTCTTTCCGGGGCCAAATTTGAACATGGTCATCGGGCCGAATGGCACTGGAAAAAGTACGCTCGTTTGTGCCATTTGTCTTGGGCTCGGGTGGCCTCCCAGCGTGAGTCGTGCATCAAGTGCTTCGTCCGACCATTTCACTGACGCATGCTAGTATCTCGGGCGCGCAAAAGAACCCGCGGAATTCGTCAAGCACGGCTCTCGGGAGGCCATCATCGAGATCGAACTGCAGCGAACGCTCAAACTCCGCAAGAATATTGTCATCACAAGAGTGATACAAAGAGAGGGCAACAAATCGAAATTCTTCGTGAACGGGGCCGTGTCTTCGGGTCTCGCCGTCAAGCAGCTGGCGAACTCGTTCAACATTCAGATCGACAATCTCTGCCAATTTCTGCCCCAGGACAAGGTCGTCGAATTTGCTCAGATGAGTCCCATTGAGCTCCTCACCAGCACGCAGCGGGCCGTGGCCGGAGCAGAAATGATCAAGATGCACGAGGATTTGAAGAAGCTCCGCAGCTCTCAGAGCGATGTCATGACGGATGACAGGGATGCCCAAGAACAACTCGCAAACCTGGAGAGCAGACAAGCAATGCAACACGCAGAGGTGGAGCGGATGAGGGAGAGAGCCACGGTCAAAAAGAGACTTGCGGGCTTGGAGAAATTCCGGCCGCTAGTTCATTACCACAAAGCCAAGGAAAACTTCCTGATCGCGAAGCAGAGAATGGCGGACCTAGGAGACGAGATCAAACGCCTCAGGACCGCGGCTGCTCCTGTCCTGCGAAGCCTCGACGCTAAGAAAGACTACGAGGTCAAGGCACGGGCGTTCAAAGCAGCCTGTGAGAAGGAGCTGGGGGCAAGTGCCAAAGATTGTGAGCGGAAAGCTAGGGTCGTCGAGGAAAGACAAGGTGTAATAAACGACTTGAACAACGAAATCCAAGCAGAGAAGAAGAGCGTCCCCGAGAATAGAGCGAAGCTACAACGAGAACAGATGAAGCTACAAGACCTGAAACGGAAGAAAGCAGAGGTCCCAGAGGCGTTCGACTCTCGGGCCATGAACGGCGAGATACAGGACCTGAGGACTCGTCTGCGGGCGCTGGACGACCAGAAAAGCGACCTGGAGTCACGGAAGGCAGAATTGGGAGACCGCGCCGACAGGTCAGTCAAACAGTTTCAAGCATTGAAGGGCCAGCTGGCAGGACTGGAAACCCAAGTCGGTCAGCAGGAAGGGAAACTGGAGAACTTGTCACGGGACACCTTGAAGGCATGGAAGTGGATTCAAGATCACCGCAGTGAATTCACCGCGCATGTCTACGGACCTCCGATTGTGGAATGCTCGCTCAAAGACCCACGCATGGCTGATGTGGTCGAGTCTTTCCTGCAGACCAGCGACTTCAAGTTCATCACGGTCCAGAACAAGGCCGATTTCACTCTGCTCCAACGCCAGCTGTTCCAAGGTCTCAAGCTCCACGACGTAAGCCTCCGCGAGTGCACCACTGATAGCCTGGAGCAATTCCGTCCACCACTGACGGGAGAAGAAATGGAGCGATTCGGGTTGAGCAGCTGGGCTTTGGAACATTTGCAAGGCCCGCCGACCGTCTTGGCCCAACTCTGCTATGAAAGAGCCCTACACAGGTGTGCGATCAGCTCCAGAGAGCTTAGTCAACAACAGCATGATGATGTGGCAAGGACTCCCATACAGAGTTACGCCGCGGGGAGAAAGATCTACCACTTCCTCCGACGTGCGGAGTATGGGGCAGCTGGGACGTCCGCCAGGGTCCACGACATGCGTCAAGCCAGGATGTGGACGGAACAGCCGGTGGATATGGGAAGAAAGGCTGCCTTACAACGACAGATGAACGAAGTGAAAGGCGAGCACGCAATGTTCAAGTCTGAGTCCAAAGACATTGACAAAGAGATCGAGCAAGTCGAGGAGAATCAAACGCTCATCCACAGGGAGATTGACGCCAAGCAGAGAGAGAAGGCCGCAAAACAACAGGCGCTCTCAGAATGGAATGCTCTGGATCCCAAGATCCAAAGCCACGAGGATAAGATCCGCATTTTGAACGAAGCATTGGGCGGAGTCAGGGCCCGGTTGAACGAGCTCAACGACCGGTACGATGCCGCTCTGTTGGACAAAACGGAAGCCGTTCTCGACTTTGTACAGGCCACGAGAAACGTCAAGTCGAAGACCGCCCGCTTGCTCGAAGCAGAGATCTTCCACCTCGAGGCCAAATCGGATTTTGACGTGTTGAAGGCGCACAATGATCATATACTCCGAGGCATCGATGAGAGGGAGGCCGAGCGAAATACCGCCAACGAATTCTTCACCGAAGAGCGTGATCGAGCCAAGAATTTGCGCAAGGTTGCTTTGCAACTGAGGGCAGAAAGTGAAAAGGTTCAAGAGGAAGGTGACAGCAGCCTGGTCGACCTCATCGATCACATCGTCCAGACGGTCAAAACGGAAGAGAATCTGGACGCCGAGATCGACGCCGAGAAGGCCAAACTCGAGTTGACCGAGGGCGGTAATGCCGGTATCATCGCAGAATTCGAGGAACGAGCCAAGACGATTGAGAAGTTGAGGAGCAAAGTTCAAGATGCCAATCGACAACGGGAGGAGTTCAGACACGCGATTGGAACGATCCGGGCGCAGTGGGAACCTCGACTGGAGGAAATTGTGGGCAAGATCAACGACGCCTTCTCCGATTCCTTTGCGCGGATTGGATGTGCTGGGCAGGTTGCCGTGCACAAGGCGTCATCTGACAGTCCCGCCGACTGCACCGAGGAGAACGGCGGAATGGAAAACGGGCTCGACTTTGCCAACTGGGCCATCCACATCAGCGTCAAGTTCCGCGAACAAGAGCCGCTGAGTCTTCTGGACAGCCACCGCCAGTCTGGCGGCGAAAGAGCAGTCAGCACCATCTTCTACCTGATGGCGCTGCAAAGCCTGAACCGGGCGCCCTTCCGAGTGGTCGACGAGATCAACCAGGGCATGGATCCACGGAATGAACGCATGGTGCACGGCAGGATGGTCGACATCGCCGCGGACGACGGCGGCAGTCAATACTTCCTCATCACGCCCAAGCTGCTGAGCGGATTGAAGTACAGTCGGGGCATGACGGTGTTGTGCATCGTCAGTGGCGAAAACATGCCCGCTGCCCGCAAACAGGACGAGGCAGGCAATTGGCAAGACGGACCCAAGGTTGATTTCCGTATGTTCGTGAAAAGGGCAAAGGAGCTGGATATGGATGGCTTTGCCGAGGGAAGGAGGATCGACTCCGGTGTCGGTATGACTGGACGCCCTGCCAGCACGGGCGAGTCAACAGCCGTCGGGGCTTGAAGCAGTAAATCAAGGTGCCAACCACGGTCTTCTGACTGCTCCAGGATGGGAGTTGACCAACAGAATCATGGGTATGTAGGTAGAATGCGTCGCCGTTGTCCCCAAGGCCTGGCAACTGAACCGCTGCTGTGCCGAGGTCTTCTTTGCTCTTTCGTTTCTCCGCATCGCGCTTCCACTTTGCCTGCGCTGCTCCCCACCCCATTCTCTGCTCTCTACCCATAACCCGGCAAACATGGCCGAGATAGCCGGTCGCACATCTCTTTGCTCTCTTGATCTTTTTGATTCACTCTCCAGTGTTCTTGTACCGTGGTGTACGGAGTTGGCATTGCGAGTCGCTGGTGTTTTGAACCATGGTGTTGTTCAAGTCTCCTCATCCGCGGGTAGAGAGTAAGTCATCGGTTCCCTCCCACTTTGCACTCTCCACTCGAGAGTCCCCGGGGTACAATGGCTAAATTATCATGGTCTTGGAAACAGTCCCCGAAGACATCACGACGTGGGAATGGGTCTTTGAGACGAAGGAGTTCTCGCCGCTGTACAAGACGCCCCGGGAGCCGCTGGCCGGGTATGTCAATGCCGTCACCAAGGAACGCCTGGATTGGGCGGCCGTCAAGACCGCGGCCACTCAACTGAGCACCGCCTGGGTCAAGGAGTATGGATTCCAGCCCGGCGAGACGATCTCGCTGTTCAGCACCAACACCATCTGGTACCCGATTGCCATGTGGGCTGTTATCCGGGCAGGTGGAAGAGTCAACGGCGCCTCTCCGGCCTACACGGCCGAGGAGATGACCTACGCCCTGAAGATCGCAAAGTCTAGGTTTCTTGTGACGCTGCCCACGTCCCTGGACGTGGCATTGGCGGCGGCTCGAAACGTCGGCATCCCGCGCCACCACGTCTTCCTGCTGGAAGGCAAGGCGGAGGGCTGCATCAGCATCCAAGATCTCATGAGGCGCGGCGAGAAGTATACTCCCGATCCGCCGTACCGGGTACCACGAGGCAAGACGAACAAGGACGTCTGCGGGTATTTGAATTTTAGCAGTGGGACGACGGGGCTGCCAAAGGCTGTCAGTACTTACAACCGATGCTGGGTACGATATTGCGTGGCAGGGAATGGGCTAACAGCCGACGAGGCGAACAGGTCATGCTCTCGCACCACAACATCATCGCACAGTGCCACCAGCTCAGACAGATCCAGGCCCCCGGCCGGTACAAGATCCTGGCCGTCATGCCGCTGTTCCACAGTACGTGTGTTGTCCCCATATTGACAAGGGCAAAGAAGATGGGCGAGACTAACCCGTGCATTCTGGACGATTTGCAGTTACGGGCCTGGTGAGGTTCTGCACGTACCCGATCTTCATGAACGGAGACAGTGTCATGCTCCCCGCCTTCACCATGGAGTCCATGCTCCGCGCCATCTGCGAATTCAAAATCCAAGAACTCATCCTTGTCCCGCCCATCATCATCCGCCTCGTCCGAGACAAGATCGTCGACGACTTCGACCTCCGCCACGTGGACCGTTGGTCGTCGGGCTCGGCCCCCATCTCGCCGGAGATCATAGCGTTGCTGCAGAAGAAGTTTCCCTGGACGGGCTTCCGGCAGGGTTACGGGGCTACAGAGTCGACGGCGTGCATTTCGGCACATCCGCCTTCGCACTACGACTACAAGTACGCGACCACGGGGGGGATGTTGGTCGCGAACACGGAAGCCAAAGTGATTGATCTGACGACGGGGAAAGAACTGGGCGTGGGCGAGACGGGGGAGATTCTCGCCAGGGGACCCCAGATCGCGATGGGATACCTGGACAACCCGGCCGCCTCGGCGGAGACGTTCGACCAGGACGGCTACTTCCACACGGGGGACGTGGGCCACTTTGACGCCGAAGGGCTGATCCACATCGAGGACCGCATCAAGGAGATGATCAAGGTCAAGGGCCTCCAGGTGCCGCCGGCCGAGCTGGAGGATCTGCTGCTGGGACACCCCGAGGTCGAGGACTGCGCGGTGCTGGGCATCCCCGACGAGTACTCGGGCGAGAAGCCCAAGGCGTACGTGGTGCTGAAGGCCGGCGTGCGCGAGAGCGACGAGGTGGGCAAGCGCCTGCTGCAGTTCGTCCGCGAGCGCAAGGTGCGGTACAAGTGGCTTGTCGAGATCGAGTTCACGCAGCAGGTACCCAAGAGCCCGACGGGCAAGCTGCTGCGCCGCATCCTGAAGGTCAAGGACAAAGAAGGCAAGGACCGAGGGCTGAGGGTCAGGGACGAGCCGGAGCGGGCGAGGCTGTAATGGGAGATGGGAGGTGATTTTTGGGTTGTCGTATTTGGCTAGAGAGGATAGACTAGACCCCGTAGAATATACCAGTCTCAAGAGCAGTATTTGGCCTCGTCGGGTATGCTGAGTTCTACAAGGCTTCATTTCGTTTGCAGACCCCTGGACGGTCTTGAAACTTCGAATGGGGGCTTCCACTTTGGTATACTTGTACACCTCAATGGTGCTATATTTAGCGGTGCGGAAACGGCATCTCCGACTTCCCCTTCGGTGCCATGACGTCGCTGCTTCACCGCGGCACAGCAACAACCTCGTGTGATTTGTGCGACGTGTACTTGTATACTCGTACAGGGTAATCGACGAGCGTCCTCCAGAGGACCAATCAGCCGTGAAACCATGGCAGTCGCCTCGGATACAACTACACAGTCGGTGAAATGCCGCACGTGCCTGTCTCGTGGGAGGCACGCGTATCTCACCCCCAGCTGCAGGTGATTTCGGTTGTTAAACGAACCGGGTTCGTCAAACTGGCGCCATTTCGGACACCAGCTTGCAGGCCCTTTACCGCGACTTCACGCCTCTGCCTCGCGTCCCTTCTCTGCTCCTTGTCGCCTCGGAGTGACAGGAATCGACATCTCGCCCGCGACCAACATGGTGCCGGACCCCAATGGAGTCTTCCACCAGCAAATCTCTAGTCCCGATCAAGAGGGAACTGGTGCCTATTGAACCAAAGCCTGTCGTCCCTCCGCCGGACAAGCCTCAGGAGGGATCGAGCAAGGAGGAGAAATCTGAACCCAAACCCTTCAAGGACCTGACGCGCGAGGAGAAGCTGCTGGCCATCGTGCGCCACAGCGTCCGACCGTTTTCAGACCGGCTGGATCCCTTTGCTGCGTTGCCGGTGAATCTCGACCGCTTCCAGGAGCACCTCATCAGCTTCTACCTGCTCTACTACCCCAAAGCGACGTATGGATTCAGCCCACGGCTCCGTCCCCACCCGGTCGCCAGCAACTTCTCCATCGCCCTGACCACTCCGGCGTGTTTTCAGGTCATCATGGCACGATCGGCTCTCTACCGGATATCGCTGAACAAATACGCCACCGACACGGAGAAACGGTCTCTCGAGCTCGCCGTGGTGCGGCACAAGGGCGAGGCCCTGAAAATGGTCCGTCAGTTGAGTAGCCGGGCGAACCCCAACCGCAAGGACGACCTCCTGGCGTCCATCATCAGCCTGGGGACGTTTGATCGACGGTCAGGGTCTCAGGAAGCAGCGGGCATGCATTACCAGGCGGTGCGAAAGATCTTGAAGACCACTGGCGGTCCTCTCGCGGTCAACTCGGTGCTCCTGTCGCGCGTCATGTGTTTTTTCGAGTGCATCTACGGGACGAGCCCGGAAAGCTACATCTGGGACAACTCGGATCTCAAGCGGCTCGTGCGCAGCCTGAACGGCTTCCTGGAGAAGCTGTGGGAGTTCTGGCAGTCGCTGTCGACCATCAGCGCCCTGACCGCGCCCAGTCCTCGAGAAGCTGACCCCGAGGCCGGTGAGAGACGGATACACTCCTTCGACCTCCAGGAGGGGTCGACATTGCTTGGGCTGGTGTCCAGGCAGCCCCCGCCAGGTGCCGAACTCACGCAACCACGACGACTCGAGCTCATCTTCCAGCTCACTTGCCTCCTGACCCTGGCCATGGTCACCGTGGACCTGGCCAGCGATTTCCGGTCATTGCAGACGTACATGGACAACCTGCACCAGTCCATCGAAGATCTTCGGCTCGCAGGGCAAAGCTGCAACAACGCCATGTGGCAGATTCAAGTCAACGACCACAGCGAGACTCACAGCCGGCGGATATGGCGGGCCGCGAGTTATGCGTGGGTGATGAAGCATTGCTCGTACAATGTGCAGAAGTCGCTGAAGGAATGGCTGTTGGCATTTTTCACCGGCAAGCCAGTCGAGCCGCCGTACCACCTGGCATCATTCCATTTCAGCTACGCGACTTGAATGACTCGACCCTCGGGCGTGCTTGGACCCATTTCAGGGACCGAAACAGGTGGGAGATTTATCTGAGACGAGGCTTCAGGGGGTCTGCCGGGAAACCCGTACGAGTAAGACTCGGGGAATATCTCGTAGCTATCGATAGCCACAGATACGCCAATCGCGGGAAAATCGATAATGGAGCGGGCATTCTGTCAACCGTGGGTGTAACCCTTGCATTTGGAAAGGGCTGCGAGCAGGAATGTGCAAAACAAGACCGACGGCGGCGACGGCGCAGCTGGTGGCAGGCTTCCAATTAAAGGCGCCCCTAACGGAACTGGGCTAGATCTCTCGAGATTTGCTCCTAGGCGTGCCGGTTCGGTGGCTAGGGGCATGGTGGGCACCTGGAGAACCAACTAGGGGCTGCCGATGCGAGCGACACCCGACCCTGTTGGGCGGGTGCCTACAAGTAGTACAAGCCGCAACACGGTAACACGGTCAGCCACGTCCGCCGCGCGTTACTGTTCTGGGGGAGCAGGGTGCGCCAATCATGCGGGCGCTGGGGAGGGCTGATGCTTGGTACCTTAGGTATGTAGCTACCGCCCACGAATCTAGGTGGGCGTGTACCTGACGATCTGCTTGGGCTGTTCTCTAGGTACCTGACGTGTATCTTGTCAGCTACTGCTCGTGCGTGGAGGTAGCAGTACGAGGTACTTGATCCTCTGCTAAAGAAATGTCATGCTGACAGCTGGAACATCAAGACCAACTGCGCCTGTGCCACCCTCGCCTCGCATCGAAGAATGCCTCCTCGGTAGCGAGGAATCTCGTCGGGAATCCCTCAACCCCCTCGTGTCCATTCCTGTCCCCTTGCAATTTCACAATGACGCCTTGACGCCCCGATGCCCCCCCCACCAACCACCGTGTCGCCCTCGCATCGTGTCGTCTCCACCGCAAAGGGATGCAGTGACTGCTGACTTCTCACCACATTATTCATCCTACCACTCCACAACCACACCACCTTCGCTCTCGAACATGTCTTGTTAATATCACCCACCCACCCCTCCAGGCACAGACCTCTCTGTGCTCCCGAGGGCCTCCCTCTCACTCATCCGCTCTGACAACATGATCACCATAATGAAATGCATCATCCCTTGCATGATGTGCTATTGAGCTCGCATTCACCCATGGTCACTCCTTAAAGAATCACCACCCTTACGGTTGTCACTCGTTCACTCAGCCAACAAGTCACTCGTTACCTGCTCGCACTGGTCGTTTTATTCTATTTGTTCATCTCTGCCATATCATCAGCTTTGGATACCCGCTATTATCTCTCTAGAAAGGAAAACATGACGACCAGAGGTACGTCAGATTCCCTGGCCGGCCAGGACCGGCACAGGCATGCTAACAGCCTCGCACCACAGACGGCCTCTCGACCATCCATGGCATCCCCACGAAATACGTCTCCCTCCTCACCCTCGTGGTCCAAAACTCCTCCCTCGTTCTTGTTATGCGATATTCCCGAATCCTGCCCGGTCCGAGATACCTGAGCTCAACTGCGGTCGTGCTGTCCGAAGTCCTCAAATGCATAATATGCTTGTGCGTCCACGTCAGCGAGCAACGGCATCAATACCAATCCTCACGGCTTCCCACCCTCTCCAACGACGCACCTTCTCACCTGAATCCCACCAGCTACGGTCTGAAGCAACTGTGGGCGGACATCTTCAGCGTCAAAAGTGGCTTCTTCAAGCTCCTCGTACCCGCCGTCCTCTACACTCTCCAGAACAATCTTCAATTTGTTGCTGCCACAAACTTGGATGCCGCCACCTTCCAGGTCACCTATCAGTGCAAGATCCTGACGACCGCCTTGTTTGCGGTGTTGATGCTGGGTCAGAGCCTGTCAGCACAAAAGTGGTTGTCCCTGGTCATCCTCACGGCCGGAGTAGCCTGTGTTCAGATACCTTCGTCGACCGTGGCGATTAACCCTCAGCAGGGCAATTATGTGGTGGGGATTGTTGCCGTTGCGATTGCCTGCATTTGCTCGGGATTCGCCGGGGTCTATTTCGAAAAGGTGCTGAAGAACGGCCAAAGCTCGTCTATCTGGATCCGCAACATCCAGCTGAGCATTGGCTGTCTGGCCATTGCGCTCACCGGGGCCTTGGTCTGGGATGGCCAGGCGATCCTGGAGAATGGCTTTTTCCAGGGCTACAATTCCGTGGTCTTTGCCACCGTCTGCATTCAGGCGGCCGGAGGCCTCATTGTGGCCATGGTCATCAAGTACGCCGACAACATCCTCAAGGGCTTCGCCACCTCCCTCTCCATCATCCTCTCGACCGTCGCCTCGATCTTCATCTTCAACTTTGTGCCGACGATATATTTTCTGTTTGGTTCGATCTTGGTGTTCTTGGCTACCTATTTGTACAGCGTGCCTGAGGCGCCCAAGGCCATCGAGAGCGCAGCTGCTGACCCCTCGGAGAAGAACCCGATCCTCGTGGTGGAAGACTATGACGAGGAAGCTCGGTTCGGCTCCAGGACCGTCCAGAGGCCGTTTCGAGATGACAGCGACCCTGAGTCGAGCGACGAAGCGAGCCGAGACAGCGTCAGCATCTACGACCAGGACGATGGCAACTACTCTCGGAATTTCTCGCCCTCGTTGATTCAGAACTCGACAATGGAAAAGCAAATGCTCCCCGAGTTGGGTCATGTTGGATGATGGCCTCGGATGATTGGACGGAGCTCTCGGCTTGCGGTGCGCTTGAAATCTCTGAAATTTGTTGTTCACAGCGATCTATGTGATTGAATATGAGAGGCTGGCAGTGGCCTCGGAGACGTGACCCTGTGGACGGGAAGAGAGACACTGCACCAAAACAAAAATACACAAAAACCTGTTGTTCTTGGAAATGTGACATGACTTTGGATACCGTTCACCAGTTGGAGAAGAGGAAAGGCATTACTATTAGAAACGATGGTCAGACACCAGAAATGGATATGATTTCGAAAGGAGGCGCAGTGCCATTGAATCTACGATGTCCACTTTGGATGTTTTCTGGACTGTTTTATTCTCTGGCATGCCGACATCATGTTCGGCATACCAGGTGAGAGCCTCGTCGTTTCAAGAGTTTCTTGTACGCGAGCCTTATCGTGTTCGTACCCAGCAGTCGATCGTGCGGCGGTTTCATCCACGATCAAGGGGTCGCCTGGTCGTACAAGTTTCAGACCTGCGACGTCGACTGCCTCGGGATTCGCAACATCATCGCCTTAGCCAGAGAGTCGATCAGTCAGTCAGTCAATCAGTCAGTCGTGGGTGGGCGCGTGAGCCTCGTTGCCTCGCTAGGCTGCCCAGGGCTCTTCAACTAGATCCGAACGAGGCGTCGTCGAAGCCTTTCTCCTCCCATCCACTACTCCCAATCCATCCATCCATCCATCCATCCAACCCCCGTGTCCAGGTGCTTATCCATGCATTGATCAATGTGTCTACAGACCTACAGTACCTCGTCTATCTCCAGGCTGGCTGCGAATGAGATCCCCGCCCACGCTGAGAAGGGTTTTCCCCCAGGCGGACGCTGAGGCAGCAAAAGGCCACTGGGCCAACGATTTCCTCTCGCTCGACACCGTCTGTTCTCGCCCTCTGGCCGATCGGGTGGGGTGTCTGTCAGTGTCGGTGTGTTGCTGTTGCCGCCGTTGGGAGACCGGGGTAGTTGACGAACTTGTATATAACGAATGGCCCTCCGCACCTGGACTGACGTAGATAACAGATATTACCTCCGTTTCCATCCCCTTTCGAGTTACGGCCGCTTGAAGAAGGAATAGGGAAGAGAGGGAAGTGATGACCGCCCCTCCTCCTCCTCCTCATCCTCGTTGTGATCGTTCGAATCATTGCGTGATGTAAACACGTCTATACGTATGTATGTGTACGCGACTGTGGGTGGGAAGAGGGAGACAGCGCAGCAAGGATGGGTGAGGCGGTCTTCTATTACCAGCTGCTCTATCTGTCTATCCGTCCACCTACCTATCCATCTACACAGCCCTCTCAATCAACGCCAGCAACCCACGTGCCGTTGCCATCCCACAGCGCCGGGGGGGTGAAATCGCCGTACCACTCCCCGCCCCCGAACTCCAGCCTCTTCACGTACGCGAAACGGAAAAACTCGGGCTCGTCGACTGCCCGCCTCGTCCACGGGAACGTCATCTCCTCGGGCTTGAAGGCTTGGAAGCGCAGGACGTCGTTGACGAGCACGCCGATCCCGTCGAAGGGCGGCGACACGGCGAGGTCTCCGTCGAAGGTGAAGGTGATGTTGTTGGCCCCGACGATGACCGGTGCTCGAGACAGAGCCGGCACAAGGCTGCCGAGGGCGCCGTCTTGGAGGAGCTGGCCCGGCGTTTGGAGGATGCTGTCGAACCCCCACCGCGCGACGCCGTTGAGGAATAGCCCGACCAAGATGCCTTGGTACAGCAGGCTCGGACGCGTTTGGAGAGACGTCCCGGGGAGCAGGATCAGGGCGAGGATGTAGTGGTGGATCCGCAGGTTCATGCCGGGGATCAGCACCAGAGCGACCAGCAGCGCGCCCACGACGCCGTAAAAGACCAAGTACCGCGGCACCCGACCTTCGGTCCTGAAGCACCACGCCTGCCCGACCGCGATGACGAGGATGATGCCGACGAGCAACGACAGAGCGAGGATGGCGCCGGGCTGTTGCTGCAGGTCGTGCGGCGTGAGGCGCGAGATCGGGATGCGGTCGAAGGTGACATTGTTCAGCGCGCCCACCCAACATCCTCCAAGCCAGAGCACAGTCCTCTCGATCGGCGCCTTGAGATCGGACAGGGTTCGGCGGACACAGAATTGATAGATGACGTGACCCACGAATGCCGCGGGCAGAAATCGTCGGAATGCCATCGAGACCACATCGGCGTAGTCTTGGTAGTATGGGGGATCCGAGATAAGGGCGACGTGGAAGAAGACGCCGACAAAGACCGACCAGAAAAAAGCGGCCGCAGAGGTGACGAAGACGGACAAGATGGAAGTGATCAGGGTCGACGTGCCCAAGAACATCCAGCGAGAATCTCTGCACGCGGCAGTCGACAAGCTGGACGAGTTGAAAGTGAAGGAAAGTGGGAAGTTGGATGGGAATCCAATGCTGAGGATACCGTGGGCATCAACACTTGGGAAGTTGGACCGCTCTCCGGTGCGCAACAGGACTCCACAGCCTCCTCGCGAATTGGTCGTGACTCCTGCATGGATGGCCGCGGCGCAGATGAACGAATCTCCGCGGTAGATGGCGGAAGCAGGGTCTTCAAGACGTTGCGGCCCTCCGACAACGAGGCTTCGATAATTGACTTGCTGAGATCCGATGAAATGAGGCTCGAGTAACATGACGTCTTTACAACCGGCTGGGCAAACGAACGCAAGGTGGTTGTCCTCGAAAGGACGGCATTCCTGACCGTTCAGTCCACAGGCGGTGCTGTTGGGCCTGTGCTGGTTAGCGATGGCCCCATCTATGGCATCCAGGCACATACCATAATCGAGATGTACAATCTAGCCGGATGGGCTGGCCATCGACGGAATCAGTGCTCGAAATCACCGACTTTGGAAGGGCCACAAGGAACACCCCAATCCACACAACGTTGAGAGCAAGCAGGGCCAGCAACTTGAGCCATCTACCAGGCAAAATCCTGTCGAGAAGCCGATCGCACACATTCTGAAGCCCCTCAGAAGAATGAATGTGGTAGACTCGAGGAGGGTGGGGTCCTTTGATCCATTTCAAAACAGCTTGTAAAGTGGACTTGGACTTATGTCGGCGGTTATCGAAAGTCCAAACGACCCCGTTGCCATCGGTCGGGCGCTCCAATGAATCCTGAGGTGCGATAAGAATGCGTGCTTCCTCCTGATCATAGTCTTCCGGTTCAGCTGGACCGAGGAGTGTCTCACGGCTGGGGCCATCCCTTGCAGATTCGACGCCGTCAAGATCGTGCAAAGAATAGCCCTCATCAGGGGTCCCAGATTCGTATAATGGTGAAGAGATGGCGGGCGACTCAGGGGAGCGCAACAATGCTCCGTCCGACATCATCTGTACCGCCCATCAGTTCGTCATGACCTTCCCCGAGACTTTAGCTAGCAATACCTTTTGGTGGTTCGATCTACACTGCTCTATACAACAGCGCTTAAGGTCAAGCGAGATATAATTTACTGTAGCTCAAAAAATGGTTAGAGGAGGCCGAAACAGGTCTGCCGGAACTAGTGCCTGGCAGCATGGTGCGCGATCCAAAGTCTTTCAAAAGAATATATGAGTAACGTCGAAAGTCATGATGCTGGCGCCATGATGGATGTCGCCGTCTCCAAACGAATCAAACGTGTGCAAACGTTAAGGTACATGCAAGGCTGAACATGGGCAGAACCAGGAGTGATGGAGCTTCCTCAGCGGACCCTCGACGAGCAGCACAGCCTCGTCGTGATACGACGCCAAGGGCAAGTGCGCCGAATACGCGGATAGCGGTGGAGCCTCGTCCCCCAATGCGCGTATTCCCGCATCAACAAATCTCCCTTTTCACACAGCCACGGCCTCGCTCGCCCGTACACCTTGCCTACTAGACTCGATACATCGACATATCCGACGCACTCAATCCGCGTTGTCCTGATGGTCCCACAATCCCCAGCGGTAAGAATGCATATCAGCCTCTCGGTGCCCAGGTGTCCAGGCAGCAGGCAAAACGGGGATGGAGAAGGGTTGGATATATATTGAGGTTTGAGTCCCGAAGTGCTGGTATCCCTCGAGTTCTCTACCTCCTTTCCGTGCTTCACGTCAAGAGATATCTCGTTCCTGGTCTATTTACCCCCTTATACTGTTCCTCCCCGTCTCTCCCCTTCCAAGCGCTGCCCCGTCTGAACAGCCAAATCGACCACAATGGCAAAAGGCGACTCGGACTTCAAACTCTACCGCTACGACCCCTCGTTAGGCGCGGCCGTGATCTTCGTCATCCTGTTCGCCCTCGCGTCTTTCCTGCACACGTACCAGCTGGTCCGCACGCGGACATGGTTCTTCGTCCCCTTCTGCGTCGGCGGGTACTTTGAGGCGATCGGGTACGTCGGGCGGGCGATTGGATCTCAAGAGAGCCCGAACTGGAGCGTGGGTGCATACGTGCTGCAGTCGGTGCTCATCCTCGTGGCGCCCGCGCTGTTCGCGGCCAGCATCTACATGGAGCTCGGGCGGATCATCGTGCTCACGGACGGGACGAAGCACTCGCTGTTGAACCCGCGGTGGTTGACAAAGGTCTTCGTGGCGGGCGATGTCTTTTCGTTCCTGATGCAAGCGTCTGGTAAGTCGTCTCCCCCACCGCTTCTTGTACCAACACTCAACTCTGTCTCTAGGTGGAGGGATTATGGCCGGCGGCACCGCGTCGTCCATGAACACGGGCAAGAACATCATCATCGGCGGCCTCACCCTGCAGGTCATCTTCTTCTCCTTCTTCGTCGTCGTGGGGTTGACCTTCCACCTCCGCATGCACCGGGTCCCGACGTCGCGGGTCCTGGCCCACGCCGACATCGCGACGACCTGGAAGAAGCACATGTACACCCTGTACGGCGGCAGCCTGCTCATCCTCGTGCGGTCCCTCTTCCGCCTGGTCGAATATGGGCAGGGGAACGCCGGCTACCTGATCTCGCACGAGGTGTTTCTGTACGTCTTCGACGCGGTGCTGATGTTCGCGACCATGGTTCTCTTCGCCGTGTTCCACGGCAGCGAGCTCAACGCGTTGTTGAAGGGCGGTCACGGCAAGGTCGTCAGGCGGGTCGTGTCGGTCTACAGCTTGAAAGGGAACGGAGGGCGCGGCCTCCCGTGATCTGCAGGACAAAAGTCGTGTCTTTCATTATAGAGTCAAGAGCCGGGACACGTGGGAAGGTGGGTACGGACGCCGGCGTTTGTCAAAGACCTATTCGCGTTCTGGTTCCGTTGGTGTATTTTCCCGTGGCCCAAAATAGAAAGCAATGGTGGGATTTCTGTAGATTAGATTGAGAAGGCGTTTGGAGACTCTGCATGTGTGATATTTCCGCTTCTTGCCCGTGTACAACACGCTCACATTTTTGTCGCCTGGGAAAGTGAAACGTTTCAATAGGCGAATGCTTGCGCGGCTCAAGACAATCGACAACCACGAAAACAAGGGTAGAGCAACAGAAAGCAAAAGACCGAGTGGGCTACAGTGGAAAGGAGCAGGGCCGTCTTCTTTTCGCCGGTTTCTGAAAAAGCTTGTCATTTCTCTATCTCGCCTCGTAAGCCTCGTTGACCGAGTGATGTGATGTATCGTGGTATCTTCTATATGTAAACATTGGTACAAACAACACGATGGCATTCCCCTTGGAAGTGCCAATCTTTTGTGGCAGAGGACAGATTGTCCATTATTCAGGTCGGACTCTGGACGACAAGCCCGGTAAAATAGGCATCGGTCCATGAGTTTGGCTGCTGCCCCAATTTCCCAGATTTCCTATAACAAGTTAAACTCTTGCATTGAGCCAAGTGTCCCTCCGGTATCCAACGTGGTATAACGCTTCTCAATCACAACGAAGTAAGCCAAGTGAAAGAAAAGGACCGGGAGATTAGAAGTTCTCCTTGCCCCATACGAAGCTGAAGCCCTTGTCGCCCTCGCTATACATGTTACACAGGATGTGCAACTGCGAGCCCAGGCCCTTGGGACCACAGAAGAACACTCCCGCCTCGCCGGGAGAGTGTAGTTTGCGAATCGCCCGGAAGACCATGTCCCAGTTGGGACGGCCGAAATTTGTCGGCGTCCGCAGCCCCGTGATGGCGTCGGTGTCGCTGCTGTTGAGCATGATATTGTTGGCGTCTGCGGCGGAGATCTTGGCGGTCAGGTACTAGAGGCGAAACAGTTAGCAAAACGTGGCTTTGAGAGATGTCAAGAGAGGAGAACGTACGGCGTGAATTTCGATGGAATGCTGTTTGTCTTGGGCCTCAATAGCCGTGAGCAGACTCTTGAACCACTCCAGAGATCCAAAGTCACGGCAGATCCAGAAGAAGTAGACCTTTCTCAGCCGCGTGTGGCTGCCGCCACCTTGGCTCATGCGGTACCAGATCGACTTGAGGATACTGGCAAACGGTGTGACTCCAATGCCCGCACCGACCAGCACCGCCGTTTCAAACTTGAACACGTCCTCGGAGGCGGATCCGAAGGGGCCGTCGATGTAGATGCGCGGTAGGAGCTTCTGCAAGCCCCCAGGAGCCATGGAGACGACTTCGGAGCGGGGTTTTTTGGCCCCGTCGCCCTTGCCTTCACCTCTTCCCTTGCTGTCCTCACAGCCGAGCGCTTTTCCGAGAGCTTTGGTGAAGTTGCCCACCATCCGCACGTGCACCGAGATGTAGTCTTCTTCTGGCGCTGATGTCAGGGTGAAAGGATGGTACTGCCAGATGGACACCTCGGGGCAGCAGAGGAAGATGTATTGGCCCGCACGCGTCTTCGTCTTCTCCTTGTGCATCTGGATCTCCACTACGTTACTGGGGTGTTGGATGACCTTGGTCACGAAGGTCTTGTGCCGGCCGCGGATCTCGCGGAGAACTCGCTCCAGGAGATACGCGAAGCCTCCGTACATCCAGTACTCCCAGAAGACGCCCGTCCCGAAGCAGAACGGAGCGGTGTCGGCCTTGATCATGCAGAAGGCGCCGTGCACGGACCAGAAGACGAAAAACACGATGAAGAGGTGGTGGACGGACCAGAACCGCTCGTAGTTGGCACGCCGCGGCTTCTCGATGGACGTGAAGAACATTGCCATCAAGGCAAAGAGCATGACGTAGCCAGACCAGCCCGGGCCAGTCACAAAGTTGGCCTCGAGGAAACCGACGAAGCCCAGCTTCTGTTTAGCCGCAAGTTGGGCGAAGTTGTTCCAATGCGCAATGGTGTGGACCCAGGTGAAGAAGACGATCGAGTAGGCGACGAGTTTGTGGAAGGTGAGGTTCTTGTCGAACGGGACGATGCTGTTGAGGGGCGTCTGGCGGAGTAACGATATCAGCGTCCGGCACACGGGGAAGAGGATCAGAGCGACGTCGAAGTGCAGCACCAGTGCGGCCGACCTCGCGATGGGGTATGTGATGCCAAACGTTGCCCGCGCCCCCGTCAGGTTGTCCTTGAGTTGGTAGTTCATGAAGCCGAAGCCGAAGACCAGTCCGTGTACCAGCACGAACACTCCCACCACTATCCGCCTCGAGCCCTCGTTGACCATCCACCTCTCGAACTTTTCTCTCATGTTCAGGTCCCGGGGCGCCTCGCCGCTCACTTCTCCAGACAGCAGCATCCTCGACAGAGGAGTTGATCTTGTGCGTTCCGCCATCGAGGAGGTTGTCGACGACGTGTTTGACCTGGCCAACGGCTTCTCGATGTAATACATTGGAGCATTATTGTGCGTCGTAGTGTTGGACCGTCCCAGCGGCTTGTCGTGCAAGTAAGAAGGATAGGGCGGTGGCGTCGACCTGTTCATGGCGGGCAGGTGATAATGTAAGGTCCAAGAGCTGCGGTCCAGAACAACCTGATACGATTTTGTTTCCAGTAACGGTCCACTGCACACTGCAATTCGGCGACCGATGCTGAGGCAGGGTAGAGAACTCGAGACGACTTCCCACGACGGTTTCGAAACCGAGTCTTGACACAGTATTAGTATGAAGGAAATGACCACCTCGCTAAGGACTTTGGTGCAGTTACCTCGTACAACCAGGATACCTGGGGAGTTTTAGCACCACACGAGCCTGTCTCGGCGTGTTAGAAGCGAAATGAGAAGCGTTCAACACCTATCCAAAAATCCAAAGAAGGGCGCACCGGGCCAGGGAAGAAACGAAGACGATGATCAGCACAGGTCAACAGAAAAGACAGACGATCGAGAAAGAGGGCCACAATTGAAATACATCACCCCCTCCCCCTTCGGCGCTTCTCGCTACATAATCGCTATGGCAGAGTTTGTCGACCTTTTCATGCAATTTTCAGGGGGAGTTTTGGCAGGTGCAGATCCCGCAGCCCAGAGCCACAGATGGAGCAGCAAGAGGTCAATCGGAACACAGAGCCCAATGCTTGGATATCCACATGGCTGCTGGAGACAGCGTGACAGGCGTCGAGACCCGACGAGAAGCGAAAGCCAGACGCTGTTGACGAAGCTTTGAGTCGGACCTCGAAAAGGTCGAGAGAAGGCTTTGGGAGACGATGATTTGGCGGCGATGTGTGGTGGATGAGGCTTGGTGAAACGCGCCAGGGGTTGGGGAGCCTCCGAAACGGGCCAGCCGACGTAGAAAAACCAACTCTGCCTACGTCTCCGTCGTGTTTGCCGCTCAGCCTCCTTGTTTCAGTCCATGCAAGGCTTTCCTACACACGCGGCGCACTATTGGCATGCGACCTCCGACTCCAGCGACTGCCCGTCCGCCCACACAACGACCGCCCTATCTCGACGGGCTTTCGAGAGGCACGTGCCTAGGCACACAGGTATGCCTGGGAGCCTCGTCCACCATCGGCGTGGGGCGGCCTTCGCAGGCCGAACAACCCCTCTAATTGGGTAGCCAGGATTTATCCCAGCGACCTTGGCGATGCATGCGGTCATGTCGCAGCCTACGGATTACTCTTGGAGGATTGGGGCGAGGCGGCTGCAGCATCAAATCCCAGGCGTCAACGCCCGTCCGGCCGTGGTCAACGAGCCTCGAAATGCGAATGGATGGAGTTGAAACAATTGATCACGAAAAAAGGCCAAGAGAGGGAAAAGGCACACGGTTGGGTAAGCAAGAAGCACAGTTGTCAGTATCCCTCAAGCACGCCCTGTTGTAATGCATCATAAGAGTTCATCCGAGATCGTGCTGCTGGACATAAACATCCCTCCATAACGTCTGCGCCTGTTTCTCCTGTTGCTTGTCATTGCATCCCTTGGTGTAATGCATATGTCGTACTCTGCCAACCGCATCCGTGGAGTCGTGGGTTGCTCTGTACCAAACGCTGCCGATTCTCGTCTGAAGCAGCACCATACACCCCCTGCCGCTTGGCACTGCCGAGCACCGCCTAGCAACCGCCACCGACTATTCTGCCATCGGAACTAGATCGCGAACTTCCTCGTCCATTCTCTGGCGGTTGCTTCGTATCGAGCGCGGTCGGTCTTGTACACATGAGCAATCTCCGGAACAAGTGGATCGTCGGGGTTAGGGTCGGTGAGCATAGAGCAGATAGATAGAAGGACTGTTCAACTGTTAGTCATGTTTTTTTCTTTCCTGCCAGACAGGCGGCGGCCGTGCAAACCTTTCGATATTGTCAGAGCGGGGCTCCACTGGTCTCGAAGGATGTCCAGGCAGATGCTGCCGTTGGAGTTGATGTTGGGGTGGTAGATCCGAGTCGTGAAATTGACCTTCGGTGGCTTGAAGGGGTAGTCTGTAGGGAAATGAATGGCCAGGAAGAAGACACCGCCTTGGAATGGGCTGTCGCTCTGGAAAATTTGGTCAGTCCGGAAAATCGACGTGACCAAAGGGGTATCGTTACTTACGGGACCCATGATCGTTGCTTGCCAGTGGAACTGGTATGGTTGTCAGCCGATTATTCTAAGTCGAGCAGGCTATGGCCGCCCAGCCGCCTGAAGGTTTCCGGCGGCGGTTCGGGACTCTGTACTCACCAGGTCATCTCCCATGGGACCGGCTGAGCATGATGAGGGAGGATCACTGCATCCGAAAATATCAGTATTGACGTCCGGAAAATCCCACATGATCTTATCAAGGCCAAATGTGCCTCTTGCCGCATATCAAGGGAGGAGATAGGACTCACCGGCCAAGATCTGTGAGTTCCTTGTTGATTCGCTTCAGAGCCATGGCTGAGAATGTGGTCTATCTGTGTTTGTAGGGAGGATTTTGAGGCCAAAGGTGGTCGATATCGAGCGGGACGTGGGGCTGTGATCTGAGTCAACCCTACGCAAAGCGGTTGGTAATAGGTCGGTAGAAGTAAAGGATAGCGGACGAACCTGAGGAATGTGCGAAGGGGAGGATTAAATATTAGAGGTGACGATGAGGTGGTCGCAGGAGACGAGGCGGTAGTGGCAAGAGGTTTGATCGGTTTGGTCAAGTTTGGTTGTTGTGTAGTCAGTGGTGAAAGGGAAGAGAGATCGACTTTCCTTCAGCCGACTGGATCGCAGTTTAAACTGAAGGCGTTCACGCTTGGCAGTCCGCAGAAGGTGCTGGACAGTAATAGTGGGCGGGCGGGTAGGGCGAGGGGCGCAAGAATGTCAGTGACTTCAGGTGACTCTGGCTGTACCTCAGGCAAGGCGGGCGGGCGTGGGCGGTGCGTGGGTGGTGCCTTTGCCTGGCCGCCGAGTGCCCAATGACAGCCACTTGGGCTTCAACTTTTCCCTGACTTCGCCACCACCAGGCGAGGCCATATTTCCTTGTCATTAGATCTCTTTCTGACAAAGCATGGTCCGCGACCTTCAACCATCAGCAAATACTTATCGAGAGATCGGCTCATGAAATCATGGCTCTTTTAGCCGGTCGCCGTCTCGTTCCGTCTTCTGAGTCAGGAACACTACACGCTTACTGGAGCAACAACCAAATGGAATCTCACGTGGCAGTCATGACACTATGTCATACACGGTGCTATACAAGAATGAACATGAAGAACGAAGGTTTTCTCCCGGAGAGTAACATGTCATTTCCACGCCGCAGATGCTTTTAACTTTTTCTCCCTTCGACCATCTCCGGAAACCAGGCGTGGCCGTCGAAATTTAACTTATCTTGTTCCATGGCTTAACAATATCCAGTGTTTTGCTGTACAAGTACTGAAACAGACATGCCTTGAAGAACGGGTGGCGTTGCGATCACAAGCACCAAAGCGTGCAGTTAGGACCGTGCTCGGTAGGGCTCAGGCGACAGCTCAGCTCTTCTGCGGACTGAGTTGTCGAGAATGATCTAGAACGCGCTGGTGATGACGACTCGTTTCCATCGTGTTGCTACCAGATAGCCAGGTGGCGACCATGATCACGAGAAAACGGGTAGAAGACGAGATTGAGGCTCGCTTGCTGGGGCTGGACCGAGCCGTAGTTCAGAGAGCAAGAGCTGCGTGTGCTCGTCCAAGGACAAGACAAAATGCGAACTTGACCAGGACGGCGCGGCGGATTAGATTCTACCTCGGTCGATTCGTCCTCCTTAGCAAAAGGCCTGCAATCCGGTAATGGCCCGGCCTAGGATCAAGGCGTGGATGTCGCTCTGTCCCTCGTACGTCTGCGTCACGAAAAGATTCGCAACATGGCGGCCGATGTGGTATTCATCGCTGACGGCGTTCCCGCCGAATATCTCCTGAAGGAGCCTGGCGTTCACCAACGCCCGATCACAGTTCTGTCTCTTGATCATCGAAATCATTTCTGGAGTGACCTTGCCCTCGTCCTTGAGACGGCCAACTTGGTATGCTGCGGCAAGTCCAAAAGCTGCATCCGTGAGGGCGTCGGCCAGTTTCTTTTGAACGAGCTGATACTTGGCGATTGGATTGTTCTTGAACTGCTTCCTCTCCAGGGCATATTCTCTCGCCCGGCTGATACAGTCTTCCAGGGCACCCATTGTTCCCCAAGCGATACCATACCGTGCCGAGTTGAGGCACGCGAACGGACCTTTGAGACCCTCAACATCCGGAAACATATTCTCCTTCGGGACGGGACACTCGTCGAGCTGGATCATGCCCGTTATCGACGCTCGAAGGCCGTTTTTGTCCTTCAGAGCTGGCGTCTCGAGCGTACCCGGCGGACACTTGGCTCTCTCAACCAAAAATCCCCTGATCTTGCCCGTTTCTTGCAACTTCGCCCAGACAAGCAGTACGTCTGCAATGGGCGAGTTGGTGATCCATGTCTTGGACCCCGACAGCGAGAAGTATCCCTCCTTCGACGGGTGCGGCTTCGCAGTCGTCTCCATCGAACCTGGGTCGGAGCCGTGATTGGGCTCCGTCAAGCCGAAACAGCCGACCAGTTGGCCTCTGGCCAGCTTCTCCAGGTATTTGTCCTTTTGTTCTTGGGTCCCAAATTCATCTATGGGTCCCATGACCAGGGAGCTTTGGACGGACATGCCTGATCGGTACCCCGAGTCTACTCTTTCCACCTCTCGCGTTATCAGCCCGGCGGCGACGTTGCTCACGCCAGCACATCCGTAGCCCTTTATCGTGGCGCCCAGTAGACCTAGCTCGCCCATTTCCTGCAAGATTGTTTTGTCGTAGTCTTCCTTGCGGTAAGCTTCCAAAACTCTGGGCTGCAGGCGCTCCTGGCAGTAAGAGTGCGCCGTTTCTTGAATCGCTTGTTCTTCCTCGGTCAGAAAGTTTGACAGGTTGAGAGGGTCCTCCCATCTGAAAGCCGCGGCGGAGGAGGCATGCCTGCGGGGGGATGGGCGCGCAGCTGGGGACAGGCGCACCCGTGCGGCGCGGCGAAGGACGGAGCGAGACAACATGGAGAAGGGTGTCAGCCAAAGGGTGCAAGGAGAGAAGACAGAGGAAACGAGAGTCTCGGTTTGAAAGCGAGAAACGGCCAAATTTGTGGACGTGGAGATCAGCGAGGCGATTCAATGTGCTATATATTGCCAAATTGCCGAGGCGATTTTTCAGTGCTCCCGCGAGGGCAATTGAGAATCTCCGAGGCGGCAGAGACGTACACGCACCATTGTGTGAGAGATTGAGGTCTGCAAGAGCTTGCAGAGGCTCGATCCAAGGATTCAAGGCATTGAAAATTGGCAATGGCTCCAGCTCTATCTGGAGCTGCGGGCGGCTTTCCTGAGAATGGCAAATCGCAGAGTTGCGCTACAAAGCCTCTTGCTCGGAAGTACTCGATGGCTTGCAGCTGCGGAGGATCTCCCGAGGCGTGCGCGCAGTCATGCACGTCATTCACTTCTCGCACTGCAGGCGCGGAACGCGATTCTACAGGATCACTTTACGCGCATCTTTAACCTCCGCTTTCCTGTCATGCGATTCACACCCAACGTCCACTCAACCGATCTGTGAGAGGCACACCGCTTAGAGACGATGGGTATCAAACGTATGTTGCACTGCCAGGCCGAATGGCCAGACCTTGACAGCTCACTGTGAACAGAACTCTACCATGTCATCGCCGAAGAGGCGCCTGACGCCATCAAGACTGGTGAGATCAAGAACCACTTTGGAAGGAAGGTTGCGATTGTAAGTCAACGCTGAATCTGGTTGTGCCTCGAACTGACAAGGACGTGCTAGGATGCGTATGCCTCGTATACCCTCCCGAACCCGCAAACGGGTGACTGACTCCCGCAGATCGATGAGCATCTACAGCTTCCTGATAGCGGTCCGCTCAGATGGCCAACAGCTCATGTCCGACACGGGCGAAACCACGTCCCATCTCATGGGCATGTTCTACCGCACCCTGCGCATGGTCGACAACGGCATCAAACCACTCTACGTCTTCGACGGCGCACCGCCCAAGCTCAAATCTGGAGAATTGGCCAAGCGCTTTGCTCGGAAGAACGAAGCGAGTGATCAGCATGAAGAGGCAAAAGAGACCGGTACGGCGGAGGAGGTTGAGAAATTCTCAAGGCGCACAGTCAGAGTCACGAGGGAGCACAACGAAGAGTGTCGGCGGCTGCTTAAGTTGATGGGCATCCCCTACATCGTCGCCCCTACCGAGGCCGAGGCCCAGTGTGCGGTCCTGGCGCGTGCCGGCAAGGTGTACGCGGCGGCGTCGGAAGACATGGACACTTTGACGTTCAACTCGCCCATCTTGCTCCGTCACCTGACGTTCAGTGAACAGCGCAAGGAACCCATCCAGGAGATCCACCTCGACAAGACCTTGGAGGGACTAGGTATGGACAGGAATCAGGTATGGACCCCGCGAAGTGACGAAGGAGGAGTGTGGCCAGCTAATCCGGCCAGTTCATCGACCTCTGCATCCTTTTGGGGTGCGATTATCTGGACCCTATCCCCAAAGTCGGCCCGAACACCGCGTTGAAGCTCATCCGAGAGCACGGTTCTCTGGAGGGGGTGGTCGACTTCATCGAAAACGACCCCAAGAAGAGATATACAATTCCCGAAGACTGGCCGTACAAGGAGGCGAGAGAGCTGTTTCTGCACCCAGATGTGCGGTCCGCCGACGATCCGGAGTGTGACTTCAAGTGGGATGCTCCTGACGTCGAGGGTCTCGTTCAATTCCTGGTCCACGAGAAGGGCTTCAACGAGGACCGCGTGCGAAGTGCCGCTCAGAAATTGCAGAAAAATGTCAAGACCGCCCAACAGTCGCGACTCGAGGGGTTCTTCAAGACCGTACCCAAGACCGAGGAGGAAAAGAAGAGCCTGAAACGCAAGCACGACGAGAAGATCGCGGAAGCGAAGAAGAAAAAGAAGGAGGATGCCAAGACCAAGAAGGAGTCCAAGTCCAAAGCACACCTATCGACGTGAGAAGAGTGGTGCCCATGTATATTTGGGAACGGGGCGCCTGCATTTTACGACGCATGAGGTTAGGGCGAAGGCAGGGTTCAAAACTACTGTGTACAACACGGACCTAGGCACACAGCATGGCGTTCTGGAGGGTAGACAGGCCAGCGTGGACGGCAATCACCCAAGGGTGTGCTCACGCCACGAGATTGACTCGAGTTAATGCGCTGGGCACAGATTACAGAAGGTTGAGATAGGATTGGCTCTAACCTGTCCGGGAGCATCTCACATGATCCGGCAGATCGGATCCTCTCAATCCCAATGGCTGAGCTTGATCCATCCTCCTCTCCGGTCTCTGGAGCCATCCAGCCAGCATCTGAATGAACCACGTTAATGTCACCCTCAATTGTGAAACGCAGGGAAGACTCAAGTCGCCGCTTAGACAACGTAGGCCACTAGCTATTCTACATGACCCAGCTAATGATAAAGTGGTGGGTGTCCCGAGCTGAGCTGCTCTGAACAGTAACTATGGAGATAATATCACCGCTGACCGACACGGATGCCGTCAACGTCGATATTGCAGCAAGGGGGGTCAGCACATGAGCTTCCTGGATAACAAGGAGAAAAGTTCGACGATGATGGATGTCAACAACGGAACCCAATCCGACGCGGTGAGCACACAGCAAGTCCGGGTCGGCCACCAAACCTAAATGCAGGCTACAGAGATGTGGCGTGGAGTGGAGTGAAGGGAGGGGAGAGCAGCTCAGATGAAAAAGGACAAAAGTGGAAAAAGAGGAGGAGAGATGACCGGATCAAAGATTGGGATGATGGATGGTGGGAAGGGAAGGGAAAGGGAAGGGAAAGGGGAGAACAGGATGTTGGTGTGCTGCGCGTGATCTGACTTTTTGTTGTTGATCCGCCGGGCGAGAGTTTCTGGTGCGTGTCTCATCGCTCCTGGCCTGGGCGGGAGGGAAACCTGGATGCTGATTCTGGGCTGCTTGGGCTGCTTGGGTGCCCAGCTGTCAAGGTTCCGCTGGCCGCCGCGCCTGATTGGCTGAAGCCCAGCGCAGCTCGCGGGATCAACCACACGTCACATGCGAGGTATAAAGCATGCGCAGTCTCCCCCGCCTCGCGCGCTCGCAGCAGCCATCGCCCATTCCCATCTCGCATCTTTCCTCCCACTCTACTCACTTCAAGCTCACCCACCGCTCTCTGGTCCCATTGACATTATTTCCTCGCCTTCATCCATCACTTACTCAACTCAGCTCAACTTCCACCGTCACCATGCCTGCCAAAAAAGCTGCTGCCGCCGCCGCTCCGGCCAAGGAAACAAAGGAAAAGAAGCCTGCCGCCGCCCCCGCCCATGCCTCATACAAAGGTACGTTTGCTGCTGACGGCGTGGTCGCGTTGCGCCGAAACCAAGCCTATCGTTGTCGCGTGTCGATGCTGATTCTGTATGTCAGATATGATCAAGGAAGCCATTCTGAACGTAAGTCTACCCTCGATGCGACAACCTCGACGCCCCCTCGAGAACGCCTATCCTGCCGCCTGTTGGAAGTGTGGACCGGGTAGAAGAGATCGTGGCTGTCGTCTACAACCGTTCTACCGTGTATAAGTCATACTGACGCGTCTCGACATGTAGCTCAAGGAACGTAATGGAAGCAGGTGAGTCTCTACAATCCACACCTCATCGTCGCCGGTGATCCGTCTCCAGATCAGCGCTAATTGATTCGCAGCCGACAAGCGATCAAGAAGTATGTCAAGGCAAACAACAACATCACGGTCACCTCCGAGACTCAGTTCGATTCCCTGTTCAACAAGGCACTGAAGACCGGTGTCGAGAAGGGTGACTTCCAACAACCCAAGGGTATGGCCCTGTGCTCTCTTCGACCGAGTGTCTTCGTACTGACCTACCCTCCTTAGGTCCCTCTGGCCCCGTGAAGCTCGCGAAGAAGGAAGCCAAGCCCGCCGAGAAGAAGACCGTCAAGGTTCGTGTCCTCCTCCCGTCGCTCCCAACTTGCTAACCCTCACCGAAGAAGGAGAAGGCCCCCAAGGAGGCGAAGGAGACCAAACCCAAGGCACCCAAGACGAAGACCGTCGCCAAGCCCAAGACTGCCGCCACAAAGGCGAAGAAAGCGACTACCCCCAAGAAGGCTGCCGCCGCCGCTAAGCCCAAGGCCAACACCGCCACTAAGAGGGCACCGAAGACCAAGACCAAGACTGAAGCACCGGTATGTTTTTATGAAGTCGGCGTCGTCGCTCCTTGGACCGCGTTGCTGACCAGTGAGCCAGGCCCCCGCTGTCACCGATGCCCCTACCGTCCTGAAGAAGACCAAGTCAGGGCGCGTGAGCAAGCAGAAGACCACCACAGGTACGAAGAAGGCTGCCCCCAAGAAGGCGGCGACGACGAAGAAGGCCGCGGCGCCGAAGGCGGCAGCGGCTTAAAGGTCACAGCCCGGACTGAAGACTCCACGAGAGGTCGCCGACTTCTCGATCATGTTGCTGTTATGACCTGACATGTGCTGCTTCGTCTTTGTATCTGTATTTGGGATCACGTCGATGGGTTGAGGGAAACAAGGGGCTTGTAAGGATGGATGGGCGTCAAATGAAGAGGGAGAACGGTCGCCGGTACCAGTCATCGCCATCTTACAGTCTCTCGCGTCATGAAGGTTCTTCGTCGGCTTTTTACGCTTGTGCTGGGTATGTCTTACTGGGTCTCATTTTGGGTTGATGTCGGAAGAGGACTCGTGTGTTATCGGCGTTCGGGCATCTTAGGGACAGGACACTGGGGAGTGATAGGGGCAGTGTGGATGAGCGCTACAGCAAGACCAACAACACCCAAGCCGGTGTGAGGGAAAGCTCTCTTATCGCGCACCGCTCGCGGTCGGCGAACTGCACAGGAGCTATATCCCCCTGCAGATATCTGATACACAAATCAAAACCCGCCTTAAACTTCAATGCTTCCCAGAAATGATCGCTGCAGAGCACCTGGAGTCCAGCGTAACTTGCAGAAGTGCTGATCCGTTCGAACCGCGGTCGCCACCTCTTGCCTCGATCTCTATCCGTCGCCATCGTGGGCACACGCGCCAGGCCTCCCTCTCACCGCTCGATCCAGCGCAGCTTCAGGTCCCGATTCCGCACCATCTGCAGGGTCAACTTGGGCTGGCTGTCGGCCATGACGGCCTCGAAGCGGCGGCGGATCTCGTCGCGGGTCTCGTCGGGGCGCACCTTGACGGCCTCGCAGCGGAACCGGCCGAAGACGGTCATGAACACGCTCACGAACTCGACCTGGGACATCTTCTGGCCCGGGCACGCCCGCGGGCCCGACGACCACGGCAGGAACGTGCCCTTGGGCATCGTCCGGATGTTCTGCGCGATCGTGTATTCCGCGCTGGCGGTCCGGGAGGGCGCGAGGCCCGGCGAGAGCAGCCAGCGCGAGGGCCGGAAGGTGGTCGCGTCGTCGCCCCAGGTGCGCGGGTCCAGGTGCAGGGACACGGTGTTGATGTAGATGATCGTGTTGGTGGGGATGTAGTAGGATCGGCCTGACGGGGTGGTGATCGAGACGTCGTGCGTCGAGTTGGTTTGCTTTGCGCTGTGGCCTTGTCGTCAGTACCGGAGGTCTCATCGCGAATGCAGAGCGGTAGGCGGATGCCTCAGCGACGGTGCTGCCGGGCTGTCCGGGAGGAGACTCACATGTGTGTCAAGGGCGGGAAGAATCGCATCGTTTCCAACTGTTTCGACCGGAAGATGTGGTTAGTACCATGCGTCTCGAAATTCATATCGAGGTGAGGCGAGAGCAGGATGGACTGCGGACTCTGCGCCTCAGAAGACTTACCATGAGAGCCAGACACCGTGGCAGGCGAGGATAGATCTCGGCGTAGTCCAGGTTCTCCGCCTCCGTGGCGCCCACAACGGCGTGGATTTCCTCGTACAGCCAATCCTGCCACTCCGGGTACGTGGCCAACAGAGCCAGCGCGTAGGCCATGGTGTTGGCCGTCGTGTCGAACCCGGCGCTCGTGAAGATGAAGAGGTTCCCGAGGATCTCCTCCTCCGAGAGCCCCTGGGAGCCGGCCTTGGAGAGGTCGCCCGCCTTGGAGCCCACGTCGCCGTTGGGCTTGGACGAGTCGGCGAGCCGCACCAGCATGCTCATCAGGTTGCTGCGCGGCTCGGGGCTGTCGCGCTGCAGCTTCCGCTCGTTCTCCAGCATCTCCCGGGTGTGCAGGGGGAACTCGTTCTTCGCGTGCCCGATGTTCTGCCACGACGGCGCGAAGATGGGCAGCGTGAGCAGCCTCGCCGGCATGACCGCGGACTCGATGATGTTTTCCACCACCGTCTTGGTCGCCTCCATGTACGTCGTGCGGTATCCCTCCGGGCGGCTGGACGTCTCCTCCTTCCACGGCCGCGAGATGCCGAACCCCGCCGTGCCCAGCACGTTGATGGCGATCTGCTTCATGCCGCGCATCGTGTCGTCCGTCACGCCCCGGAGGTCGCCCACGTACGAGCCGAGCATCTCGCGGGCCTGGCGACACGACTCGCCGAAGACGAGCCCGCTGATCTTCTCGTTGATGTTGGGGGCGATGAGCCGGCGCTGTCGCGCCCAGTTCTCGCCGTCGCTGGTGATCAGGCTGGGCCCGAAGATGTTCAAGATGACCCCGCCGATGTCCGTGTTGGGGAAGTCCTTGATGCGCTTCAGGACCTCCGAGGCCAGCTCCGGGTCCATCAGACTCAGCTCGTTGGACCCCGCCGTCACGAGGATGATGGCCGGGCCACGCTTCGCGAAGACGGCGGTCTTGCTGCGGAACTCGAACCCGTAGGTCGCCAGGTTGATCGGTTCGTACATCCAGTCCGGGAGCAGCTTCTCAAAGAGCGGCCGCAGGGGCACCGAGAGGATCATCCATATGGGGTGATAGTTGTTGAGCGGGAAGACGACCATGGGGAGCCCCGTCTTGCGCGCGGAGAGGTAGTTCTTGAAGAGCTTCCACAGCGTCGACGCAACCCACAGGCCGTACAGGGTGAGGAGGATCGAGACCCACGACATTTTTGGCCTTTCCGAGTGGACTGAAGCTTTCGGGTTTGCAAGATGTGTTTCCTCGGCCGACTGGCAAATTTGTAGGTGTGTTGCGATATATGGGTCCGGCTATCTGCCCTCTGAATATGTGGAAATATTTCGATGGATCCTCAAGGTCGTCCGACCGTATATGACTCCGCCACCATAACGCAGGAAGCTCCTAGGAGCAGAGAAGAGCTGGGCAGAGACCAGGCCAAGGTACCTTTTGGTGTTTTGAGGAATGTTTCCCAATCAATCGCTGGACGCCTGACAGGGGGGGCTGAATGCCCATGTGCAGAGAGAAGCGCAGCTCGTAAAAATACGAAAAGCTAGAGAGACGCTCGACGAACCACGATTGGATGCTGGCTCCCCACCATCAGCATTCTCCTCGAACTATCTCCCAAATGGAATCGGGAGAATCCTTCAGTGGCTGCCCCTTGAGTCGGCGAAGGAAGGACGGTGTAGAGAGCGATAGAGCCTTCGTCTGATGGGGAGTGAATGAAGCGGTCTTGTATAGCCCTGGTCAAAGGGTTAGGATCCGGGTGGGCGAAGACATAGCTACGTCCTACAATGCCAAACACGAGCGGTCAAAAGGGTATCTTCGTTCAGCGAACCTCGCTATGCATTGAATCATTACAATTTTCCTAAGCCGTGGGGCGCCCAGTAGGTGCACATTTCTATCCAGCTTCTCGTGTCGACTCGGCATCATCTCGACAGTGCAATGTCATCAATCCGTAGAATCATCTTGACCGTCTCGGCTGCCAGCTCGATGGCGCTCGTACTCACAAGCAGGGGCTGGAGCACCTTCTCGTCCGCAATGTTCGTCTTGACGCCGCCGCTCCGGATGCTGACCCCGGCGTTCCTTTCTCCCATGTCATGTCGGTGGCGCAGGTCCGTCACCACCTTGATGCTGTTGAGACCCGCGTTCTCTGCCAGAGTGGTCGGGATCACCTCCATCGCGTCGGCAAAAGCCTTCCAACATATCGATTCCGTGCCCGTCAGCTCCCGCGCCTGCTTCGCCAGTTGGTGGGCGATTTCGATTTCAGGCGCACCGCCGCCAGCGATCAGGGCCTTCTTCTTCACCAGACACCGGATGACACACAAAGCGTCGTGGATGGAGCGCTCCGCCTCGTCCAGGACCAGCGTGTTGGCGCCCCGAGCGACAATGGACACCGTCTGGTGCTGCGGCGACGCCGTTCGGATACCCGTCACCTTGACGTACCGGGCTCCCGACGACTGGACTTCCTCCACCAAGTCGGCACTCCCCAGCTTGTCCTCTGTGAAAGTGTCGATGTTGGCGATGGGTTTGCAGCCCGTGCTCTTGCACAGGAACTCCACCTCGTCCCGTTCGATATCCTTGATGGCCATGATCTTCAGGCGCGACAGGAAATGGAGAGACAGGTCGTTGACCGCATCCCGCAGGATCGATTTCTGGATGAAGAGAACGTTGCATTTGGCCTTCTGGATTTTCTTGACCATGTTAAGCAGGTACGTCCTCTCCTCCTTCAAGATCTTGTCCATTTGTCTGTAGTCGTTGACCACGATCTGGTTTTCCATGTCCGGTTTCGGCGGGCTCAGCTGGAACTGGATCAGGGCGATCTTCGCCTTCTCTATCCTGGTGGGACCACCACTGCTCTTGATGACCGGCTGGTTGAGGACGAGTCCATCGATCATTTCCGAGTCCTCAATCGTCCCGCCGACCTTCTTGACGATTCGAATGTTCCGGAGATCGACGTTCTCAGCGGTTTTCGGGTCTATTGTTTTCAGCACTGCATCGACTGCCATGGGACCCAGCAATCCGGAATGCTGCGACACGATTTTCGAAGAGAGGGACGTCGAGGCGGCTTGGAGCAGGGTGGTGCGGTCAGACAGCGATATCGGTTGGGACATGTCCTGCAGGATCTTCACGGCGGCTTTGGAAGCCCTCTGGAACGATTCGGAAATGATGGTGGGATGTATGCCTTTGGTGAGTAGTCGATCCGCGGCCCCCAGCAGACTGCCCGCGATGACGACCACGGACGTTGTACCGTCCCCCGCCTCGACGTCCTGCGCGTTGCTCAGGTCTACCAGCATCTTCGCGGCAGGATGCATGACGCTCATGCTCTTCAACATGGTGCTTCCGTCGTTCGTGATGAGGTTCTCTCCTTTGCCCGACTGTATCATCTTGTCCATTCCTCGAGGGCCCAGGGATGTTCTGATGGCGTCTGCAACCGCCCGAGCCGCCATGATGTTCGCTGACCGGACGGCCATCGGCTTCTCCTTGTCCTGGTAGAAACGTTAGGATGGTTGCTTCCGTCGCCTACGATCTGAACTAACCTTGAAGGCCGCATTTCCCACATTGCCCTGAATTCCCAGCGCTGCAGCCATGGTGGCTCTTCAGATAGAAGGAGGTGAGATTCGACCGCAGGAACTCTCAGCTGCGTCGCGGTGGCTTGGTTGTGGATGTTTATTTCATTGAACACATGTATCAGGCGACATGAAATTTCCACGAAAGTTGGAGAACGAAGCGGGCCCCTGGTGGTGACCATGTCGGTCGGTGGCTTACATAAGGGATTCAGGCACCGCGCTGGCTGCGCGGACTACGGAGCACTGCATCATTCACTTTGCTCTCGCTCGTGCTCTCGTCAACACTCTCGCCATCCCGTTCATTCCACAACCTCGTCGCAAGTTATACCATCAGCCTCGCAGTGTCGTGCTCCATCAACCGGTATTCAATTCTACCTCTAGCCTAGACCCCCGTTCTCCACATAATCTCTCAAGATGCCCAGCGCAACCGGCCAGAGCTGGGAGAAATACCAGAAGAACTTCGCCGACGAAGATGTGCCAGAGAAGAAGATCACACCCTTGACCGAGGAGTAGGTTTGATCCACTCGAGCCGCGGTGAATTCCCATGCTGACCTGGCTCAGAGATATTCAGGTGTTGAGAACGTATGGAGCGGCGCCCTACGCTGCTGCTTTGAAGCAGATCGAGAAGCAAATCAAAGAGAAGCAACAGAGCATCAACGAGAAAATTGGCGTGAAGGTATGGAGTTGTGCTCGTTTCCAGATCGCATGCTGATACTTCTACAGGAGTCAGACACTGGCCTTGCGCCTCCTCATCTCTGGGACGTCGCCGCCGACCGTCAACGAATGCAGGAGGAACAGCCACTTCAGGTCGCCAGATGTACGAAGATCATACAAGACGAGAAAGATAGCGAGAAGAGCAAATATGTCATCAACGTCAAGCAGATTGCAAAATTTGTCGTCAACCTCGGGGAGCGGGTCAGCCCTACGGATATTGAGGAGGGAATGCGCGTGGGCGTTGATCGTCAGAAATACTCCATCATGCTTCCCCTGCCGCCCAAGATCGACCCCAGCGTGACCATGATGACGGTCGAGGACAAGCCCGACGTCACTTACGGAGACGTCGGCGGCTGCAAAGAACAAATCGAAAAATTGAGAGAGGTCGTCGAGATGCCGTTATTGTCACCGGAGCGGTTCGTCAAGCTCGGGATTGATCCTCCGAAAGGGGCTCTGTTATACGGTCCTCCGGGCACGGGGAAGACCTTGTGCGCGCGGGCGGTCGCCAACCGAACAGACGCTACATTTATCAGGGTGATCGGGTCCGAACTGGTCCAAAAGTACGTCGGTGAAGGTGCGAGAATGGTTCGAGAGCTCTTCGAGATGGCGCGGACGAAGAAGGCGTGCATCATCTTCTTTGATGAAATCGATGCCATCGGCGGGGCCCGATTCGACGACGGCGCCGGCGGTGACAACGAAGTCCAGCGGACTATGTTGGAGCTCATTACCCAACTCGACGGTTTCGACTCGAGGGGAAACATCAAGGTCATGTTTGCCACCAACCGACCGTCGACGCTGGATCCAGCCTTGATGCGACCGGTAAGCCTCGGCCGCACGGTCGCCTCGCTACGCACGTGTGCAATTACTGATATCACCGCACCAGGGCCGTATCGACCGTAAAATCGAGTTCTCGTTGCCTGACCTGGACGGCCGTGCCGGTATTCTCAGAATCCACGCCAAGTCGGTGAGTATTTCTTCTCCAGTGCGCCGCAGAACGGGGCTGACTCGAGCAACCTAGATGTCCGTCGAGAGGGATATACGTTGGGAGGTGAGTGACTTCGTCCTGTGACGGCATTCGCATAGCTAACGGAGATGTGCAGCTCATAGCAAGATTGTGCCCCAATTCCACCGGTGCCGAGCTGAGGTCAGTCGCCACTGAAGCTGGAATGTTCGCGTGAGTCTTCCCTGGCTCTTTAGACATGGTATTTCGAATAGACTAATTTATGTTTGCAGCATACGCGACAGGAGAAAATTGACCTCCGAGTCCGACTTCCTCAAGGCCATCGACAAGGTGATCAAGGGGAATCTGAAGTTTGGAAGCACAGCGGCATACGCACAGTACAATTAGAGGGGGATTGGTTCTTGGATCTTTTCGAGCGTGCATTTCCAGGAGTTGAGACAGGCCAGCCCAGCAGATCCGGGTCTGGGGACATGTATCATAAATTTGGAGCTAGAACAACGGAGACCAAGAGGGACTTGTCGACCTCTTTTCGCTTCAACGGGTGCGCATCGGGTGCAAGTTTGCCAATATCTCGTAATCCGATGTAGGCTTCACGGTACGTTTGGTGATCTACCCGGTTCAAGAGGGGACCTGCCTGAGAAGTCACGATTTGATAGCAGACCATCAGCCATATAGATGGACTCATTACGCAGTAATACGAGTCCTATTCCAAGAAGGCGCCATCTACCGAATGCCAGCGTTGTTTCGTGGAAAGCAAGGTCTAGTTTAATTTCAGAAATCGCCAGAAAAATACCACCTCAGAATAGGATTTTCACAAATTCTAGCCCGGCCGTCCACGCATCCTCAAACCTGTCACTGTGCTTAGCCTGCCCTGAGGAGATCCAGCCCGCCATTAGAAATGAGAAGACTTTTATTTGTGGTGAATGCTACTAACGGATCCTCTGGTAAAGGCAATACGAGAACGCGGCTTAGCCGTTATGAGCAACGACACCTTGCGAAGACCGAGGATATCAGCGGACGGAATCCTCCTGCATCCATCTCGAGGAAGTGAAGACGACGCCGACACAATTCGAATCCCTGCCTACGATATCATCCAATTCCACCTCCTGAAATGTACCGATCTGTCTTCATGCCAGTTCAGATCCCACCGTGAAATGGCCGACAGTACTCTTTCGTCTGCCTCGAATTTGCCTGCTAGTTCTTTTCCTATTTGCACAATATGTACTCACGATGCCTGGAAGCAGTCCTTCCCGGGAATACCAGAAGCAACCAGCTTTCATGTGGCGAGGACGTGCGTATGTATTATCGTCGACAGTGTTTCTCACACCTGGTCTCGTGCGGAGAGAGAATTGGATTCATCAACGTCATGACACATGCAGACGAGCAGACAAATGTTCACAACCACAGGTCCAAGAGAGAGAGGCAGCAGAAATACTCAGTCGTCAAGTCCAGATAGAGACTGCGACGACTTCCTATATAGGACGGCGGCAGTGATCACCCCACCGCACGCTCAGAGTACGAGTAATACACTGAATTACCTCTCTTCTGATTGGCCGACGTCCCTTCGTACACCTCGGGACTAGACTGCGGTCTTTGCTTCAATCGAATGTGCAGGTTCATCCCTCCTCTGAACCACGCCATCTCGCCTTCATCTCCATCATCCTCAATCTCTTGTCGAAGCTCACGCCTTGCATGACTTGTGCCTGCCCAAGATGAGCTGTCTCAAGATTTTGCGGAGCTTAGGTCCCGGCAACAAGGTACACACGAGCTCCATTCGCCCCGATCCGACACTGACCGTGCGTGCAGTTCTCGACAAGCTTGAGACACACAAGTAGACGTCAATTTTCCTCCACGAGACCTGTCGGTATGTTCGGATTCCGTGCCTGTGGCGTCTGCCGGAAACTAAGTATTGTCACATAGCCCGGGTCATCGCTTCTCAACCTCTGCGAGCGAAAGAAGCCGAATCGTTTCCTTATGGGTCCTACCCGATCATAGAGTTTGTCGACTGTTGTGGAAGAGAAGAGCTTGACACAAACTGACAACGAATTGCAGTCACGAGTATGACGCCGTGGTTGTCGGTGCGGGTGGCGCAGGTCTACGAGCGGCATTCGGTACGACGTCTCGGGTCCTCTCTTGTTCTCTCTATTGACAATGGCGAAGGTCTTGCCGAAGCTGGTTTCAACACAGCATGTATCTCGAAGCTGTTCCCTACTCGAAGTCACACGGTGGCGGCGCAGGGCGGCATCAACGCCGCACTGGGAAAGTGCGTAGCTCCCGTTTTGTTTGGCGAGGATGTCTGGTACTGACGGTGCGCAGCATGCATGAGGATGATTGGAGATGGGTAAGTCTCGATGTGGATGCTCAGCAAGAGCTCGCGGGAACTCTCGCGAAGATACCTGTTTTCTACACGACACATGAGCTAACCGGTGACTTCACCCATAGCACATGTACGATACGGTAAGCCTCTCCAGACCCTCGCGTGCGGCCCGTCAGTGTTAATCTCAGGGCAGGTGAAAGGTTCAGACTGGCTCGGTGACCAGGACGCCATCCATTACATGACCCGCGAAGCCCCCCGATCCGTCATCGAACTCGAAGGTTACGGATGCCCGTTCTCGCGGACCGAAGACGGCCGGATATACCAACGTGCGTTTGGCGGACAGTCGCAAAAATTCGGCAAGGGCGGCCAGGCATACAGATGTTGCGCCGCGGCCGATCGAACCGGTCATGCTTTGTTGCACACCCTGTACGGTCAATCTCTGAATTACAACACCAACTATTTTATTGAATTCTTCGCCCTGGACCTGCTCATGGAAGACGGCGTGTGCAAGGGCGTCATTGCGTACAACCAGGAAGACGGCACTCTGCACCGATTCAAAGCACAGAACACCGTCCTGGCAACGGGCGGCTACGGCCGTGCCTACTTCAGCTGCACTTCGGCGCACACGTGTACCGGCGACGGCATGGCAATGGTCGCTCGCGCGGGCCTGCCGAACCAGGACCTCGAATTCGTCCAATTCCACCCGACTGGTATCTACGGAGCCGGCTGCTTGATCACCGAGGGCTCTCGCGGCGAAGGTGGCTACCTGCTCAACTCCGAGGGTGAACGATTCATGGAACGTTACGCCCCGACCGCCAAAGATCTCGCGTCTCGAGACGTGGTGTCGCGGTCGATGACGCTGGAAATCCGCGAAGGTCGCGGCGTCGGACCGGAGAAGGACCACATCTATCTCCAGCTCAGCCACCTGCCGCCGGAGATCCTTCACGAGCGACTTCCAGGCATCTCGGAGACGGCCTCGATCTTTTCTGGCGTCGACGTCACGAAGCAACCGATCCCAGTCCTGCCGACGGTGCACTACAACATGGGCGGCATCCCGACCAAGTACACCGGTGAGGTGCTCCGTCTCAACGACAAGGGCCAGGACGAAGTCGTTCCTGGACTGTTCGCCTGCGGTGAAGCGGCCTGCGTGTCCGTCCACGGCGCAAATCGACTGGGCGCCAACTCCCTGCTCGACCTGATCGTCTTCGGGCGCGCGGTGTCGCACACCATCCGCGACAACTTCTCGCCCGGCCAGACACAGAAGGAGCTCGCCGCCGACGCGGGCGCGGACTCGATCAACGTCCTGGACAAGATTCGGAACTCCACTGGCCCCAGGAGCACGGCAGACATCCGGGCGGCCATGCAAAAGACCATGCAGACTGATGTCAGCGTCTTCCGGACACAGGAGTCCCTGGACGAAGGTGTCAAGAAGATCAACGAGGTCGACCAGACGTTCGATGAGGTGGGCATCAAAGATCGAAGCATGATCTGGAACTCCGACCTCGTGGAGACCCTGGAGCTGAGGAATTTGTTGACATGCGCGTAAGTACGACGCCTCCTTCGTGAGGCCAGACACTGACGGCGACATCTACAGGACGCAAACCGCGGCCGCCGCGGCGAACCGCAAGGAATCTCGCGGCGCGCACGCCCGTGAAGACTACCCGGAACGTGACGACGAGCACTGGATGAAGCACACCCTTTCGTGGCAGAAGACGCCGCACGGCAAGGTCGAGTTGGGCTACAGGGCGGTCACCAGCCACACGCTGGACGAGAACGAGTGCAAGTCTGTCCCGCCTTTCAAGCGAACGTATTGAGCAAATAGGCGCACGTGCTCGGCGCGGTCAGAGAGAGTGTTTCGTTATGAGCTTCGCGTTATGTCGATAGGTGGTATACCACACACTAAGCAAATCAATGTAAAAAGGTTACCGTGTCTTCCGGACGTGCTCGAGTTTACGGGTCATCTCTCCCCAGGTCCTGCATTCTACTCTCCAATAACGTATTCACACCCTGTAACGAAACCAGTCAGCGCCCACGAGCATTCTGAGTGCTCGATATGCGGTTTCACATTGCGGCGATAATTGCAAACCCATCCAAGACCTCTCAGTCGGCAGACATGCATGTGTAGACTCACCTTCATCGCCCATCCACACCTCGTGCACCTTCCCTGCAGGCACGTCGATGCGAGCGCCCACACCAAATGTCTCCTTGGTCGGGTTCACGTCCTCGGGATACGTGATGGTCAGCGACCCGCGGCGGATCAGGTGTGTGGTTAAACCGCCGTGCGAGTGGGGTGGGTAGTGTGCGTGGCTGCGTCTCTGCTTCAGCATGCACAGCAACAGACAGGATAGTGATGGCTGGCTTGGCCATGGCCTCTGGCGCTCCAGATCCTCACTTATTTTGGGGGGATCACTCACGGACCATCCGTCCACGTGAAGACATGGGAGAAGCCCCATTCTCGCACGGTCTTTTCGTCCTGCGAGCGGGAGGTCGTCCGCGCGGACATTCTCTGGAATGGTCTTGAGAGGAATTTTCTGATAGTTTCAGACAGAGACAGGGAGATTGGGAATGAATCCGGGTGTTGCTGAGGTGAAGGGAGAATGCCCAAAGGTGATATACAGCGATCCAAGTTGGTGAGTTGCTGTTGGATAGCGCTTACGTATGCCAAGCGCGGTCTATATGGACTCTTTCTGGTACATGTCTCAATGCTGGAATCTCGCATCGGCCTGGGCCTCACAGAGACGCGCACAAATCTGGCAATGTCTTATGCCTCCTTGCCTCGCCGCTCACTTGCTGGTGGCTAGACTTGGACGGAACGCAAAATCATACCCACAGGGGTCGAGCCCGGGCAACGCCTGTCGCAACCGCATTTTCCAATATCTTGCGCAGCCGGTGGACACATGGCCAGAAAGTTGAAACACACAAAACAGATATGGTTATCAGCGAAACGTGGTCAGGATATTGGGATTGCATCATGTCTCGCTGCGGTTCGGTCGCGCTCATGACGCGCTCAACGATATTTCTCCACATGCTTTGATCGTCGCGGGTGATGGGCAGTGGTCGCCGGGGGGATGTTGTGCGCATCTCAGCTGTTGACCACACCCGCACAGAGGCATGCCCATGGCAACCTCGACCGCAGAGCCGGGAGACGAGTGGAGAGGCTCTGTCTCGCGTTACCATGGCATCTCTGTTCGAGATTTGCATATCCAGCTCGTCATCGCCAGCCTCCGCACGTCCAGCGCAGTCTTCGATCGACACAAGAGCAGCATGTGTCGCCACGGCGACAAAAGGGCAATAAACTGGAATGGCGACATCAATATCTCACCTTTTTCAATCTCGAGCCGATCCCGCGAAGAACGCGTCGTGAGCTGGGTGCGCGCGTTCCTGACCTGGTGGAAAGGCGCAAGCCACTGCGTGGGTGAAGCCGCACAGCGTAGGGCTTCCGAGATAAACAAGAAAGTATCACCTAGAGCTGCATCGGGCGCAAGGGGCAACGGTTTATGGATCTTGAGGCTGAACTCAGCAAGGCTGCGCGTGGGTCGTGGTAATTGGCCGCAAGGCTCCCTACAGCCATGAACCCAGCGTGGAAGCCTCGTGGAGCATATGGTCGTCGTCACGGATGGAGAACCGGAGGTCACTGATGATTTTTCGCCCTCACCGAAGCTTACGCGTCGAGAATATAAATCCCGTCCGAGCCGTAGAAGGATGGGAGCCCCCCAAGGCCCAAGGCCCAGGAAGCTGGGGCGGGGACTGAAGTAGAAGATGCAATTTCCCCGGATGTAGCCTGACCCCATCCGGCTACGTAATGCAATCAAGCTGCTCCAGGCCGGCCAGTTGGAGGCGACCTCGGCGCGGCGTGGACGTTGAAAAAAGTCAACAAAGGGGCAAGTCTCAGGGGAACTGGTGGAGATATTGCGGCCGGATTGGGACTAGCCCGGTCGACGGGGCTATCTCAACTTCGCTCGCCCTCGCCTGGTCCCCTTGGGTCCTCGCTGCCCTCCCAATTAGAGCACTGGGCTGAGCGTCCGAATGGGGCTACCCGACATCATCTCACTCGTCCTCCCTCGCCGCTCTCCTGGCAACGGAGAAACGCAATCCTGTACAAACTCATGGGTGCTGGGGAGAAACCACCTCAACCACCTCGCTCGAGGGCTGTCAAAGCCCACCGCCAGGGTGTGTCTGAGCTGAGCTGGCCATCGCCTCGAGGGCCGCCCACGAGCACCAAGAATAACCTGACAAGGTCGACAAGTCCAGAAAGAAGTGTCTCCCGCCAGCCAGCCCCAAGGCTGAGGCGCCAGGATCGCGCCCCTCCCCCTGCATGAAAATGCCACCTCCCTCCCTTTGTCGGCCTCTTTCGTCCCCCCAAGTCGAAAATGCTGGCGGCTCCACCTTCAGGCCATTGTTGGGCCAGACGCGGCCAACGACGACGGCGATCCAACGCCTCGACAATCTGGGCAGGACAATGAGAGTGGACCCATGGGCCGGCATTGTTTGTTTCACATCCATGGCTTACGGTAGGTCATGGGGGCTGAACGATAGTCTATTCGAAAATGGATCTGCTATATTTCCCTCCCCCGAGTTTCTTTCTTCCTTCTTCCCTCTGTCGTTGGTTGATAACCTCCGTCGAGTATCCCAAAGAAGTCTGTGACTTTCATTGCGCTCTTTCGACACACGCTCTTTTTGTCCCCGGAGGATTCATCACGCTCTTTTATACCGATAGCACCATCCTACCCTCGACGCTCCTTTATACCGGCCGTTCTCGACCGCCCGCGCTCTTTATCTGTGCCCCCCGTTGACAAACACAAAATCGAAATCCTCGAACTTCACCCGCAAAGAAAATAACACAAGATGCAGCTCGTCAAGACCGTCTCCGTCCTGGCCCTGGCCACCGGCGCCGTCGTCGCTATGCCCGCCAATGTCGAAAATGCTGGGCTTGCCAAACGTCAATGGTGGGGTGGAAACCGATTCTGGCAGCGTCCTAACCCGACCGCTGAGATCACGGTGACCGGTTATGCCCCCGAGCCAACTGGCGGATGGTACAGCGAGGCGCCGACCTCGACCACGACCTCGACCACGACCGCGGCTCCGACTACGTCCACGACCAGCGATGTCGTCGTCAGCGCGACCCCCGCCACCGACAGCAACTTCGGTGGCTTCTACAACAGGCCCTCCCAGGACTTCACCCCGACCGAGGCACCTTCGACCCCTACCTCTGCCCCCGAAACACCGGCGTCGTCCGCGTCGGCTCCGGCGGCTACTTCCGCGAGCTCTGATTCTTCCCTGTACGACTACATGTCGGTGGTGTCGAAATGGCGCGCTGCGGGTGGCCTTCCTGCTCTCACCCAGGACAGCCAGCTCGAGGCCAATGCCATGAAGACCAGCACTGACAGCGTTGGTGGCCTGATCCATGAGTTGAACCCCGGCACCATGGCCCAGGTTCTCGCTCCTGGTACCCCCGACAACTTCGAGAGCGTCTACGTCGGTGGATGGCTTTGCGAGATCCCCACCCTACCCGGTCTGAACGGCATCTGCGCCACCGAAGCTCAAGGATGGGATCATTCCAACGGAGAGACAGGTCATGCCGAGATCCTTACATCGACAAGCTACTCGAAGATCGGTTGCGCCCTAGCCCTGTCAACCGGTGTCTGGGCGTGCGAGTACGTATCTCCGTTGCATTTTGTGGACGAGTGGAATGCTAACCAATGGGCAGCCTTGCATAGAGCGCCGTCACGTGCTCCCCGCACCACTAATCACCTACTTCACTGGAGATCACGCCGATTTGATGGATTCAAGAGATGGGAGGATAGTCTGGTGGGAAAGGAAAAGATATCTATGCAAAGCTCGGGGGGAAACCAGGGCGAGGGAATTCCATGGAGACTTTGTAGCAGAGCCCGAGCTGGAAATATATATATGAACTTTTCGTTGCTTTTATTTCACTTTCTTGTCTCGCCTTCAACCACCTTTTTTGGGAAACGAAAACCAATGAGCACGACGAAGGGTTTAGTTGTTTTTTCTGTAGATAAAGCTTTAAAAATCCGACGTGCTCTGTTTTTAAGATCTGTGATTCTCCCATTCCAGCTTGAGTTGAAACCCGTTGCTCTTCATAAACACGGGCAGAGCTACATACGGGTACCGCGGGAGGACGACCAGATATCTTTCACACCGTCGTGCTGGGGGCCACCAGGCGCGTAAACATACTGGGTGAGAATGCTGTCCAGTCTCTTTTGGGTGCCATTGGTCCATCAGCTGCCAGCGTGAGAACCTGCTACTTGGATACAGACCGCGCTTGTCATGATTGATGACACGAGTGACTGTCCCTCTTTCACCTGGCATATAAACCACCACCGCTCATCCGACGCCGACGCCATCTCGAATCTGACCCCCGGGTCCATATCTCTACGAACTTGGAACCTCATCCCAGTCGAAGGAGCTACACCGTCGAGGATGGCATTCTGAGCCAGCCCTCTCGTTCCCCGTGCTCGCGACGCGCATGTACTCGCTGCTGCCCCACCACCGCACGCAGCCATGGGGACCACTGTACGCGGGAAGCCAGGACAATATTAATCAATCCCCATCAGCTTCTCATTGACTGCGTCGCGTGGGCTCGGGTAATCTGTGACGCGGCCCACCTAGGATTCCGGAAGGGAAACACAGGGGGCTCGAGATTTTGAATTGCCTCTACCGGAACAACTGGGGACCGCCGAACTTTGTTGCGCTGACCGTGACCCCCCGAGCTTCGACGCGGTGCTGGGGATGCTACTGCCGCGGATGGAAAAACAAAACATCATCAACCAGGCTTCACTAGACATCGGCAAACACACGAACTCTGCGCGGGCCTTTCGCTTCTCTCGCAACTCTAGCAGAGCTTGACCAGCGACAACGGTTTCATTAGGGGGGGGAAGGAAGCATATCGCAGCATGATGAGGAAGAATTCGCCGCCGACCTTGCCGCAGTCCGTACGGTTTACATGGTCAGGAGGCGGAATGACACCGTACAAAATGGTAGACCATCGGCGTGGGTACCACCTTTGGAATGCTCCGACGTGGCCCTGGACACCCTTGACCTCCCCACGGCGGTGGATGCAAAGCACGGCCTTGAGGTGCCGCCGATGGTCGCGTGTGGGGAGCAGTCCTCAGGCAAGAGCTCTACCTTGAAGGCCATTACGGGCACATCGCCCCCAAACAGACCCAGGTCTGGGCACGAGGTTTTCCCGCGGAAGTGATCACGAGCAGACGGGATGTCCAGGCCAGTCGATCCGAGGCAGAGAATAGAACGGCTTCGCGCTTTCGAGGTCGGGGGACTTTTGAGATCACGGCCGTCACGCACGCTTTTTGTCAGGCGTGCCAGAGAAGCCATGGCGCGGAACAAATGACTCTGCCTTTTCAGCCGGCGACGTGCTGGTCTGGGAAGGGAGTGCAATTCGGAGGGCACCGATCCCCCAATCTGATCGATCTTGCGGGCCTGGACGAAAACAGAGACGAGAGCAGCGGGGGTCCGTTCAAGACCTGCAAGACGCGGCCGACGTTGCCGCCATGCTCGACTCGTCGACTCGTATCTGGAGGAAGGACCAGACAATCGTCTTGGCCAATTTTTTTTTGGTCGGCTCGACGCACCTCCGCGACCCAGAGAGAACTTTTGAATGTTGCGTGTCGCTTCGACTCGCTCAGTTCGTGGAACTGTGCGGATGTCTTTGCGCCGTCTTGCGATGGGAGGTCCCCATATCACGGAGAAGGACATGGCCGCGTTCGTTCAGTGACGGTCTGCCTATGACGCTGGGCGAGCCGATCGCGAATGCACCCCTTCTCCGGGGGAAAAGAACCCAACCTTCCATCCTATCCCCGCGTGGATCCTGTAGCTCATCGATGTCTTCTATCAAGGGAGTCCACGTCGTCGTCCCAGACTCGGCTTTGCCTTGCCTTGCCCTGCCCTGCTCTGCTGCGTCCGTGGTGCCACGGTTCCCAGAGCATTTTCCAGGTACGTCACTCCAGCGTGGGAAGGGTTCCGCGAAAGAAGCGAGCCAGGCCGGAGCAGACCGTCGGCACGACACGGGGATGCAAGGGTACTGGGCAAGGAGACGGCAGATACTTTCTATACCATATCCTTCGGACCCACAATGCAGTATGATACCAAGTGGACGAGCTTCCGATGTAATAATGTCCCTCCACGCCCTCCCCTAAGGGGCAAGGGAGCAGCCCCAGAGAATGCTGGAGGCACGGCGGGTCGATTCTTCCTTCACGAAAATGAGAGCCAAGGAACGAGGTCCCGACCCGCGCCATCGACAATGACGAACAAAATCTATTGTAGAAGTAATACAACACAAGGGAGATCTCAAAGGAAAGAGGAAAACACAGTTCCCAAACAGTCTTGCTCGACAGACAACCCCGTGTGCAGAAGAGGATACAAGTTGCCACGGTCCAACTCACCTCTAGGCAACCAACGCCTGATGCTGAGGTCCCCCCCTCTCCACTGAAATTGCATACCACCGAAAAGATGAAAAGGACCTCCTCACCACACTGATGCTACCAGCATGGTCATGAGTCACCGACCTCTTCTGGATTGGAGATCGCACTGTGGACATGTTGAAAATGGAACAGATGGAGGAGGAGAAAGTGAGGTGATAGGTGATGGTTCGCCGAGATGAACGGTCAAGACGCGACAAGCCGTCCTTATATGACGCCGTCGTCCTGAGGGAAAAGGGGATGCTGCTCTTCCCAGGCGAAACATTGCGACCACCATCCTCACTTTCGCGGGCTTAGAGCACTGCCTGGGCCATGAGACAGGAGGCAACTGTTGGATGAAGAACATTACGTTCCCTCGATACCACGCCCGCGGCCTCGATGTCGTCCAAGTGTGGATATCGACTGAGCTGCGCCACGTAGGCTCTTTGTTCAGAGTCGGGCAGGATCTCAAGGGGCGGTTCTCGGCGTTTCCAGTAATCACACTGTGCTCAGTCGCGGTCCCGCTTGTGGATTTGGAATACTGAGACTGATATAGGGGCTTGAGACGAGCTGAGCTGAAGAGAGAGAAGTTCTCAAGACATCTTGCCTCTTGGAAGGGGGAAGGTGGTTGCAGGAGACACGCTCCCTCAAGGATATGGGTTGGGACGTTGATCTCTGAACTGGCTCGCACGATGGAAAACCTCTGAAGTCGAGCTGGAAGATGCATATGGCCCTGGAATGCACGTTCCGTTCGCTGGAACACTGCCGCACCCTTCCTCAAGCCGGTGAGTCAGGCGAGGCCAGCTCCAACGCAGCTCGCAGAAGATGTCGCTCTCGAGCTTGGGCATGTCTTGGGTGCGTGGCCCGAGAAGCAAGCCTCGTGATGCAACCGACCGTCATTATTGAAAGTTGGGCAGCGATCGATCTACTTACCCTCTCACGCCAACGTCAGGAATGCATCGCCTGGACAACCGCCGCGCCCTTCTCGCATTGTACAGCTGCTTGAATCCCAACTCTTGCTTTGCTGTGTGCTTGCCCTCCTATTTTGCAGGTCAAAAAAAGAAATACACAAAGGGAAAAAAGAAAGAAAAGTGAACAAAAGCAAACGACTCGACTGTCTCCAATCATGGTGAGGCGCGGTCGAGAACTGGAAAGACTCAAGAAGCAATATTGCACCGACAAAGACGCAAAGCAGCAAGAGGAGTCGGACTTTGACCACTTGAACGGCGACAATGATGCGTCCCCTTCCTCCGTCCATCAACCCGACTCTCCCACTGTCGTCGAACCTGGGCCCAAGTTGCCTCGCCTCCCTGCCTTGAACCCCCGCGTTGATAGAGTCGAAGAAGCGCCCATCTCACGTCGTCCAGCCGCCAATTCCGACCCCGCAGGCGAGTCTGCAATTCCATCGATGCCAGTGCGGCCACGCGAGACGACCCTCTGCAGCGGCCAGGACTTTGATTGCAACACCGGACCGCCCACATCGGACGAGCTCCCAGAGACAAGCGTAGGAAGTGCCACTCAACGACCACAAGCACACACACCAGTGAGAAGACGCTCGTCACGAGTGCAACTTGCTCGCCAGCTCTACGCTGGGGCTCTAGAAGCCGACGGGAGACGGCCCGCACACATGACAATCCCATCAACTGTCCGGGAAGAAGCCGACCACTTCAATGTCAAGTCCTTCCTTGAGCAGTGTATGACCCTGCTTGGTCGAATGATCAACATTCCCCTCATAGCCGTGGAAAACATCGTCGGAAGCAAACTTTTCGTACCGTTGCTGATGCTTGCTGTGATGCTGGGGTGGGTCTGGTACTTCTTCTCACGCCTCGAGACCGGAATATGGGCTTTTGGGAGTACCGTGGGCAGTGTCTGCAGTGGTGGTTTAGGCGGCCTCCAATTCGTGGTGAAGCATACCTCCAAGCTCGGCAACGCCCTCCATCGGACTTTCACTCTGGTCAAGCAGTCGAGACCGCCCGTCGTCGACGGCACCAACACGACAGCTGGTAACGAGAACACTGGACTGTCCACATATGTAAGCATCCTGTGCACGACCTCTCTGGTTGGGTGGTTGGCGACCTTACTGCATGTTCAGTGCACGCCAACAATAGACTGGGATCGATCCCACCTCTTTGGGGCGCTCAACAACACATCGTTCGAGTTGGATCACTGGGCTGGCATATCGGTGGTCCTCGCTCCATACGTCAACACCTGTCAGCTGGCTCCCATCTCGCTCGACACACAACACAAGATGATCGAGTACAGCCAGGTCTCCTTCAAAGACAAGGACTTGCTTTTAGGCCACATGTGGCAATACCGTGGAGACCTCTACAGCAGCGGTCGTTGTCTGCATAAGATCACCCTCACAACAGACACTCTGATCAAAGTTATGGTATACAATCTCCGCGATGTCAATGAAGCCTTGCAGGCCACTCCACAGATGGACTTTGGTTGGTGGAGGCCCTCCAAGAAGAAGGCCAGCTATGTCATAGGAGCCATAGAGGAACTCCTGGAGACAATGGAAATAGAGATGACGGACCTTATCAAGCAGATCGGCCAGTGCACGTTGGTCCTTGGTAATGCTACCCATGAGGGCGAAAGGTTCCAACGCCTGATCCGCAAGGGACACAAAGAAGTCAACGACCGCATCAGCGAGAAGCGAGGCCTATTTCGCAAACCTGATGTCGCCCTGTCCGAGATGGGCCAGTACCTCTCGACCGCTTTGGAGCTTCCCACCGGACAGATCCTGCAGATGCTCCAACATGCAGTGGTCAGGCTGGATCGACACCGAGACGATGTTTCACAAGCCAAAAAGACAATCCACCTCGCACACGAACTGTCTCGTCGAACTGGGATGGGCCAGCTACTCGCCTTGATGCAAGACTCTTTTGCCAGTCTGAGCAATGTTCGCGGTAGACTTGCCCTTGCTCGAGGACAGCAACAGCAGGAATTCGAGAAACAGGCGGCTGAGGGTCTGTTCAAATCTCCGCTGATTTGAAGGTGCCGGGTCGATCTCGTGGAGGCTTTGTGGAAGAGAGGTGTACTGTGTTTGAATCAATCGCCAACGTAAGGAAGCCTCCTGGGAGCTTGACGGTGCAGGCATGAGCCCTATTGTCCGCCATACGAAGCCGATACGGCGCTTTCCTGCTCGACAAAACTGCTCATGACAATTTGCTTTCACTCCGTCACCTGTTCTTCCGGTATTATTTGTTTTCTATCAGGGGAAACTAAAGGGCGTCGCTCCTTGTATGTCTCGTTTGGATTAGTGATCGAAAATCGTGGATTTCTAGCGAGAGAGATCAGAATAGAGTCAGTCATTGGATATGGCTCCATTTCCTTGCCACGTGGACTTTTTGTGAAGTTTGGATAGATCAAACTTGAATGATTTCTCTTCCGGAGGGCACGAGAGCATCGAATTCTGCATGGGTGCAAAAATGCGTCGATTCTCTGCCCGTGGTGGTTTCTCGTGGTCTGAAATCCATCCATTCTGAATCCCACCAGCTGGGTTCAAACCACAGACTTTGGATCAAGTCGGCCCCAAGCTCCATCCGCGCCCTGAAAGACTCAGAAGGAGACCTCTCGCCGCCCGCCAACAACCGCACGGGAAGGAAGATGTCTCAGGTGGCTGTGAGTCTACCAGGAAATACGGCCTGGTATCCCTGCAGAAGTCGCAGATTGCAGACCGTGGACTTGGGGGGGACAATGTTTCTCCTGATGGCTTGGAAGAAGAGATTGCGCTCTCGCAATATGTGTGCGCCTGGATCGACTGGCCTGGCGGTGAGTGGCGACCGCGACTCAATGGTGGTGACTGTTTGAGTCGCCCGACATTACACGGGCGAGGCCGCCGACTCATCTCTCCAGGCCCCCTTTCATATAAAGTAATCTCGCATGGTGACCGAGGGACGCGCCTGCTTAGATGTTGTCGGGGGAAGCTGACGGTTCCTGGCAGCGATAAAGGTCGTGCTGCGATGACCAGTTGGGGGGGGGCCATTGGTCGACACCACTTTGGCGGCTTGAGGCCGTAGCGCTGTGGTCGAAGCTAAAGAACTCATATTAGTGAGATCGAGGGCGGTGGCCACCCGAGACAGGAATTAAGAAATGTTATGTATGTTTCGTGTTAAGCAGGTTTGTCTGATACTGGATTTACATATCGACTCAATAGTGGTGCTCCGTATCTCCCCTATTTGTGACGCCCAACAGGGATTAATAACACGTGCCCAGGTGGCTTTAAGACCAGTGCCAAGGCGCCAGCCGATGCGGTTCGAGTTGAGCTTTGCTTGCGACCGCCTTGCAAGCGAGCCTTTGAGGAAGCCGGATGTGCCAAAGTCGGGTTCGAGGAGGAGTCCCCCAACAGTCTGGTTGATCAGGCCAGACTGTCGAGGCGCATAGCTGATCAGGCCATTTCTCCCCTATTCTATGCTTCGCATCGCAAGCATTCTTCGGCAAGCCGTTTCCCCGTCATGAAAAGGACTGCTGGCATTTCCAGCCCTCTAAGCGCCTTCGTGACCATTTCCACCCGCTCACAAGCCTCTAGTTCTGAGACACCACCTCCATTTCCATCATTTCCACCAACTCGCACCAATTGCACGCTCTGGCCCAGCATCCTCCACACATATCGCTGTATTCATCGTATTCGTTGTTAAGCGGGGGCCACGAGGTGAGTGTTCGAAGAGTCTCGTCACGCTCTGCCCATGGCAACCCACGGGAAGTAAGGGTCCAGTCCTTTCCACTGCCATAGAGAGACTGGGCAGAGAAGGAGTATGAATCGTACAAGTATGTGCTAGTCATGCCTTGTTGGTCAGTCTCGTTCGTGGGTCTTTGCCGTATTAAACGTGCGTGGTTGCAAAATTGTGATCGTGAGTGGTAGGTCAGCTGTACATGAGGGCCGTCGATGCGGACCGAGTCGATCTCGCACCACGCGAGCTTGCGAAGTCGTATGGGATGTCGACACTCGCTGGAGTGCAGACAATTTCTGGGAGTACTTCCCAGTCCGGATGCGGCTTGATCGAGGAGAGTTCTCTTAGCTTCATTCAGAAAAAAGGTTCAAGCTGAGAATCCTGGTTTGTTGTAGCACTTTCGTGTCGGAGGGGATGCTGAAGAGTGTCAAATATCACAAAGGCTTCGAAGGCGAGTTGTTTGACTTTTGATGACTCCAGTGCTCGAGGACAGATGCTCAGGTCTTCTGTGCAAAATCTTGTTTGCGGGCCAGGACGCATATCGGCATGTACTTCGACCATAGCGGATATCGTGGTTCGATGAGTGACCCCCCCAAGCTTCTGCTAGAAAAGAAGTGACAAACATATAAGGTTGAACCATAATTCAGTTAGGGCATCTCGAGCGTTGATGTCAATAATCACGGTCTCCTGTTCTTGTGATCCGAGCTTTGAGACTGGGCTGCGCGCGGTAGATTCCTCTACACCCAGTCCCTCGGCGCCAAATCATAATACCAGGGCTGTACCGCTAATGACGACTCGTGATCCAGAAAGAAATATTGTGATGGCCATGGGGATTGTGTCTCAAAAAGGGTTTCTGCATGAAGGTGCGTAGTGGCTGATATCAGCCTCCGTGTCCACGGAGAGTTCTGCAGCGGCCGTGCTCGTGGGACAAGGCGGCGATATGACAGTGCATGTGAAAATGTTTAACAACGCTTGTGCTTTCTCAGGTGTGGGCGATTTGTCTGCTGGGAGCACTGAGCCTATAGTGGCGAGAACCTTGTGATGAAGATAAGAGAATTGACCCAGCCCACGTGTAGTGTTTGTTGAAGTCCAGGAGGTGCAGCAAGAGCGAAAGTAGAGAATAATAACTCGCCGAGCACGGCGTCAATCAAGTTGTAAGCCAGATCAGGGGTTACATTGACAGACAAAGCAATGTCTCATGGTCTTTGGGCTGTGCTATTGTGAACAACTTGACACTTGTCCCACCGACAAAGCTCACGGCTTGAAAATCTGCAGCTGCTGAGCAACGGAGAGCGACCATGTCGACCGGATCTCAGACAGCCAGCTCGCCAGAGGCAAGTTTGTGGTCTCTCACTGGCCGATCATCCGAGGATCAGGGGCTTCCATGGTTTGGGGCCTCAAGGGAAGGAGGTCGTCCAGCTGCCTCAGTTCATTCATCGACCATGGTGGACACTAAAGGCAGGTCTCACTGCGAGTGCATGGATTACCTGTCCGCGATGGATGCCAGCTAAGGTCTGTTCCAAAGCTGCTCGGATTCAACTCGCCGATATCAGTCTTGTCGCTTGCATCATTCGTCTCAGCCGCTGTCAAGCCTCCGAAACCACACAACAGGATGGATGACTTCGATCTGGTGTCATGTGTTAGCACTGGTCGCCAGTCGCCTATACAGTGTGCCCTCTTGCTGTCCTGGTGGGGGACATGCCCGCCAGACCTGAATTCGGACAAGGGAGTTCCCAATCATTGAACGGAGTGGACTGTCTTTCCATGTTCTCCACGAGAGCACTGCTCGTCCTCTGCAGGCAAACAAACAGCAACTTCCCCTTGGATTCTGCGCCCGAAATCAGCTTGTGGTTCTGTCCGACCGACGCTGAGTTTCCCGCGAACATTGTTCCCGACACAGCGAGCCAGAAGGAGACCGTCATCGCCTAGCCGCCAATATGATTGACGCGAGCGCGAGGGACAGAGCTCTCTGCCCGTCGAAGCCATGCTTTTTGGTCATAGGAGACTGAGCTTCCAGTACATACCCCAATCACGACCACAGGCCGTAAAGCGGGCCTCGAAGGCTGCGGAGCACCGTCATGGAGTGGCAGCCGTGTGTGCATGTGTGCGCAATCTCAAATCCTACATAGCGAAGACCAACCAGAGGGGCTGTTTACTCTACCGTACTCGTACTAGTGAGGATATCTTATGTAATGGAGTATCAGATGCCTCTTCCCTCTGGCTCTCCTACGCGAACGAAGAACCGGACGGCCAGATTGAAAATTTGACACCGGCGCGAATGACACCATTCTGCTGCATACCGATTTCAATTGTTAGTGTTGTAGTGCCGGGATCCAGGCGCGTATCTACTGGTGTGAATGTCCCTACATGTACTCCCGTACCCGTAAGGCTCCCAGGGCACGAATCGAGTGCTTGGCATACGACATTCCTCTGGAGCGCTGGTGGCGGTGCAAAACGCAGGCTGTGCTTGTGCCAGGGGTTCCACCGACCGACCGACTGACGCAGCTAGTGATGCGCAAGATGTTGCTTTCAGCTCGACCAGGAAACTCTGTGTATGAGTATGCGATGATGGCGAGGGCCACTTGCAGGTGCAATCCCTCCAGGATGATCCTCCCATTTGTATGGCTGAGCAGCTGATGCTATGTTGCTAGTAACCACCGCTAATGCCAGCATTTCTTCCTTCCCAAATCCTCAATTGATCCTGGGTGACCGTTGCCAGTTCCCACATTCGATATGCCTGAACTTCGCTCCTCCATGCCTCTCTTTCACTCATTTTTCGTGACTTGACCTCGAAGACTGTTGTCGTTCCCTTCACGTGCCTCTTCCAACGGGACACACCTCTTGCAACCACCCCGCAGTCACTCCCTTGGGCCCTGCGCAGGCGGATCCCACAGCGACCTGTTCTGAGGAGAGAAAGAAAATAACACACAAGATGATGCCGCATGCGATCTTGGGCTACCAACTGCCCCTTCGTGCTGGAGGGGGCGGCCAGCCGTCAGAGGCTGCCACAGATGTCGCCCTCGAGCCTTTCTCCGAGTCTGTCCTGTCGCATCTCGTGTCGGCGAGTAAAGACATCTCGTCCCAAGATGGGAAAAAGTTCACCGACGAAAAGTCCTTCCTGAGCTATATGGCCTCGGACAAGTCGAACGCAATGTCGGCACCCGTGGACAACGATTTGAACTATCCCATGTCCTCTTACTTTATAAGCTCCAGTCACAACACGTATCTCTCTGGACACCAGCTCTACGGCGATGCCTCTGTGTACGCCTACACCAATGTCCTCAAGCGGAGGTGTAGGTGCTTGGAAATAGACGTGTGGGATGGCGAGAGCGACCCTGAATCCAGCAGCTCAGAAAATGAAGAGGATAAGTCTGATAAGTCGGACCCAAAGCCATCGCGCTGGAACAGGGTCAAGGCTCGCGCAGCGCGCATGCGCTCAAGCTCTCGGTCAGAATCCCTCGCCGCCAGCACGAACAACGCCCTGTCCGCTCAACCTTCTGGCCCACCTGGGGCTCAACCCACCGACGCGCCGGATAAGGCTGAGGGCGCGGGCTCGCCGCGGAAGCCAGAGTCGTCCTCGCATGATCCGAACCGACTGTCACCGCACCCTTCACCCTCGCTCTCCTCCAAGAGGGAGCCGCGAGTACTCCATGGCTACACGCTGACTCACCCTATCACCTTTCGCGCCGTCTGCCATGCCATCAGGGAGTCGGCTTTTGTGAGCACGGAGCTGCCATTGATCGTGTCCCTGGAAGTGCACGCCTCCCTGACCCAGCAAGAGGTCATGGTCGAGATCATGCGCGATGTCTGGTCCGAGTTCCTGGTGTGCCTCCCAAAAGGGACGGACATTTCGGCACTTCCTTCGCCAAACTCACTCCAGAAAAAGATTTTGATAAAGGTCAAGTGGGTCGCGGACTCGCAGACAGGAGAGTCCAATGACCCGATCGAGCATGTGAGCTCAAATTCCACCGACGGGGCGGGGAGCGATGTGATCCCGACCTCCCCAGAGAAACGGAAGAAGGCCTCGAAAGTTCTGGCGGCACTCTCAGAACTCGGAATCTATACGCGGGCCTATACGTTCAAGCATTTCTCACAGCCTGAAGCTTCTATCCCGACACACGTTTTCAGTTTGTCTGAAAAGAAGATCCGCAACATGCATGACGACCCGTCTCACGGGCCAGCCTTGTTCAAGCACAACAAAAACTTTCTGATGCGGGTGTTTCCCAGGGGGACCAGGATCAACAGCTCCAATGTCGATCCCATCTTCCATTGGAGACAGGGCGCACAGATGGTGGCCTTGAATTGGCAGAAGCTGGACAAGGGAATGATGCTCAACGAAGGAATGTTTACGGGGACGGGGGGTTGGATTCTGAAGCCAGAAGGCTACCGCAGCACCGCCGCAGCAGGCTCCGCAAACTCGCAAAAGGAAGTCGAACCCAAAAGGCAACGGCTGGACCTGGAAATCCGACTCCTCGCGGCGCAGAGGCTACCCGTCCCGAGCGACAAAGACGTCTCGCACGCTCCCAGGATGAAACCGTACGTCAAAATGCAACTTCACGTTGATTCACTTTGCGGTCCCGAACCCAGCAAGGAGGTGGACCGTTTGGTCGACGCCAAAGACGAAATCGAACCACATGGCGGTGAAGATGTCGACTCCGGCCTTTTTAAACGTAGGTCGGCCGATTCCCGCACCGACTGTCCTGATTTCCGGGGCGAGGTAATGAGCTGGACGAACATGTCGGACGTCCTTCAAGAATTGAGCTTCATCCGGTACGTGTCTTTTTGCTTATATCTTTCTGGCGTCTCTTCCTTCATCTTCAAAGTTGTTTTCGCTCCTGGGATGGGGATGTGCCGGGGTGAACGCAGGCGTGATCGTCATGCCGCGGTCTGCGGCGTCCAAAGCGGCAGCAACTCACCTCGTTGCCCGCGCGCGACACCATGTTCACCGCAAGTTTTTTCCTGGTCTGGCACTGCTTCGCTTGTACCCCCTTTGAGCCGTCTTCCATCGGCGTCTTCCCTGCATACCTACGAAGGCTTCGTCGGCGCACTTCAATATTCAGCGCATCGTGCGGCGAATGTAGCCCACCGCTTTCGGTGGCTGGCAGGCTGGATTAAGTTACGGGTAACGCCCGCATTGTCTCGGCGACGCCCTGCATCTTCACGGGGCTGCTGGTGTGCAGCGACCATGGATTCATGGCGAGGGAAAACGACTACTAATTCGAGCCTGACCAAGACTCGAGCTTTCGCATCGCCGAGATGCAGGACAAGGAGCGACTGCAGGATTGTGTGACACGCATGCGATCTCCATGTACGATCGTGTTACACAGCGTTTCTGACTTTCGCCTGGCCCACCCTCACCTCCTGTCGTGCATCGCTTCATTCGTGACAGGTCATATTGTGGCTTGATCGAGCTGCATAGAACCTGGACCTTTTCTAACTCGGTGCATAGACTAAAATTGATGGACGACCGTTCGATTGGCAAAGACAACCTGCTGGCATGGGCCTGCATTCGACTCGACCGCCTCCAGCAAGGGTATCGATTCATCCATTTGCTCGATTCGTCCGGCATGCCATCACGCGGTGCATTGCTTGTTCATGTCTGTAAGCGCACGAGTTGAGTGGTCGGTCGAGATGTGGAACCCGCTGGTTTGCCTTCCCCGCTCCAGCAGAAGGTTCTGCTGGGAATTTTCCCACCGCTGAATACCATATTCCACAATTTGGTTGGGGTAGGGGAGACCTCTGACCTAGGAGAGGCCCAGGCGGACTACACCTGTGTTGCCCTTTGCAGAACAAAAGGCATTGGATCTCATTCTTTACTACTCCGTACCTAGGGCGCCGGGTGCGGGCCTTGGAGTCTTGGTGCCCCTGAGTCTCCAGGATTAGACCACATTGTCCCGGCCATTTGCAGCCAATGAAACTTACTGGATGAATTCACAAGGGCCTCGGTCCAAGACTCTGCTGTTAGCGCTGATTGGGACGTCTCTAGGACCAGCAAGCCGGGCTTCCCTGGAGCATGATTGTACTCGGCCAGTTTGATGGCGCGTGAAACCGAGCAGAGGAGATTCGACTATTTGCTCGTATTTGTGCGTGACAAACTTTGCCTCTGGGCCCCGATCCTTGGTGCAGAGTCCCGCAATGGACGAGCCTCGACTGGTCCGCAGATACCAGCTCCTGCTTGTTGTAACCCCTCCGAAAGCGTGCCTCCCCTTCATGTTGCTACGATCTCGATGCCGTGCACAGACTTTGAAGCAGGTCGAGCTTATCGAGATGGCATGCCCATGCTCGGGGCGGAAGGGGCTGACATTTGCCAGGATTCTTTTTCCATGCCATTGGAATGCCCCTACCAGGTGACAGGACCGATGGGACCGCTTCTGACCTGTCCATCGTCGCACATGTGAACGATTACCCATCCAGACACATTCGGAAAGCAGGCTGGTACCTCTGAACTCGGGTGTGCAGGTCTGAAGAGTGACTCGCAGGGCATCTGGTGAGACTCCTGCTTATTTGGGTGCTCGACGGACACGACTCGTCAATGCAGTTGGCATGAGGGTCGTTCCACTTACCCATGCGAGCTTTGGTGAGTGCACAGAGTCAGCAAACTTTGACGAGGCCCAGGATAGAATGGCCACTTTTTTCCGGGCAGCATGCATGCTGTGGGGTACGGAGCCCTTGCTGGACCTTTGCCAGTCACTGGCGATTCGGAATTCAATGGATGGATATGGACATTTCTGTACCAGCACGGTTTCGGAGTCACTGCTGGGCAGGAGAGGATATATAATGGTCAACAAGTCACTCCTCCAGCCCTACTTCCGCTTCCTACTGGCGGAGCCTTGTTGCGACTCCAAGGTGCTCCTCTACGGACTCAGACAGCGACGCTCTCAACGACTAAGTCGCTATATTGTCCCCCATACACCACGTCATGAAGCTCGCGCTATTGAACCTCGACAGCTTTCTTCCCTCCAAGAGGGAGGTGGCACACCCCAAGAGCCGGCCCGATGGACGTCCGAATGTTCGCACCAGACCGGTAATTTGAATCACCGGGAACCACTGTCTGAGCAGGAAGCTGATGAACTCGAGGGGAAGATGAATGGCATACGCTGCCCTCGTTGTTTGGAGGACAACAAAGAAGTCTGGGTCATTCCGTGAGTTGTCTCTCTCTGAGTTCAGTTCAGTCCTGTCCGCAGACGTTCCTGTACTCCGACCGCGGCAAAATCGGGACAGGCTGACAGATAGCTGCAGCGGGACCAGATGTCAAAAATGCGGGTATCCCTGTTAAAGGACACTGATCAAATCTAATTGTCGAATACACGAGTATGCTAAGAGGGCTCACTGTGCAAGGGGTTGTCCGACTGATCCGCGGGCTGCACCATAGTGACTTTAGGCGAAAGGGGCCAATTACTTCTTCAGGACCGTAATGGTGCGGGAGAGTTCGGTGCGGTGTTTGAGGTCAGCATTCAAGGGACGCAAGCTTGAAGAGGGGAGCGAGATGCGACCGCCGAGCCCAAACAGGGGAAAATTCAGCGTGCCCTGCATCGGAGAACCATTTCCTCGTCTGGAGGGGAGGATATTTCAAGGCATGTGCGTGTAGATGCAGCATTGGGAAGCGGGAAAGGGCACTGGTTTGCGGAACCGAATTTCTCTATTATCAGGCTGCGCAATTAGTGACGCAAGGGGGTCGGCCGGGCACGGATAATGACGCTGCTGACCGTGGACATGAGGATAAGAGCATTCTGGAGTTAGAGTTCGTCAAGATGTGAGAAGAGGCAGCCCTGTCCACGAGTAATCCAAGTCCTGTTGTCTACGCGGAAGGGAGGAGAGACGTTAGGTTACGAATGGCCGTAGGGGATGGTTCCGTCTTCCCATGCCTCCTTGGGCGAGTTCTAGGTCTGATCAATGCACGATGGATGGGGCCGCTGCAAGACACTGGCATGGGGGGGCGTGGTAGGATCGACGCAAAGCCGGAGGACACCACCAAGGTTCTGTGGATGGTGAGCAGGGTTATGGCTGTCCAGGTACTGTGAGCAGGGGATCAGACCGCATCCTCGAAAGCGACCCCCTCTAGACATCTCGAGCCATTGATCTTATTGCTGGCGAAGGCCTCGGGGAATGATGCGTGCCAGGTGCCAGATGCCATTTGCGGTACTTGGGGTAGCAAAGGTACCTAGGTACTTGCGGTACGTGCGGTGGAAGCAAAGATTCCGCCAAGACTTGCGCCGGGGGAGCAGCCAATCAGAGCGTGTCTCAGCTGATTGGCTCGGACCCCACCTGAAAAGCCAAGTTTCAGGTCGAGGGCGGCGCACGCAGGGAGCACCGAGAGCAGGTCGCCATCTGGGGCTGTAGTATCAATCACCATCTTCCTTCGAGGGGACAAACACACCCACCCACCATAGCACACTCGCACACAGAAACACCACCGTATTGCCCATCGCCAAAGCGCCACCATCGTCACGCATCTCTCTCCCTCGCGGTGGCAACCCGTGCAGGTGTGCTCAGATCAGCCCCCTCGCTTCAACCAGCACCCACACCTTCGCCTTCCGTGATCGCGTCGTTGGGCATCGCTGGCCTCAGTCGGTGCTTGGCAAGGCATCCGCTTTGGGCGCAAGGCTCCTTTTCTCGCCATCACCAGCATCGCCAGCATCGCCCGTCCCGTCAACCACGTTCCCATCTTTCTCCCATCCACTGTACCCATTTGGAAGGCGTGGAAACCAACACCTCCAAACGTCAGCTCGGCAGCGAACCGAGGCCGTTTTCCATCAACCACCCACCACCAGCCCATTCCCTCGATCCGGTCTAGGTGCTCCCTTCACACTGCTCTCGTCCAGCCTGGCCGACACTCTTACAGGCGACTCGGCTCATCTTTGCCATTTGGACATCTCGACCAGCCGTTGTACACCCCTCTGGCGCCTCCGAAAAGGGCAGTCATGTCAACGATCCTCGCCTCGTCCTGAAAAAGAGTCACCTTGGTGGGATTCCCGAGAGATCGGCCGTTAGGTGAAAGCCCTGTTCGGTCCAAAACCCCACATGTGCTCGCAAAAGTCCCGGTTGCGCACCATCCATATTCCTGAAACAAGTTCAGGGCTGCCATGTTATGTCACGCCACCAGGGGCTCGCAATCATGCCTAAACCGAAAATCGTGCTTTACGCGGAAACTCTGACCCACATCGGGCAATTAACTCTACATGCCTCCCTTCAAACGGAAAAGAACGAACACACGAAAATCCTGCTTTCCTCGGATAAGAAAGTCATTACCGCCATTCACGACGGGGAATCGTCCAGTATCTATCTCCCGACCCAGATATCGGGCACTGCTCACGTCACGTTTCCCATCGACAAGAGGACAGAAATCTCGACGCGTCTGCAGATAGACGACGTCGGGCAGCTAAAGCCGACGACTGAGGGACTGAGCGATGTTGAAGCTCCTTGGTCTGCAGTCAGCCTGCATGCACGTAGTTCTATCTGCTGCGGCCAATGCGCTGCTGCTATTCTGGTGACGGACAAAGTCACGACCTGGAAAGATTTGCCAAGCGAAAACTGGGCGGAATTGATGGACTTTTGGTTCTGCCATAAGCCTCACAACAAGCAGTCCCCTCAGGATCATGCAGCCCAGTCCGCAAACCTCGCCGCAAAGGGTAAAGTCACGCCCACCCCGGGTGTGGGTTTGGTGGATATGGTTTCGTTCCTGTTGTGCGGAGAAGACTGTGCAAACATCAAGGTGAGTCGAACCACAGCTGATTCCCCAGCAGAAAAAGCCGCACACGTTATCGGCGCAAAGAAAGAAGCTTTTCAGGTGTCTAGCCAAAATTCCATTGATCTAGTTTCTGATACGTTCGCCGGACATCAAGTCTGTGATCGGTGACCTGGTGGCAGACTCAACCTCCTCTCGGTGACGGATGATCTGCCGCCACGAGCCAAGACAACATGCCTCTCCATTTCACCTTTGCGTCTTTGAGTGGCACCGCGCGAGGGGATATGCGTCGAGGTACATTCCAGCTGACCCTACTTCAGGTGGCCAAGGACCCGACGAAGGCAGGCGTCGATATCCTGCGATGCGCCTCTTGCAAGAGCTGTCTCGGATCTGGCGCAGAGGACGAGAAAAGCTACCGTCTTTATAAGTCCCGTCTGGCCGTAATTCCAGAGCCAGGCCAAGCGCCACAGAGATTCCCGGCCGCCGTCTTCCTGACCGCTCAACTGCTGTCTCTGATTGGGAGCTCGGTAAGTCGCAGGGTCGTCGTCCATGACGACGGGCGATCTGAGTCCGAGGGCGGCCGTCAAGGTCTTCTCCTTTGGATCTTCAACCCTGATATTTACTACTCCAGCAGCAAACGTGGACCCACGGCCCACCGCGCTATGAAGGTATTCTACAAATCCCTTCCTCGTCCGGAGGAGTTTCTGGACGGCGCGGGTTCGAACTGCGAAGAGCTTGTCGTTCCCGAGGAGGACTTTTCTGGATTCAAACAGACCTTACAAGAGAGCACAGACATCCTCCCTCCGTCGGCGCGGACTTTCCAGGACTGGGACGTCGGCCTTCTGGACCGATGGGAAAAGAATGCGACAGGTTCCGCGAAGATGGACCAAAACCCGTTGAACAAGAAAGTGGAGGAAGGGTTCGAGCTATTCAAGTTGCCCGCGGGAATGAATGAGCTTTATCTCTGAGATCTGCGTCCCAAATCCCGTACGCATCAACCGACTTCGCACGATTCGGAGAGCCTACCGTACCGATAAAAATCTGATGTCGACCAAAATTGCTGCGGACGCTGTCTATCTCGTGGAAATCGGTCGGACGGAGCCTCCAAATTTGCAGCGTCGCCCAGGAGCAGTGTTGCTTCGACATCACAAATTGGACGAGTTGAGGGGCTTAAACGCTCAAGGAGCAAAAAAGAGTTGTTGACATTCTGCGCAGAAGACGACACCATCTTACGGCCCATCTCGGGGGGCCAAGTGGCAACAACAACCTTGGATCACCTCCGAGCACATTGTCATGGGTGCTGGTGTCGATTCATGCACAATGACAGAAAGGCGTACTCCACAGTCCTGCGGAGCTGACAGCTGTGATCCCCTGGTGATGGGGTCAATACGCGCGGGTCCGCAGGCATTTTGCGGGTGCCTTGTAAGCTCCCCTCTCATGCAAAGGGAAAGTGCGAAAGCGAGCCTAGACTTCTAGGGTGCATTCAATGGAGGCGGACTGTCGAATACCCATATACTTACAAACATGATGCCGCTGGAAGATGATGGGTCATCTATCAACATATGATGATGCGGTGGCTGAAAATTGCACCACTGAGCCTTTCTCTCGACATTTCTGGTCATGTCGATAAAATAATCGACCTGCTCTTGGGAAGATCCAGGGCAAACCAAATGCTAGAATTTATGAATTTATCTTGTTCCGCGAATGAAACCGTGGAGCCTTCCTGTCCGAAGCCAGAAGATAGGTTGGGTCGACATGATCGTGATTTTGCGTAAGATACTTCACTGGCCTGGTGAATTCCACCGCACACGTCTCTCTCTACACCGTCGCCCTTACAACGATGACATTGACACTGTTTTGAACGAGAGCATGGCGCAACTTTACCTTCCAATTGATGTGTGGCAACCTTTGGGGACTTACTGAGAAAAAGCTCGGCCAACTTACCTTGTTTGAAAATTCTGCCCTAGACCAATTACGGAATTGCAGCTTGGCCATCTCGACATCACGATCCGCAGAAAGCTCAATCGGAGCTCGCTACCCTTTTCAGGCTTTCTCTTACAACATTTCTGAGCTCGCCGTCGCCATGAGTGCCCTCCGACTGTCCCGAGCAGCGCTACGCGCCAGGTCTGCAATGGTGGTGAAACCGATCCAACGACGAGGGTACGCCGAGGCCGTCTCCGACAAAATAAAGCTCTCCCTGGCTCTCCCTCACCAGGTACGTCCGCCCGAGATCGCTGGCCCGCAAAGCGCAGAAAAGAAGGTGCAGGCTTTCGCTGGAAAGAGTTGAGCTGACAGTGCGGTCGATATCTAGTCCATCTATTCTTCACACGATGTGTACGTGGTCGACGGGCTCCGACACCCAAGAACCTCAATTCGAATCCTCCACAAGTTCCGAGAGCTGACGCCACACCTGTAGTGTACAAGTGAACATTCCTGCCGAGTCCGGAGAGATGGGTATTCTCGCACAGCACGTCCCATCCATTGAGCAGCTCAAACCGGGCTTGGTCGAGATCATCGAGGAGAGTGGTGGAAGCAAGCAATTTTTTCGTACGTTTCCACTTCTGGAGGACGGGGCCCGCGACATGGGATACGAGGATCAGTGACTGACACCAAATGCTTTGCTGGCAGTTTCGGGAGGTTTCGCCGTCGTTCAACCGGATTCCGTGCTGAGCATAAACGCCGTGGAAGGGTTCCCCCTGGAGGACTTCAGCGAAGAGGCGGTCAAGTCACAAATAGCGGAGGCCCAGAAGATTGCCAGCGGAAGCGGAAGTGAGCAAGACATTGCGGAGGCCAAGATTGAGCTCGAGGTGAGAACATCCACGACCGGTCTACTGGGGGGCGTGCTGACTTCGCTACACAGGTTCTCGAATCGTTGCAGGCGGCAATGAAGTAGGATGTTGACTCACTACGCTTTGTACATATAGAGTAAGGCGAAGGGACAACCAGAAAGGAGTGCCATCCGAGTCTCAGATGACTTGAATCGATCCATTCCGTGTGCTACCTGACTCTGTTCACTTGTCTTTCTCTCCGTTTAGCAGTGCATTGCCTTCGCGTGCGGGAGACACGTCGAGCCAAAGTCTGCTCTCGCGTTGCGAAGCCTTGATCATGACGCCCGTGGGTGCACAACGCATCTGAAAACTCTGGTCAATGAGGCTCACGCGCCTGCCGCGTCGAACCTTTGCTTCCTGCACCACAACCGCAGGTCAGGAGCGGTCCTTTCCCTTTCACTTCTCTCCTGGTACATGCATTTTCTTAGCTAGGCTTATCATTTACTTCTTCCCCTCAAAGCGTCGCGGTCACCATGATAGGCCCCGTATCAACATAGCCGCCCTACTCATCTCCGAACATGGATAGCTCGCTGAGGTCTGTTCTCTCGTCCTCGCCTCAGCCTGGCCAATTTGCTAATGAATCCGCAGCCCGCAAGACGGCACGGTGGCGAACCGTGTTCGAGTCTTCCAGGGCGTCCAGCAGCTCAAGACAGATTTCCCCCCCTTCACTCTGCCTCCTCGCGTCGTCACCCGACCCCGAGACTCCAGTCTCTCCTCTGGTCCAGGGCGGAGGGAAGACTCCGATTTCGCTCCTCCGACTGGACGAGCGTGCAGGGATGGCAGCGAAGGTATCAGCGGAGACGGACGTCGTCCCGTGGCCTCCGTCCTCTACAACGGGGTAAAACTTCGCGGGCAAGGAGACAGCCACCAGATTGTTCCTCTGCGGCCTTTCACCAGCTTGGACGGGCCCGGTGATGAAAGAGCCCCTGCCCACCGGCCAGCCCTGCGCCAAGTCGGCCATCCACTCCGTCGGCAACATCGCTCAATGGAGAACGTGGGTGACGATCCTGCACTGGAGATTGCCATGGCGAGATCTCGACTTCGCTCCGTTGCCCCGAAGCAACAGGTCGTCCGGGAAGAGCCATCGCGCGGCCGATCGCACACGATGGACGAGTTGAATAACATGTTGGATGATGCAATCAAGAATAGCTCACCCAAACCCGATGTCACTTCCACCGAGCAGCCTGGCAATCTCGCCCCAAAGCCCGGTTTTGTCCTCCGTCGAGCATCCACCCGGCAAGATCGTCGTCCCTCGCAGTCTCGTCCTCGATCCACTCGCAGAAGCACCGAATCCGTCGCGCCGCGTAGCAGCGAGGAATCGACGAGAGTCGAGTACGAGGGGGGAAAGGAGACGGAGCGGCCAAAACAGCACGACGCGGCCGGCAAAGAGCCTCACGAGCCAGTGTCTCCTGCGGCTCCGCGGTTGAACGCAGTTGCAGATCCAGCCGGTGAACTGAGTCCTGTCAAGCAGAGAGCTGCCATGTTCGAGAGCCTCAGCAAAAAGCCCACCGGTCACGACCAAGTTTGTCAACATTTTGGGCACGAACATAAGGCCCCGCACCAGCATCAGCACCACCACCCTCCTCCACGCAAAGAGACCAAGAAGATCCACCGTATCAAGTTTGGAGACACGATTGAAGAAAGACCGGGCACCCCCTTGATTCCCTTGACGCTGCCGACCCTCGTCACGCAAGAAAAAACCAGCAGACCTCCTAGCACAATGAGACAAGAGCACGCCGACGTCGAACTCCCCGGGCCCGTCGAAGAAGAGCCGGCGAGCGACGATGTTTTTAAGGAGGAGAGGAAGCCTTCATTGAGCTGGCCTTTCCGATGGAGCATTTTTAACAAGGGAGCCTCTGTGCCACCTCAGGAGACCGACACACCTTCCGGTGATGCGGAGGCGAAGGACGAACACTATCCCACCACTCGGCATAGTATTGTCAGGAGCAAAGTTCAGGATCTGTTACAAGCTGCGAATGAGAAGGACGGTGCAGAGCAGCGACGCCGAGACGTAGAGAGGGAACGTCTCCGCCGAAGATCAACCCAAGCTCAACCACCGCGAAGGCACACCGAAGCAAATCGCGACGAGACGAGGCAGGAGAGAGCCGCCGAACCCGACCCAGTGGAGTCTCCGAGCAAGGAGCTTCTTGAAAGCCTGAAAATCCCCGCAGAGACGGGCGACAACAAGCTGACCCCCAGGACCCCTCTTCAACGTGCCATGTCGGAAAAACAGGTGTTGGCGCCACCCACGCGGGCTGATCCAGACAGTGAATCAGGAAGTCCACGGAAACCTCCGCCTCAGACCCTCATTCGTGGAAGATCCATCTCCACCCATCGGCCATCCCTTGGGGAACACAAACGCTCCGTGCAGCAGCAGTTCAGCCTGAGTCCGGGGCCAAGCCGCAGTGGATCGAAACAACGGCAGGGCGTCAAGGTGGAGGTGGAGATCCGTGACAGCCCCGAGCGCGAGGCTAGGGACAGGGGGGACAAGATTGTCATCATCAGGGCCGATGTTTCTGAGATGGACGATGAAGGGAGATGATCGGGAGCGGTGGATAAATTGGCCGGACACTTTATCACGACGTATGGCTTTGGTGGACGAGACAGGGTAGGAGAGTGCATAGGATAAGTGGTGATTGACATGGGTACTGCTAGGCAAGAAAGAAAGAGGAGAAGTTATTGTCGGTTTGGTATAGGTATAGTTATCTCTTGACAAGCACAAGTACGGCATGGGCATGCCTTTGAGCATGGATCGACTTACAGGACGGGATGGCAAGCAATGTCCGATTGTATCGTTCAATTGAGAGTGCTTCGTAGGTACAATCACGGATCGCCGCGTTGGATTGTACGGGACCGGCTCGACTACGAGGGTGGAGCACAGTTGGCAATTGACATTGCCGTCAATTGAATTCCATGCTATACTCGATTGATTCTCGCTCGTTCTTTCACTTGTGCTCATCCACGCCCTCATCCGAGTCATCTTTCGGGTCTGTCTCCCCTCGCTCGCTCCGCCGCCTCCACTTCCGCGCCCAGGCCGTCGTTGCCTTTCCGACCCCCGAGAATCCCCCTTTCCCTTTATTCGAGGAGTTTCTTGAGGTCGGGGCGCCGGTCGATCTCCTCGACCATCTTGCGGAAGTTGTCGTCGTGGTGCTCGTAGGCCTGCGCCTTGAAGAAGGGCATGTTGTCGCGCAGCCAGGAGGACTCGGAGCCGGCCTTGTGTTGTTTGTGAGTGTGATAGATCGATAGATCGATAGATAGATGAATGATGATGATGATGATGAAGAGACGGGACAGGACAGGACGAGGACTGACAAAAAAAAAAGGCAAAAACCACCAAGTGAAGGAAAAAGAACTACTCAGGGCACAAAAACCACTCACATCCGGAATCGTCACGCCGTTCTCCCTCGCCGCGATCATGGGGTAAAACACAATGAAATGCATCTTCTTGGCCGCCCGCTCGGCCTGGTCCCGCGCGGTGGTGCCGGCCGCGGCGGCGGCCCCCATGCCCACGGCCTGGTCCCACTCGGCCTCGAGCTGGGCCGCGAGGTCGTCGAACACGGCCTTGGTGCGGGCGGGCGACGTGCGCACCATGGCCAGGAGGCGGTTCGGGCCCGCGTGGTCGTGCGCCACGGGCTCGCCGGCCAGGAAGTACGTGTTGGCCTCGTCGTCGGCGGCGTCGGCACCAGCACCGCCGTGAGAAGTGGAGGTTGAGGTTGAGGTAGAAGTGGGCGGCGGTGGCGGCGGATTGGAGAGTCGGTGGAAGCTGACGTTGACAAACAGCGACGGCGTCAGGAAGGTCGTCGAGTGCAGTCGCGTGATGGCCTGGGCGAAGCGGTGTTTTTGGGCCCGCGTGAGCGGGTACGTGTGTTGGACCTGTACACCGGGTGGGGTTGTGAGTAAGGTATCCTAGCCAGGCTGGTGGTGGTGGTGGTGGTGGTGACGTATGGAGAGGGCCGCTTGACGGGGGAGGAGGAGGAGGAGGAGATGATGAAGACAACGAAGATGGGATGGCTCGAGAGCGTAGAGGGGAGAGGGGAGAGGATGAGAAAGGACAGGGGGAGAAGGGCTTTCCGCCTCCCAATGGATAGAGCAGATGTGCCGGTGGTGAGAGGTGAGCGCAAGGAATGCAACAAGTCAAGACCGAGGGGACCTTGAGAACCTCTCCCTCGACGAGGCTGAACCAGCTCTCTTCCCCCCCAAAAGGGGAGACATGGATGCGGAAGATACCATCGGGTAAGCAAATACGAAAGGAGATGGGCATGTATAGAACACAACTTCGACCAGCACAAGCACAAATGCAAGCACAAGCACGTGTCGAGTATTCGTTGCAGAGGGACTCTGCTGGACTCACCTCGTAGAAAGGCATCTTGATCGTGCTTGAGTGCCTCCTCGTTCCTCTCAAAAGCGATAACTCGGTTCAGGGATGGGACGTCGGTGCACGATCCCCAAGAAAGATGGAGGGAGTCAAAGAGGGAGTGAAAGGGACAGGATCCGAATCGAAGAGAGCGGGAGATGGGCGCGAGAGACTGAGGGCGGACAGAAACAATTCTCACTCAACATCCTTAGTGACTTACATCCCATATATATATATACACTTCGCGCAGCGTATATTTCTCCACCATGTTGAATATTAATCAAGAGTCAAGGACCATCCGCAGCCCTACTCGTTATTGGCGAGGGTCCATGATGTACGGAGGCCTCAGCACTTCGCGGGAGCACTTCCTTCTCCCCCAATGACGCGTTCGATGTCGACCGCATTCGTGGGGTAAGACAGGAGAGATACGCCCGTCACAGATCCATCCCACTAGCACTCTAGCCCCAAGCACTCCGCACGCCCGTCTGCCCTCGATCTACCCGTTGCCGCCGAGGGATCCAAGGGGAGGGGGAGATACTTCGCAGATATCTCGGGATATCACGTCGAGACGCAGATGTGATTTGTAGTGCTTAGTACTCGTCGAGGAGCTGCCCGGGCAGGGACACGAAACTCTCGAAAAGGAAAATCGAATGCTGCCTGCAGCCTTGTGGTTCGTTCACCAGCTATCGACGTGGCAGCGCGTGACTCTCGCGGAAATCGAGGAGAGCAGTGATTGATTGACATGGCATAGATGGCATACGCCACAAAGGCCGTCTGAAATTGTGACTTTCTTTCTATCAATGACAGCAGGCTGTTCTTGACAGGATCTACATGAATTCCCGACAAACTGGGCGCCGAACTCCTGTATCCCGGTCAACTACTCACACAATCAGGCTCTGCTTTGTCTTATGCGGTCGAATTGCCGCATGTCGCATGTCGCATGTCGTTGCCACCACGCATTGTTTCCTTCTGTTCCACTGTATCTTGTGTTTTGGAAATGTGGGTATACCAAAATCCAACGCTGCCGTCCCTCACACTCCTCCGTCCTGTCTGCGTCACTGTTCACTTGCTCTTCCTCGCCTCCTGAAAACTCCCTTGATCGTGTTTGCAGTGATAGGTGTGGTGACCAAAGCACACAAGATGCCGAAGAACAAGAATATCCCCAGAGCGATGTAGATGCCCGTGGTGTAGGCAGAGGACGGTGGTGAGGCGAGGGTGTTCACAGTGGAGGACGTAGATGAGGCGGTCGACGTGGGTGAGGAAGTGAAAGATACAGTGGAGCTGGGCGACGGGAAGGGCGACGACATAACCACGGTGGTCATGGACAGAGATGTCGCCTGCACAGACAAGGTAGACGGTGACAGAGGAGTCGGGCTTGAGGTTTCGACTGCTGTCGAGCCTGCACTTGTGCTGAGATCGACCTCATTCACAGTTGAGGGCGACGGATCTGGATTTTGTGAATCTTCACTTTGCCATTGGGTGCTCGGGGTCTCCATTGGGACGGTATCTGTGGTGCTGGGCTGGGAGATAATCGTGGTGGCAATGATCTCCACCGCTGTTCTAGTGAACCTGGGTCTGGTGTGTGACTTCAGGGCCGTGGCGACCACGCGGTGACTGGAGGGACGGTCAGTCAGAGAGCAGGAGATTGGGTCGTCGTCGCGGATTCGTGCCATCGTGGGTCTGACGGACTGTCAGGGTGGGCTTCACAGGGAAGGCACAGCTCGGCGAAATGTGACGAGGAAGTCGCGTCGAAAGATGAATGGGGATGTGGTTGAGATTGCCTGACTCCGTCCTGGCGGTCTCTTTTTGCAATGACAGCGATTGAGTGGTGAGCTCAAAGTGAGCGCGACCTGGGCGAACACAGGATGGGAGTGACCCCGGCAACACGGTGACCTGTGTTGAGCTGATGGTACAACGGCACCGAAGAAATGAGGGCGAGAGGACGGGACGATCATAATAGAAAGTGGAAGAGAAAGTCGACGCCCAAGGAGCCCACCTGTGCCATGGCAACAGCTGTGAGTGAATTGAGGTCATGAGGTTGGGTATCTAGCGATAAGTGAATCGACACATGAACGCACCCACTTTCAAGCAGAGGCCCGCTGGTAAAACTGCAGATTCATTCAATGCCACCCTTTTGTAATACGGTCGCTTGCATCACGGGTTACTCATTAAGCCCGCTCGAGGGACGAACACTAGGCATCCTGCTCGAGAGCGACGTCTGTCGCCGTGGCCGGGGCGGCAGTCTCGTGAGCTTCACCAGCCTCGCCCTCACCAGCCTGCCCGGTTGGGCCAGGGCTTTCTGTTACCGGCTCGCCTGAAGCCGGCTGACCCTTGAGAGGAGCCTCGTCTTCGGCGTCCATTTGTAATAAGAACGTTTCCCACAGTTCAATCAGCTGTTGGCCGTGTTAGCAAACGTCACCGCCCTCTGGGACAGACGAACGTACCTCTTTCTGAGCCTCGACAGCACCCTCCAAAAACGTCTCCACGCCACTCTTGAAATCTTCCACCTTCTCCCGCTCAAATCTTTCCAGTTCTCCCCTCATCAACCGACCCATATCTTCAAACAATAATCGGGCTTGGTGTGCCTTCTTCTCTGCGTCGCTAACGCCGGCGCCGACTTCGTTCAGCTTGTCCTGTTGGCTTTTGCCCTGCCGGAGAAGCTTCTCGTGGGCGCTCCGCCGTTTGGCCAGTTCGCTCTCTGCGGCGTGCCACGAATGGAATGCCTTCTGCCGCTGAGTGAAAGCCTGCTTGACACTGCCGATAAGTCTGATATACTCGTCCACGGTAATCCCGAGAGTCAAAACATCTTGTTGTGCCTGTCTTTCGTAGAGCTCCCGGATCCTCATCTGCACATCCGACAGCCCTTGCAACGGACCGGAGAAGGCGGGCGAGAGGTCGACCTGAGCGAGGCTGTTGACCGACGCGGCGAACTCGCCTGCCGCGGCAGCAAGACCCTTTCTCTGGTCCACGACGGCGTCGACGGCCTTCATCAACGCCTTCAATTGGTTTTCCAGGGCGTCCAGGTAGACTCTGCGGTCGTGGAACCAATCGTCGTGCTCGACGAATTTGCCGCTCGACGAACCGACGTTGATCCCAATGGCACTCAGCATACCCTTGTTCTGGCCCAGGTCCGGTTCCCGGTTCTCCTTGTTCTTGACGTCAATGTTGAAAGCGTCGCTTTCGAGGAAGATCTTGAGGTCGGCATCGTGGTGGAGGATCGGATGCGCGGCGATCTTGTTGAGCATTCGCTCCAACGCCTGGCGCCTCGACTCGACAAATTCGCTATCAAACCTACCCACGGCTTGCTTCTCGGGAGGCGGCGGGACGACCACGCCGGGGTTGTTGTTGTGCATTGCGTTGTAGAGCCAGAGGAAATCCCGATACCGGCGGGACACGGCAAACTCGGGTTGTTTGTATGCTTTCGAGGTCGTCTGTAACCGTCAGCTGCCGTAGCATGCGCCTGGCCGACTCACGTACCTTTGTGCGGACTTGGTATACAATGTGGCTGCTGGTCAAATCCCCGACCTTGTGGGGATCGCCCACTTGGATCTCAAAGCTCGGTTTGGCGGCCTGTTCCACGCTCACACTGGACGGGGTTTGTCGGATGGCAGGAGCGCTGCTCTGCGGCTGAACCGGCGGGGGACCCTTGGGTCGTCCGAGTGGGAGAGTGGTATCTTCATATTCCGACCCGGCGAACCCAGGCGACGTCGCAGAAGGCTGTCGGTTCACTCGTGCCGCGAGTTCTTTCCTCGGCGGGGTCGGCGCTTGTTCTGCAGATATGGTAGACGCCACTGGAGCTGGATCTGCGCCCAGGGGACCGAGAGGGTCGAGGGAATCGTCCACGGCCTCGAGCTTGGTCGGTTGAACCTCGATCTTGCGGGCCGGGATTTTTCGAGACGATGGAGGCCGCGGGCCGGAGGATGTCTGCTTCGTGGAGGAGGGGGCTAGGTCTCAGATGAGCATGTCGAACTCGGAGAGCCATCACAAGCATATTCATACCGTCATTGGGTTTGGCAGAGCTGGCCAAATCCTGCGGGTTATCTGACTGCGATTGGGATGGAACGTCTATACAGCCGGTCAGCGTGATCAGCAGTAAAATCGAGAAAAGGTTGCTCACCACCCCATGGCGAATCGTCCATCTTTGCAGCTACGAGTGTAGAGAGAGATACAATGTCACTGCAGAGCGAGAGAGGTGGTTATTGCCTAGACCTTTGCAATGCGGAGCAGAAACCAAACTCGCCAATTCCCCGAACTCACGTGCGATTAGCCTCCGCCGCGCAGCCTTGCCGTTCCGTCGCTTCTACCTAACGCACGGAGAATGACAATCTTCGTCATTTTGACTTGAGGCCTAAGAGATCCGAATCGTATGCCGACCTTTATGAGCAACGATACCCTATCGTGGCCGTTTGAATACTTCCGAGTTGCGAATTGTGGCGGCTCGGTCAGTGTGCACGTCCCAGCATATTCCTCGTGTACAAGTAGGTAAAGCACGGTTAAGCTGGGCGTAGGGCACCAGTACCCACCACCGCTGCGTCGGATTGAGCTTCATATCTGTATGGACGGCTCAAAACCATGGTTGGCCCCGGCCATGCACCAAAAGGCCACGCGAAAATTGTAAAGCTCCCGGGCCAACGCCCATGGCGCAATGTGTCCTCGGCAGCCAAAAATGTAGCTTGATACGGAGACCCGTCTAACTTTAGGGTCCATTCGACACAAAAATATTGTACATTGACCAGTCTGTCTTTGATGGCCGTTCTGGTATATAAAATGCCGTCCGCTGCGATGCAGAAACGCTCAAGATTCTTGTCTAGTTCGTCCTACTTCTTCCCACCCTTTTTCGGCTGTGTCTGCCCATTTGGTTGGCCGCTTTCCTGACCAAATGAGCTGACAAAGTCCAACAGGTTCATGTCGTCCTCGGCAAACACGTTCTGCTCCTCCTCAAATGTCGGTTCTTTCGCAGGGGCTGCACTTCTTTCCGACGAGGGAGGAGGGGGGGCGGTGGTGGTGGTAACGGTCGCGGTGCTCTGCTCAGTCTTCTTTGCGGCTTTTGAACTGTCGAAGCTGGTGCCGAACCGGGCTCGGAAGCTTGCCAACCGCCCTGACTCGTCGTCCTCGACGTTCAGAAGCTCCCTCGACGTGGGATTCCACAGGGGAGAATTTCTCGTGTCTCGAGTCGATCTGTACACTGGAATCGGAGAAGTAGTCCGCATGGTGAACGCACTGCCGTCTGACAGCGTGACTAGTTGAGTAAAGGTATAAGGTCGTTTCGGCCGCTTTATGAGTCGCGCATGGCGACACGCTTGACAGACATAGGTAGTAGAAGAGGCAGCCGAAGGTAAACTGGGGAGCGAATTTGGCCGCAGACAGGGACGGAGGGCGACCGACATTGTCGTCTTCGATGATGCTCCCGACGGAGGAAACTGGCGAGCAAGGTGGTCGGTAATTGATTCTCTTCGCCTCGAAATCCACGGCGACCGGTTTTGGACTCAATAATCAGTGAAATGCCGTTCCTCGAAAGTGGTCAATGGATGGGAACGAACTACCAAGTTCCCCAAGATCTCCGCCAAGATGAGTAAAAAGTGTTCGCGCCTCACCCCGGATTGGGCCAAGGGTGACGCCGCCCTGTGCTAGACCCCCAGAATTAGGGAGTCCTGGCCAGTAATTAAGGAGTATGTGTTAAGCTCCCTCTCGGCCTAGGATCCCTTTAAGTGAGAGCAGCAATACGAGTACTATCGTGGGACATCAGTTATGGCGTAGAGTAGGTGGACAGGCATTCTGACACACCCGGTATCCTTTAAGATACCCTGATAGCTAGGCTTAACGTCCTAGAGATCGCTCCCTCCCAGGATAATAGGGCCAGGACTACTCCAGGACGTCCCAAGATCCAGGAACGGCGTCCTACCGCGGCACAAGTCCCCAGGCATTCGTCCTTGTGCCTGGAAGTTTGTTGATAGAGTCAAAGACAGACCAAACACCTGCAAGAGTGTAACTCTCCCATCCACTTCCGTCTCTCCCTAGCTAGTTCTTCTCATCCATCGCAGCCTGGTAGGAAGGTAGCCGAGCATCCCTTCGTTGCTCGCACCCGCGCTGTTCCTGACCATCTCGTCGCCCTTGCTCTTGCACATTCCGACGAGGCTTCTCGTAGTAATCGCGGGCAGCTCCGTTTCCATACCCGTCAAGCTCTTCCTCACTGTCACTCCTGTCGTCCGGTCTCACGTCGCGAGATCTTCTGTCGTCGCGCGGCGGCTGTCGGTCGTTCTGGCCTGGGCCCGAAACACCTCGACCACCGTCGCGGCCGGGCTCACGTCCAGACGCATACCCTTGTGGAGATCCCCACTGCATATCCCGCTCCATGCGTCTGTCGGCGTCCATCTGCCGCTGCTCGTGCTTGTTGTTCTGATGGTCAGCGACAAGGCCGATGAGGCCGCCGATCAAGCCGACTCGACCACGCCGGCCGAATCCGAAGCCGCTGCAGCCTCTGCATCGGAGGCGGCCACAGTTGTTGCAACCATAGCCTCTATCCTCGTTGTAGATGTATGTGTTGCCGTACCCAGGGCCATACCCAGGGCCGTATCCGGGGCCGTAATTGGGGTTGTTAGAGCCGTGATAGGGATCCATGGGAGGCCCGAAGTTCTGGCCTCTGTTGCCTCGGAACATGGTGAAAGAAGTCTGGAAATTGTGTGAGAGTATAGATTCGACCTTTGTAATGAGGATTGTCCGGGAGGAACAAGAAAAATGTTGCAGGAGACGCCGGAGTAGCATGCTATATAAGTATACCGACCTCGTTCAGCCAGCTCGCATTTCGGAATCAAAGGATCAACACCGCCTAGTTGAAACCGTTTGGGCGTCATGCTCCAGCCCGAACGCTCAGCTTCACATCTATAGCTGGAAGGGGTCAATACGACGGTTGGCCGGCGCCCGTTAGTTGGCGATCACTGGTATTTTTGCAGCCTTCGAAGGCATTGATCTGCGGAGCCAGAATACTGTGTATACCTGTTTCAGGTAAGTGCGCGAAGTACATTACCGTTGTACCACGGTATTGACTGATACTACGCCAGGGGCCGTACACCGTTGCAACTCAGCCTCGATTCGGGAGTAGTATGGTCTCGGAGATGGAGCCAAATTCTGGCTGCCGACAAAAGAAACCGAGTCCATGTCTTCCGTATCTATCGATTGGTGAACCCCTTGAATACCAAAATAGCACATCACGACCATTCATTCATGTGATATGTTCTCAATCCTCATATCGTCCTCGAGACAGGGATTACCCGCTACCTAGAAGCATGCTCCAAATTACCTGTAGCCCCTGCAGCGGAGACTACATCGTCTCCCACTGCTACATCGACTGTCGGGTCAATTTCGAGGCTCGTCCGCTTCCATATTACCCGTCCCCATGTAATGTCAGGCAGCAGGACTTCCCCAGATCTTCTTGCCGGCTGACACTGAGACACTGAGACATGCATCTACCAGCTTTTGGCCTCTTCCGGACCATTCTCGAGCGGATTTATGACACTCGGTCGCCGCTTGTCGTTTCCGCCCCTGATCTTCGCAAAACCAAACAATTGGGCAAACTCCCTCCAGAAGCCGACCGGTGGATCCAGGAAGGTCTCCTCGTAAGCGTCGATAATGGGCCTCTCCCAGACGAGATCGACATCCTGAGGCCGAAGCCACTTGGTCTTCTTGATTATCTTCCAAATTAAGAAGAGCCAGGGGATGAAGAGTTGCGTGGTGTAGTTGGAGAAGAAATTTGACGTGTTCCAGGGCGTATAGCTCGTGTAGCCATAGATTGCAGTGACAATGATCAGCCAGACGAGAGCAAAGTAAGCGCAGAACGGCTGTAGATAGCCGGTGTAGGGAAGACTGTTGCGATCGAAGCCTTGCACTTTACAGGCTCGGTAGAACTGGATGTAGGTTATCGTCATGATAATGAAATCGATGAGTCCTGGCGACCGGCGTTAGCCAAAACTCTCTAGGTGAATGTATCGTGTGCGTAGATCTTACCTCCCCCGGTCACGATGTTGGCGAACCATGTGACTACAATAGACGAACTGCTTGAGCACTGTAGGAATGATAGCATGGGGAAAATCATGACCACGCAGAAGCTCCAAATCGGCACTCCCTTCTTTGTACAGTGCGCGAAGATGCGTGGTGCTCTTCCTTCAAGCGCCAGGCCGTAGAGCGTGCGCGTGGCGGCGTACGTGTAAGTGTTGCCCGCCGAGAAGATCGAAGTCAACAGAAGTCTAGACGATCCGTTAGATATACAGGAAACGAGAGGGCTTGGCGATATGCGCGGTACTCACGCGTTGACGATATGCGGAAATACGTGCACTCCCATATTCTTCATCGCAATCACATAAGGTGATGCTCCGGCCCCAACGCCGCTCCCGCCTTCGACGACGTTCACCAACCCCGGATCTCTGGAACCGCAAACAATGCCCACAAAGAAGGCTCCGCCGATGAAAAAGATACCGAATCGGAGGTAGACCATTTTGAAGGCGGCCTTGATGTAAATGCGTGGGCGAATTGCTTCAGCGGCGACGATGGAGATGTACTCGGGGCCGACGATGGTGAATACTGCAGACGTCAGGGCGCCGATGAACCCTTGGAATCGACCAAGGTCGCCCGTATGAATATATTCTCGGAACGCCCCTCCGTGTTTCCAATTCGTGAAGCCATAGGCATCGTGTTTGGGGTTGCCACCAACCATCTGTTGTTTGGGAAGCTCAGCATTCCCGTACATTACAACGGGCAGAGACCAGCAAGTTGGCTTTGTCCGGGGGTAATACAATCCACGGACTTCGGAAATCAATATACGCGATGGAGGAACTTACAGTGACAAAGGTGAAGAAGAAGAGGGAAAAGATTAGGATGACCTTGCCACCAGAGAGCCAGAACTCGGCTTCTCCGTATGCTCTGACAGCAAGAACATTGATAGAGCTTCACAAACAATGACAAGTCAGTTCGTGTTCCAGAGACATGGCGAAGTTTGGCCAGCTTACGCGTAGGCTATAACGATACCGGCGACGACGCCTGCAATAGGGCCAGGCTCGGTGAGCTTCTCACTCCAGAAAGATGCCACGAGGGTAAAGGCCGAAATCTCAAACGGGATCAGGAGAGCTTCGTAAAAGCTGGACACCAAGTCAGAAGAGTGCGGGTGGCCATGCCTACCAGCACTTGAAGGCAGAAATTGAGGGAATGTGAACCAAGTACTCACAAGAAGTTCCAACCGCACATGAAGCCAAGGGCATCGTCCACCCATTTGCCTGCGAGGCGGATGAAGCCACCGCTAACGGGGCTGTAGACACTCGTTAGACGACAATTATTGAGCAATTGGGAAGTACTGACAATGCCGTGCTCATTTCTGCGACACAATTGTTGACCATGGCGAGCACACAGCTGTGGATTGTGTAGGCCAGGAACAAGTTCGCAGCACCGCCATGATAGAGACCAGTTCCAATACTCACGAACAAGGCCGTCCCGATGGAACCTCCGATGGCTATCAGCTGGATCTGGCGATTGTTAAGGTGACGTTGAAGCTGGTCGGCGTTTTCAGCCAAAAAGGCCTCTTGGATATCCGGGGCCTGTGTGTCACTGGCGTGTTTCTCCTTTCCATTCTGGTAGTCCTCCATATTGGCAATGTGTTTTCCGTTGCGCGGGGAATCTTTCGTGGGAAGAGAAGAGTCTCTGGAGGAGAGAGCATTTCAGCTGTAAGGAAAAAGGAAACAGGTCGCGTGAAAAGTCCATCGGGCTGCCTCAAGGAGCGGGGTCGGCAAAGCTCCTAATCAACCAGTACTGTGGCAACGAATATTGGCAGGATGATCTGCTACAACTTCAGGCTTGCCGCGTGCAAATGTGAACAGGACAGCGATCTAGGGTCTGCGTTAGCGTAACCTTCTCTGGGGTCGGTGCTGCAGGAGTGGGCAGGACTGGCTTGTTTCCCTCGCCCCCGTCAAGCAGACGTATGGGACTCTTATAGATCTCCCACCCGGCCACGCTGCATGGCCTGACAGGAGGTCTGTATAGAGCAGTAGCGTACTCAGCGGTAGTTAACGCGGGGCATTGTACTGTGCAACTAGGAATGAGTGTCCGTGAAGCACCCAGGTCTCTGCCTAGGTCGGAGGGATGTATGTATGTAATGGCAATTGAGTGCCAAGGCGCTAACAGGCCTGACAAGTTACAACGCTGTGAAGCCCGCACGGCAAGGCAAACTACTGTACGATCCACATCTCCTCCATAATTTTTTGTCTGACACCCCACACCCTACCTCCTCCACACCTCTTGCGCCCCTATTAGACTGTCCCACCTCGGTCATTCAACGCCTTCGCGGAGCTCGCACAGTCCCTCTTCCCCCACGGGCGAAATCCAATGCCACTCGCTTCTGCCACCCGTGTTGCAGATTGAAGCTGGGCTGACGCAATCAGTGGGCTCTCGTGGCGCTCGGTCTGCTCGTGGAACGGGCAATCCCCTTATCAGCGATGATCCAGCTATCAGACCTACCAATCGATAGAGCAGACACCCTGACGCCAAACACCATCTCGATTGTTCCGATCGCCTGAATGTTGGCTAATCATGGCGCTCGAATTCCATTGGCAGAAATATCTTGGATCGCGAGTAGATCTTGGATAGCAAGAAGCAGGTCTGGATCTGGATTGCATGGTATGGCTTTTCTGGTTTATTTTTGCAGCACGATCTTTAGACACGATCCGACAAGCAGTCATTCGCCAACTCCTGCATCGTTATCAGAAGGACCGGAGAGATGCACGTGAGACGTGAGCTGTGAGCTGCGAGCAGCTTTTACTCATCCTTCCCTGCCATGATGAGCAAAAACTAGGTAACGACGGGCCTCAATGCTTCGAGCCTGTCCGATTGACGACCCTCACAAAATATACAAATACAGAGTGTGCCGATATTCCACCTTGCCCACCTGTTTTGCCTCAGTCTCTCGCCCCTTCCGTCTTCACCAACTTGATCTGTTTCGAGAGGCGTTGGCTGTTCTCCTGGTAGAACTTGCAGAGCCGGCGAAGCTCGTCCATCTCCAACTCGTTCGCAGTCTGCTGCTGTTGAACTGCTAGGGCGGCGGCAGCCTCTGCCCTCTCGCGCAGCTTGGTTTGCTCCTCAAGTTGGACGCTTTGAGCTTGAAGCTGGCTTGTCAGACACCGCTCTACCTCTAATGCCCTGGCTTCTCTACCCTTCAGTTCCTCATCCTTGGCGGCGATAACGTTGGTGAGCTGGACCACCTCAGCGTTCAAGTGAGAGACACCTCCGTGTTCTCCAACGACCCCCTGCCCTACTGCTGCGAGAAGAGATCCGACTCGTTGTGGCAACTGGCTTCTTGTCGATTTCTCCTGCCCGTCGCTGGCCTGATTCCGCTTCTCTTGATCGAGCTGTGCCGTGAGCGACACCACAACGCGTCGCAGCGTTACCAACTCGGCTTCCTTGTCTTCGAGCTCCTTCGTCTGCGCCGCCAATTTCTGTTCAGCTTCGTCCATATCTAGAGCCATCCGCTCGAAGGCATCTCGAACATGGTCGTGGTCGCTCTGGAGCTCGTTCAGTAGCTGCTTTAATCGATAGATTTCTTCGACTTGTTCGCTTTTGTTCGGGATTTTGGGTCTGGATGCCTTCTTGCTCAATTCATCCTCCGGGGTCGGCTGGTTCAAAGGGGTCTGAAAAAGGGGTGGTGTTTGTCGCACTGCCAGCTGCTCTGCCCCCGTAGGCGTAGGGTCTGGCTGGGGGCTTGTTCCGAAGCCGTGGGAAGAGTGGTAAGGAGGCATTATGCACACAACGAAAGGCTATGATCAATACTGTTGTTGGTTACAGAGGTCTCCGTACTTCTGAGCTCTTTTCCATTCTGAAAGTGGATGTCTGTTTGACTGTGAGTTTGCTCTTCAGTGGGTCCTTGGGCAGTTGCATATCAGCATGGCCGCAATGGTCGGAACTGTGAAGACGCAGCCTCCTCCTGGACACGTCTGCCTGTACTGATGTGGCTTATCCAGCACTTCACCCCGGCTCGTAGGCGGCTTGCATGATGCTCGAGACCGCCCAAGCCACGGCGTTCACCCGCAAACGCCGTACAATGCGAGCATCCCGTCCCGTCCTTATGTACAGCCACTACCTCCTTGTTCGAAGCTGGACGAAGCAACTCTGAATTTCCTTTTCAGTCAGTACAAGTCTGCCATGACGCGCAGGTTTTCCGAAGCCTGCCCTGAAGCCAACTCGCAGGACTCCATGTCGCCCCCATCAAGAACCACGATGGACTCGCCCGTCGTCCCCGACGCAAGCCTCGTTGAGGAACTAGTAAAGGCATGCGGCTGCAAGGAAGACATGGCAGTTGCACTGCTTCAAGTAAGCCCTCGGACCATTCTCGTCGACCCCCGAATGGTAAGCCGCCTGTACTGACACGACCAGCGCTGCAACAACGAAGTTGAACGAGCAATCAGACAACACGCATTGCGAAACCGCTATCTGCGTATGGGACGGCCAGTTCGATCTCCGCCACGTACGCCAACTGTATCAGAGACCGCCTCCTCAGCCGAGACATCTTCACTGCCACCCTTGCCGGAGCCCCCAACCGACACGACCGTTAGCGGAGGAGACGCAGCACCACGCCATGAACCTGCAGCCCTAGCAACGGCGCCGACACTCAACGTCCATGTACCGAAAAATACAGAATTCGGCGGCGATTGCTGGAGTTATTCTCCCGAGCCAGTCTCCCCTGGTGGCGAAGCATCCGACCTGCAGCTCCTGGGCGCTGCTCCGGATGGGTCAAAGCAAAGATTTACGGTCCACGGTCGGCACAATCTGGATGTGTCCGAGGTCCCAGACCAAGCATCTACTCTTGCAGAGTGGGATTTTGTTCTCCCCAGGATTCCGTACACCATGCCGCCAAATAGAGAGCTCGACAGCACAGGTGAGATCATCAATATCCGAGAGGTAGTCGGAGCGGTTCAGCACGGAGCAAAGGTGCAGATGGTCCGAAACTACCTCGAGCGATATGGACGTGAGAAGGTACGCAGAGTCATCAACGATGAGGTGGAAGGCTTCGCTGCGATATTCTATATCGCGGCATCGAACGACGAGTCTCTCCTTCGACTTTGGATCGAGTACGGAGGAGACCCTGAGGCGAAGCATACGCCCTCAAACACCCCGCTCCTTGCGTTTACCATAGTCAACAGCGAAGGCATTCAAAGCGATACCACACCTATCACCTCAACCCTGCTGAGTCTCGGTGCTTCGCCAAGTGTGATCCCATCAGCGTTTTATACTCCCTACCTCGAAGATCTGTCGGAGGACGGCGGCGAGGGGCTTGACAAACAGGGCAATGGCGAGACGTCTGTCGCTCGGGATCCTGATGTTACTCAGTGGTGCACTGGAGCTGCGAGGACAAGACTTGTAAAAAGTCTCACTCTCTCGCAACGATACTTTCTTGAAAAGGCGTCCAAGACCAGACGACCATCTCAACGGCAAATTCAACTGGCGCAGAGAAGGAACGCCGAGCCCCTGCTTGGACTGCCTTACCTCCTCATCGGTCAAACGTTGGCGTCTAATCTCCTACTGCAGAAACTTCTCAGTCACCTCATTTCGCCCAGTAAGAGACCTCTGGTGCTGGTATTTGCCGGCCCCAGCGGCCATGGCAAGACAGAATTGGCGAGGAAGCTTGGCCATCTCCTGTCTCTCGAGCTCGAGGTGGTCGATTGCACGATTTACAATCGGGAGATCGAGTTGTTTGGTCCGAGGGAACCATACGTTGGGTCGGAAAAGGGGAGCCCGCTGAACAACTTCCTCGCCAGGAACGCCGGGAAACGTTGCATTGTGTTTCTCGACGAGTTTGAGAAGACCAGCTCTGACATCCACAATACGTTGTTGCTGCCTTTCCAAAATGGTATGATTTGCTCCCTCCCCGGACCCGCCGCACGCTGACAGCCCTCCAGGAGAGTATCAAGATCGTCGTGACCGAAGCATGGTCAATTGCTCGAACACAATCTGGATCCTCGCAACAAACGCCCACGATGCGATAATTCAGGCATTTTGCTCTGCCAACCATCAAGTCCTTTTCGGAGACGATGATGATTCAGCGAAGATGCGGCTCGCAAAACCTCTCTCCGCCGAGATCAAGGAGGATTTTCTTTCCAAATTCGGGGTATGGATCAGGCTGTCTCTTTTTCAGGTGGCCTCCAAAGCTAACGAGTTGGACCTAGTCCCCCATCACTGGGCGCATCTCTGCCTTCATTCCTTTCCTTCGGTTTTCGCCGGGAGAGCAAGCCGTGGTCGCTCACAAGTACCTGCTCGAGCTCGGCTATGGCGTTGAGGCTCCCGTAAATCTCTCCTTCGGCGCCCGAGAAAAGCTCCTGGGGGATGTCCGCGTTCGGATCCGCAATGACGCCTCGGTGTGCCGTCTTCTAGCCAAAGCTGAGTACCATCCGGAGCTTGGTGCTCGCAGCCTGGACAACGCCGTGGACACAATCAAAGGGCTGCTTGTTGAGGCATACTTGGAAATCGACCAGCAGATCAAGGAGTCGGCCAATAAGTCAATCTTCCAGGTGGAGGTGCAAGCTGATGAGATTGTGGTGAGACTGATTGGCCGTGCCTAGTCGAGACGAGCAGATCCGGCTCGGACCAGCGGGGCACAACATACTATGATAGAATCGACTGATAGAAAGGCCGATACCGGTTTGTCAATGGCGTGGATTCCTGATGGAATTGTCCACAGGGATTCTATGTCCATTGAGGCTGCTGGCGTAGCCTTGCGGGATAGAAGAGGACAGGTGAGGAGTGCATTCTGCAGCTAGTCCCGATCCTCATTAGCGCCGATTGCTTCGGTGAGACAGCCTCGTCACGTTACCTGTCGACCTCAATGTTTCTGCGCGCGATCCGTATCAGGCAGAGATTCCTGCAATTTCGTCCTTCCTCCTGTATATTGGAGTTTTCGCGAGGATGGAAGGCTCCCTGCCGCTTCGGAGCCAAGCGCTTCCTGAATTTGTCTCTCCTAGAGTCTCCATCTGCACATCCCTTCCGCTTTTTCGCCCGAAAGAATGTTTGACGCCCTTGAGTCCGGCGTGGCCGCCTGCACCATGCTTGTTGGCGCGTGTTTCCGAAAGCTGGCTCTTTGTAGCCGGTTTGCATGGGACTATCCAGAGCAAACACGGCCCACGGCCCGTCTGAAGCAGGCTGAGACATGCCATCAGACGTCATCCGTTCAAACACTCGCCTTGTCCAGCCTTAGCTACTCTTTCTCCCTCCCAGTTCTTTGTTGACAGGAAGGTAAATGACCTGGAACCATCCTTTCCCTCCCAGACATCCTCCAACTGCAACGGTTGTTCGGTCTGCCATCCATAGAGTCACGGGATTTGTGCTCTTGTTCTTCAGCTCTCACCAGTCGTAGAATATGAACGGCTTGAAACAGAGGCCCGCAATCGACGATGAGGCCAGGATTGGCGCACTCTACAACGCTCGGGAGGACTGCTTCCTGGCGGGCAACCCGTCCAGCGAGCAATATCCCCCGGGCGCAGTTCAAATCAGCTCCACCCCAACACAGAAGATCCAACTCGACCACGACAGCAGCTTCGCATCCAAGTTTCGTATGCTGGGAGTTGAAGCCTCTCTTGGCGCCACAATTCTGGCCGGATGGCTCGACTGCACAGGCTCTTTCAGACTCCTGGAGGAACCAAATGGCCAGGACGACGCTTGGTCAGCTGTATACCACACCCTCCTGACCGTGGAAGAGAGACTACATCTAGGTTGTCCGGCCCTCCGTGACTGCCTCAGGGACTACTCGTTACAGGAGGCTACGCATCTTGTTGTGGAAATCAAATGGGGTCTACGAAGCGTGATCACCGCTCAATATCCAGAGAGACTGTCTGCCAACGCAAGCGCACTGAGGTCTCGCATGGGCGAATTCGCGGCGGCGGCAGAGAAACTGGCATCCGACACCAGCCAAAGCCATTGTTTTGCGCTCGGGTCAAATGAACCCCTCGATGTCATGGTATACAGCGATGTTTTACAAACCGATGGTATCATCATGGAGGATCTCCAAGAAGCATACGAGTTTCTGAAGATCGTGCCTCTCCACATCAAGGACATCAATAACGGCAAAGGAAAGCCGGTCACTTACTCGCTCCTGCCTCTCGAAGTCGTTGGCTATATCCTCCAATTGCCGCTGGCCCCGCAGGCGGCGCTATCACTTCCAAGGGACGAGTGGCTGGATCAGCTCATCAAGGTGTTTGACGACTTTCAGTCATACCGTCGCCGGCTGTCGGACCATGCTACCCACATGGTCTCCAAGAAGCAATATCTACTTCCCGGCCAAATGGAGCTCTTCGAAGACGGCTTGAGGCGACTGTCAGAAGCCGAATCTGCTTTGAAGGCACGATTCCCCATGGCGGTGCGCAATGCGAGACAGGACGGCGATCAAGGCGAACTACATCGGCTGTTGCAGGAATATGTCGACGGCGACTCGGCTCCCGGCAAGATTGGAAACGTCGACTCTTCCCACCCAAGTGCCACAGACGTCCTTGAGGGACTTGTCGCTAGGGGAGCCACGTACGTAGGGGGCGACGACTCCGTCCTGGTCAACGAGCTTGAGAGATATAGGCACGGTGATGTTTACGTCTTGCACTTCGACCGCTCCGGTCTGTCTGAAGACGTAGATCCTTCTTGGACGCTCAATTACGACCGATTCCTCAACCTGCTGGACAATCAGAAAGACGGCACGCACACTCTGTGGGCAATCTATGAACCTAGCGCCAGAAAGGACGCATGCCAGAGTGGTTTTCATATCTCTTATTTCCAGATGGGAGAAGAGGTCACGCAAGACCTTTTGGAGTATGAAAGACTCATGAGCGAAAAGTGCTTTGCGAGGTGCCCACCTGACACCATCGAAGCCAAAGACATCAAGAAGCCGATCAAGCGACGGTTTGTGACCATGCCCTGCCCATCTTCTCAATGCAGTGAACATACTGATTGTCACTGGACGTGCCCTGATTGTCTGGAGGCAATCGAATATGGGTACGTCGATGACTATTTCTATTGCGGTTGTGGCAGGAGCAAGTATTCGAACTACGAGTTTCAGTGCAATGGGCCATCGCATGGCCCGCGATTTGATCAACACGATCCCGCCGTGATGCTCAAATCACTCCGCGACCTTGGGTCTTCGCACTACGTCAACATCTTGATCCTGGGTGAAACTGGCGTGGGCAAGTCCACTTTCATCAACGCCCTGGCCAACTACCTCCAATTCGCAACCCTGGACGATGCCATGGCTTCTGACGGCTTTTCCTGGCTGGTCCCTTGCTCTTTCTCCACCCAGACAATGAACCGAGACAGCTTGGACGACGAGATCCAGGAGCATTTCGTCTCCATCGGATCCAGAGAGGATGAAAAGGACGGCAGCAAAGGTGACTCTGCCACTCAGCGAACGGCTGTATACTCTGTGCCGATTTCTTCTGGCTCCACACCCTGCACAGTGCGACTCATCGATACCCCGGGTATTGGCGACACACGTGGCCCCGAGTTCGACCGGAAAAACATGATGGACGTTCTTGCGACGATTAGCGGCTACGATGAGCTGCATGGGATATTGATCCTTCTCAAACCGAACAATTCTCGACTGACAATAACCTTCCAGTACTGTGTCAAGGAGCTCTTGGTTCATCTTCACCAGAGCGCCGCTCGAAACATGGTGTTCGGCTTCACCAACACGCGAATCACAAACTACACCCCTGGGGACACCTTCCAACCCCTGAAGAGACTTCTGGGGGGGAACACCAACGTGGGGCTTTCGCTCTCGGCCAACACGACCTATTGTTTTGACTCTGAGAGCTTTCGATACCTTGCGGCTTCGAAGCAAGGAATCCACATGCCCAACAAGGCGGATTTTGACCGAAGTTGGGACCATTCCCGACACGAGACCGTACGTTTGATCGAGCATTTCAGATCGGTGCGCGCCCATCTGACCAAGAGTACCATGAGCCTGAACGGAGCCCGCCGGAGTATCCGGGAACTCACCAGGCCGATGGCAGACATATCGCAGATGATCAGGAAAAACATCGCCGTCTGTACGGACAAGAAGGCCGAGCTCGCCGACAAACGTCTCACCGGTGACCAGCTCCGCAACAACCTGCACATAGACAAGATCCAACTAAAGCCGGAGCCACTGGTCATGCCTAGAACCGTCTGTGCCCACACGGATTGCACCGAGGTCCGAGACGATGGCACTGGCCGAAGCGAGAAAGTCACTGTCTACAAGACGCACTGTCACGACCAGTGTTCCCTTGACGACGTTCCTCACGACGTCCTGGCTCCTCCAAGTCTCATGAACTGCGCAGCATTCGGAGGCTCGCAGACATGCAGTCGCTGTCGGCATCACTGGTCAGAACACATGCACATCATTTACGAGCTCAAGGAGCACACGGTGACGGTCGAAGACAGCACTGTCGCGCAGCAGCTAAGGGACCACGCCGACGACATCACACTCCGTCAGACGGCAATCACCAACCTGGACCAAACAATCAGGGAGTACCAGGATGAGCACGACATTGTCCGCGACGCGGCCGCCAGGTTCGGCGTGTTCTTGAAGCACCACTCCATCACGCCCATCAACGACGCCACCGAGGCGTACCTCGACTTCCTCATCAAAGCCGAGAAAGACAAAGTCGACGTCGGCGGCAACGACGCCAAGCTCCAGACCTTGACAGAGGACCTCCAGCGCCACAAAGAAGCCATGGCAGTGCTGACGCGCTCCTTCGCCGCGAATACGACTGCCGCGGCGGACGATCTGACCGAAGCGGCCATCGAGAGGACGATTGGCGTGCTGTACGACCTGAAACACTTTGGCGAGAACCTGAAGTGCTTGCGAGAGGGGATCTCGTCCGCGCACGAAGCCACCAATCGGGAGATCCCGCTGTCTTTCAAGCGCCATCCTTTCAGTGCGAGCGGTCGCCGTTCCAGGAAGCTGGAGTTTCGGAGGCACAATTACACGGACGGTTCTGCCAGCGGTGGTGCATCGTCTGCGGGACGGGCTCAGGAGGATGGTGACGGCAAGGGCTTGTTCACGAAGGCGTGGCGGAGGGGACAGGCTCTTTTTACCCTCGGCCCCTCAGGGTCTTCGAGGTGAACAGGCCCTCGACACACTAACTGGAATGCCACACCTGGTTTTGCTGAGCCCGAGTCCAGCAGGATTGAAACTCCTGGCCTGCTGCGGACGTCGACTATTTCATGATTGGAAGCCTGCGGGCACACGACAAGACAGAAGGAAGCCCCTTCTCATAGTTTTCAGTACCCAATATCAATATCATTTGCGCTAGCTACAGACTCTTGTCCAGAGGTGGTGGTCTACCCGGTCTGCACTTGGCGGCCCGGTTAGAATGTACGGAGTACCTCGTATGATTATCGCCAAATCTCCTTTCGGCAAGATACCAGCTGCGTCTGATTGGGGGATCTGCGCGACGCCTTGCTGCAGGAGGGCGGCCGGCTGCATTGGCCCAATCCAATCGAGTTACACCATCCTCTTTCGGCGTCTTATGTATCGTATTAGTTCGTCTCAACGGCGGGCATGCGAGGCTTAATAAGCACTTCGGGCAGTTCGATCAGGGTTATTACCTCAAAGTTACTAGGCCAGGTGCCGCGCAGGGGGATCCGTCAGTCACTACCAAGGCTGTGTTATATATAATGGTGCCGCCCGGAGTATATTGGGCGAAGAAGGGCATACGACTCGGGACCGCCACCATGCGACAATGACCAAGATCACCATCCACTTCCTCCCCGTGAGGACCGCGACGCTCAGACGGACCAAGCGCGACGCCGAGCTCACCGACGCCGAAGCAAAGTCCCATGCCCGGCGGTCTGCTCACGTCCTGGCCAGACTGCCCAAGCGCACGGCGCGCGGGCATGCAAGGGCCGGGTCGCAGTCCATCCTGCGGCTCAAGAAACGCACAAAGGTAAAACCGGTCAGAAAGTCCAGAAAAACCGACTCCAGAGGACAACTAAGTGCCCAGTCTAACATACATACACGTGTGGTAACAGAAGCCGGAAACCATGCCTGCCGACAACAACGACACCCAGGCCCCCATTTCGCGAAGAATGCAGGCCAATGTGCCGCCCAGCATTGGAGACGTGGATGGATGCGACCCTTTCGTCCGCTTCCCGTGCGTGACCGGGTCGATTGAGCACAAGTTGTTCCATTTCCGTCAGCCCCCTTCTCTTCCTCCCCTTGATTCACTGAGACTGACCGAGGGCATGGTGTGCGCACACAGTCATGTCCTACGTGCCGAGCCGATTCTACGGCACCCGGCCGTGGGCGGCGTACGACGTGCTCCGCGACTCGGTCATGCCCGAGATCCTGACGGGGGGCGCGTACATGTCGCTCGCGCTGTACGTGGCGGCGGCCATCGTCAACACGCTCAAGTCGCCGCAGCAGCAGCCGCAGTTCTCGGAAGAATGGATGCTGGCGCGGCAGGCGACCAACTACCGGCTGCTGAGGCAGCTGCTGGAGAACCAGCACGGCCACCCGTGGGACTGGGCCATCACCTGCGTCGTCGTGGCGGGCTACGCCGACGCCATGGCCGGCCAGGCCGAGCGCGGCCGCACGCACACAAGGGCCGGCCTCGACATGCTCCAGGACTTTCGGAACCTGCAGCGCATGCGGCTCTCGTCGGGGTCCATCGCCTTCAAGGCGTTTCTGCAGACGGGCGTGCCCACGATGTTCCCGACGAGCGCCGCGCTCGAGGCGGCCATGCACGGCGCGAGCCAGAACCTGCGGCGGATCCAAGCTTGGACCCGTCTCAAGCGGAATGCGCGGTGCTCCGGCACCCACTGCCAATGTCATCCCCCTGACGCGGTTGGGGAGAACGATGCCACGGAGCAGACAGCCCGCTCGAACGGAGAGTGCCGCTACTGGGCGGCGCGGCGCCTGGCCCTGGGCCCGACGACGGCGATGGGCCGCTTGCTGGCGCCCAAGTCCATCCGATTGCCCGTCTCGGACGAGCGGCTGCTGATGGCCAGCATCTACGCCCTGCACGGCATCCTGTGCAACCTGCAAGACGTCGACGCCGCGGCGGAGCGCTTCTTGGCCGACGTCGGCGAGATGACGGCTAACAGCCTGGACGAGGGCGTCGACCTGAGCGTGCCCCCGCGGTTCGCCATGCAGAACTGCATCCACATTGTCGTCGCGTGCGCCGAGAAGCACGGCCTGTGGTTCTACCACGGGCCGGGACACCCGCTGCCCGCGCTGCGCACCTGGGAGGCCCTCGAGTTTGTCGAGATCATGATGCTCACGGGCCCTGCGAAGCAGCAGAAGATCATGGACGCGATGCGCCGCTGGCTCTATTGGGAATCGTCGCAGCCGGTGGAGGTGGCGGTGGCGACGTCGACGACAATAACCCCACAAACACTCCTCCTCGGCGACGACAGCGAGCTGGAAGAATTCAAGAACGAGATCGTCTCGAACTGGAAGGCCAGAAGAGCCTCCGAAAGTTCGACTCGGGACATAGAAATAGACTCAAATACCCTCGCCACTTCCAAGACAGAGAAGGTAAAGGCATGACACGAAAGCCGCCAGGAAACCCTCCAAGCACGGGGCGCGCCGCACCTGACCCGCGAGGTCCACGAGGAAGAACGATGTCAAGACGCGCATGCCCGGTCAAAGCAACGACCAGCAGGGATTTTGGTCACTTCCATGTTATTGGAGTTCTTTATGCGGGCTTATTTTTGAATAGCCGGCCGCTTACACAGCCAGGCTTCATGCCCGTGTACCCATGGTAAGCGAATACAAAGTGCTTTTGTTCTCAGTGCGAATCATACTGACCAGCGGCATCAGTCTGGATTGCCGCGTTTTGAGAAAGCAACAAACCCAAGGAGATTGTCCTTGATGGGGACGCCAGAAACCTCCCAGACGCCTGGATCACCGACACTGCTTGCGTCCCTCGGGGCAATGTTCGCCTGAAACTCCATCCTCAATGGTCCTTGTTTTGGAGGAAAGCCGAGCGCGATAACGACGTGCATTGGTGGTGGACGACAGTTCCGCCGTGGTGAGCAGAAGGCAGAAGCGGAGTATTGAGGTGCCGTTGTAGGTGGACAGAATCGCCGTCTGGAATGCCGTCGGTCTCCTGGCATGCTGGGAGTGGGTTCGAGCCAATCTCGACTCAGCCTCCTGCTCATCGGCAGATTATTCAGATAACGCCTTTTTTTCCATTGCTGGCGGTGATGTCTAGATGATACCATCAGTGACTGCGCCATGTGAGATCTGGTCAGTGAAGTCGTTGACAGCTTTTCTGTCCGGGTTTCCCTGACACATGGCCTCGAGATGAGGTGCACTTGGTGGGATACTGATAGAGCGCCTCGCCTCTTGGATTTCAAGACTGCGTGGGGGCAGGTTTCCTTCCATAGACGTTGTAACTGTGCTGCGTTAGTCTCTGGGCCGCTCTCACCACCAACCACAAAAACTTACTAGAAGATATAACTGTGCATCTTGGGATTCCGCAGCTCGCGTTTCGTCTCGGCGATCAGGATCTGCAGTTCGTCCGGATTGCCTCCCAGCATGGTGGTATAGCCGCGGAGCAGGTAGGCGTCCAGGCCGTTCCGGAGGCTGAAGTTCTCGTAGGCGCCGATCTCCTTGAGCCGGCCATCTTTCGGCCAGATGCCCTGGGGCACCTTGTAGATGGACTCTGTGACGTCGACGAAGCCGGCGCGCTCCATCTGGGCCTTCCACAGCGTCGGCGCGTTCAGCGGCGTGCCCATGGCATCCGCCATCTCGAAAAACAGCCGCTCGACTTCCTTCAGGTGAGAGTCCGCTGGCAGCGTGCCGTCGTCCGAGGTGGGCGTCGGGTACGTGCCCCCGACTTCCATGTAGGCGCCGGGCCGCAGGTGGTCGAATGCCTGTCTGAACAGCCGGTCCCAGTCGCGGACGGCCATGATGAGCTCGCGGGCGTGGATGAAGTCGAAGCTGGTGGTGGAGAACAGCCACTCGTCCTCGATGTCCTGCACCTCGAACTGGCAGTTCGGGGGCACCCACTCGGGCTGCACGGGCGCGATGTCCACGCCCGTCACCACGGCGGTTTCGTACTGGTCGGCGGCGTCGATGGCCCAGATGCCCGACCCGGTGCCCAGGTCCAGGATCCTCGCCGGCGCGAGGGGGATCGGAGCACGGTGCAGCGCCCCGCCGATGATTTTGCGGAACTTGACGTGCTGGATGTTGTTGCGCTCCTGCTCCCTTTCGTCGATGGGGAGGCCGTACATATTTCTGCCATAGGCGGGGTACTTGCGGCCGTTTTCTTCAATGCCATTGCGGATGTGCGTCGAGATGGACGTCAAGTAGCTGCTCCCATCATCCGAGAGGGAGCCGTATGTTTCGTCCTCGAACGAGTCGAAGTCATCCACATGGATCAGGTCCTCGTTGTGGGCAGCCATTATTAGGTACAACACTGGAGCTACTCGTGCGAGTTCGCTAGCTAGCTAGAGGTTTTTAGAGTGGGAAGCCGAGGAGGATGTTGGACGGGGGAAGCGAGGGGCGATAAAGGCCCAGAATCCCCGAGCCTATTGCGAACTAGGATCGTGGCCCGTCAACAAGCCGGCGTTGCTGCCTTTGGCGCCGTCGCTAGCCACGGCGAAAGGTTGAGAACGAGGAGGGGTAGAGGCCGGCTGTGATTATCGTGACAAACCTTCTGCTGCTTCGTGAGCACCGATTCCGCAACGGGCACACGGAAAGTATCATGGCGCCGTCCTCCTTGCCTGCGCATGTTGACATGGACGTCATCTCCCGACTTTTGCAGGATGTCAACGAACATGTGCAGGCCTTTGGCTCGGGAGATCTCAAGACTCGCGAGGCCGCGATTGAGGCGTGTCGCTCGCTGGCCTCGGCCCTGGAGACTCCCAGCGAGGCGGTGGTGAGGATGACATGGGTTGAGGTCAGTGCGCAGTGCGATCCATCCATCCTGGACATTGGCGGGTTCTCTCTGACCTCGAGCGACCACAAACAGCCCAGTCATCTTGCCGCGCTGCGCATGGCCGTTGACCTGCGGCTCTTTGAGCATCTTGCAGCAGACAATGGCTGTCCGAAAACAAGTGCCCAGATTGCGGCAGCGTGCTCAGCAGAGCCTTGGTTGGTTGGTTCGGCCAGCCCGTTTCGAGAATCCAATACTTCTGCAGCCCAGGGACTGTCCTCGTGCTGACACGGGTTTCCACTTCCAGGGCGGATGATGATGCATCTCGCGGCGATGAACACTCTTCGTCAAGTCGATGCAGACAGCTACGTGCTGAACCCATTTGCACAAGCCATGACAAAATCCATCTTCAGGGAGAGCGTTGTTCTGATGTGCGTCACTTGACACAGATAGACAAATCGAACCCTGAATATGAAACTGACAGGCACCCGACCTCTGTGGAGAAATAGGCACGATATCTGTATCCCGATCAACATGAAGACGGCCGAGTTCTTTGCAGAGAATGGCTATACCAGCCCGACAGATCCCCTCAATACACCGGCGCAACATACATTCGATGCGAAAGGCAAGACACATATCTTGGACATATTCGCGCAACGTGGGCAGACCCAGGGCCTTGCCAGTATGATGGCTACGTGGATGCTCGACCGACCGCACTGGTCCGACGATGACTTGGGATTTTATCCTGTGAAGCAGCGACTAATACAAAGCACGACCGGCGACGACGATTCGGTCTTCCTGGTGGATGTTGGAGGCAGCGTAGGGCACGATCTGGAAAAGTTCCTCGTTCGACACCCGTTCGACAGCTTCCCGGGCCACCTGGTCCTTCAGGATCGGGCTGAAGTCATCGATTCGATTCCCGAGAACAGCTTAAAGGCTGGCCTTCGCGCCATGGCCCATGACTTTTTCACCCCACAACCGATAGAAGGTAAGTGCAGTAATAACTTTTTTCTGTGCCCCAGGTCCCCTTCGAGCTTGTAGCCTTTGTCTGATATGCACGTACACCGACCTGCAGGGGCGAGAACATATTTTCTGCACAGCATAATCCATGACTACCCGGACGACCGGGCACGGTTGATTCTGAAGAATATCGCTCGAGCCATGAAAAAGGGGCACTCCAAACTTATCTTGTGGGATTTCGTGCTTCCAGAAAGGGCCGTTGCCTCAACCCTGTCAGCTCTCGACTGGGAAATGATGTCCTTCTATGCCGCGAGCGAGAGGTCAGAGGGTCAATGGAAAGCGTTGCTCGAAGATCCCGACATCGGTTTGAAAGTCAATGGGATCTGGAGCTATAGTCAGTTTGACCAAAGTGTGATCGAGGCAGAACTGGCTTGAGGGCCACTCGTTGTTCTCTTCATATCCCGATCAGTTTCCAGCGCGACTTCAGTGGGAATAGAAGTAGAGATACGCTCGTATCTTTGACATATACCTTACTTTCAAACATTGACCCGGCAGCTTGTGTCTCGAGCGAGAAGGACGTGGAGGTCAGTGGGGGCTCTCTCATAGACCTGATGTCCGACGTGGCTAAAAGTGAGGGCTCGTAGAGGCAAAGGATTGACATGTTCAAAGAGGCTGGAGCATATCTTACCGCCTCGTTGGACGGGGCACTTTGATATGCCAAGGCTGCGCCCACAGCGCGGGTCCCTGGCCTGCGCCGCATTGTTGTAATAAGAGGTAGCTTGTTGTCGTCTCCAACTGCAGATTCTCCTGGTCCAAAAAGTGTCCCTTGCCCATGCAGTTCTAGATCTGCCCTGACTAAACTCCCATTGCTCCTCGCACATGGTCTCTTCCGCCGCCGTCTGTCTCTCCCTCTGCGCAGCCCTTCACCACCATGTCTAATCCCAAAGTCGCCGCCGATTTCGACGCAATAATTCAGGCTGGTATTTCGCTCTCCGTGTCGCTCTTTGCGCCTGACGGTCCGCTGACGGGTTCCCAGACCGACAGCGCAAAAAGAATGAAGCGCTGGCAAACGAGATCTTTGGCAGAAGTAAAGCGAACAAGAACGCTCCCAGAAGCACAAGCAAAGGCTCTTTACGGACCCCTGACCTCGCGAGTCGCATCACAAAGGTATAGCCAAGCGGAAAGTCCTGTCAAGCTGGAAGCGTTGGGGAATCATGTCCGAACTCATTGCTGATGGGAACGGCTGGTGTAGCGATCTTCGTCTGTGACCAGTTCAGGCTCTTCCCGTAACCATCTATTCACTCCTCCGTCAAGGCCGTCCTCAACAAACCCTCAAAATGCACGCTCGTCTCGCCTCGCCTCCGCGCTCGAGTCTCCCCAAGCCAACGTCATATCCCCCCAACCAAAACCAAGAGGCTCTGGTCTAAGCATTAAAGGCAAGGCAGGCCCCTTCGTGGTGGAAGCCAGCAATTTCGCCCCTGGTACGACGGCGGCCGATATCGAATCTGCCCTACAAGCGGAAACGTTGGACGAGAGCGGTGTCAGCGGAATGCTCTCGTGTCGCTTGGTCAAGACAAGTCCAGTTGTGGTGGCGGAGTTGGTGTTTACTGAAAGACAGATCGCGGACCAGATTATATCCACGTACAACAATCAGAAAGCAGACGGACGTATCTTGCGACTTTCCCTCAAGCGACCTGGTCCAGGCTCGACCTCTACACCGCAGTCCAATCAATCGAACCTCGATCCGGCGCCTGAAGCGCTGATACCAGAAACACAGACACAGCCTGGAGATGAGAACACCATGGAGGACGTGGAGATGGATACAGAGGGGGCGGCTTCCTACGACGATCGACGTACCCGGGAACCCAGAAACGCCGACGCGGACGTCCAAGATGGAAGCTACGGCTTTGAAGAACCGCTGCCTCCTGATGCGCACGCACGCCACGCTGAGCGCAGGAGAGACGAGGATCGACGAGACCGAGAGCGAAGCTACGAGCGCGACCGCGACCACGACCGCGACCACGACCGCGACCACGAACAGGACCGAGAACGAGAGAGAGATCATGATCGTGATCGCGACCGCGACCGCGATCGAGACCGAGACCGAGACCGGGACAGGGACCGAGATCGCTATGACCGTCGCGATGCTCGTCCTGCGGGACGCGGCTCCTATCGTCGTGACGACAGACCCGACACCTACAACTCGCGGCCTTCGCACTACGGCAACGGGGTCGGCGGGGCTCCCGGGCCTGGCAGAGGGATATTTGGCGGTGGTGCACCGGGCCCTTTCCCGCGCGGCGGAGGTCGGATGTACAGCGACGACGGGATGCGCGGGGGTCGGCGAGGCGGCGGACCAGGCGGGTTTGGGCCTGGCGGCTATCCGAGAAGAGGAGGGTACTAGTGATGCCCTGTCCCTCTGTGTCTTGGATGTCCTTAGCAGCTTGGATCGAGCTGGGGACGGAGAGCGCAGCCGCAGCGACGTCGACGTGGGCGTGGACGCGGGCGTCGACGTCGACGTGGATCGGCTCAGCCATTGTGTGTGATTTCCATCCAGCATACCGCCACAGTTGTCGTATCGTCTCGACCACGTTTTCGATGTACTTCTACGGCGAAAGGAGGAGAAAGAAAATCAACCAGAGCTCTGATCTGCGGAGGGCCAAACCATGTAAGAGGGCAAGCATCCCAATCTACCAGCCCACATGGGTAGTGGAGAGGACAAAAATCCAAAAGAGAAGAAAAAACAAATCATGAAAAAGACCTTGTGAGCCCGTAACTCCGTATCTGTTTCCTGTGCTGGCCCTTTCTTGGCCACAGCCATTATCGCCGTCCGTTAGCAGTCCCCGCGGCTCAAAGATGAGTTGACACTGGGACCTCTTGTATTCTGGAGTACCCAACGCCCGCGAGCTAGACCCCCCTGTCCTGAACGTGTGCCCATCAGTAAAAAGTCAAGAACTCATCGCGCATGTTGATCGATCAATCAAAACATAAACGGATCTAATGCCAGCATCCGTCGTCCCCTCGAACCTGAAAGCCCATCGTCCCCGACAACCACCCGTGAAAACGCCTCGCTGATCGGTACAGTACACCCTGTTCCATGCCTGTTCTGCCTCTTTGAACGCAACCCAACCCAGGTGTCATCAGACATGACTTCCACCACTTCATCAACTCTTTCGGCTCGAACAGACCGAAGTCGACTCAATCGCTCTTCAGCATGCTCTCCACCAAATCACCGAGAGGGCCCCAGTAATCCTTACCCCCGCCCTTTTCAAGACCATGCTCGTCCACAAAGAGTACGAAATGCTTGAAGCTCGTATTCAGGTGCGGTTCCAGCCCGAGGTGCACGATCACTTGATAATGGTGACAATATATGTGTGCGTACACGCGGTAGAGGCGCTTGAAGAGTTGTCGGACAGTAGAGGGGAAATGTTTCGGGAAGGGGACGCCGATCCGGGAGGGGAAAGTGCTCTCGTTGTCGACATTGGACTGCACCCAGGTCATGAGATGTTCGATGTATTCCGGAGCGGGCATTTTAGTGGGTTTCGGGAAACCAGTTGCAGCGTCTTGCCAAAGATACTCGAACCTGCAAGCATCGTTAGCGGCCATCAAGGCGGGTGTGGGGTGTCAGGCGGCTCAAAGTTCGAAGTGGAAAGGGTCACCATACTCATCGGTGGCTTTCATCTCGGGGCACGACTGCGGTGAGCAGAACTCGGTGATGGATCCATAAAGCAAGTTGATCTGGTTGTAGAAATCGACCACTGCCAGACACCACGGGACTTGTCAGCGATTCCATTCCACGATTTCTCTCTCGGCCCTGTCTGAAAGGCATATGTGGTTACCGTTGACTGCCAGCCATTCGTTAAGATCTTCCCCCTCTGGCAACTTGACGGCCTTTCTCAAACTGCCACTTCCTAGCGTCGCCTCGGCGAATTGTCTCAGCTGATAGCTTGAGGTTCCCTTGTTGGCGCGTTGCGGTTTGAACTGGCCTCGGGTGCGGGCATTGCTAGATGGCGAAGAAGGGTCAATATTGTTCTGGGAAGGAGAGGAAAACAAGCCCAGACGCAGGAGTTGGACGGCGCGGGAGGGCGTGCTGGGCGAGGTATTGGCAGGATCAGGGCCCTCATTCTCGTCGTTCTTGTCACACGAGGTGTAGGAGTTGATGGTAACACATGAAGAGGATTGTTTCAATGTCAAATGAGGGGAGAGGGGCTGCGGAGAGGGAGAGGAATTGAGAAATTCGTACATGGTGGTCAGGAAAGAAGCCATGTGGAGGACAGTGGTGTCGTCTTCGATTGAGAGAGATTTCGCAAGTCAAATCTCTGCTGGAGGGACGTTTTCTGCCGCACATTCCAGGAGTCAGTGGTCAAAGTGTCCCAAGGATGTGAAGTTGTGTCGGGCGCCATACTCACGGTCGGTCAGTCAGTCGGGCGCCTGCCTTCCTTTGGTGAGAGCGCGACCAGGACAGACAAACGATGTTGCCTGCGCAGGACGGAATGGAGATAGAAAGGTTGCGTGGCAGGGTTGCTTGCACAGTTCAAAATCGGTCTCAAATATCACGCCTGCGTTCATATCATCATGTCGAACATCCTCTTTTTGCGGAAGAAGACAGTCGGAGGTTGAATCCCTTGGCGGTAGGGTAGCCACAGCAACAGGTAGAACTTCGGCATATCAGCCTCGCCATCAATCAAACAGCCACCAGCATCACAGGTATACGGGGACGAACAAATATCCAAAATGCACGCGCAGGAATGCTGGATTGAATAATAAGTGCCATTGTTTTGTTTGGCAATTGGCCGGAAGAAGTCTCGTCGCCTTCGAATATTCTACCTAAGATTGGCCCCGGCTTTGGCTTTGCACGAAGCCTGAGGGTGCAGATCCCTTTCCCGCAACGCAGTTCCTGGTACATAGTACCGTCGGCAGCCCCAAGTCCGTCCACATACACCTCGCATATGACATACACCTTGGTGAAACAGACATACAGCACAAAAATGTCACACAGTACCGCAAGTTCGCTAAATACCAAACCTAAACCCACCCACCTGTCGCTCACAGCTTCGGCGAGGTCATGAAATCTTGGACGAGGCCGCGGACTTCATCCTCCAGCTCTTGAGTCTCCTTGTGGGGATCGTACATCTTCTCCTTGATCCATGCTTCCAACTGGCTGTCGCTCATATCGCGCAGATGGTGCAGGCGGTCCACATTGTCTTTCTGCGCCGCCCGGATGACGTACAGCGCGACACGAGCACTCACATCCCGAATGCGTGAAATTGAAGGGTACATCAGGGCCTTCTCTTTCTCCTCCTCGGTGATCATGGTCGGCAAGGCTTCGCCAGAAGCATAGATCATGTTGGACGTGACTTGGACGGCCTTGGACAGGATGGTCCCGAGGCCAATGCCGGGGAACACATACATGTTGTTTCCCTGACCGCCATGATACATCTTGCCTTTGTGCATGACGGGATGGAAAGGAGAGCCGGAAGCAAACAGCGCTCGGCCGTCGGTGTGGGTGATTGCCTCCTCAAAAGTGCATTCCGACTTGGAAGACGGGTTTGACAGTGGGAAGATGATCGGCCTCTCGTTCCACTTGGCCATCTTCTGCAGGATCTCAGGAGTGAATGCGCCTCCGATCGTGCTGAGACCCATGATGATGGTGGGCTTAACATATTCGAGAACGTCATCCAAGGTCTTGAACTGCTGGCCGTTGTTGTCCGTTCGTGAGAAGTAGATCTTGTGTTCAGCGAGCTTGTCACCTCGGTCTTGCGTCACGAGGCCTTTGCTGTCGACAAGCCAGAAACAGGATTTGGCCTCGTCCTCGGTCAGTCCTTCGTGCATGAAGTAGTCCACGATCTGCTTGGCGACGCCAACGCCGGCTGAGCCTGAGCCCAAGAAGACCGCACGGTGATCTTTGGGCGAAACGCCAGACTCCTTGATGGCACCGATCATGCCTCCCATGATGACAGCGCCAGTACCTTGGATGTCGTCGTTGAACATGGCGTAGTCCTGGCGGTAGCGCTCGAGAGAGGGGAACGGGTTCTTCCAGTCTTCAAACTGGATGACGATATCGGGCCAACGCTCTTTCAGCGCCGCCATCAGCTCATCGAGGAACTCCTGCTCCTCCTCGGGCGTGACCTTGCCTCTCCGGCTGCCCATGTACAACGGATCTTCCTGCAGTTCCTTGTTGCTGGTGCCCAGGTCGACGGTCAAGGGTAGAGTGCCCTCCGGTCTGATACCTGCACAGCCAGTGTACAAAGCAAGCTTTCCAATCGGAATGCCCATGCCACCCACTCCCAAGTCACCCAGGCCGAGGATGCGGGAACCGTCAGTGATGACGGTGATCTCCACGTTGGATTGAGGCCAATTTTGGATGATAGCCGAAAGATGGCCTCGATCCTCGAAGCTGAGATACATGCCCTCGGCTTGTTGATAGATTTGTGACCATTTTTGACAGGCTTCTCCAACGGTGGGAGTGTAGACCAAAGGAGTCAACTCGGTGAAGTGGTCGGTCAACAAGCGGTAGAACAAATGGACATTGTTGTGCCTGATGGTGCTCAGGTAGAGAAACCTCTCAAGATCTGTGGGCTTCAGAGCCAACTGTGCCAAACATCTCTTCTTCTGGATTTCGTAACTCTCTGCTCGAGGAGGAGTGAGGCCGTACGTCTGGAGGTACTTCCGCACGGGGACCGACAGAGAGGTGTCAAAGTGAGCCGCCCGATTGGGGACGTGAGCGGTTGCGTGAGTGTACTTGGGTCGATGGGTATGGGCAGTCTGGGGATTGGTGACTGATGTCAGATTACCAACCGTTTGGGCGACAGGTGCCTCGAGGGGCGCGGAGGTGGACATGGTTGCAGAGTGGACGAGGTTGAAGAGGTTTTTTGGCCTCGACTTTGGATATCTTGAGATGTTGGAGAGCATTCGGAGGGCACAGAAGGAGATGCAACACTTTATCAATGGTCTGCAGTGTACAGACTCGACTCCGAAGTGACACTCGGGCCGGCACCAACACGCTGGGCTGAGGGTAGCTTGGGAAACGACTCGACGGGTTCCAAGTGGATTCGGAAGAGGTACGAGGATGAGTAACGGGACTTATCTCCCACGAGGCCAAACATATAGGGACTGTGTCAGCTCATGGGATAAACCGGGTGGAAAAAGGATTAAACAAAGACAATGCGGCGGCCAGGGCGAAATAGTCACACCGGACTAGTCACGGATGGCGTATCATCAACGTTTTAACGAGCACAATTGACGGTGGGGAAATGGGTGAAAAGGGAAGGAACGGATATGAGACGGCAATCAGCCGTGCGACTACTGGTGCGGTGAGAGAGCCATGTCCAGTCTGTGAGGCGGTCAACCTGGTGAGCCAGAAGTTGTTGAACTGAAAACTCAACTTTTTTTTTTGTGTTTTTTTGGAGGAATCGGAGCACGGATGAATCATAAACAGCCGGGCAGCCAATCCAAGGGCGCAGTTTTCGGAGTGAGAAAGAGTTGAATGACTCCAAAGGCGCGGACGGGCTGCTGAAAGGGGCAACGAGCTCTAAAATTCTAGGGGCACCAGGGGTGCATTAGGCACCCTGGGAGCAGCCGGCGCGCCCCTATCAGGACTCGTGGACTCTGGGGCTTCCGGCTGGCGTCCGCCATCCCCAGTGTTTCCAGGGGGGCTAGTCAGTTAAACATCCCCAATTGGACCCTGACGGACCTGTGAGCTTGATCTCGGCCTCCAGAGACTGTCCTCGCGGCGACCGACTGCGGAAGCAGCTGAGGGGGGAATACGATGGTGTCAGCGACTCAGCGGACAAACCATGGGGCCGAGATTACTGTGTGTCTCAACTACCAGGGTTCGTCCCAATTCAGTTCAATGTCGGCCGTTACCACCGTGATGTTTGTTATCTTCTGCGTGCTGTGAAGCTTGTCCACGCCAGAGCGGTGTCGGATATGCTGTAGAACCTTTCCGTCCGCTGCAGCTAGCAATAGTTCGTCCCAGAGTCCATGGTTGGCAGATCTGTGGCCAATGGTCAATGCCTATCAACAATGTCGGACTATCAGAGGGCCGTAATCTATTTCCAGATCCGGGACCACAAGGCTGTTGCACGCGGTCTGGAGTCATCGGTGAGCATGGCGGTCTGTGAAGTTTCCGACTTCTCATCGTCGCTTGACCCTGTGACCCATTTAGTGCGCTCCGACCTTCCCCAGACTCAAAAGTGCAATGTAGACCAAATCATAGATATTCGTGGGCTGGCCGCTTATGCAGGAGGTGCAGGGAAATGCGGAGAGAAATACGAGCATTCGGAAAGTCCTGTGCTTGACGGGGCCTGGCCCCAAATCAAATAACCCGAGATGCAGCTCACCCTCTTCACCGAGCCCGAATGGCGAGGAATTGTCGCCTCAACTCGAGACGAGCCCTTCCTCCGCGCCCTGTCCGCAACTGGGTGGCGGGCCCAGCGAGGGGAAAATAGAGCTCTGGTCGTCGATGGGTGGCTGTGGGCTGTTCTGGAGCTGGGAGCTGGGAGCTGGGAGCTGGGAGCTGCGAACAAGCGCATGGGCATGTACTGACAGACACTCTGACATCACCTCGACACTGAGCTCTTTTAATCCTATTCCATCTCGAACCCTTTTACTTTGTCCCCTTCATACCCAAGTGTAGGGCTGATGCGCCTCGATGTGCCAGCCCAGCGATTGGTGGGAAGTCGGTACAGCTTTCCGGAGAGCCTTGGCAGGCGAACGATGACGATGGAGCTGCAGGCTGCAACTCCGCAGTCTGAGACTTGAACCTCAACTCACTGTTGCGTTTGCATTGTGCAAGCTGTTCCAAGGCAGATGGATGCCTCCCAATTTGTCTCCCATCCTCACACGGCTCCTCCCTCTCTGCTACGCTGAGTGACCGAGCCTTCAGCCACGATCGCGTCTCCCCCGTCTTCAGATCGCGGCTATCATGTCCTTCCTCGCCCGATGCTGTGGCTTTGGCCGCAAACGAGGGGAAGACACTGATCCGTTACTCCCTCGCTATGAAGATGACACGACTCGCCAGCGAGCTCTCCACCAGAAGCTGCACACTTACCAGATGCTGAGAGCGCTCTCCAAAGGTTACATGCCCTCCACCGAGCAAACCATCGTCAACCTGCGCACCCTCCTCGCGGCGGACATCCTCAATCCAAACAACAAGGAGTTGAGCGACTCAGGCCGAGCACTCATCCGGAATTGTCGAACTTGGATCAAGCTGTTCATTGAGATCTTGAAGAACAAGAATGACCAAGACCAGATTCAGGACTTCATTTGGTACACAACAAAGTCTCGGATATCGCTGGATGTTGACGACATTTCACATTCGGCTTCCAAAGTCAAAGCCAGGGCAGATGCTCGTGCTGCTTATGAGTGCTTTCGCACGGTCGGCAGCTTGCTCCTGACCAATGCCGATTTCAGACTGTTCGTCAATGATGTTGCTACAATCGGAAGGGAGGTCCTGGCAGATACCGCGTTTTCCTTGTCCTCTGCAGCCGAGAAGGCCGGCAAACAACTCGAGCTCTCAGAGCAGGAACAACAGGCCGTGGCGAAACCAGGGGCTGATGAAGCCACCTTACCGTCCAAGCAAGACTTGGAGGAGAATGCGGAAGAGACGTCAAAGATGATCGGTTCGGAGATAGCAAAGGTCGGAAAGGATGCTGTCGAGAGCGCCAAGGAGAATTTTGGCGGCTCTCAGAAAGACACCCTGCTCTACCGTCTAAAGCAAGTAATCCTGAGGCTGAGGACTCGGACCGATTATTATGACTCGGTGTCGACCATCTCGAAATTGATTCAACGGTACGCTGTGGCTTATTCTCGGATAGCAGATACCACTGTCGCTGCGGCACAAGAAGACATCCACACCAATCCAGCTTTGGACCGTGCCGTGCACAATTTCTGGAGCTTTCTGAGCAGCTTCGGTGACCCCAACGCGTGGAAGCAGTTGGAGCAGGACTTCAACAAGGTCATGAGCCACGCCAAATCAGACCCTCAATTCGAGAACTTCATGGTCGAAGTGGGCAACGCGGTGCAACGAATGTTCACGGATCCGGAGTTCTTTGACAATGTGGACCAAAAACTGGACGAGCTCAAAGACAAGTCGGCCAAGCTGGGCAACGAGTCCGAGTTCAGGACCGATTTCGACAAAATGCTGAGGCAAGCACAGGTCACCGTCACCTCTGTCATGGAAGACAAGGACGTCAACGGGCTGTTACTGGCCACGAAGCGGATTTATACCATTCTGACGCCGCCGAACAAGGTCACTAATCCTGACCTCATCGCCGACGCCATCCACATTTTCTTGCCTCTGCTCATCCGGAGCGTTCAATACATCCCCATCCCTCGGGTGGAGGTCAGTGTTCCGGAAATGGACCTCCTCCTCGAAAACCTGGTGCTAGAGCCCGGCCGAAACGTCAACTCGACCTCTTTTCTGCCCTACCGTCTCCTCGTCTCGACCAAGAACGACCTCGAGATCCGCAAGACGCACTCGAAAAAGACGGTCTCCAGCACCAAGTCCCTCGTCACTATCTCCATCAATGGACTCAGCGTCGCGGCTCAAGACCTAGGCTTTTGGATCCGCGGCCATGCTGGTCTCGTGCACTTTGCCGATGAGGGCATTGCCAGCTTCTACCTGGATGAGCGCGGCATCGACGTCTCTCTGGACATGGAGATCGGTCACGAGAAGCTCGAACAAATTCTCACCCTGCGAGGCGTGAGAGTTCACATTCACAAGCTTGATTATGACCTCCGCCAGTCAAAGTTGTCCTGGCTAGGTTGGCTATTCAAACCGTTGCTAAAACACCTGGTCAGACGTTCTCTGGAAAAGGCGCTTGCCGAGAACATCGTCAAGGCCTTGCGCGCAGCGAACCGTGAGCTTGTGTTTGCCCGAGAACGACTGCGTGCCACTCGCATTGCCGATCCCCAAGACGTCGTCACGTTCTTGAAGGCCGTCATGGCGAGGTTGACGCCGGAAGAGGACCCAGACCTGTACACGAGGATCGGCGTGGACGCTCCGAAGCAGGGTGTTTTCAGAGGAGTGTATACACCTGGGAGTATCGTCAAATTATGGCACGAGGAGGCTCTGAGGGCAGAGGAGGCTGTACAGGACGGGGAAGAGAGGGGCGGTGGCTGGAGGAACGACATCTTTGATACGCCCGTTGTGTGAGGCGTGGCTCGATCCCATGACGCGAGTGATGCCGTCGATGGGGCTTGAGTCTTGGACCTCTTGTCGTTAATGAAAGACTTCTCCTTGTGGTTTCCAGGATCGGAACGACGTCTGGGGAGGTATTTATATGCTAAGCAACGTATCTCAATCTGACCGTGTGGTGGCTCTCATTGTGTCATACACTATAATGCAATATTACTACGAATTAATTCCACAATGTCTTGCATCAAGTGCATCGCTCACATAGCTGAAGGCTCTCTGAGGCGGCTGAAGCAAGCTACCTAAGTGCCCAGGTACGTGCGAGGCTGTGCTGCTTTATGTTCAGGTCCTGCTGGAGATTTGCTTGCCGCGCCCTAGCATGTCAAGAGTGTGTCCAGGTGGCAGCTATTGCCCAGGCCAAGCCTAACATGCCTCTTTAAGAGGCTCAAGTTGTGGGGGAACGGATGCTAATATTATTAAGACGCGGGAGGATCCTTTCGTATATTCACTAGCGCCTTGGCACTCTCTACATAGATAGAGAGCAGCCTCTCCCCTTCATAGAGGCCCTTACCTGGTTCAAGTTCATCTGTATCTCTGTCGCCGATTGCGAGTGTCTACTTGACTTGGAACTGTTGGTATCATCGCAATAAAATGGCTGCTGTCAAAAAGTCTGGGAAATTATCCATTATTGAAATCCGCGACTCCTTCCAGCACAGCAGCAACAAATGCACTGTAGAAACTCGAACTTCGCTCAAGATCTATTGGGATATTGACCGGACTTGGGAATCCCCTCCACTACGACAATCCATCTCAAGGTGGTCCGCTGAGTTCTACAAGCCTGCTGAGTCAATATCGGCGGAACGTATTACTATCTCAGGCGAAGCTTCACAAAACCTCGCACGTATCTTGCAAATCTACACAGATCCTGTTTTCACGAGGACCTGCTTTCTAGTCGCCCTAGGGTACTTTCTCGCTTGCCGCATTTATGCGATTCAGGCTTCGAAGGCCGCTTGAAGGCCATCCCCTGAGGACGAAGAAGACATCGACTTGGAAGCTCATCACCGACGCGGCCTCGAAAAGAGTGAACGGAAGGCGTCCGAGGAGGGCAACACTACGCAGTGCTCACCTTCTCCAACTCGTCGAGAAAGACAATGAGCGTGAGCCAGCGTAAAGGACTGGCAAGCCTCGCGCGTAAGTTCGACGCCCTCATCATTACCGACGACGCATATGACTTGTTGACGTAGTCTATCACACCTGGAAACCCACTCGGTATCATCGAACGAACTCTACGCTCTCGGGTTGTCGAAGTGGACAGGGATCTCCATAACGGTCTCACCAGCACATTTGGCAACGCAATCTCGAACGGAAGCTTCAGCCAAACTGTCAGCCCCGGCTGTCGCACCGGATGGACAGGGGGCACGCTATCCATGGTACAGGGCATAAGTCAGTCCGGTGAGACCAAATCCGGTGGCGCGCCCTCGCAACTGACTGCTACATTCATCGACAACATGTTGGAGACCCATGTCTTGCAGAACAAGATTCAGCATGACCTTCGGCCTGCGTATGCTCGGCGCTACTATAAGCCCATGGAGGCGATCGAGACTCATCTGCCGCCTCTAGGTGTGAGAACCCATCAGGCCGAGGATGAGGTAGCTGGAGGTTATTTTGTGTGGCTCTAGCTGCCCGCGAGTCTGGCTTGTGATGTCGATCATCTCTGTCAACGTGCGCGAGAGGAAGAGGCGGTCTCTGTCATCAGCGGTAGTAAACCCATTGCGGAAGAGGACGATACTGAGGGACAGGAAGCCTTCAGTCACAACATCAGGCTTTGCATCGCGTGGGAAGACGAAGATCTTCTACACGAAAGTGTTGCACGCCTCACAAGAATAATCAAAGGAGAGCTCAACAGCGCTCACTCGTAGACGGAGTTGCAGCAAACATGCATTGTCTTACTCTCCAATTCCGCAAAGTACTCAGGGAGCGCCCAGTGATCGCTCAGCAAGCAGCCAGGTCTGGGCCGAGGATGAGCAGAGGGTGAGCAGCGAGGCGAGCCGCTAATCATGACGGGACGAACCTGCTTATGTTTTTCGTTCGACACAAGCTTCTATAAGCATCTCCCAGAGCAACTGCCCGAGCCTCCCTGAGCCTCCCACCCTCTCCGAGCTAAAACCAGCAAGCTTGATCTGGCTCCCTTCGCCTGACTGCCTAGGTATCTTTTTAGTGTGAGGGGTTCAACATGACGATGTTCCTGCATGCCGACTACCGTGTCGATGCCGAATTGCGGAGAAGGCGTCTGGAGTTTCTCCGGGGTAGATGGAGGTGGGTGGTATAAAGACTACAAGGAATGCTCAACCGGGGGGCCTCTTATGATTCCTCAAGTCCATGCGTGAAGGGTTGCAAGGAGGTTCAACATGTGGTCCAACACTCTCACGCTCTTGTCAGTCTGCCTACTTCGGTGTGCACTGCTGGGGCGAGCACAGTCCTCTGGATCGTCGTGCCCTCCTGAACGAGCCACGGAATGGAGCTTAGAGGTATGGTGCTCCTCTCCCTTCGAGCTCGCGCAGTGTCGAGGACATTGACATGATCCATCACAGTACGGCATCCCCCTCCTCGCCTATGAAAAGGGATTCGGCGGACTGTTGAAAGCAGGCCTGGGGGCCAACCAGCTCGCTCCCAGCTCGACATTGGCCACACCCCAGTCGACAGCGGTCGTCAAACCAAACCGAGACACCCTCTATGCCAGTGTCTTCTACGATCTGTCCCGTCAAGACCTGGTGGTGGATGTTCCAGAGGTCGAAGGCCGCTATTATGCCGTGTCTTTCTACACGCCGTATGTCAGAGACTCCTCCTCTTTGTGAATGCCTGCTGATCATGTCCTCTCAGATACGGGGATAACTATGTCAACCTGGGTCCAGTGGGCGGCAATCCAGCTGGCAAGTATCTGCTCACCCTGGCGCCCTCCAGTGGTGCCATGGGGACTTTCTCGACATCCAGCAGCAGCGGTGGCTATATGGGTACCGTGTACTCTCCCACCACTTTCGGCATTGTTCTGTATCGAATCGTCGTCAGGGACGCAGCCAGCGACTTATCTGTTGCGAGCGGAATCCTGGAAGGCTACAGCATCACCGCGGTATCTCGCAACGGATCGGTGGTCGGCCCGGCGCTCGACAGTGCGATGTTCGCCAACCTACCGAACTCGACGGCGCAGAGTGTGATGGAGCTGGACGCACGGTTCGAGCCCGTCTCTCCTTTCAATGCTACCGGCGGCGAGTCTCCTGTCACCACCTCCAACTTCACTCAAGCGGGGATCTCGGGCGGCACGTACACGACACCGACATGCGTCAATATGACCTCGGCGTGGCTGGCAGCCCAGAGTGCGGTGCAGACGTTCCCTCTCGTGAACGGGAGCGTGCTGAATATGGGCAACGGGTGGACCATCAACAACCCGCAGGTCTCCGGTGTATATGGCACCAACGTTGTGGCTCGCGCCTACATTGCTCAATTTGGGTACCTGATGCTTCAGCCTTCGCAAGCCATTTATCCTACCTTCGCAGGGAATCTGAGCCTGATGGCCAACGAATCCTACATTCTCAGATTCTCCGGCAAACCACCTCTGACGAAGCTCGGGTTTTGGAGCGCCACCATGTACGATGTCGACGGCTATCTCGTGGATAATCCGATCAATAGGTATTCTCTCGGCGATCGCGACAACCTGACTTATGCAGACGGCACCCCTGTGTACGGAGCGGGCAGCGACGGCGCCGCGGTGGACAAGCCATTCGACATTCTCGTCCAGGCCGAGCGGCCACCAAGCAATTGGACGTCCAACTGGCTGCCTTCCCCTGCAGAACCCGGCCCTTTCGTCCTCTTGCTTCGGTGGTATGTGCCTGCGCCGGGGCTCTCGAATGGGAGCTATGTCTATCCCCTGGTCACTAAAGGAGGAGTCATTACTGGGAACGTGGAGTCGCAGCCCTCGCCATCTCCAGCGATCCCGTCGTCTACGGCGCCTTCGTCGGCATCTGGGACAGCTTCTGCCAGCGCTTCCGCAGCGTCTAGTGCGGCGTCATCTTCAAGCTCCTCGTCGGGGGCAGCTCATGTACTGAATCCCCTGGCAAGACGTTCTGGGTCGAGTGGGAAGCCGCAGCAGGTCTTGATGCTCCTTGCCGGCGTCGGATATCTTGCTCTGCTGCTCTGATTAGGAAGGGGGGGATGTTGATACTCTTGGTGTGTAGGAAGGAGTAGAAGGCCCAGCAGTACTGAGGGCGTAAACGTCATTCAAAAGTCGTGTCTAGGTTCTCAATCCACCCCGCTGGTGCCGCTGAAGTCTGATGACGGATCGAAGCGAACATGAGTCGTGAGAGGGGAGGCCGTGTGAACCTGCTGAAACGGACCTGGTTGACCCCACGATTGAGCTCTGCGCGGCCACAGTCCGAAGGCATTTCTGCGCCCGCAGGATCGGCGGATTTGCTATCGACGCCTTAGGCCGTCCAAGTATCGTGATCCGCCCCTGGGGATGCCATCCTGACTCGCAGCAGCAGCCTGGGTCGTCTCGAAGTCGGTGTGACAGATGAATGGAGGGACGTTGCGGGCTGGATGGTGGATTTCGAAGTGAGTCGGAGTTGTGGTAGAGCGCAGACGCATGAATCTTGTAATGACGACGCCCACAACGCTTGGCTGCTCTACACAATCCTCGCACGAGGTTTCTATTCATGTCATCCAATTGACTCAGCGCATGAGGTTATACAAAGTTCTATCTTTTCATCTTCCGCGTGCTACAAGCCCGGGCTATCTGGGATCCTAACTTAAGCTTAACCCCTAGCCCTTCCCACGCACGAGGTAACGAGATCTGAGACGTCAAACAGGAGCCACAGGCCTATCTACAACCAATCACCAATCATCGACCTATCTTCCTGTCGCCCTCTGCACCGCTCTGACTGTTTATATTTGATATCCGCTTCGTGAAAGATAGGTGTCATCGCGTCGACACGATGCGGTCTATCTCCAGCTTCCCTAATCGGACACGAGCTCCTGGTTCCAGCCTGGTGGTGGCCCCCAAGGCCCTTATCGACCACCTGCTGGTCCGGTGTGATGGATTTTGTTTTTCGCATATTATTATGGCATCAGTCCCCTGTGTCACTTGTCTCTGTGCTTGTTAACGGCTTGTCTCTCCTCTAGGATATCCTGCTGGTGCGGCGCAAGTGGGACTGAAAAAATATCTCACATGTATCTTGGGACCCTAACATTGTACTCTACGTTTACAAGGCAATGGACGACGTGAAAGAGGAGAAACCGCGAGACAGTCCCGAGGGACCCCTGGCCTCGGGCGAGCAGCAGATTGTGATATCCTTGGAGGGAGAGATTGTCAACGCCTCTGGCCACATCGACCAGCTGAATCGCCAGTATGGGTTTTTGAGCATTCTGGGTCTTGCGTTGACGGTCGACAATGCATGGGTCGCCCTGGGGACGTCACTCGCGGTCTCGATCTACAACGGAGGTGCGCCCGGAGTGATCTGGGAGCTGTGGATTGCCGCATTCTACTACAGCTTCATCAACGCGTCCATTGCCGAGCTTGCGTCCTCGGTGCCTTCCTCTGGAGGCGTCTATCACTGGGCGACCATCACCGCGGGACCCAAATGGGGCCGTCCCATGGGTTTCTTCGCCGGCTCTCTGAACTATTTCGGTTGGCTTTTTGACCTGGCGTCCATTGCATACATCATGTCGGAACTGTGTGTGCAAATGTACTTTTTGTACCATCCCGACTATGTCATCCAGCCCTGGAATCTGTTCGTGGGCTTGCTGTGCATCATCATCCTGTGTCTGACGGTCACCATCTTTTTCAACAACACCCTGGCGTACCTGCAGCACTTCGGCCTGTTCATAGTCACGGTGGGCGGCATCATCACCATCATTGTCCTCGCCGGGATGCCGTCGACGCACGCGTCCAACAGATTCGTCTGGACAGACTTCCAGAACAACACGGGCTGGAGCGGCGGAGTGGCGTTCTTGACCGGCGTCCTCAACGGGGCTTTCACCATCGGAACGGCCGACGGGGTGACACACATGGCCGAAGAACTCCCCAATCCCAAACGCGACCTGCCCAAGGCTATCTTCGCCCAGATCGGCCTGGGATTCCTCTACGCCTGGTGCTTCGCCATCGCCCTGTTCTACGGCGTCAACGACCTCACCGCGGTCCAGAACAGCAACGGGTCCTTCCCGCTCGCGCAGGCCTACTCGCAAGCGACGGGCAGCCGGGCCGCGACGTTCGGGCTGCTCTTCATCATCTTCCTGTCCCTCGTCCCGTGCCTGATCGGGACGTTCTTGACCGTCGGGCGGACCTGGTGGGCGCTGGCGCGCGACAACGCGACCCCGTTCGCGGGCTTCTTCTCCCACGTCAACGAGCGGCTGAGCTGCCCCATCGAAGCCACCCTCCTGACCGGCCTGTTGACCATCGGGCTCTGCGCCATCACGCTTGGCAGCAAGACCGCCTTCAACGACCTGGCCGGCTCCTTTGTCGTGCTCAGCAGCGTCTCGTACGCCGTGACCATCCTGCCCAACATCATCACGCGCAGGCAGTACATGCCCGTGGGGCCCTTTACTCTGGGCAAGTTTGGCTACCTGGTCAATGGCCTCGCCGTGATCTTCATCATCTTCTTCGACACCTTTTACTGCTTCCCCGTAAGTTCTGCCCACATTTCCCACATCTTCACCTCCTCCCTCCCTCCCACCACTATTCCTTTGAAAGGGGCTAACACCCGGATTTTTCTCTCATCCAGTACGCCCTCCCCACCACCGTGGCGACCATGAACTACAACTCGGTCATCCTCGTCGGGGTCGTCGCGCTCACCACCTTCTGGTGGTTCTTCCACGCCGTCCGCAAGTACGACGGCCCCAACGTCGGCAAGATGATCCAGGCGAACATCATGGAGGCGCGCCGTGCGTCAAAGGTATAGGATAGAAACCATGGGTACAGATAGAGGGCGGGAAAGATGTGTTGTTTGATACGGACACTATTTAGACCCTTTTTTCTCTCTCCCAAGAACAAAGACTTGATCTCGGGGTTTCTTGGGCCGTACACCTCTTTTCTGGGCTTTGGTCCGCTCGTTTTGTCTTTGAAGCTGGACAGCGCGAAATAGAGCGTTTTCCTCTGTAGTTCTGTGGGTGCTTGGCTTGACGCTCAGCCTTGGGATCTACTACGCACATCACCCACCTACCCGCTCGTGCACGGGACGTGGGTAGACACTATTGCGTAGGAATGTGTGATAGAGACGGGTCGGGACCTCCCATGGATTCCCGTCCACTCACTCTTCCCCCCCACCAGCCTTCGACACTAGAGAGCGATGCGCCTAAGTGGTGGTCAAGGGAGGGGACTAATCTCGATAACGTTCCATGTGGTGCCGTGGCTTGACCGTTTGCATGTAGCCAAACGTCATGAGAACCCGGGTCTCAAGGCAACGTGTATTATATTGTCATGTGTTTCTTACGGGTCCGCAGGAGAATATCTATGTAGGTATCAGGAAACAAAGTGACGCCCGAGTTCACAAGAATAAGTTTGATTTTTCCCCCCTTGTCTATAGTAGTTGATGTCAGACACCAGCATTAAGTATAGTTGCTGCTGTGTTGGTAATGCCGTCGCTCTGCCGTCGTGGCCATATCATTCGAACCGGCCCGACATAATGAAGATTTCGTGTCCTCCACAATTCATCGGAGAGGAGAACTAGAAAACGTACACTCCACGCACGACCAAGTAGAGCTGTGAACCATTGATGATGTGTATGTGTTTTAAAGTCCTCCACAGCTTCGAGGCATTGCTCTCGCGGAGATCCACCCCTTCTGAAGTTTGACTTAGGCAAAGGGTTCTACTTCGTGGCCTTTTTCTGGCCCGGGTGAGGATCGATATCGCTGCCTTTCGTCGGGTGGATGCTCTCTGGGAGTGCCTTCTCCAGCGCTTCCGGGGCCGCTTTCTGGATGAATTCGGGGACTACACTTGGTCCCGTGGCGTGGCTCTTGAAGCTGCTATCTTCGTTCTTGTGCGGGTCGATGTCGCTGCCTTTGGTAGGATGCACGCCCTCCGGAAGCGCCTTTTCGAGCCCCTCCGGTGCCGCCCGTTGTACCGGTTCGGGCACCACGCTCTCGCCCGTCGCGTGGCTCTTGCCCTGCACTGCGTCTGTCGTGTCAGCCTTGGGCATTGTGTCAAAGGATCAATTGTGAGATGAGTACCTGGTGTGTTGTGACTGTCGTTCAAGGGATTGTTTGGCGAAGATCCCGCCTGGCGTGGGCCACTGGCGATGAACGTCCGGCTCAGCGTCCTTGTTCCATTCACACAAGGAACTACACGATGTAGGAGTTGGATTCGCTGCATTTTTCCTGGTCACGGTGTGCAATATAGGGTAAAAGCTGTGAAGAAGAGACACAATGACACTACCTACCCATTCGGATCTCTGGAGCTTGATATACTCCGGGGTAGGTGCTTCGTCCCAAAGTCATGACATCAACTTGTTGAATGGTGATTCATCGAACCTAATTGACATCTGGGCCATCTCTCCCGGGCATCGCATCTCGATGATAGATCGACTGTGGACTCCTTCTGGCAAAGGACGGACGAATTTAAACTAATGGTCCGAAAGGGATTGGGACACGGGTCGATGACGATTGACGACCGTCCCTAGAGGAAAGTCGAGGAGCTGGAGCTTGCTGTACTCGACAGGGTTGCGTATTGGGAATTGAATCGTTCAATGATTCCGGAATCACAGCTGCCGCCACTAGTACACTGAATGACTGCCCTTACCTTGATTACACAAAGATGAAGTCGTGGGGAATGACCATCACAGCGCGAGCAGAACGCTCTATCTGTTGAGCAGTCAGGTAGGGATGGAGTCGATGGTGGATGTTCGGTTAAACGTCGGAACTTCATCTCCCCAATTTCACACGAGCAACAATTTTCAGCGCGACACATACTCGCGAACAGACCAAGTCTGCGTTTGAACTCGTCCTCTCACGTCGATGCTTCATGGTTCTCGCCACTCGAGAGCCCTGTACAAATCATGTCGACAAATTGTCACCCGTGTCGCGCCCCGGCGCAGCCTCCTTACCCTTGCGATTGAGACCTCCTGCGACGACACCTGCGTCGCCATCCTTTCAAAATGCTCCACGACAAATGAGCCGCAACGAGTGAAGGCGCGACTGCTCTTCAATGAAAAGATCACTGCCAAAAATACCGGCAAAGGCGGCATCCTTCCCACTGAGGCATTGGAGAGCCACCAGTCGAACCTTTCGAAATTGCTGGAGAATGCGCTCTCCTCCCTACCCGCCGCCCACGATGCGCTCCCCCATGCAAGGGGAATATGGCTCCGAGATGGCGCGCCGAAACAAAAGCCAGACTTTATATCGGTAACGAGGGGACCCGGGATGTCAGCTAATCTTGGTGTCGGGTTGGCCACGGCCAAAGGTCTCGCGACGGCATGGCAGATACCGATGGTCGGCGTCCATCACATGCAAGCCCACGCTCTGACACCAAGGCTCGTCCATGCAATGACAGAAGATGGACGTCTCGAACAAACCTCACTGAATCCAGCCTTTCCATTCCTAACGTTGCTGGTTAGTGGCGGACATACAATGCTGCTCTTATCAAAAGGCCTGGTAGACCATAAGATATTGGCCACAACTACCGACACAGCCGTGGGCGACGAGTTGGACAAGTGCGGACGTCTGATCCTTCCCCAAGAACTGCAGCAGAGCACACCTGATACTGCGTTTGGAAAGTACCTCTCACGCTACGCCTTCAAGGATCCAGCAGAGTTCCAGTCCTGGGAAGTGCCTCAGACACGGGTTGAAGAGGTCCACAAGCCATCGAACGAGTTTGGATGGAGATTGACTACCCCAATGTCTCAGAACAGAGATCTGGCCTTTAGTTTCTCGGGCATTGCGAGCCAGATCAAAAGGCTCATACTTGCACGAGCCGAAACTGGTCTAATGGAGGAGCAGGAGCGGACATTATTGGCTCGGTCAGCCCTGGGCACAGCGTTCGAGCATCTGGGCTCGCGGACCATCATTGCGTTGGAGAAACTCCGAGCAGAGGGTGTCGAAATTCCCACCCTGGTGGTGAGCGGAGGCGTTGCGGCGAACGACTTCTTACGCTATTATCTACGGAGACTTTTGGACTTGCGTTCCTTCGAGCGAATGGGCCTGGTCTTTCCGCCCATTGAGCTTTGCACGGACAACGCTGCGATGATTGGATGGGCGGGGATGGAGATGTTCGAGGCTGGATATACAACGGACCTTGGCTGCGCGCCGGTGAAAAAATGGACGATGGACAGCCAAGGGCCAGATGGAGGGATCCTGGGGATTGGAGGCTGGGTAACGAACTAGCCATGCGTAGCAAAATGAAGATTCAAGAAATTGCCGTTTCGACGAGATAAGGCTGACATCCTGCCTCCACGCGAGGAACACGTTCTTCCCACTCTTCCCCCCCAAAGGTCCAAAACTGCCCGACAGCAATGATCATCTGCATTGATCAGGTGATAGCGTGGCAGTGACACATGTAGACGGAGGCTAGTGAGGCTCAAAACTTCGGAAACCGAGGGATTGTGATTGGTGAAAAATACGAGGTGTCGCCGTAAGGAGGGGACGAGTGAAGCCATGAGTCACTTTGCGGAAAGGGAAATGGTGCATTCTGTCCTTCGGACGGCCTTGCTCCTCGTGCAGTGGGATTGTAACGCGAGGGCACTGCTCCTGTTTTCGTAGCTCAAGGCTTCTCATAGGGCGAACCAGCAGACCTACCAATGCAGGATTACAAAAATGCCCGCAGGAAGTTCTTTGGAAAGAGACATGCGTCATGAACACATGGGAGGCCTGAAGTTCCTTGCATCCGGTGCACACCAGCCAATCGCCGGTGTCCGAGACGCGTTTTGCTGCATTCACCGGTTTGCACGGCGCCCTGTCTAGTCCAGTCTGGTGGACTTGGTATCCAGGAACGAATGGATATTCATCGCCCAAAGGTGGACAGCGTGGCGACTTTCACCAAAAGTCCATGTGGACTTCATGCATGAGTCCCTGAGGATACAGGCGAGAAAAATACGAGTAAGTGTGCGAGTTTTCAATGGTCGCTCTCGCGTCGAAGAAGCTTGAATATTTGCACTGCCACAGCCACGACGTTGCATCCTTCTCCCCCTATTCCGTATCTCTCCGCAGGGCGAGTTTTCTTTCGAAGAGAGACTGGGGGAAACAGGACCTGTCCCCGAGCTCGATGAATTCGGGCGTTGGCATGTGAGAGAGCCATTGAGATTCCGACTTGGTGCATCAGTGAAGAAAGGACATGAGAAGCTCACAAATCATCATTACCATCCATGGCGAAGATGTGCAACGGGTTGATTTCGTGCCGACTCCGTCTCTTGGCAGGGCTGACTCTGATTTGTACTCAATCGATTAGATAAGCGATGGCGTGAGCTGCCACGACCACTGTCAATATGTCATCCGTCACTTGGTCGGAGCCAGAGAGGTAGTGGACGGTCTCTTCCTGAGGCTCTTCGTGCTGCATGAGGTGTCCTTTTCCTTTTGAAGCATGATAGGAGCAGGAATCCCGGTTCATCCTGCATGGCACAGAAACAGACTGGGGAGGGGACTGGAGATAGGGATTGGACGCAGGCGGATGATGGGCAACATTTACGGCCGATGAACAGGGGTGCTAAAGACCGAGACTGGGATGAGCAGGGCACGTCCAGGGCCCGTCAACCCCGTAGCAGTAGTAGTAGTAGTAGTAGCTGACCAGCGGGTGCCAGTATAAAAGCCGCCCGAACACACCACTGGGGCACAGCGCCTGCCCGCGCCACACTGGAAGGGCAGGGAAGCGAATAGAGCCCCCTTCCTCTCGCCCAATAGCATCCAGGCGGTGGATGACCCCTGGTCGTGCCAAGCAGGCAACAGCGAACCTGAGATTCAAACATCATCAGCGCAACGGGCTTCACTTCGACTCACACTTCTTCCTCTCCATCGCGACTCTCTTTTGCCCTGACTCCCTCCGTCCTCCCTCCCTCCCAACCCAATTCCTCCAACTCGGCTACACGGTCCAGAGACACCACCTGGACTCGCCACCTTGGCCTCAGGTTATCATCCCCTCCACCATCCGGGACCCTCTATCTCACTCCCACTCGAACCTCACTTCATCCCCATTTGGTTCAATTGCACTTCCGTGTTCTTGTAAAAGAACAGTTGTGCACTCCTAGAACCCCCATCCGTACGAGGCTGTGAGCCCAACTGGTTCCCACCCTTTGGTCTAGTTGTGTATCGCCTGTCCGCTCCTTCCGAGACCATCCAACCACCGGTATATACCTTGCCCGCAGTGTACCACGCTTGACCTGCGCCCGATTCGAGAGGCCACATTGTATTCAAAACGAACCCCACAAATAGACGGGGGCGGCGTCCTCCCGACTGGATATCATTGGCAGCAACTGGAAAAGAAGGATCAACAACGCGGCAACTGTGAGTAAAGGCGACTTTGGTTTCATACATCTTCAGTCTTCGGTTTATATCTTTTGAGGGGCTATTGGCACAGGTGAGTCACAAGCCACGGGGGAATGATCCAACTCGACCAATCGACCGCGTGCTAAACTTCGGGCTAGCACTTCTGCGTGTCATCTGCGTCTTCTCCCAGCGTTGGTTCATCCAGACCTTTACATATACCAACCATGGCGTCCTCCACCACCATGCCTCCTCCTCCCACTCCTTTTGCTCATCGCCGTACTCCTCGACTCATCACCAAGGGTCTTTCTGCGTCTTCTCCCACTTCGACAGAGTCATCAGCATGCATCTTGCATAAGATGTCCCTGTCCAAGGGCGCGACGTTCCACTACTCGTCCTCGCCGGCCACTGAGGATGACCCAGTGCTCAGCATCCCTCACCTGACTCGTCGCTCTCCGACATGCTCCCAGTCGACTCTCACTAGCTGGCTCTCTGAAAAGGAAGACGTTGCTCAGTCCATCGCCGACTTCGAACACACCTTCTCTGGCGCCCGCGGCAGGAAGACATCCAGTCGTCGTCGCTCCACCCCACCGCTTGACCAACAAGTCTGGGTCCGCCGTGTCACGTTACCCTCTGACGAAGGGTTGGGTTCGTCGATCAGCCCCGCGAGTGACAAAGGTCTAGCCAAGTCATTCGAAAGAGCTTTGGATTTGTTGTCGAACAAGGACAGTGGTCTGGGCACTTCCATCAGTGACTCAGCCGAGAAAGCCGTGGGAACCGCTGCCGAAGACGACGGTCTTGCACAAGCAATTCAAGGTTGGATTGCCCGCTGCATGTTGATGTGTGATGACAGTGTTAACCAACCACCTGCAGTAGCTGACTCTCCAGACGCGACAACGCGACGCACTAGGCAACGAGGCAGCCTCCCCTCATCTAGGACTTCTAGCACCGTTACCCGATCCGCTGTCACGCAGAGTATCGCTCCACTTCCTTCTCGACCTTCACTGCGTCACCCCGCATTGAGTCCTTCCGCTCGGAAGAAGATCAAGGACTATATAATCACTCCCATCCTCCGAGAAGACAGATTCGAGGACTTCCATCCTCTCGTCACTGCCCTTGGGTCCAAGAACAACAAGGCTGTCAGATGCCTGCGTGACCTGGAACAGAGCCTTATCTTCCAGCCCCTGGTAAGCACCCTCACCGTCGAACACCTGATTCCATCTGACGTCGATCACAAGACACTTGCCATCTCAAGGCAACTGTACCGCATCTTTGGCGAGTTCACGATCCAGCTTGTTGTCGATACCTATCAACACCTTGCTGAGTCGGAACAACGCCGTGCTGCCGACCGTCCTTACGACAACGGTTATTTCCTTGACTTGGTGCAACAAGTCAACCGGCTAGCTGCGCATATCGGCTCCTCCAGTCGCGCTCAGCAGGCGGGCACTGCTGAGGAAGACGACGACATGGCTTACTCCATCGATGATGAGGTCACCCTTGAAGGTGGCCTCGGTGAAACTGGCAATGAGGCTGAGCTCGTTCGCTGGAAGAACGGCAAGGGCTACTCTCTCAGGACGGGTCTACCTTACGTGCCCAGTCCTGGGGTCAAGAGAGCGAGCAGTGAGGCTCTCGATGAAGACGTGGCGCGGTCCATGGCTCGCAGAAAGAAGGGCTACATCCCCGAAATCGTCGAGATGAAATGCTCTGACCCTACCTGTGACAAGATCTTCAATAGGAAGTGTGATCTGGCGAAGCACGAGAAGACTCACTCTCGTCCTTTCAAATGCCCTGAGACGAGCTGCAAGTACCACGAGCTTGGTCTTCCAACTGAGAAGGAACGTGAGCGTCACATCAACGACCGTCATTCCAAAGACCCTGTCTACTACAAGTGCGAGTTCTGTGAGTTCCGAACCAAGCGGGAGAGCAACTGCAAGCAGCATCAGGAGAAGAAGCATGGCTGGCACTATGAACGTGCCAAGGGCAAAGACAAGGCCGTCACCAAAATGACGCCGGCTCAGACTCCACGAACTCCAAGCATGGATTACTCTCCCAGCCCAGCCGTCTCCATCAGGACCTGGGACGACACCAGCTCTGTTGCGGGAAGCATTGCTGGAAGCATGCCAGGCAGCTCCTCCATGACACCATTCGAGCAGCCCATCAATGCCTTCGACAACTTCAACTCCACGCCGGTCACATACTCCAACCCAATCTTCCCACGAAACCCTCCGGCCGCGCAATACAACCCAATGGGCGATGATTTCGACTTCAACGCCCCCTTCCAGAGCTCTTACCAGCCTGCTCAGTATCCCAACATGATGACCACACCTATCACACCGACGTACAGCAACATCACCGAGCCGTCTCCATACAATACGGCAATGGACATCACAATGGACTGCAACAATCCAACCTCCTGGAATCAAGGGCTCCCGACACCGAGTTCTTATTTCCAGCCGAACTCTCGCAACCCATCGATCTCGGAGCATTCTCCCATGATCGCTGGTCCTTCTGGACAGTCATTCAACGATGCCCCGTTGATTGGCTCGGACCCGGAGTTCCCTCATAGTGACTTCTCCCTCTTTGGAGGTGAAGGCAGCAACGCCTTTTCGAATCCCGCCGCCGCCACGGCGACTTTGTTCCCAGGTGGCCCGGAGGCGTTTGCTACACTCGACAACGACCCCATGTTCGATTCGGCGTGGAACGATAGCGATTTCATCGATTACGACATGAACAATTAGACGTCACCGAGGAGGAGTACTCGGTGGGGACCACAACGGCCAAGGCGGCAAAGAGGCACACTGCCCGCCGCCATGTACACTTTAACATGTTTTCGTGGAGCGAACTTTAGTTTTATTTTGGGGACCTTTTCCTTTTCACTACCAACTCCACCCATCGACAAACACACCAAAAAAAAAAGATGCAGGTGTCGAGACAGTGTGAAGTGGGCTGAAGATTGATGACTTGAATAATTGATGACGACGTGATGATATTGGTCCAGTTCTTTTCCTATTTCCATTCTCTCACCGTGGAACAAGCAGGAGCTGGTGATTCGAGAGTGGACGCGAACAATCCAACTGGCTCATGGGAAAGCCAACGTTTGTCATCGCCAGGGGAAGGACTGAAGGGAAAGGCTGGTTCAATCAATCCACATTTTGTGCTGGTTTCATATCATGATTCGATAGCTCTTGTTTGGCTATGGAGAATGGGGGAATCGGTCAACCTTGACATTGATACAAGATACAGAAATACAAAAATCCATCTCCTTCACAAATCAAGGTCGTTGTCTTGTTCCCTCTTGTATTCTCTCTTCCATCCCTCCGTTCTGGTTCCATGGTCATTGAAGTTTGGGTCTAGTCTCTGCCAATGACCCCCGGATGCCAACCTTTGACACGACTCACAAGATACTTGTGCGTCTTAATGACGGATGACTCACGCTCTCCATTGTCTACGCTGACCACATACAGTCTCGCCCCATTGATTCTGTCCATAGAAGTACCAGGATGGAGCGTAGTCACAATCGTGATATAGTCCTCCTGTCCACCACCACCACCACCGCCGCCGCCGCACTCCTGCTCGTTGCTTCTCTTCAGTCTCCGTTCGCGCTCCGCAGTGTCCTGGGAAACTTGTCCTTCACTGGTACTTGTGGTGCTTGGGGAACCGGGCGGTTGAGTCAGCATAGTAAATCAGCTACAGCCTTGCCCCGACAAGGTCTCGGCGGACGGACGAGTGTGTGGACGGGTGGGTGGCTGGGTTGGTGGTATTCCGGAGTCACTGTCTCGGAAAAAGCAACTCTACCTACCTCGTATTATTGTCTACCAGGGTACTACTAACCTCGTAGCTCATGCAACCTTTCCCCTTTCCGTTCCCATTCCCAACCCCAGCCAGCCATCTCTGCTCGAGGAGCGAGGGTCGGTCTCCGGGCCGGTCCCTCTCCGCAGAAGAAACGCCGTGCGGCGCGTGGGTGGGATGAGTCTGTATGGACGAGTGGTTTTTGCGGGTTCCTTGGTACATCTTACGAGGTCACGAATCTATGGCGTACGGGAGCGGCTCCCTCCCCTCGGTAAACTGAATTGGTACCGTGCTCGAGTAGCTGTGTGGTAATCATGGAAAGGGTACAGTGCTTTGCTTTTCCCTCTGGTCTAACTCCGTTCTGCTGGTAATCAGGACGCACATCATCATCCTTTCCGTAGCCAACAATCCACTGGAGCCCTGTTGAGCAAGCAAAAACAAGCATCCTGTCCCCTCTATTCGTGCTCTTCCATCCAGGTCAATGGCCACCCTCCAGTTCCACTTCGACGCGTCTTCTCAGGTCCTTGTAGAACTCCTCGCCTTTGAAGCCGTGTCTTTCCTTGCACACTTTCCAGCCTTGCCGTCTCAGCTCGTCGATCTTCTCCTTGAATCGGTCTCGAGAACCATTTCCCCAAGGAGAGCAGCAGTTGTCGTCCTCTCCCGCAAGGTCAGCATTTCGGCTCACATCACATGCGGGTCTCGGTGCTGACTTCGACTTCGAACAAGGAGAAGCGACCTCGAAAGACCAGAAGCTCGCAAACCGCTGCTTCGGCCCCAATGCTCTAGCGGCACTTCTCTCGCCTTGGATTTTCTGCACACGACCAATTTCTCCATCTACATAAGCAATGTGCTTTCTCAGCTGAGCACGAAAGTCCGCTAGATGCGCGTTGTATCGCGCCAGCGCGCTCGAGGTGCAGGTGTTGAGGTACGCTTCGAGGTGTTCATTCTGCGGGTCCGGACTGAACGCGTCGCGGATCATTCTAAATCGTGGAGATGTGACACCAGGGGATGCGGCAGGAGTCTCGAGTCCGTAGACCTGCTCTCGCAAGGGAGAACGTGTCGCTAATAATGGAGACGATGGAGGCAAGGGCAGGGTTCCTTCAAACCGTGCGATGAGGGTCTGGACTGCGGTCCTGCGCATCAGCGGGTTTTGAACGATGCGGGTGCCTTGGACTTTGAAACCGGCTTTGTGATTGAATGGCAAAGGCGGCAGTGGTCGAGTATCGGCATTACTGTCAGGAACCCCCATGCAAGGGCGTTTTGCATTCCGGCTGAACAAAGGCGATGGTATCAGATCGTCTTGGAGCACTTGCGTGGAGCTGGGACTGCGCCAGAGTCGAGACTCGTCCGCACCTGAGATAGCTGGAGTTGCCGAGTGTTTCATTGGGTTACATTTGGAAGTTTCTTCTTTTGTACTGACGGGGACGTCTGGTACCGACATTCCTTGACATGTGTGCTTTTGCCGCGATGATTCATTCCTGTCAGCAATAGATCCTCCTTCTGAGTGGGCGCTTTCCGACGAATAGAAGCTGCTCGACGAAATGGAAGGTGATATCTCTGTGACACAGCCAGCAGCGGGTATATCTTTTCTACCAGCTAGCGGTGCTCCGTTGATGGACGGAGAGCCAAAACCAACCGTGACAGGAGACTCCTCCGGTTGCTCGTAGGCTCCTCCTTCCGTTGAGACATATGGCAAAGGAAGACATTTCAGAGCCAGACTGAAGCTCTCCCTTGCGGAATCCAGAAATTGAAGTTTATTGCTCGAAAAGTTGTGTGCAATCGATCCCATCGACTCGTAAGAGGTGGCATGGTAAAACCAGAGGAAGGCCTGGTGTAGGCCGTGGAGCTTCAATGTGGTCAGCATGTCGGCGTGTCTTTGGACTTACATGCTGGGGAAAGTCACATACCTCCGACCTCTGGAGCTGTTCGCAAAGCGCAATGCACTGCTTGTAGCGGCACGCGTAAAAGAGGCTCTGCACCCTTACAAGATCGTCTTTGTGGTGTGATATTGTCGTGTCCGCACCATGGGGCGATTTGACACACGCCAGGCTCATCTCCATCTCTGAATAACGGGCTGATCCTAGGGGCATGATGATTTATTGCGCGAGGGAGCCATCGAATTGGCAGTTTAAAATACGAGAAACTTGCTTGTGTGGATTGTACCGGACCCGTTTTCGAGTGTGTAAACATGCGAGCACGACCGCACCCAGGTAGCGGGGGCACGCCGTTCTCATTTCAGCAAGGGGCAGTATGTCGTGACCCTGAGTAACTTGGAGCGCTCAGCTCCCGGGCTTGTATGAATTGGAGCGGGTCATGCCAGTGAGGAAGGAAGGGAGCGAAAAGAGTTGGCAATGCGTGCACACAAAGCGTGAATATTGCAGCCAGACTTTCCCTCGCCTCCGATATTGGCACAAAGTATCTTATCAACCATTCAGTCAGTCGGCCGAGTCTGGGGCTTCTCTTGCCGCTGAAGGACGAGTGTCTGAATCTTCTCATAACAATCTCTCAAAAGCAGAGCAAGGAGAAGTTGGATGTCTCAAAGAGACTGAGCGAGTGGCGCAATGAGCCCGTCGTCAGCCATGTCATCAAGTTGGACTCTGACCCATTCCTGGTCCCTTCCCTGATCATGCTGGACAGCGGCGGAAGCGATATCGATTTGCGCCTGGATTGCCTGAGCAACAACGGCCCTAAGCTGCGACGCAGCTTTCTGCTCGGGGTCCTGATAGAGTTTGCTGGCATTGCGATAGAAAGTCTCTGCATTCTTCAAAAGCTGAGGTCCGTTCGCGATGGCGGCGTTGTAGGATATCGGCGGCTGTCCTAGCTGATGTTGCAGGAGAGAGCAATTCCCACGGATGAAATGTGTTTCGGCGATATCCTCAGGCAGAGGACCAGAAATCTTAGATGCTGTGGCCATATTGGTGATCGCTGCGGCCAAGGCACTCCACCGCATCGACGCATGGGAGACGGCGTTGGAGGCCTCGCCGTCTGCAAGGGCAGAGTTGAACGCAATTAGACTGTTTGCGTTAGCTAGCAAGGCAGGAAAGCTCCTTTCCAGTTCCAGTTCAGGCATTTGAAAAGCTTCATCCCGCTCCCGCTTGTATGTGGTTGGGTCGATTGAGCCCAACAGGTAGCCTGCCTTTAGCAATTCGGACGCCAGATTCGCCCGAGCAAGTGCAACTTCTTGCAGTCTCTCTGGTTCGGCGTCTTGAAGGAGCGGCGGCAGTTTTGTCTTGACCAGTTTGGAAGAATATTCTTCGATGTAACCCAAGCTGGAAATCGGGACGGAATCTGAGGAACTCAGAAAGCTGCTGAGGGTAGTGAGGGTCCCTAGCTGCGCGAGAATAGTGTCAATCAGAGTATCTTTTGTTACTGGCTCCACAACCGAGAACCACTGGTCTTCAGTGCCGACTGCGGATGAACCGGGGTTGCCCTCATCGGTCACGCTGGTGGGTTCAGTTGCGTTTTCTGATGCAATTTGGGTGGCCGCCTCATCTTGTTGTTGCATGTATTCCTCGAGCTTGAGCTCCTGAATGCTCAAACACCGATTTTGTAGTTCCAAAGCCTCCTCGAGTAGTTGCAGCACATCCTGATCAGCTCGATTGACATCTTTGGCGCAAACTTCGGCAATAGCCGTCAGAACTTGAGCCGTATTGAACAAAGTGTCTGGGTTGTCCTGATCTAGAGTAAGAGCGTAGCGATGCGCCTCTAGTGCCTGCTGCAAAACCTCGAGAAGTGGCCGGTGCAAATGTGGCACGAGAAGAGGATGCGTTGCAATTTCCAACAAGACTCTTGCTCTACTCAAGGTCAGCCTTGTGGCGGATGCGAGGGCACGATTGGCCGACAGACTTATTGTAGGCGAGATCAATGCTAGTCGGGAAGGTCTGCAACCCCTGGTCATATACCTCGATAGCTCTGGAAAAGAAGCGCATGGACTTGACGGCATCTCCGGCCCTCCATTTCCCTGCGGCTTCTTCAAAGTCCACTCCAGCTAACAGGGGATCAGTCACTGCGGCTTGAACCAGGGGGCCTGTTCACGCGATCACCTACCTGCCTGGAAGTCATCGACGGTTTCTAGAGCCTATGCGATTTGTTAATATCAGCTAGCGACGGTCTGCTCCATCTCACTTGTTCTGCTTTCTTCTTCGACTTCGACTGTTTGAGGAACGCCTTGGGCTTACTCGTAGACATGGTGGCGTGCGCAACAAGGCAGGGCGTCGGAGCATGCAACGAAGGCTATACCTGTAGCCACTTTGGGAAAGGTCTCGCACGGGACAGGGCTCTGTACGAACTGTCGTCAGTCAGCTGGCTGGCTGGCAAGGATCGACTAGGGCAAAAAAGGGTTCAAGACATGAAGATGGAAACTCATTTGACTCAAGTGTCGTGGGATCTACCGACCTGATGTCGCACAGTCAGATCGCCCAGCCTGAGTGGTAGACGAGAAGAGAAGCCAATCAAAGAGAGGGCGCAAGCTAGGCTTGGAGCACGAATTAACGGCGGTACGTCTTCGAGATCCAGACGGGCCTGAAAATTCTGATTCGGTGGAGCGAAGTGGGTTGAATTCAGAGTGGAAGCCGAAACATACGAGGTACACGGAGAGAAGAAGAAAATGCAAAGGACGGCACTCTAGGCGCTAATTGGAGACCCAGCTGTCTCTTGTCTCGTATTCAGCGGACATCACTGCCATACTGAGTGGCACAGAGTGGGAGAGAGATGAACGGGTACAGTAGGATCAACTCACAATGAAGCCTTGGACAACGGTAAAAGGGAAAAGAGATGTGCGTCCGGCTTGCGGCGAGAGGAGAAGCGCAGGCAGCGTAAGAGGAACGAGTGGTCAGTGGTCAGAGGTTTGTGGCCGCAGGGTGTCTGGCTGTTGCCCGGCGGGTGCGCCCCGCCCCTTCTAACTAATAGATCAACCCCCCCCTTTGGATGCCGCCCTTGTCTTTGACTGGTGTTCCTAGCTCTGGCTAGGTGCCCGGTGCCGCCTGTGGGTTGCAACCACTTCCTGGTGCGGCGATGCTCCCTGCGACAAAAAACGCCTCCGGGGGGTGTCCAGGCCTACCCAGGTACCTTACGGGTGCCTGTACGAAGGCTAGGAGTGCTTACTAGTCGGGAAAAGATGGCCTGCCACCTGCCTGCCACCTGCCACTTGCTACCTGGACCCTTCCCACCCTCCTTATCCATCTCGGGCCTCATCCTCTAACTGAAGTCAGGCGCAGAAAAGACTGCGTCCCTGGCTGTGAAGCTCACGAGGTGCGGAGGGTTTACGTACTCCCTGCTCATACACAATACTTCGATAAATATAAGTGCGAGATGATTGATGCCTGGCCAGCCCGATAGATCTGGTCGACTGACCTGGGGCCGGCGAACTCTCTGCCTTCGGGATGTAGTCGTAAAGGCTGATGCAGAAATGCTGAATCGATCCCTGCTAATACCCGCGATACCCAAAAGAAATCCCCCTCTGTAACTAAATTTTATCCCACTCTCGCCTCGAAGCAAAGGTCCGACCAATGACCCTTTGCGATTTTCACGTACCAACCTCCAGCTTCAACCTTGAAGCACCAGCGTGATACCTGATCTCACCCCTTCCTTCTCGCACCCGGCAGCGGGTTGACGCTGTTTCTCAGAGCTGCTCATGGGATCAGAGGACCAGGTACAGGACATGAATCTGCACATGATTGCTTTCTGGTGAATGACATCTTACCCACCACCTCGAGTTCGCTCGCACCGACCTCACTGGCCCCCGAACTTCGACCCTTCGTCTACCTCATTACGATCATCCCGAGCCCTAAAACTGCCAGGACCTCCTAGCCGACTCCTCCTCGTCCCACACCCACTCTGCAGCGGCCGGCCAGCCGACTCAGCGCCCTCCTTTGAGCGAAAGACCCTGGCCGATGCCCACGCCATTGTCCGCCTACTGCACGCTCACTGCAAGTCAAGGAAGAACCTACCCACGCCATCCTTTCCCCCCCAAAACGCACAACCCCGCTGGGTGGAGCCCAGACCATCCAAAGCCTACTCTGACCTTTCAACCTGCAAGTGGTACCGTAGTGGGCATTTGACTGCCACCGTCGCCGACCTCAATTTTGCCTTTTCAGCGCAGTTGTCCAACGTACCACGGCCTTGCCTCTTTTCCATTCGTCCCTTCACGAGGCTGCGCTGCCCTGTGTCTGTCTCGCTGGACCTCAGTCGTCGCCATCCTGATCTGTGCGGCATTGCGATCGCTGTTCCGGCCAACCCCAAGCGTGCTGCTCCTGTCTGGCCGGCCTCAGAAATGAACCTGCTTTGACCCGTCGTGTCTCCCATCAGCCACCTCCCGCAGCCCACCTGCGGGCTTGAACCTCACATCCTCAGCCTCGAGGATGACTCAACAAGATCGCGAGCAGAATGTCGTATGGGCTCAAGATATGCAAGATGACGGCATGGTGCCTGGGGTTGGCGACGAGGACTTCACAAAATTCCTCGATCTCGATAACGACTTCCAACACTATGCGCCCACGAACAGTGGCCACTCCGGCCTCGACACCCCCATGGGCCGTCTGGGATTTGGGAACAACGCCGCCGATTTAGGTTACTCTGGGGCGGAACAGATGGGCGTCCATGTGACGTCGACCAGCGACCCAGTCGGGTATCGCAATCAAATGTCGACGAACCAGCAATACTCCCAATACTCTCAGTATCAGCAAATTCAGATGCCGCCGCAGTACCATGTGCCTCCTACGCCTGTGAGCGTCGAGATGCATCCCGGGAAATATGTGCAACAGATGGGAAACAACGGACAGATTCTGTTCGACCACCAACAGGTAACATGGCAGCGGCACACAGAAAGGTGATTCTACCCTTGCTGACGGTATTTCCAGGTCTCCTTCACCCCACTAGTCTCTCCCGCGCAAACTCCCATGGACGGCGGGTTTGCGATGTCTGATTATGGGCTAGCAGACGAATTTTTCAGTCCACTGACGTCCCCTGCGATTGAGGCACAGGCTGCTTTTAGCTCGACCGGAACCACGGCGTCGCCTGTTGATCTCAACGATCTGAGTGCCGCGGGAAAACCCGTCGCAGCTGGGACGAAGCGGCCTCGGCGCAAAGGTAGTAACTCTGCCCGCACGCCTGCTCGAAGCGTCAAGCAGTCACCTGCGATGAAGCCTCAGCCCCGTCGCCGAAATCCCTCTCTGACGTCGTTGCCCATGGACAAAATCCGAAACATGCTTCCGCAGGGGACGTTGGGTTCAACACTCCATCCCTCGGCGCCCAATAGCGCCGTGCTCCAAGGGAGCGACGACTCGGTCTCACCAGAGCCTCTGTCCGAAGCCGCGATGAGGCCTCCTCCTGTGCCTCATCCGGGCAAGTCGCCGCAGTCGGCGATCGCCGCTCAGAATGCCCACTCGGCCAACCCGGTCACTCCTGCCACGTTGATGAGGATGCCCAGTAACCAGTCGATGACCATGAAGCAGATGGAGCACCACGGTCCTGTCCAAGGTGCAGATGAACCTATGGAGGATATCATGTTACCCGCGGCAGCGGCTTCTTCCACCATGTCCCAAGGGTTGCAAATTATCGACACTGGCAAGACTGCTGTTTCTGGCGAGAACACTCCTACTCTTGGCGCCAAATCCGCCAAGATTAGCGCTGCTAGCACACCTCGAAGTGCGCTGACAAGGGCGACGTCGCAAGAGACTTTTGCGAAACCCGGGAAAGTCGAAAGCCGTGGAGGAGGTCGTGCCAGCAAGAAACGCCAGAGCACGTCCTCTGCAACAATTTCTCCAGCGTTGCGACCCAAAATTTCCCCAAGTATCAGCCCATTAGCTCCTGCGGCTGGTAAGTCTCACCTCGGACGCGGACAGGTACGTGGTAAGCTGACCGTTCTAGGTCCGGGCATGTCACATCTTTCAGCGGAGACGAGTGCGTTATATCTTGCTTCGAAATCGAATTATCAAAACATCCTAGAGGGCACACATCTTCCAGGAGTTTCGTACCCCGAGACCTTAGCGGAAAATCTGACGTCGAAGCGAACATCACACAAAATCGCAGAGCAAGGCCGACGGAACAGAATCAATCTTGCATTGAAAGAGATCGAGGCTCTCCTTCCTGCGTCTATCCTCATGGCCAGCAACAAGAAAGACAGGCCGCCCAAAGACGAAAACGAGGACGGAGAGACGTCAGCGACTTCCAAGCCTTCCGCACCTGGACAGGGTGCGAGCAAGGCAAGTACGGTTGAAATGGCCATTGTCTACATCAAGAGCTTGCAGAGCGAGTTGAAAGAGACCCAAGAAAGACTGGAAGCGGCTGAGAAGAAAGCCGCCGAAGCCAGCAACAGGGAGAGCAGTACGGAGTGCCAAGGCACTTTGGAAGCGTAGGGCGGATAGAGAACGACCCCAGAAGTTTTGGTCACGGCTTAATGGCGAAATGGGTTTATGAGTTTCAGACCGCAACGAAGAATAAAATTCAACCAGGGGCCAGGAGGAGTTGAACGTGTATCAGGGGGCTGAGGAATGGAAGTATAGGGATTGCTAATCTTGTGACATATCCGGAATCGATAGATAGCTGTGATTCTACCAAACCATCTTGCACATCACAATAGCGGTTGGGTGGGAGGTTGTTTGGTTGTATATTTGTGGGACATGCATCGATATAGCATTGTCTCATGCTGATTAAAAAAAGGAAATGTGAATATCAACCGTGAATCTACTACAATGATACTTGTTCAAGCTGCATTCTGTCTCCAGAAGGAACAGAGTACTACAAGGCTCTCGGCGATGCAGCGCTGTTTGAGCGCCGAACACTGTAGAAAGTACGAGGGCAGACGGGTGGCTCCTCAAGGCTGCGAGATTCGAGAAGGCTCGTCAGGCTGCCTAGCCAGCCTATGGTGGCCAGGCAACGCTTTGCTAGTGGGCCCGTTAGATGGGGATTTTGTCTGACAGAAATATCTAGCAGCGGAGGGCTTTGAGCCGCTCTGAAGATATCAGCTAGAGACGAAGCAAACTGCTGCATGCGATGCCAGAATCAGTGCTCCTAGCCCCTGGCAGGCGAAGGACAGTCAGGCCCTCGCGATACTATCTGACCAGAGCAAACAAGCCTTTCCACTTCCTCAATGATCAAAGTGTTTGCAGCCTTTCTGCCAGACAGGGTTCTTTTTGTCTGGCGGCGCTTATTCAGAGCTGCGGGCCCGTGTCTTGGCAAATGCTTCTGTGGGGGCAGTAAGTGCAGAGGAAAAAAGAACCATATGGAAGCTCCCCAGGGTTGACTGCGGCTAAGTTTATAAGGCATAAACACTTTCCAGCCTTCCCTTCCTCTCATCAGACCATCACACAGAAATTTTCTTCCACTCTTACTCCCACTCCAAAAGGACAGTCTGCTCATCTGTCTCTTTACCACGACCACACTGCTTCTGTAAGTCCAACCCCCATTGTATCTGCCCGCATTGGCCCAGTGTTGCCTGCCTCACTTTGTTCTGGCTTCTCCAATTGCGCCGTCGCCAGCAGCAAAGGTGACTGTGTTTGCAAGCATCAACTTGCTCAGCCCAGGTCCATCTTCTATTCATTTGTACTGACTTTCCTTCTTTCACAGACCTCCATCACAGACAAGACCGCAGCCATGGCCTCTGAAAGCTTCGAGTTTCAGGCTGAAATCTCCCAACTCCTCTCCCTCATCATCAACACCGTCTACTCCAACAAAGAGATCTTCCTTCGAGAACTGATCTCCAATGCCTCGGATGCTCTTGACAAGATTCGATATGAGGCCCTCTCAGATCCAAGCAAATTGGACTCTGGCAAGGACCTCAGAATCGACATCATCCCAGACAAGGAGTCCAAGACCCTCACCATCCGTGATACCGGTATTGGTATGACCAAAGCTGTAAGTCTACTCACCTGTGACTATAGAGACAAGCATCGTGACTAACCTGTCACAATAGGATCTCGTCAACAACCTCGGTACCATTGCCCGGTCCGGTACTAAGCAGTTCATGGAAGCCCTGACTGCCGGTGCCGATATCTCCATGATCGGTCAGTTCGGTGTCGGTTTCTATTCGGCCTATTTGGTCGCCGACAAGGTGACTGTCGTCTCAAAACACAACGACGACGAACAATACATCTGGGAGTCCAGCGCGGGTGGCACCTTTACTATCACCCACGATGAGGACGGCGAGCCTCTTGGCCGTGGCACCAAGATCATTCTCCACCTCAAGGACGAGCAGACCGACTACCTGAACGAGTCGAAGATCAAGGAAGTCGTCAAGAAGCACTCTGAGTTCATCTCCTACCCCATCTACCTCCACGTCCTGAAGGAGACCGAGAAGGAGGTTCCCGACGAGGAGGCCGAAGAGGTTGAGGAGGATGAGGAGAAGAAGGCCAAGATCGAAGAAGTTGACGAAGAAGACGAAGACAAGGAGAAGAAACCCAAGACGAAGAAGATCAAGGAGTCCAAGATCGAAGAGGAAGAGCTCAACAAGACCAAGCCAATCTGGACTCGCAACCCCTCCGACATCACCCAAGAAGAGTACGCTTCCTTCTACAAGTCTCTCTCCAACGACTGGGAAGACCACCTTGCGGTGAAGCACTTCTCTGTCGAGGGTCAACTCGAATTCCGCGCCATCCTCTTCGTCCCCAAGCGTGCTCCATTTGATCTCTTCGAGACCAAGAAGACCAAGAACAACATCAAGCTCTATGTCCGACGTGTCTTCATCACCGACGACGCCACCGACTTGATCCCCGAGTGGCTTGGGTTCATCAAGGGTGTCGTCGACTCTGAAGACCTGCCTCTCAACCTGTCGCGTGAGACCCTTCAACAGAACAAGATCATGAAGGTCATCAAGAAGAACATTGTCAAGAAGTGCCTCGAACTCTTCAATGAGATCGCCGAGGACCGTGAGCAGTTCGACAAGTTCTACTCTGCCTTCAGCAAGAACATCAAGCTCGGCATTCACGAAGACTCGCAGAACCGCCAGTCTCTTGCTAAGCTCCTCCGATTCCAGTCCACCAAGTCTGGCGAAGAAGCCACCTCGCTCACCGACTATGTCACCCGCATGCAAGAGCACCAGAAGCAGATTTATTACATCACCGGTGAATCCATCAAGGCCGTGCAGAAATCCCCCTTCCTTGACTCTCTCAAGGAGAAGAACTTCGAGGTCTTGTTCTTGGTTGATCCGATTGACGAGTATGCCATGACGCAACTCAAAGAGTTCGATGGCAAGAAGCTTGTTGATATTACCAAGGACTTCGAGATGGAGGAGACCGACGAGGAGAAGAAGGAGCGCGAAAAGGAGGAGAAGGAATTCGAGGGTCTGGCTAAGAGCCTGAAGAACATCCTCGGCGACAAGGTTGAGAAGGTTGTCGTCTCTCACAAGCTCGTCGGCTCTCCCTGCGCCATTCGAACCGGCCAGTTCGGTTGGTCTGCCAACATGGAGCGTATCATGAAGGCCCAGGCACTTCGCGATACTTCCATGTCCTCGTACATGTCTTCCAAGAAGACATTCGAGATCTCACCCAAGTCTCCCATCATCCGTGAGCTCAAGAAGAAGGTTGAGACCGATGGCGAGAACGACCGCACTGTCAAGTCCATCACCCAGCTTCTCTTCGAGACCTCTCTGCTCGTCTCTGGCTTCACCATCGAAGAGCCAGCGAGCTTCGCCGAGCGCATCCACAAGCTCGTGTCTCTCGGTCTGAATGTGGATGAGGAGGCCGAGACTGCTGAAGAGAAGGCTGCCGAAGAGGCCCCTGCCGCTGAGGGTGCTGGCGAGAGCGCCATGGAAGAGGTCGACTAGACGGTTCCCTGCCACGGCATAGATGTTCCATCGACGAGATCTCACTTCCTGAGCGATTGTCTTTGTGTCATCCCTAATGGCGTTCCGGTGTCGGTCAGACGTGGTTGCCCTTGCCATGTTTTTTCTTCAGCGATATCCCGGCAATGAGTGAAATGGTTTGGGAAAGACTAGTGGTAGGAAAGGATTGCAATGACCACCAAAAAGCGGATAGGGGGCAATAATGGAAGAAGAACGGGTTAAGCAGTGAGCTTCTCTTGATGGTTGTGGTCACGGCTTCCCGTATTCCATAGTTCCAATTGATTGCACGATTAGATGAACAGTGCCTCCGAAACATTCTTTTGCTGTTCAAGCCGTACAAGTAGCCGTTGTAGGCCTGTGATGTTGGAGGCGAGCGGAAAGTGCATATCCCACGTGTCGGAGCGGAGGGCTCGCGCCAAGCGACGTTGTTCCGGACCCCCTGCTTCTCCAACAGGAAATGCGCAAGTCGCAATGGAACATGCTGTCCACTCTGATGCTGCCTCACACTCACCAATCTTGACAGTTCGGCAATGCACGAGAACCATGTCGCTGTCTGCTAATATGGCAAGCATTCCACAATAATAATAGTATATTCCTATTACCTCCTCGAGTTCCTCGACGGTCCCACTCCCCGGAGGCGCTGTGCGCTCCCATTCAGCCTCCTCCATTCTCCCACCACCTTTTCCACATCTCTGGCACAAGACCTTACCTTCCCACTCAGCTACTCTGGAGAGACCTATAGACGGTGTTATAATCCATCATGGCCCTCAAGTCGCGGTTTCACCGGCTGGATGCGTTCACAAAGACCGTCGAAGATGCACGGGTGCGGACGACCTCTGGCGGCATCGTGACGATTGCCTCGATCCTAATTATTCTCTATTTGGTATGGGGAGAATGGAGCGATTACAGGAAGATTCTAGTTATGCCAGAGTTGATTGTGGATAAGGGGCGAGGTAAGAAAAACCTGAACCTGGGTTCTGGAGTCGCAGCTGCGTCCACAGAGGAAGACATACAAATAAATGGAGGTGCCCCTGCTGATGCGGTATTTTGACCTGTGTAGGCGAGAAGATGGAAATTCACCTGAACATCTCCTTCCCCCGCATCCCTTGCGAACTGCTCACTCTCGATGTCATGGACGTTTCGGGCGAGCAGCAGACGGGAGTCGTCCATGGCGTCAACAAAGTGCGCCTTTCCTCCGTCACCGAGGGATCCAAGATCATTGACACGACCGCCCTGATTCTGCATAATGAACAAGACAACGCCGCGCACCTGGATCCAGACTACTGCGGCTCCTGCTACTCCGCTCCTCCTCCGGCCAATGCGACAAAACCCGGCTGCTGTAATACGTGTGACGAGGTGCGGGAAGCGTATGCCTCCAACAGTTGGGCGTTCGGACGGGGCGAAGGCGTGGAACAATGCGAGCGGGAAGGATATGGTGAAAGACTCGACGCACAACGCCAGGAGGGATGCCGCATTGAGGGCGTCATTCGCGTGAACAAGGTCGTGGGGAACTTCCACATTGCGCCCGGTCGCAGCTTCTCAAATGGAAACATGCACGTGCACGACTTGAATAATTACTTCGACACGCCCGTCGAGGGCGGACATACGTTCACGCATGAGATCCACTCGCTGAGGTTTGGCCCGCAGTTGAGTGACGATGACATGGGAGTGACGGCGAAATGGAGCGATCATCACCATGCGAATCCTTTGGACGGCGTGAAGCAGGAGACGGAGGAACCCGGGTTCAACTTCATGTATTTCATCAAGGTGGTGAGCACGAGTTATCTGCCGCTTGGGTGGGATGAGGATCGGAGTGCGAAGCAGCACTCGTCTCTGGCGGACTTGATACCGCTGGGCATGCAAGGCAAGGGAGCCGGCAGCCAAGGCTCGATCGAGACGCATCAGTACTCTGTCACGTCACACAAGAGATCTCTGAGTGGTGGGAACGATGCGGCCGAGGGACACAAGGAGAGACTCCACGCGCATGGAGGGATTCCGGGCGTCTTCTTCAGTTACGACATTTCTCCGATGAAGGTGATAAACCGCGAGGCGAGGCCGAAGACCTTTGCCAACTTTTTGACGGGTGTCTGCGCGGTGGTGGGCGGGACGCTGACGGTGGCGGCAGCGATTGATAGGGGTTTGTACGAGGGGAGTACGAGGTTGAAGAAAGTCCATCAGGGGTGAGATAGAGGAGTAGAACGATCTTTTGGGAGGAAAATATGACGGGTTCATCTTGCATCTAGCATGGGCGTTGTACGGTCACGTTCCTGGGCGGACATGAGAGAACATTGTTTCTATATCCAAGGGAAAACGGTACTGGCTGCTTTACTTGGAACCTTCAGACCAAAAGATGGGCGAGCAGTCAGTCTCGGTGTCAGTCTCGGCCCTCCCACTCAGTCCTGCTTTTGTCCCCGTTGGCAATCAGTATAGCCTAGAAAGATTGCAAATCAACCGTCAGCGAACTCTGCTCAATAGATTTGATTTTCACTGAAAAAGTGAATCAAAGGTAAAAAGACAGGAGAGAGAATCTTTTGTTTCCCTTTCCCTGTTTCAGAAGAACCAGTTCTAAGCACCGACGCCGCAAGAAACCACAAAGAATCGCACATTTGACGATGTGCCATTCTTGCATCCACGTGTTTGGCATGGTATGGGGGGTTTAATTTCAGACTTGCGGCATCCTTTTCCGGCTCTTCCTAATGCCGTGAGGTTTCTGTGTGTTCATCATTTCGGAGAGGAGATTGAGGAGTGAGACGAAATGTGTGCAAGGTGGAGAGTAGCACACTCTGAGAGAGAGAGAGAGATAACTCACCGTGGGTAACGTCTGGGGTCGTTGGTGAGTGTGTCAGGGTGACGAGAGGCGTGAGACTGTACAGTTAGCGTGGCTTGATCTCTGACGCTAAAGCTCAGAAGCATGGAGGTTCCAGAATGGATGACACGGGGCTCTTCGAAAGGGACTGGAGGTTGTGAAGAACCAAAGCATAATAATTCCAGAGTTGAATTTCTGAAAGTTTTTGGGAGGTGAAAATGCATCTTGCCTGTTTAGGAAAGGCCATTTTTGTCCATCGATCTAGCCTGTTTCGGCCTCTGTCAACACTCGCTTCGTGCGGTCTGAACGGTTTTTTCCTTGACACCCACGGTCCTGCGTTTTCGAGCGAATCAGAATGTTCTTGTTCGCTGTCGTGTGGCTGGAAAATGCCGTTCTAGCAAGACAGGTCAACTGCGGTGTGGCCTCCCATACCGTAGTGACAACACCTTCTAACTTGGACACCATTGCTCACATCCCAAACCCCAGCTCTTGTTACGAGCCCTTGCTCCTCTCTGGTTGTCTCTCCGGAATGAAACCAGCACCTCCCTACCCAGGCTGCAGCCGCCGTACCATCAGGAGTCCCGCAAAAAGGGGAACTTCACCCAGTCTTTGCTGGTACTGGGTGCCAAGTTTAATCCTGTCATGCTGAGCAGAGTGCCTCTTCGAGCTCCGAATACGGGGCGCGCCGCCTTCCACTTGACTCGTCAGCAAGCTTACAGTATCTGGAATCAGTATAAGATCCAGGTGACGAGTCTACCAGTGCTCTACCCAATTGCGTTCGCCGAGGAAGGAGAACATGTCTTTCGAGATGGCGGGATGAGAGCGGCTGATTAGGGAAGCTGTCAGAAATGGTAGCCCTCACATCCCGTCGTCCATTTCGCGGTTTGGTGGAAACAAACAGTGGGAAGGCTCCAGTGCTGAGACTGATAGACGAACAGATCCATTTTCGCCGTTTGCAATTGCGGGATCAACCCCCGCCAAGATTTGGCCGATGCTACTCTTCTCAATGCATTCCAGGTATGGGGGATGCCTAAAATCAGGCGAAATACGGAGCTCGCACGAAAGACACCAGCACGAGTCGTCATCTCGACGTCAGTCACCAATGAAGCCACCTTATGCACTCGAAATATTGTGCATATTTCTAGCGTTGCGCTTTCGACAGGCAACCCCGCCCCAAGGTTCGAAGGACGTCAAGTTGCCTAGGTCCAGAGAAACTACCGGCGGGTAGCGGAGAGAAGATCCCCCAAAAACTCAACAAGCGAGGTACATCTCAGTCTAGATGCGCGCTAAACCGTTTCTATAAGTACGAGGTATGGATGCGTCTGTTGAAGAAAGTAATACATTGCGAATACAAGGCAGCCTGTGCTGACGGTGAGGAGACTTTGTGAGGGAGCATTTAAGATCGCATTGGACTTGGATCTGCCGCTTCAACCAGCATTGCATTCTATACTGAGAACGAATTCATCCCGTAGCGGGACGCCGTCGCGATGAATGGGCACTTAGATGCATCCAGCTTGAAGGACAAGTCTATCATTGTCACAGGTACTTCCACGCCAACGTGTTTCAGCACAACAAACTCTGACAGTAACCACAAGGAGGTGCATCAGGCATAGGGCTTGCAGCGGTCACACGCTTCGCAAACGGGGGTGCCTATGTCACCATCGCAGATGTTCAAGACGCCGCTGGGAACAAAGCGGCTGCTGACCTCAACGCTAAGGGCTGCCACGTCTCATTCGTCCATTGTGACACAACCGACTGGGAGTCAAGTGTTGCTGCGTTCAAGCACGCCGCTTCCTTCGGGCCGAGCAAATCCTTGGACGTCGCCCTTCTGAACGCTGGTATAGGAGGCGATAGGGGCAGCCTGACAGATCAAGTCCTGGCAGCCCCCGAGCCCTCGTTGGATCCCGATGTCATCCCAACACGTCCAACGCGCAAAGCAGCTGCTGTGAACTTCTTGGGGGTATACGACAATTGCTGGTTGGCGTTGCACTATATGCGTCTGCCGTCGAAAGTTGAGTCGTCAAACACACAGCAGAAATCGATAATCCTCACTGCGTCTTTGGCAGCTTATGCCGACATGCCGTCCTCTTCGGATTATAATTCTTCCAAGTGTAAGTATCCGTTTCTTTTGCAACGGTGTTGCCCCAACGGTTTGAGATTGAACAATCGCTGTGTGGAATAGTGGTCATCAGGATTTCCAAACACGAACGATGTGCTATAGGGACATGAACGCCTTCATAGAACTTACAGGCTGACTCGGAGTCTTTAGTTGCCGTCCGAGGTCTCTTCCGAGGACTCCGACATACAACTGCTGCTCTTAATGTCCGCGTGAACCTGCTTGCACCTTACTGGATCAACACACCCCTTGTTCAGTCTGCGCTTCCCTCATTGGAGGCGAGGGGAGTGAAGCCAGGCCAGGGATTGACGTGGGCCAGCATCGATCATGTGGTCGACGCCATGGTTAGATCTGCCACGGACCCAAGTGTCGGCGGCATAGCTTGGGGTATCTGGCCAGAGGGCTACCTTGACATGGGCGATGACGAGGCCGGAGGCTGGGCAGGGGATCATCTGAGGGAGCATTGGGAGATCCAGAGACAAAAGGGCGACAACATGCTTTGAGGGCCAGAGTCGTTCCATGCGGCTTCGACCTTGGCTCGAATCGGAACAGGGAAGTAGGGATCAGAAGCCGAGGGTATCCCATGTGGGCTGAAGACTCCTTGTCGTTGCCGTCCACACATTCATTCTGATTATATCAAGTCCCAAAATGGCCTCTTCTACCCAACATTGGTAGATTCGATGACTCTCATTAGCCGCAGTAGCGAGGCGTATGCGAGGGCTTGAGCGAGCAGATACATCGATGACTCCACTTTATCGTGATACGGGAGTCTCGAGTACGTACGCATGGAAAAGAAATGTGATCCGATGTTTGCGGTTCATTGGACCTGGAACGAGTAGAAGAAGGCTGAGTGAAGAAATGCTGGCTCGAAAGATCGGTGCTTGTCCGCAAAACGGGCGGGCGAATTCCGGCTAATTAATGCAACCAACGCGTCTAATGTGGCATTTCCACATGCGACCTCTGATGTCGACACTTTTCGTATACCTCGTACTTCAAGCGCCTGTGTATTTGGCTATAGTCTTGTCCCGTCTGAATTTCTGGAGTTTTGAAGGCAGGCGCAAACATTGCCGGCCAGTCGAACAACTCTCGGAGGATCGGCGGCCCCCCCATATCTCACAGCCCATATGCCTGTCAATGGCGTTCAGCACGAGGAGGACTTGCTAGATTCCGGTAACCTGACGATGTTCGGCGACGAGTACGGCCTTGTGACTGACTGTGGAAAGATGATTATGACCCTATAGAACACCTCGATCAGATATTCTCCCACCCTTCGACCCTCTCGTCTGTCAGCCAGACCTTCCAAATCCTCCAGGCGTACCAGGATGACCTCGACGACGAGATCGAGGCGCTCGAAGACGAGCAGATCCAGTCGAACGCAGCATGCCTCCAGCGCATGGAAGCTTCAAAGGCCGAGCTGGCGGAGCTGTTCCAGCGCATCGAGAGCGTCCGGGAGCGAGCACTGCGGACGGAACGAAACATCACCGAGATGACGGCGGATATCAAGCAGTTGGACAACACAAAGAAGAACCTGACGCTCTCGATGACCGCGCTGAAGAGACTGCAGATGTTGACGACCGCCTACGAACAGCTGCGAGCCATGAGCAAGACGAGGCAGTACAGGGAATGTGCGCAGCTCCTGCAGGCGGTGATCCAGCTCATGGCGCACTTCAAATCCTACCGGTCGATCGATCAGATCGCGACGTTGAGCAGGAATGTGGCAGATATACAGCGAGAGTTGTTGGAGCAGGTGTGCGAGGACTTCGAGATTACCTTCAGCAAGGAGGAGGTGGCTCAGAAACGAGGCTTGCTCCACGAGGCGTGTCTGGTAGTCGACGCACTCGGCGACGCTGCCCGGTCAAGGTTGACCACCTGGTATTGCAACACGCAGCTTCGGCAGTATCGGCACATCTTCAAGGGGGATCAGGAGGCAGGATCGCTCGACAACATCGATCGGAGGTACGCATGGTTCAAAAAGACGCTGAAGATATACGACGAGGAACACGCCGCCATATTCCCTCCACACTGGCGAGTCAACGAGATCCTCGCCAACGTCTTTGCCGAAGGGACCCGGGACGACTACAAAGGCATCCTGTCAAGGACCACCCGCAACGGGCAGACCATCGACGTTCAACTGTTACTGTCATGTTTGCAGCAAACGCTGGATTTTGAGCACGGCTTGGAAAGGAAATTCAACCAAACCTCAAGAACGTCGATTGATACGATGGCGTCGGCCAGTGATACTCCAGTTTTCGGCCAGCCGATCTCGGACGCTTTTGAGCCGTATCTGAGTCTCTGGGTGGAAGCACAGGACAAGGAGCTCGCGGGTCTGATACCGCAGTACAAGCAGCGACCAACCAAGCTTGCGGATGAGGAGTTTTCCTCGCAACACGTCATCGCCTCGTCGACTGAATTGTTCAACTTCTACCGACACTCCCTGGCGCAATGTGCGAAGCTTTCCACTGGACAGCCGTTGCTCGACTTGTCCAAGGTTTTCGGTCGCTATCTCGATCAATACGCACAGCAAGTACTGCTGTTCTATATTTCCGAGAAACCGACAGGCGGCACACCTTCTCGAACACCAACAGTCGAGGACGTGATCTTGGTCCTCAACACGGCGGATTACTGTTTTCACACGTCGAATTCTCTGGAAGAGAAGATCAAAAGTCGCATAGATGAGGGACTGAAGGACAAGGTCGATCTTCAGAGCCAAGCAGATGCCTTCATGGGGATAGCGAGCGCAGCAGTCCGAGGCTTGGTCCGTCGCGTGGAAGTTGCTCTGGAACCCAGCTGGCGTGAGATGCGAAATACGTCCTGGTCAAAGATTGAAATCGGCGAACATCAAAGCCCTTACATCACAGGTTTGCAACATCGACTCAGAGACCGTTCCAGTGAGATCTTGGGCATGCTCCATAAACAGCAGTATGCGCGGGCATTTGCGGACAACCTGGTTGAGCTGTTGGCGTCAACTTACATTGCTAATATTGTTCAATGCAAGCCCATCTCGGAAGGCGGAGCTGAGCAGATGTTGCTCGACACTCACGAGATCAAGAACACCCTGAACCAGATACTTCCAGGGACTCCACCGCCACTTTTCCTCAAACGCGTCGCTGCCGCGTTCGGCAAGATTGAGCCGCTGTTGAAGACTCTGCAAGTTCGACCATCGCCTCCAGAGGCCCTTGTCCAGGCATACCTGATCCACATCGCGGACCTCTCAGAAGTTAACTTTCGCAAAATCCTCGATTTGAAAGGAATTCGCGTAAAGTCAGAACAAAATCACTTGATTGAATTATTTCAAATGCACAAGTTCAGCCCACGGTACAAGGACACATTGGTGGAAAAGTCACCTTTGCTCACTCCATTGAATCTGTCAGCATCGGGCCCGTCCACTGGAACTGCAGTAACACCAGCAGGTGCACTCCACAACCTTTCTGCGCTGGGGAACTCTGCGGCGGCGTCCCTGAGCACGGCAAACATTCCATCGAACATGAAATTTGACGCTTCAGGACTGGGAAACGCGATTATTGACCGGTTCAGTAGCCCGGGTCTGGGAACGCCTCGAGAGGGGGCAATAAGTCCACCAATGGGTGCTTCCTCAACAGGCACGCATGTTGCAGGTGATGGCGGATTCTCCGGCGCAGAGGCGGGGGCGAAGCTGAATGAGAATTTGAAAAACATAGGAAAATTCTTCAAGAGGGACCTGGGCGGGTTTGGGGGTATAGGTCGATTTGGAAGCAGCAAAACCACGAGCCCTGCTCCTCCGGAAGATCGAGCAAACAACCGATAGGGTAGCCAGGAACAAAGCACCAAAATGAACAGAAAAGTTAGTGGATGGGTTTTCAATGGGTTCATGAGTGCAAATGCTTCGTGAGAGGAATGGGCAAGGGTCAATATAGCAGAGAACGCGGCTCGAAGACACGAACCATTGTTCCCCCTTTGAGCCCATTAATGGAAAGGGCACTAAAGGGGCATAATGGACGGTCACTATAAAAACCGACCAATGGGCGACAGCAGCCAGCCAAAAGCCCTTGCCAAGCCTCGCCGGCTGACCTTTCCTATTATAGAGTAGCTCTGTATCACGTGAGGGCGCCTGACCGAGTGTGTGGGCCTCGCGTTTTGCTCGAGTCTGCCTACAAAAAGTTCCCTTGTCCCTTCACCAGCAACAGCGCCAACGCCTTTGTTACTCGATTGATCTCTCGACATCTCCTTTGTCATATTCGTCTCTTCTCTCACTAGCTCTCGCTGTCGACATTCCATCTCTCGCGATATTCACCATTTGACTGTGTTACTTGCACATACGAGTACAGAACATACCCTTGTCACATAAGCCGCCACATACAAATCTTCAAGCCACATCCCACCAAATACCGCACCGTACAAGATCGCAATATTTCGATCACCTACATGAGCAGACACTGCCTTCAGGTCCGTCGTTGAGGGATTCTGCTTGCCGTGGGGGCTTCGAGTTGTTACTGAAGAGCCTCGCCTCACGTGCTCCATCAGCTCATTCGTTTGACTCACGGTCACATCTGAAGGACAAAAACTCGAATTTGTCTTCAAGACGCGGACCATTTCTTGTGCCATTTGAAACATCACCTACAGCGTCAACCACTTGACTACCGGCAGCTTGGTCCTCTCGGGTCAGGGGTGTTCACAATGGCATTCGGTCGATCCGGGGATCCGTCACAAGGCAATCAATCTGCAGCCACGCGCGACTTGGCGATCAAGGGATGGACAAATTCGAAACTCGCATCCACACCAGACCAAGGAGTTGCCTCGCTACTGGTGTTCCTCCGCAAGAAATCTGGGGATCGCCAAATATTGTCAAACAAAGTCGTCGGCCGCGCGAGCAATGTCCTCATTATCACCGTCTATGAAAACGACAAAGATCGATTTTATCATTTAAACAATTTCCAGTGGGCCGGCAGTACTCTTACCGTCGAAGACTCGAGATCTCCACTCGGCAATATCAATCGATTTCAGCAAAACCAGGCCCATGATCGGTCGCAAAATCATCTACCCCCATCTCAACCATCTCAACCAGCTAGGTCTACTTTTGGCCAGAATGGCACAACCCCACATGGTCGTCACCACCAGCCGCCCAGCGGACCTCGAGGAGGCGGAAACGCTCCCTACAACCAACCTCGAAACAATCCCCGCTTTGGTGCGCAAGACATCAACAAGAACGATCCTCTCACCAACGAAGTTGAAAATACCATGATCTCTGTCCTACGCAGACGCTACGACCCTTCCCTGAAACTCCTAAGTCTCAATGCCCTCGGTGCCGACGACGAACTCCTACAAATTCCTGGCATACTCGGTTCCGACCCCGCAAAAGTCTTCGAAGCCATCTTTACTCTCTGCAAAACCAAAATTTTCGAAACCCCCAGCAAACGTGACGAGTCCGTCCACAGCATTACACTGAGCGACAACGGCTTCGAATCCGTCGAACAGATCATGTCTCTGTCAAGAACCTTTCCGCGCCTCCGAAATCTCGACCTTGGACACAATAAACTTGCGAGCATGGATTCCTTGAAGTTTTGGAAGAACCAGTTTCGTGATCTGGAGCATTTGATCTTACAGGGCAACCCCGTCAACGATCTACCGGATACACTGTCGACTCTCCGCCAGTGGTATCCAAAGCTCAAATTGTTCAACAACCTTCCCGTCGGCGACAATCAACCCACAGCGTCCAGTGTACAACAGGCGCCCTTCCAAGGCAACCCACAACAGCCTGTACCGGCGCCGGCCGGCCGCCTACCGCATCCCGAAATACCGGCAGACTCTCTATTCGGCGTTCCCCAAGCAGACAAGCCTGCGGAAATCCTCGAACGCGAGAAGATGGGCCTGCAGTTTAGTTTCGAGACGAAACTGCGGCTGGCTGCCGTGGAGGAGTGCCTGGCAGCCAACAACTGGAACTACGCTTTAGCCATGAAGAACTTCATGGAGCTAAAAGCGCAAGGGGCAATCCCGGCGGAGAAGTTTATACCTGGTGTTTAGGAAACCTCCGTGGACAATGGAGGCAATGTGGTCATGGTGGACCTGGGGGATTATTAAAACCAATGTTATTATTACACAGAATGGGCCTTTGAGCATGGCGCTCGTTTGGATAGCATTTTTAGCATCATTATGCTCCTAGGAGCAAGCCCCATAGGAGGGCGAATCACATTGATATTGTATATCTGCGCTCGTTCGTGCCTCGTTCTTTCGTTGTTGTTTGCGAGCATGTGAAAAGATAGGCCGGCCCTGCTGACAGGGGTGTCAACGCCCATGCCAATGGAGCCCCATCTTAGATTGGCCGCCATTGTATCTCGAACTCCAATCGACCGGGACAACGTGGTCTGGATTTGCTGGACAGGAGCCTGGAGCCTTGATACAAAGCGTTGGGCGACGATGATTCAGTTTCACATGTGAAAACACGTCATGGCGGGCAGTTCGGTGTCGCTGGCCATCTCACCATCCCATTCCACATCCACCACACCATTTTCCATCATTGGCAAATGCCCGCCTTAATGCCAGGAACCCGGACGCGTACCTGCATCCTCCCTCCCCGTTCCATTCTGTCTGGTTCCCTGCTCCTGGCCGCTTTTTTCTCTTCTGACTGTGTTTGACTTTCGCCCTCGACCCTGAATTCATGGAGCACGACGTGAAGCCGTCACTCGTCGCATCCTTTACACCGCCTTCTCGGCCTGCCGCTCCGACTGCCCTGCGAGATGCTCTGGAGCTCGAATAAAGAGAATGCATCTGCTTCCGAGGATGAAAAAACTGTTGGGGACTCGGATGACGATGCCCCAAAGGAAATTGTTCTTGCGCAGCCGCAGCAGGGACGAACGCTTCTGCCTGCGCCGGCCGCTGCCATCGTCAGTGGCGTCACCGGCCTGACTTCCTTCTACGTTCGCGGTGCAACAAAAGTCGGGGGTTGGGGGCTGTACGCTGGTAGGGAAGCTACACTGAAAACATTGGCCGTCAGTCGCAGCGCGTTGGAGTCGATCCTGGTCGCCGCAGGACGGGACGTGTCGACACGAAGCAATGGCGACCTGGGGCGGGCGGAAGCTGAGAATCTGCTGGAGAGGAGTGTGCGTCCAAAGACTTGGTTTTGGTTTTGGAGGATATTGGACTAACGTTCTCACAGATCTCTGCGCTGCATTCGACCATCTCAACTACCTCTTTTGTCGCCTCGACGGGCTTCCACCTCACAGAAGCGTTCATGAACTCTATATCTGGCCTGTCCATCCAAGGCCTGGCTACGCTCAATGCTATCCTCGGCTCTACCGAATCCTCCCGCGCCGTCGCCGCAATCATCACGCTGATCAGAGACGAGCTCAACAAGCCCGAAGTGGGTGGAAGCGGCGAGGTGGTGACATATCTGGACCTCATCATTGCCACCATCGGATTTGTGATGCTCCAGAGGTGGGGCAGGCGCAAGACGGAACTGGACTTTCGGGATGCCGGCGGTGAAGAAACTATCTGGGACGCAGTCATTGATGACAAGGGTTTCCGAGCTGACGTCGTTGGCACAAGGAAGAAAGGCGTGATCAGCATACACGCCAATGCTGGTGGGCCGCCAATGGCATTCACTTCTCCGGATTGCGATGATGATTTTGAGGCCTTGGAAAGGGGCACGACGTTTGATGCTCAGGCAGTCACATTGTCAGCGGAGAACCAGACCAAGCTGACGGAGGAAGAAATTCGTGAGCGGATCATGAGCCAAATACCTTCTGGAGCTCGAGCGGTAATAACATCGGAGACCATCACCGCCAAAACAATCCGGGTTGACATCTACGACACTGAAACGACTCATATTGAACCTCCGCCGGGAACTATTATGGTCGCAGAAAGACTGAACCATGAAAGCTCGACAAACGGCAACCAGGTTGGGCCTCATCAAACAGTCATATTTCGCACGGCTTTGAAGCGATCGAGCAGCAGGGAGAAACCGTCTTCTACCGAGCAACTGCGATTGACAGGCCATGACGGCTTTGCCCATGACCACCCTGACACCGACGATTTGCTTATGATGAAGACTGCCTCAAAACGAATCTCTATCGTGGATGAACCAATCCAGATAGACAACGGCACTTTCTCCAGTTCAGACCGTGATGAGTCGGCGATCGAATCATCCTCACCACCAACTTCTTCACCTCCGAAGCTCCTAAGCCCTCTTGCAAATCAGAAAAAGAGCCGCCGGCCAGTCCTTGGCTCAAGCAAGTCCTCGTCCAACGCAAACGGTGCCAGTCGAATACCCCTTGTCAAAGGTAAAAAGGACAAGTCACCTCCGGTCGCTAAGAGTGACAGGGGTGGTGTTATAAAGAAAGCACTGAAGACGCTCAGCCCGAGCCAGTCGTCAGCAGCGGTAAAGGACCTTCAAAAAGCACCACCACAGCAACGAAAACCATCGACCTCGCTTACAGTACAGCCGCCCAAGTCTAGGGCGCCTTCGACAAATCGCGAGGATGTTACGCCGAGGAGAACTTATGCTTCGTTGAGCCATGGTCACACACCCTTGACAAGTCCGAGCTTACATCGGGCCACCGAGTCATCGACAAGCTATTTTGCGTTGCACGACAGGAGAAGAGACTCTATTGTCTCGCAGACGACGGAAACATATTCTATACATTCGCACGAGAGTCGGCCAGGTTCCCCTACATTCACTAGGACTCGTACCCGAGTTGTGAATGGGTTGACGCAGACGAGATCGGAGCTCGGACTGGCACTGGACGAAACTGAAGCCAGGGTCGACCCAACCACAGGCACAGTCCATCATAGACGGTCTCGGTCTTTTGTTCCCAGTCTATATTCGATGGCGACGAAGGATTCCACGGAAGCCATCCTCTTGGCGCCGAAGACCCCTCTGCCTCGAAAATCCATTTATGAGGACCATAGTATATTAGCTGCTCTCATCACGAATGGCAAGGTGCCAGGTATCTTCCCTGATCGTCATCTTGTCAAAACAATCCGACGATTTGCAAGATTCGCGTCGGCTTCATATGGCGCAAACTTCCTCCGAGTCATGGGCTTGACAACGGCGGAAGATGAGCTTAGCAAGTCGACAGAGCTTATGACCCTCGACGTCCACCATGAACACAGCTCATTTTCAAGCCACACAGGTCTCCCTCCTGACACCATTCTATTGTCATCCTTCTTTGATCCACAGGGGGTCACTGGCAATACTGACTGGTCTCCCTCGGCCATATCACCCTTGATCCATTTCATTTCGATCGACGACGATTCCAAAGCCGTGGTCCTGACCTGTCGCGGGACGCTTGGCTTCGAAGATGTTCTGACAGACATGACGTGCGACTACGACGATTTGCTGTGGCAAGGGCAGTGGTACAAAGTCCACAAAGGCATTCATGCATCGGCAAGACGACTGTTGGGTGGTAGTGGAAGCCGTATCATGGCCACCATCAGAGCCACCCTTGAACAATATCCCGATTATGGTCTTATTCTTTGTGGGCACTCCCTGGGAGGTGCAGTTGCGGCCATTCTCGCCATTTTGATTGCAGAACCATCGTTCGACGAATCCAAGACCTCCTTCGTTACCGGCAACAGGCCTAAACTCCTTACCCACCAAACCACCAACGAGTCGTTCACTTCCTACGTCCCTCCCATCAGTCTTCCGGCGGGGCGCCCAATCCACGTCTACGCCTACGGCACACCTGCATGCATGTCGGAGCTTCTCCGTGTCGCCACCCGTGGCCTCATTACCACCGTTGTCAACCACGCCGACATTGTGCCCTGCCTCTCCCTAGGCATCCTCCACGACTTCCGCACCGTGGCATTGCACCTCAAACACGACACGACGGACGCCCTCGGTGCTCTCAAAACCCGGGTTTGGAGCCGTCTCAAAAGTGCCGTCAAGTCCGCGTTCTACAACAACCCGAAAGGACCGCCTCCACCAGAAAACATAGCAGGGGATGGTCTCGGCGAGGACACATGGGCGTGGTCGGCACTGAAAATCCTGCGCGCGGCAATGGTGAATGACAAACTGGTTCCTCCGGGAGAAGTGTTCGTCGTGGAAACGACCCGCGTCTTCGACCGACTGGACCCCGACGTGGCGCGCGAGGCTGTTTTCGGACCCGACGACTCAAAGGACGACCGTACAGAAAAGCTTTATAGAGCCCTTGGTCGGCCGGCCACGAGAGTGCAGTTCAAGCTGGTGCGGGATGTGGAGAGGCGGTTCGGCGAGCTGCGATTTGGGAGGGATATGTTTGGCCACCACAGCCCAGGCAGATACGAGGCCAGCCTTGCGGCGTTGGATAGAGGGATTTGTGAAGAATGAGTTGGAATGTGTTTTTGATGGTTTTTCACGACGTTACGATCTACTATTAGAAATGTTCGTGGTGGGTTCTCTTCAAAAAGCGAAAATTGGTTCAGATATTCCATGTAATCTCATCTGTTCTTGTTGGTACGCCGCATGACGTGACGAGATACTCCTTCCAATATGGAAGTATGAAGAGGGAAGCTATTCTATTTGTCACCTGTCGCTTTCCTTGGCCTGGGCCCTGCAGGTTGTGTGCATACCCAAGCCTCTTTACCAAGCCAAAGGGCCTGAGACTAGGTGTTTGTAGCTCGGACTTGAACGGGCAAGCAACCCTCCTCTCCTTTGTCTCTTTTCCGCAGAGGTCTTTGAAGATACCACGGATACATATACGCTACGCGCACCCGTGTGTAGTGTGAGATCTTGAATAAATCAATGAAGTAATCGCCCACTCACTCGCTCGCCCACTCACTCGCTCGCCCACTCACTCGCTCGCCCACTCACTCACTCACTTACTTACTTACCCAGCTGAGAGTGACAACGATAAGGAGCGAGTTGCTTCCACAATCACATCGCTCCCCCTTGGGTAAATGACAACCGCCACAATCCACAGCGCCAGCGCGGCGTGACTAGGACACACAGACACTTGATAGACCACGACAAGACAAGCCGTCAACGTCCAAGATCGATGCATTGCGGCGCGCCGTTTGCGCTCCTTCTCTCCTCTTATTTCTTTCATCTCACTGCGCCTTCCGTGGTGAATTGGTGGAACCCCCCCCCCCCCCCCCCCCCCCTTTTTCTTCACGCGCACGTAGACAAAACCCGCGGCCTTACTCGGGACAATTGTATATAAGATAGAAAGGTCGCTCCATCCGCCCGTCCGGCAAGAGGCGGCTATCGTCCAGCATGATCTTGTAGCTTTTTGTGGTTTGGGTCCTTGTCCCTCCGGGCTCTGGGACATGTGAGCAGCTCAGCTGTGGCCGGGCGGTCATGCTGGCTCTGGGGAGCAGTGGATGATATCCGACCTGGGGATGTGGTCTATATAAATATACCTATGAGGCTTCGAGGTTTTCCCTCCCTGTGCTCTCTCCTCGTAGAGAAACAACGACAGCGACAGCGACAGCGATAACATCGATCTTGCTTGCTTCGATATTCATTCGTTCGAGAGGCAAGGGCAAAAGTACAGAATACCTCAGTGTATTATAGCTATACAGCTATAATCGTCGAGGCTCGTGGGGGCGCAGAGGCAAACGAGAGGTTTGCGCGACGTCAAGGCAGCCCGCGCCATACAGCGGCGGTATTTCAGTCCTGGTAAGTCGGCAATGGAGAGGGACACCGAGATGTAGTCTGACCAGATCCAGGACCGAAGCGGATCAACGACTGGGATTTCAGATTCTGTCAACATGCAGTCGTTTGGGAGTCTGAGGTCTGGGACCTCCATTCTCCTCGCCGGTTTGAGCGTGTTCGGAGTCGTCGATGCTCGGGCTGATGTGGTCCACAATTGTCCACATCCTGTCTGGTGCGCGATCGTTGTCGGAGACAAGCCCAAAACGACGCTACGCCCCAGTCCGACCGTGCAGCGGTCACCTGGGTCAACCAGCCGGCCGGGACGCTCATGACCAGCTACTTCCTGGACCACCCGCAGGACACCGGGATTGCGATGATGTGCACTCGTGACCCTTCTGTATCGACGCCGCTGGTCACCCAGCTCGAGTACGCGTGGGAGCAGGACGAGGGTCAGACCTAATCTCGACGTCAGCAACGTTGCGGAAACCCCGTTCGTCAACGAGGGTTTCAAAATGGAAGTCAACGACCCGGAAGATCCCAAGCTGAGTCTTCCAAGTTGTCACGGCGCATATTGCGCTCCGGGAGACACGAGCTGCAACGATGTGTACAACAAGTACAATGACGACTTTCAGGGGATGCGGACTTGTTCGGACTCGGTGAATATCAAGTTGACATTGTGCTCTGGGTGAGCGAACGCCATGACACTGGGGTGGCAAAGGGAGAGGAGGATTTTCGTTTGGATGGTTCGAACTGGACTCTGATGACGAGATGCTGGTGGTATTATACATACATGTCCTGGGTGACGCCGGATCCGAAGGGAGATCTGAGGCGACACAGCACGCTTGCGTTGAGAAGGACCTCTCAACCAGCCATAGCCATGTATGATAGATTTCTGATTCTCCCGTGATGCCGTGCTGCCGTCTTGGATAGCGAATTGATGCAATCTGCAACCCGCCGTTGACGCCGGACGCCAGCACTCGTGCATCCGCTAGAGAGACTCGGGGAATAGGACCAAGTCTGGCCGCAGCCCGCTGGCCGCAGCCCGCTGGCCGCAGCCCTGGTGACTGTGACTCCAGACGTCGTGGTGGCTGGTGGCGCAGAGACGAAAACGGCAGCTGGAAGAAGCACAGCAACGGCGGCCGATGCAGCAGTGATGACTCCCACCGACTCCCTCGCCTTGGCCCGCCGTGTCTGTGGCGTGGCCCGTTGCCTGCGTCGGGGTGTGATTGGAGGAAAAACACGTCGCACTGCACGATTACACAATTTCTCCTCCATACCACCAGACACAGTGGTGCAAACGGATGATTCACAACCCTCCCGCGGGCCTTTTTGCACTTTTGCCAACCAGTTCTTTGCTCCTTTGCCCTTTTGCTCTCGATCAGCCTCCGCCTTTTCTCCCGAATCGAAGTGAAAGAGAGAATCCTAGACTGTCGTCGACCACGCCCCCGAAGACAATATAAAGAAGCACCCAGTCGCCGTTGGAAGCGAATTGCTCACTGCAACTCTTCCCCCCCACAATCCACTCGTCTTCGCAACAACTGCTCGACCCCTCCTTTCACTGAACTCTTTTCCACCGTTTCTACCTCTTCTCAACACAATCACCCCAAATCACCGCGGCTACTGAGTGAACATGGCTGTACGAGCACAGGTAAGACAATCTCGTCTCCGTCTCTCACGACGAGACCCAGTGTCCTAATTCTCCTGGTGCAGTTCGAAAACTCCAACGAAGTGGGCGTTTTCGCCAACCTCACAAACAGCTACTGCCTCGTCGCCGTCGGGGCCTCCGAGAACTTCTACTCCATCTTCGAATCCGAACTCGCCGACCTCATTCCCATCGCTCACTGCACCATCGCCGGCACCCGCATCGTTGGCCGCCTGACCTCAGGAAACAAGAACGGTCTGCTGGTCCCTACGTCCACTACAGACCAGGAATTACAACACCTACGGAATACTCTGCCAGATAGCGTCAAGGTCGAGAGGATAGAGGAGAGACTATCGGCACTTGGGAATGTCGTGTGTTGCAGTGAGTGGCGCCTCTTGTCTTGCGAAGTGGCGCGTTCTGCATCCAACCCTTTTTTCTAACACGGGCAATTTGTTGCTAGATGACCATGTCGCCCTCGTCCATCCTGATCTCGAACGAGAGACCGAAGAGATCATCGCAGATACCCTCGGTGTCGAAGTCTTTCGCCAAACGGTCGCCGGCAACGTGCTAACCGGCTCCTACATGTCCCTCTCAAACCAAGGCGGCATCGTCCACCCGAAAACAAGCATCCAAGACCAAGATGAGCTGAGCTCGTTACTACAAGTGCCCCTTGTGGCGGGCAGTGTCAACCGGGGAAGTCCCGTCGTCGGTGCCGGCATGGTTGTCAACGACTGGCTGGCAGTGACGGGCATGGACACCACGGCGACCGAGCTGAGCGTCATCGAGAGTGTCTTCAGACTGGGTGAAGGTGGTCCAGGTGGACTGGACGCCAGGATGAAAGCAAACAAGGAGAGCATCGTCGAGAGCTTCTACTGAGCATCGCTTTGTGACCTCTGCACATATCCTTATTCGACATTTGGTGTTGTGTGTTGTCACTATCGACAAATTTTGGCTCACGGATAACAATGCGTCCCTCACGGCAGGTTGGTTTGCATATATCAGTCGCAGACGAGGTATGGGGACGCACCCTCGGGCGGCTAGGACAAACAACCTCGATGAATTTCCTCCATCCCACTTTTCTCCCCGACCTCTGATGAGATCCGCGTCGCAGCGGGTGCCGCTCCCGCTATTGGATTCGAAGACTGGAAAAGACTGGTTCGGGCCGTCAGAGAGGGCCACATTCGCCGAAACGACAAAGGCGGAAAGTTTGTGGGATTACTGAGCCGGAACTTGAGCTGGAGCTCGAGACCGAGCAGGAGCAAGGGCGGGAGCGCAGAGTCAAGTTCAGCAAAGTGGGCGGTCCTAAGCACACTCGCCTGTTAGTCCTCGACCCGTTGATCGCCGTTGAGCCGACTCAATAACCGGGGTATGATGATGACGGGGCATGGCTTATCACTTTACAAAAAAGTCACGATTCTTGCCAAAGTACGACGGGATGAACGAGGAACGAAGAGAGGGCAAGAATCAAGAAAAGAAGGGGGAAGCAAAGACTGCGCTCGCACAAGCAGAAGCCATAGGGTTTTATTCGAGCGGGGGTTGCTACCCTTCCCACGCCCCGCCACGGCGAGGGCTGCCGTTTGAAATTGATCCATGGACTGAGCGAGCGAGGACCGCGAGAGAGACGGAGACGGCGTTTCCATCGTCTCTGGTCTCCTGGAATAGCCAGCCCGTGCATGTGCCAAGTCCAAATCCCAAGTTCCCAACTAGATTCCCCCGATCGAGATTGAGATTCACTTAATAATGGCGCCCTCTCCTCTCCCTCTTTTTCTGCCTCTTTCTCCTTCTCTGCCTCTACCTGTACGTTAGGCTCATCCCCCCGCTTCTGCCCTTCTTTCCTCAATTGGTTTCAAAAGGCCCTCGGTTTTATAAGGAAACTCTAGCTGCAAGCCGAACTTTGGCATCTTGATGTTGAAGAAACTACTCGCCTGTGTAGCAATCATATCACGTCCCGCGCGTGCTACACTACACGACATGGCCTCACGCCCATCGTCAATTGGGGGAGGAAGAGGCAGTGACTTGACTCCAAAAAGGACGGGGTGAAGATGGCCGTGTCCCAAGACTCAATCAATCCTAGTGTCACTCCCCGGGCGGTCTGGAAAGACCTCTGCCAACCGTGCCGATGCCTTGGACACAACGAGATACCAGGCTGATGTACACAAAAATGCCCAAGTTGCGCCAAGTATCTTCCCCCGGAATTGTCAAACTTGTGAAGCAATGCGAACCTGGACTCCGTGGTAACAGCTGCTATCGGCCAGCCGTTGCTGGATCAACAGGCTGTTCATCCACCATGGGATTTCTGGTCTCCCCCTCCGCTTCTCCTGCGACTCCGTTCCTCATGACTACATCTTCCTCAGCATCGCCTTCGTCCCCATCTTCCGCCTGCGCCTGGGCGAGCACATCCGCCATGCTCTTTCCCTTGAAATTGGTGTCGGCGTAGATGTCTGTTTCTCCGCCCATCTCCACGTCTGCGCCTTCCTGTTCACCTTCACGGGGTGTACTGTCAGGCGGTGTCTCGACTGGCGGCGCAGGTGGTGGCGGGGGCGGTGGTGGCGTCTCAACCTCCATGTTGAGTCTCTTCACCGGCGACCCGAACGGTTCTCGCTCATCCTCTCCCGCCGCTGTGGATTCGCCTGTCTCGATTCGCTTGCGTTTCAACGTGCCGGTTCCATTGAGTTCGGAGGGTGTGTTGACAGCGGACATGACTTCTGGGTCCTCATCTTCATTATCCGACATCTTGATGTCTTCATGATCCAGCGTGGTGTCTGCCTCAGGAGGCGACGTGGCGGGAGACTGAGCAGGTGACGCCGGGGGTCCTTCACCAGCTCGTGGCTCTTTCTTTCCTTTCTCCCTCGCTGCCTTTTCGGCTTCGTGCTTTTTGTGTTTTTGATAGGCCTTCTCAAAAAATTGTTTGCAAAATTGTTTGACCTTCTTTTGTTGCCGCTCATCAATCTTCGTAGGATCCTTCACCCGATCGGCCTTGTAGTCCGATGCCACCAGCTTCTTAGCGATCTCTTTCGCAAATCGTTTCAGGTCATCTCGGGGGATTTTGTGCTTGTACTTGTTCATCACGTGAGAGATGTGAGGAAAGAGCTGGACCAATGTTAGACAAAATTCCCATGATTCGCAATCAGCAGAAAACAAAGTAATGCTTACAGTGTTCTCGTAAAGTTTCTTCTGTTTCTCTAGGTCGTACGACCTCCACTTCTCTTCCTTCTTTACTTTGGATGGCTCTGGCGTGTCTGGGGTGCTGGTTTTGGTGTCTTTTTCACGAGCCGCGACGACGTTGTCAATGATACTCTTCAGCACATCTCGCTCCGACGGTTGTTTGGGTGGCGGTGGAGGAGGAGCTTCGTCTGCGGGCTTCGTCGGTCGGGCCCATGTCGATTGCCCATTACTAGTATAATAGTATGTCCTGCCTTTGTCCTGAGCTGGGAACCAGCCTCGCGGTAGGGGAGGGGGTCCACGATGAAAAGGTATAGTAGGTCGTGAGTAGAAGGATGCCGGTCTTTGGAGTGATCGCGGACCTGATGGTGCATTGAACGACGCAGGCCCTCTCGGCGGAGAGCGCGACCTCGATTTGGATCTTCTTCGTCCCTGGGCAGATTCTCGCCTCTCGAACGTCGTCGTCTCCGTCTTGACGGGTGTGGACGCGTCATCTTTCTTCTTCCGGGGTATTCTGTACGCCAGCTCGAGCTTCGACCAAGCATCCAGGAGCGCTGAAGCTTCGGTTGCTACTTTCTCGTCGGAATGGTTCGTTAGGGATTCCATTGTCTTGTCAATCTTTGCATCGACGATTTTATTTCTAGTCAACCGTGGTAATCGGTCGAGGACGTCGAGGATCTGTAGGATGATGTTCTCATCGTCTCGCCAAGCCGAGAGCTGCGAATTGAGGATCTGGTAACCGTGGAATCTGACGACTCGGTGCCATGCTTGATCATCTGTACATCGTTGGATGCGTTGCAGGAGCTTGACCGCAATCCATTTCTCTTTACATTGCATTAGTGCTGCCATGACCTTGGTCACGCCGTCGACATCCAGAGATTTGGCTTCGACGCTGTCAACGTAGTCCTCGTCGTCTTCTGTCGTCTTCTTCTTGCGCGGCCGTTTCGCAACCATGGTATCCCAAGAATCAGCATCTTCAATACCCAGGGCCTCTATGGTCGCAGCCGACAGTTTAGTGGCTCGCTCGGTCTGGGTCTTGCCTCCGATGAAACCTGTGCAGTTGGCCTCACCACAATAGCAGGGCTGTGGATTGGCGCCATATCGATCGACGTTGTAATTGAAGACCAATTCTTCCCCGGCTTTGATATAGCGCTCAGCGAAGATGCCCATGCGCAATTTGTCACCGACCACCCATTTGTCGACGTAGCAGTTGGGGTTGCAGGAGTGGTTGCAGAAACGACCAAGGTTCCCTTTCTTCGTAGCATCGATAAACTCACCCTTGCTCAGGGACATGAAATAGAAATGTTTGATTCCTTCTTCATCATACTGCAGCATGCGCTTCCGAAAAGTCGCCTCGGGAATGGTCTCACCGATGTATTCGAAGATGAAGTCATGCGGTCGCAGATCGACGTCGGTGCGAAGACCATAGCCCTTCTTCTCGGTTTTGATGATGGACACTTTGGCATAGAGGCGTCTGAGAAATCTTTGATTTTGGCACGAGACACCGCATCCACAGTCATCAGCACATTCCATTTTACAGGCGCGGTTGATACAGTCGGAATCCTCCCCACAGGCAAGGTTCTGCCTGGTGGACGAGTCTGGATATACACAGTTAGTCTCTGGCAGAATTATTCCATGATCCAAATGGTCGGCACACTCACCCCACTCCTCGCTGCAATCACAGTCGAGAGCATGTTCGCTGAAACCCAGATATTTGTTTTGGTAAGTGCAGGCATCAATGACGGTGAATGTCGAGGTGGCTTCTTTTGTTACGTCTGGAAGGTGGTCGAAGAGAGGAGCGACACGAGGGGGAAGCTTAGAGGCGGCTCGGGAGGTCTTTGCGGGCTTTGATGGCTCCTTGGGTTCAGGCTTGATGGGCGAGGTGGAGGTTGAGTGGTGGCCATTTGCCTTGTTCGGCTCTTTCTTGGCAGTTGACGTGTCAGGATCAGCGGCGGGAGGCCGATTTGAAGACGATGTCGACACAGAGGATGAGCGGGAGGACTTTAATCGCACTGGTTTCAGAGAAGGTGAAGCCGAGGGGCTCGCCGAGCTTTCATGCTTGATGGCGGCTACGCGGGTGGTGCTGAGCTCGTGGGCAAGCTCAGCATCCACCGACTCTTCACGCTTGACCTCAACCGTCTCTTGCTCGTCTGCAGAGGAATGTCTGGACGAATCTCTGCTCAGTCGACCCATCTTGACGATGATTGTGATGAATCTGCAGTCTCGAAGGATGAGTTGGCGCCCGATCGACGCAGGAGTGAGGTGGTGCAGAAATTTCACGGGGTCTCAGGTGCATCTGGGCGATACGAGCCAGACGACCATGGAGCTCCAACCAAGATAGCAATTCGGCGCTGGACAATCCCGAATCCCCAGCGCAAGTGATCAGGATGCCCTTTTCAACTGCGCTTACCGATTGCGCAAATTGCCTGAGGCCCGAGAGTTGGAATGAGACAAGTAGAGAAGTGGTCGACGGGTCTATCAATCAACGAGGGGCAGAGGTGTCTACCGCCCCATAAATTCGCAGTCGCACGGTGATCTTTTTTTTTCCCTTTCCTTTCAAGCAGTGAATGACATGAGGAGCCTCTGCAGCGACCGTGGTCAAGGTGACGAAGCAAGAGCAATAGCGCGGCGGTGAGTGAAAGACATTCAACAGGGCAGGATAGCGTGGTGGCTCCCTCCCATCGTCTCCGCGCCACGGGCACAGGCACAAGGCAGCGAAATATGTAACCAATAAATAAGGGATGCCCCAGCAGCAATCCCTCACGAATAAAAGGCCGAGGACCAAGAGATCCGACAAAGGGCAGAAGATGAAGACGCGTGAGTGTGCGTCCAACAACACGCAGGGGGGTTGGTGGTGGTGGAGAGAAGGGGAGGATGGCAAAAGGCTGAAGATGATTTTCCTGTGAAAGGTCTCGCTCTTGTCTCTCCCTCTCTCTCTCTCGCTGTCTTTCCCTTGTTTCCCCAAAAGGGCCCGGATAAGCCCATGCCAAGACGAGCCTCCGACATTCCGCCTTCCAGCCCTGCAGAGTCACTGCCATTACCACTTGTTCCTCCTTCTCATTCACCCGTCCCCGTCACCCATCGCCGTCATCCTCTTATCCTTTCGCCCTCTCACATTCGCTATGCTTGGTCCCGTCCCCAAACCAAAGTGGCAGTGGCAGCAGTGGCACTGTCATCACCCCTCCACCGCTGCGAGCCTCTCATCTTCCAAATGTCTCTGACTGAGGTTGACGACTCCTCAAAAATGACTCTCCTCTGCGTCGTCCAAAATGTCACCACTCTCGCCTGTCTATCCATACTATCCGCGAATCCTCCCTATGTCTATTAACCCACCCGTGCCGTTTAATCCCAAAATCAAAAGTTCCCAGTGGTGGTATTCGTGCATAATCAGACACAGAACCAGAAGATATCAGCCCGTATGTCCTGTAGTCGTTGAGATGGCTGGAATATCGAGCAATTAATATGCGACAAACAACGCATCGCAGACTGCACTGTCTTCTCGTCCCGGGTCTGAAACTCCTAGCTGGTGTATCGTCGAGCCGGATCCAAGCGCAAACTTCCCCGTGCAATATCAAGGCAGCAGATATAGCGCGTCAGCACTCTCATTCGCACCTTCTGCATCAACCTGTCTCGTCTTTTGATCGTGTTCGGCTCTTGCTCTTAACCATGTCCATAAATCCCATAAGAGAGGTTCTTGCTTGTCGCCCAGCATCTACTGCCTTACCTTTCCATACTGACGAGTGCTTCCCAGGCGATTGGGGGCTCGTTGGCGTGTTCTCTTCTACTTCACCTCCAACACCGGCTGGTGGAGGGGTGCTCGCTTTGGAGCCCTCTGCTTCTTTGACTCGTGCTCGTTCTGCTTTCTCGGCGGCGATCCATTCCCGGTGTTCCTGCCTTCTTTTCTCGTATTCTTCTCTCGCAGCTTGCCGAAGTGCACGGCTTACTTCGGTCACCCGGGCTTTTCGAGCGGAGAATTGCGTATAGTCCTTGATCTGATTCTTGGCTTCTTCGCCCTTTGCCGCCCATTTACCGGCGAGGCCGCTGATGGCCAGCAACCTGGCGTCCACGCGTCTTGTGAGGTAGACGTTGGGCTCCTTCTTCTCCTCCTTGGCTCGAGCCACTATTCGCTCAATCTCGTCACGGTACGCGGTTTCGTAAATGTCCACGTCCGCGGCCCCAGGGCTTTCACTAACGATGGGCACATCGTCGTCTGCTGGGACGAAGGTCCTGTCATCGTCGCTGCTAGAACTGACTCCGGAAAAAGTGGACGGACCAATGTAGAGGTACAGTTGGTCTTCTAACGGGTCGTGCGCATGTCCTCGGTGGCCTAATTCGTCAGTAGTGTTTGCATGTGGTTTCAGCGATCGGAACGGAGGTAACTTCGTTGGGTCGAGCTTCTCGATGTCTACCATGCTTTGAATTCTCGAAAGCGAGTCATCTGTGTTGGTGAGTGTCTGACTTAGCAATCCAGAAGGACTGCCTTTTTCGACGGCCTTTTGCTCTTCACTCTTCGTCGTATCGTCTATACTGAGCGTAGGTACTGGTCGTACATTCAGCTTGATCACATCTTGAGAAAGCGCTTCAAGCCGGGGTCCTGCGTCTGTATGCTCCTGACCGAAAGCATTGAAACTATGTGATTTCGGAAGAGGTGATTCTTTGAGCATAGCTGCCGGAGGTTGAGAGAAATGCGCGCCCTCCTGATCGCCCAGTATGGAAGTCATACCCTTGGGTTTATCCTTTCCTACAAGGGATTTGAACTTGTTGACAGCTTTTACCTGCAGAAAATGTGTCAGCAGAGTCAGTACCAATTTTTCAATTCCAGAAGCATACGACTGTCATCAGGTTCCTCATATTCTTGGTAATTGCCGCGTTCATCTCAGCCTCTGTAGGTGGCTCAACGAGATCAGCGGTGTTCTCCTCCTCAGGAAGCAGCTTGTCAGTGCCCTTATTCGTGACCCACGGATGGTCCTGGACTAGGTCAGCATTTTGTGTCAAGACCCGATGGGTCTACTTACTCTCAGCTCCCGCATTTTGATACGTTTCTGCGGATCCTTCTCCAGTATGCGCTTCATGAGATCCCGAAAATCTTCATCAATTTCGTCGCCCAGGTCTGGTTCTTCGGTCTTGATAGCCTCATAGAGCTCAAAGATGCCCGTCTTCTCAAACGGGATTCTGCCGTACTTCAAGCAGTACAAAGTCACCCCCATTGACCAGATGTCAGCCGCGCGCCCTGACACATCTCCATGTCGTGCAATACAGAGCTCTGGTGGGAGGAACGCAGGACTGCCAGCGGACTTTGCAGTGAGCATTTCCGAGTCCTTTTCAAACATCTCCGAGACACCAAAGTCGACTACCTTGAGCACATCGTCTTCAGTGACCAAGCAGTTGTCGGGCTTGATATCACGATGCACTACACCTTGAGCATGTAAATACTCGATTCCCAGGATCAGGTCTCGAAACCAGTATCGGCAGACATGGTCGGGGTATGGATCTGCTCTTTCTTCCAACCCTACCTTCATGACCACGCCTTTTTTGCACATCTCCAATACCATGTACAGCGAATCTTCTGACGGGTCATCCAGCACCTCAATCAGGGATACTAGGTTTGGGTGGTTCAGTTTCTTCATGATGGCAATCTCCTCTTTTATTAGGTCAATCGAGCCGGCCTGCAGTTCACCTTCATTGCCGACATTTCGGTGCAAGGGAGAATTGAAGCCTTGTAATGCTCCCCGACGTCTTTGGGACAGAGGTTTCCGGAGGATGTGTGACTGTGCTCGCTTGCGCAGTCGCGCTTTGGAGAATTCTTTGACTGCCTACATAGGTAGATCAGCACATACTCGGTGGACTGTTCCATCAGAAGCTCTCACGTATTCCTTCCCATACTGATCGATGGCTAAATGAACTGCTCCAAAGGATCCGCGGCCAATCTCTTGCTTGATAATATATTGATTGATGCGATGTTCTGCGACGCCATCGTCTTTACTGGTGACATATTCGGATCGCGCATTGAGGGATTCCTGCGCAGGCTAGATCAGAAGGCTCAGAAAGTCGTCCCGGAGGTGGCATACCTTGACTTGTCTGGCTGCTGAAGGGGTCCGACGATGATGGCGAGAGGGTGTATTGTACTCAGGGCTGGACCTGTAGCGATAGTCAGACACTTGAAATCAGCCGTGGGTTAGTAGATGCCCACTACTCACAAGTGTTTGACCACAGGAGGCTTATTGGAGTCGGCACCTTCGCGGAGGGCATTCACATGTGATTGTGGTCGATCGCGGGGCTGCTCTGATGTATTGCTTACGGGAAAGCGAGCAGCTTCCTCCGCCGACGTGGACGTAGGCGACGCGACGATATCCATGAGGCACTCGACATTTGAGTTGAAAGCCTCCCGCGGTGGTCGTTAGATACCTGGATCCAGAGCCCCGACGAGCTCAGCTTTCGCTAGGGACTGTCGCCAGCAAAGAATGACGCCGGAGGGTCAAGGGTCGAGGACCGTTGTAAGTGGATTATTTCTCCGCTCCACTTGCCTGTTCTTGGTCCTCCGGATCCTCGCATTGCTGACTTGTCTATCCGCAAGTGACCACCAGCCCCTTGCGCCGCTCCTCATGCTAGACAACCAGACAATCTGTCGAAGTTCAAAGATGCGATCGACTGTCTAGAAGCCTTTGCATCACCACTGTTTCCGTTTCATAGCGTCCGGGGTGATTGCCGCCCATGCGTGAGTCTGCAGCCGTCAATTCTTGACTGTTCGGAATCACCGCACTCTCGTCACCATGGTGGTCTACTCTTTCTATATATTTGACAGACACGGTGAGAAACAAATCCAAGCCCGTATATAACCTACAAGTTGAGGGTTACTGATCAGCGCAGCTGAATGCATATACAAGAGGAGATGGCTACCGCCAGCAATCTCGACTACCGGCAAAACTTCGAGGCCATCTTCCCAGACATATGTCAATAGCGGGCCGCAAGCACGCTCCATGTTAAGCGCAGAGGATGACGCAAAGCTCATATTTGGGACAGTGTTTTCCTTGCGAAACATGGTGCGAAAGCTGGGAGGGGAAGACGACAGGTCAGTCAATCGTGAATATATGTATATACCTGGTAGACCAGTTGCGCTGATTGAGAACATAGCTTCCTTTCCTACCGTACATCCCAGTACAAGCTGCACTATTATGAGACACCCACTAATACCAAGTTTGTCATGCTCACGGACACCAAGTCCGGGTCGATGAGGATAGCCTTGCAGCAAATCTACGTGAACTGCTATGTCGAGTACGTAGTCAAAAACCCACTGTCACCGGTCGAGCATCCTGGCGGTATTGGTGTCAATAACGAATTATTTGAAGCGAGCCTGGAACAGTTTGTGGTAAGGCTGATTCTGCATACTGAATGAAGTCTGGTGCTGACCAAGTAACGAAGGATCGAGTCCTGAACGCCCCCTGACGATATCAAGCTTGCTAGAGATGGAGTGATTCCAATGTGCTCGTGGTCTTGAAGATCATCCTTGACATTCCGTTTAGGTCTCCCAAGCGTCTTCGAATTCCTCTCGGCGTTGCGGCACGCAAGTTACCTTGATACGTCGGCTCGGAACGAATCCATCAGCTATCAAGGCATTCCAAGTGTGGGTATCAACGCTCTGAGGGCGGCTTGGCTGCCAGTCACAACAATCACAATCAAACAATGTATCACTTTCCGCCCCAGGCAGCAGTCACGAGGGACGAGACAAACATCGGTCGCCACCAGACCACCATTCTTGTACTCACACTATGAGAAGCGAGGGTCGGGATGTCCAACGAGGGGGAAGCAACGGTTTTGGTGAATTCTGGAATTCTGACAATCCTGGCGTTGTGGTACGTCGGCTAGGTCCTCAAGAGCAAGCCGCAAGGGGCGGCTCCGGGTGGACGGGTGACTCAACGGCCAGCGCGTAGACAACCTGGGGCTCACATAAGTCTGAGAAATAAATTGGTCGACGCAAAGCAGAGGACCAATGTGAATACAGAAGTGAAGATCTCGCCTCTGATTGGATACGTGCGAAAAATCCTTGGTGCCGAGCTAGAAATGGTGTCGCAGAAAAGCCCGACGAATCATAAAATTCGGACGGGAAAGGTCGTCCGGAGATCCCATATATCTGCATATACGAAAGCGCAAGTGCTCATCCCTAATCTCGAGGCAAATCCTCCGTCTTTTCCATGGCGATCTCTATGATCGGGGCGTCATGGCTGTCCCGGCCATCCACGTGCCACAGATGGCGCAGCTTCACCAGGCGATACTCCGCAAGTGGACTGGCCTGGTCTGGCCTGGCTTGGGAGAGGGACTCTTTCCAATGGCCTGGGTTTGGGAAAGACATCATGGGGCGGACAGGCGGTCAGTAAGGTAGTCGAAGTCAAAATCAGGATTTGCAATATCGGTACTCGAATACTCTCTGTGCCGGACAGAGCCAGAGAGATGTACCCAACCTGTACCGATTTGTCTAGCATGCATCACTGTAGTGCGTTTTGGAAGTTGACGTGAAGAAAATGTGTCCAATGACAGGTAGATGCTGATGTAAAGGTAGGAAAATGTGGTTCTCAGCGTGCATGCTGAAGGTGATACACCAGGTGAAACCTTGTATGCTCTCAAAGGGAACGAGGGAGTGGCGAGGTCGTGCCTATTAGTGGACTATCCTACTCAAACCCCCCACCGCCTCCAGCGAGATTTCGTGTTCTGAGACCCTCCGATTGAGGACATGTCGAAAGAATGGCAGAGGAAAATCGATGCCAAAAGTCGGCAGGCGACCAAATGGGGCGATGGTGGCTGAGTGGAAAGATCGGTGAGTGAGGCAGCGTAGTGATGGCGGTGGCTGGCCGCATTGACCGGGCTGTCACTTTGTCAATTCAAGGCTGTCAAAGCGGCCGCAGAAGTGGCCAGCTGACAGTGTATTTTTCTGATAGATCATCTGGAGGTTTGTGGATACACTTGCCAAAGATGCATGATGTGAGGCTGATGAGTACGAGTTACTCTCGGATAGCCCGAGCGAAGCGAAGCCGCACGCCGGGTTCAAGGTAGACAGAGAGGAGTGATTCGTGTTATGTGCTCGTACCTGAGGCCTGTTCCAGGTGCTTTTCCAAAGAATGATCTCTAGGGAGATTGCGTCAATATGGAAGCCAGGCATTCAACTGAAGCGAGACTTCTCGAATCCGAGGCAGAATTGTCTTGGTGGGTGAGTGGTGCAGGTACCTCGCACATAGCGACCTTCATTTGTATGTACCAAGTAGACTATTAACCATCATTCGGCAGCGGCCGCCTTGGTATTTTGGGGGCGAGGGCTGCCCACCTTGATACCTGGGTACATACCTATGCACGAGGAAGCTACTCGGGTTCTATCGCCTAGGGGCTTGGAACTCCAGGGCCTAGAGCCCTGTCCAGGTACCTATTATTATTCCGAACTCCGTAATTAGGGCCCAGAGCCCCGAGGCCAGAGCCCAGGCACCAAAGTCAATGCCCACGCCAGCTTGCAACCTGTGTCTTGCATCCTGCGCCTTTCGTCACTCTCCCATCTGACCATGTGTCCATCAAACCTTCCACCTCCACTTTGATGACCTCGCCTCACCGATTCTTCATCAACCCTAGCCATGGACAACACGAGGAATCCACACACTCTGCATATCCAAACACGCCAACTGAAAAGTCATGAGAGCTCCGAGGTCGTGCGAGGTTTGTTGCTGATTCTAGAGCAGTGTTCGGGCCTGACTACCTTACTCCATCTTCTTCGCGGTCATCACCTGTTTCGTGCTGTCGTTCTCTTTTCCGTGAACAGATTAGAAGAGTCAGACGAAAGCCAGCCAGGACGAAAAAGAGTGGACAATCCTCGAGCACCCCCCCTTGGCGCAAGTTGGCGTTCTGCTCCTCCGAGTACGACCACAGTAGGGGGGGCGGCAGATGAAGCCTGGGACTTGTCCATCCTAGTCCATCACGAAAAAGAAGGAGGCCAACGCGCACACACACCCTGGGCCGTTTGCGATTCCTGGAGTCCCCTAGCCTCGCTCGCTAGCTCCTTTTTCTTTTCCACTTGAGCGCCCCTGGTCGATGACCCTGGTTGCAAACTCTCACCCTCTCAAACTTTCCCAAACCGCGTCAAACCCAGAGAGTCGTATTCGCGGGCCCAACGTCCAATCCCTCCATTCCCATCAATCGGCTTTTTCTTTGTGGTCAAATTACTCCATACGACGCACCGTTTGCCCATTCGCTCCCTGGCACCCCAGCTAAACCAGGCACCGTTGTCTGCAATTCTATCCACACCTTCCATTGGCGAAAGGCGGTGGAAAATGCATCGCGCCACTGGCACACTCGGCGAGTTGGGCCTCCCCATTGTACCTTTGATGTTTTGCTCTCGCCTCCTTCCCATCCCAGGCTCTGGATCTGTGTCCATCGATTGGGCTGACGGCGGCTGTCCATGGCTTTGCCGTGTGCCAGTCATCCAGAGGTGCCTGACAGCTATCTCCACCAGCGCGGCCAAGTATAGGATCCACTCCCCACTGCCATCGGCCACGATCAAATACATCCTCCCCCCCATGTGGAACGGAGCTGCTACGACGTCTGTACCTTGCTCAACCCAAGACGCCAACAGGCCGAACAAATTCACAGTCAGCTGCAGGTCCAGGTCCTTCAAGAACCTGTGCCACCACTCAATCGCTTCCTACCTGACCAGGGCTGCTGCGTCTCTCCACTTTCCCGAATTCCAACAAGCCACCCACCCCCGCCGAATCCTCGCTCGCCTTCTGGACATGGGGCAGCCCTGACTGATGACTTTCCTTCTCAAGACAAAAAGACGACCCATTTGCGCGTCTGAGGATCCCGTCTGGACGACTTTTCCCTTCCACCCCTCCTCTTTCCCATAGAGGACCAGGAGAAATCTCACCGACCGGCTTTCGTTTCTTCATATCCTCCCCTGTGCCACCCTACCCTCCATTCTGACTCTTCTCCCACACCTATCTATTCCCCTACCACGCACCACATCACACGACGTGGACTCACAAATACCTTTCGGATCGCCACCAATCCTGAAGACCTATACCGCGGTCATGAGAATATAGGACTGACCAATCTGGCTTGACTGCCTCGCAAACACTTCGAAATGTCTTCAACGTCTAGCCTCGGGGGCTCTTGCCCAGTCCCGTTTCTCCAAGAGACCCTCTTCCCACATACAGGCGGATGTACGTACCCGTTCGGCCAGCTCAACTATTCCCTGTGCTCACGCTGATCGTGTTTAGTTCTGGAGGGACGATTTTGCATGCCCTTGTCCACCCTTCAACCCAACCTGACCTGCTGTTTACCCTGTCCGATGACGGATTGGACATACTCGGATGGTGAGCAGAGAGCAGAAAACGCTGTTGGATGTCGACGTGCTGACATTTCTCAGGATTCGAATCCCGTACTGAGATTGCCAATTGGGTCAATGTGGCAGCGTTTGTGCTGTCCGTATATCTGCTCCTGTCATTTGCCGTTCTTCCCGTCAAGTATACTCATAGACACTATTTGAGTGTCTGTTTGACCTTGGGAGTGGTTTTCGTGGAGGTATGTTCAAAGTTGACGCTGGCACGGGACGTGGTGGCTAACATTGATCGTATCAAGCTTGCTTTCATTATCCCGCTGGGCACGAAACCAGCGCAATGCTTCAACGAAATCACCCCCAACGACATGAGATCGAGTGGATCGTGCGCAATCAGCGGCGCTTTCTTGTTGTTTGGGGGTTGGGCTATCGTCATGTGGGTTTTTGTTAGAGCTCTGGCCCTCCATCTCCAGATTTGTTGGGAGGTTGTGCTTGGGAACAAATCATTCTACACCGCACTAGTTCTGGGATGGGTGATACCCATTGTTGGCCTTGCATTGACCCTAAGCCTGACGGGGGTGTCATTCCGGTTTGGCAATGTCTGCCACATCAACCACAAAGATGCTCTGCAAGATTTCTGGGGGCCTCTTTTGGCTTTCGCCGCCTTGGCGTTGGTGCTGCAATTCGTCACCATCGGCTATTGCGTTCAAGTCTACGTCAAGAGTCTTCTCGATGACAAGCAAACCACAAATTCCAGCTCTCAGCCTCCGACATATCAAGGCAGTATGAAAACGGTGACGGCAAGACAGACCTACCGCCGAGTCAAAAGGGTTGTCGAGCTCCAATGGCGTGGAGCCAGCATTGTGCTCGTCATCATTGCCGAAGTCGTGTTCTTCTCAGTCGTCTTTGTCTCCATGGACAACAGCACGAAAGTCGATCCGGCGCTTTTGCAAAAGTCACAGCCTTGGCTCACCTGTCTAGTTGCCCACGGGGGCGACAAGAACAAATGCCTGTCGCTTGCGAGCGGACTGGTAAAATCAGAGGGGATCGTTCTGGCGGTGCTTATTGTTCTTGGGGTAAGATTATTGATCCCCTTTTGCCATCACATTCTAACCGCCGTTGCAGCTGAGCGGTTTCTGGTGCTTGATGTTCATGGGCCGATGGTCTATGGCTCTTGGCTGGGCCGAATTCTTCCGAACAAAGTTGTTTCGAAAGAGTGAATTTGTCTCGGCTGATGCCAGACGGTTCTCGAACGACCCTCGTACGTACGAAATGCTAAGCGGAGCGACGCCTCAACTGAACATCAAAACCCCAGATCGAGCTTTGACAAGCCCCAGAATGCGGACCGAATTCTCGCCCACAGACACGAAGCAAGAACTCTATGGCTCGGCTCGAGCGTATGTCACCCCGGTGTCGAGTTATTCCCACCCGACACCTCCGAATCAACACAAGGATTGGGATCCGAGATTGACGCACGCCAAACCAATGGATCTATCCGGAAAGGCTGTCGAACTGAATATATATCCGGGATGAACAATGTCGAGATGTCACCCGACCTCATTCCTATTTATCCACCAATATGCTTTCTGCACATTTCAGCGTGTGGCGCCGAGGATTGATTGTGATCTAAGCAGAAATTTTGCTCCTGTTTCATATGGCTCGGAAGTGGCTGTTTGATCATATTTTAAATGGTCCAATGCCCCGCAGTGTTTTCAATGCATTATGAGTTTACGCGACTTCTATGTTTCAACAAGGGGAAGAGGAGCAAGCACAATGTGTGCAGCATTGTGATGTACAAATGGGAAAACGAAAACATTGGGAGGCGACAGAATTTGTGGAGGTCGCCGTTGGCATGATGTTTTCCTTGAGCCACCATGATTGTGGTTCAACATTCAAGGGTTACCCTTTCGAGTCGACATATTTTCTTTGCCTTGTTCGACATTGTCAATACAGAAGTGGTCGCTTCACAGCGAGAAAAGCAAAGTTGACGCCAAGTGGGCGAAAGAGGTGAGGAATTGGATGGGAACAGCAGTGTGAGCTGTTGGGTTCCACGATGCTGTACAAAGAGGAAGAGAAATTCCCCCTTGTCACTTTGTAATACATGGCAAGAGGGGGCTGGATCCTACTGGAATTGCCTGTTATTTTCCTTTCAACGATGGAGAAGAGGACATGAGCCCTGAGACAGGGAGACGTCGGGACATCGTGTCAAGTGACGAGCTGACGTCTGGGGTTGGAGAGTTTGAGGACAGAGAGCGGGAGGTGGCCGACGTGAGAGAAGATGTATCTATATCTGTATAGAAGTGATTGAAAGTATTCAATCTTTCATTTAACATTCAACATTCGACATCCATGAGAGTGTTTCCTCGTGTGTTCAGTACCACTGGGCTATCCTTCTTTCCTCCTCCAGCCCAGCATGTCCTTCGTCACTGGCACCTGTTAGCCGTTCCACTGACTGGAGAGGTACACAGACTTCCGCCGAATTCCCCCAGATTTCGCAATCTAAGTTTCGACGCGTTGGTGCCGGCTCACTACGACTCTTGCAGACAGGACGACCGTCGACCGGAGGTCCGAGCAAGCCCAGGGTTGTGGCTCAATCAAGCAGTCCAATGATCGATCAATCGATAAAATTACCAGTACGGCCCTCAGGGCATGCATGAAGCACAAAGTCCTCCGTATCTAATAGTCGTCGCCCAGGTACTTACTCACCTACACACTAATGCTTTGCATTTCTGTTCTCCCTTGTTCGCTAGCCCGCTACTAACCAAGGTCTGTCCCACTTCCCAGGTAGTGGTAGTATCTAACGAGTACGCATTTGGACTAGTCGCGAGCTAGGGGACCTGACTAGCGGAGACGCTAGATCCGATCCTGAAGATATCTCCGAGCGAGAGCGAGCACTAACTCTCAAACTCTCAAACAGTACTCGGGATAGTGGCATCACAGACCCAACTCCCCCCTGACGAAGCTTATCGTATCTCAAAAGCCAAGGGGCCCATTGCGCTCGCTGCTGTTGCGACCTTCTGTTCCTGGCTTCGTGTTGGATTTTTATTTCCCGACCCTCACCCCCCCCCCCCCCCCCCCCCCCCCAGACAGGTATTTTTTCTACGAGTAGGTAGGGGGACCATGAGGGGTTAGCAGGCTCCGGGGAGTCGCATGGTTACTGGGGGGTTCCTTTGATCTAACGACTCGACTCGACATGCAGGCAGGTAACCTTTCCAGGGGGCTGGCTACATAACGACAATTACTCGTTCTGGTGCTCGTGCTCGTGCTTGTAGGTAAGCTAACCTATGGCCCCCGGGCCTGTTCAGTTCCTCCGTCGTTGGATCTGTACGTACAACGACAAGGTATGCACCTACATCCCTCCCGTGTTAGATAGCAAGCTACCTATGTACCTACACAGGGTCTGCACACCTTGACGAGTAAGGTCTGTACCAAGCAGCCAAGCTAATAACGTCTACGAGTCGGGTGATCTCGATCTGCAGAATTGTGGCGCCATTATTATTAGGGGGGGACACTCGTGGTGAGTCGTGGGTTGTGACTTTCGCTCTCACTATGCACGGACTCCGAGGCGACCTGTGCAGATTTGACTCCTGGCTTTTGCTAGCGTTGCTTGGTCCTCCTCCTAGAACTGTAGGGAGGAAAGTGCTGGAGAGACTGGTACTGTACGGAGTACCGAGTACCTCCTCCCTCCTCATCCTGCTACGAGTACCACTACGAGTTGCTACGTGCCTCTGAGGTTGCATCGTTCTTTGCCCATCGCCCATCACCCAGCCTCAGGTTGTGAAACACAGAGTAAAACCCCCGGCGCGGCCATTGCAACACGACGTTATCTTCATTTCGCTGTTATCCCACCTGGGCCCCCAGACCCCTAGGATTTGAGATATACAACACCGAAGCAATCGGATGTCTCTCTTCCTTGGGGCAGGTAATGATAGAGAGTTGGATGGCAGGGTCCATTCCGTGGTTCCCGTGCTTGGGGTCGGCGAAAACGTCAAGCACAGGTCCGCGTCCGCGCGCCTCGACCGCCCGCGGGTTCCTGCGCGAGCGAACTTCGGCTCGCGTAATCTAGCTACGAGGAAGCTACGGGGTTTCGACTTTTGACTACATCGAGTTAAAGAACGTGGACGCTTCTTTGAATTGTGTACCGTACTCGGTACAGAAATGCAGACAACAAATCCTTCCGTGCCTGGTTTGCGAGTCCTCGCGCGCACCGGGGGGGTGGGACAAACAGACGTTGTTCCTTCGTGCGTTCCTTTCGTGGGTTGAGATAACCGAACGCCCTCGGGCAAGCGAGCAATCAAGAAATCAAGCAAGCAAGCACGGAAGCAAGCGAGAGGCGGCCGGCCCTTCGAACAAGAGCAGTTCGTAGGAATATGCATGGGGCCGTAGATCACCGAGGAGCGTCAGTGGGAAATTCTTCATCAGGGGCCACGTACGGAGGAGGGGGCTGCTTGACTGAGTGATTGATTGACTGATTGATGGCCTGCTGGCACCCTTGTTTGTCTCTCTGCCTGCTTCCTCGCGCGGTCGCGCTATCGTATTCGCTGGTGGACGTGGTTTGATGCGACCGGGAGCGAGTGCTTTGACATAAATGCTGATTTCGGACGGGTTGTAGGTGGCTGGACGGCGCAAAGAGGGGATCGGCATCCCAAAAGGCCAAGAAATCCAGAGGGAAATGGGTTCTGTGCTGTAAGTTAAAAATAATGCCGATGATAATGACGATAATGATTACGATCAAGGTGGACAGGCAAAGTCGGAAAAATAATGGCGTTCTGAGACAAGGGAGATCAGATGGCGCGCGAAGGCTGCGAGGCCACATGCCACGATGCATGGCGCATGGTCTCTTTAGCTCGCGAAATCTCACCGCGTGTTGCGTGCGTGTGTGTGCATGTGTGTGTATCGACCAGCCCAGCAGCCACACAGTAGTAGTCTTCGCGCGCTTTTGAACGGGCTGCAAAGTCTGAGCAACCCGGGAACCTGATTTCCAGTGTGCAACAGAGTTGGCATTGGCGATGGTCCGGGGTTGTAAATTGGAGGCTGACGAGGCTGAGGCCGGCCAATTTAAGCATGCATAACGCCATCCACGAGCCGATTGGGCAGGCCGACAGCCACGAGGTTGCCCGCGTCAAGGAGGCTGGCCTTGGGAAAGGGAGGAACTCACCTCATCCCGAGTCCTTTGTCCTCTTCCGGCGCGTGGGTGCAAAGAGATGATTAGGATAATAATACGAGGGCTCGGCGCAATCGGCGTGCCTGGAGCAAGGCAAATTTGCCTGCACACCCTGCCTGCTCGCGGCCAGCTTGTTTGCCCTGGACCCGAAATCAAACTCCAAAAAGGATTGAGGTTTGCTGCACAAGCAAACACATCCCGCAAGGACTGACCCCGTCGCGGAAATGAAACGAACAATGAAGGAGAGTTTTCCAGATCCGTGAGTGCGATGATTCCACACCACGCGCCATGCCACGTGCGAAATTATGGGGGATGCTGGCAGGGTTCGCGTCCCACGGAGGATGGTTCGAGCGTCGCAGAAGGTTATTCCCTCGCACAGTGAACACGTACGAGGCATTCATGCTCGTAACCGGAACCACCACCATGGACAATCATCAGTCGAATTGCATATTCGCCTCCTTTGCTTCAGAATTCGACATCGCCCACAATGACACGAGGCCCAAAGCAAACCTAACAACACGACGATCACCTCAGTGCCTTTGCCGTGTTTTCTCTTTCAAACGAACCTTAGAGGACTGAGCGATCGGTCGGGCGGTCTTACCGTTGCGTTTTGCTGGCGCTGCAAGGTTCAGGCCGCATGATGGTGTTTGAGATCCTCACTGTCGGGTCGGACAGCATATCTCAAAAGAGGTATTCAGTCGCAGCAAGAACTACAATAGAAAGCCCCTGTTTAGGTAGGTTCTTCATTCAAGTTGCATGCAGATGATGCATCGTCCAACAGCATGTCAAACCCTCGTGAGATTGATACTGCGTGGAAGGTCCACCACGGTCCCAGGGTCGAGTGCAATGTCCAAGGCACTTCTCGGCGATGAAAGATTACCCTATGGTAAGGACGCGGACAGCTCACAATAGTTGTTCCAAGGACCGTTCAAATGTGACGACAGTATATTTCGATATATGAAACAACTACCCAAAAAAAAGGTTTGAAAACACTGACAAGGACGTTCTGCGGAAGAAATTTTGGTCGTTGTGGACCCAGATCATCATTGCCGCTCTCGCCTCTTTGGACGAGGAAAGGAGTCAGTGTCGAGCCCCTCGTGGGTATTCGAAACACTGTTTTGTATCAAGACCGCAATGGTGGGTGGCAGCGTTGCATTGATGGTCAATGTACTGACCCTCGCGCCTGTACGGTGGGATTTTGGGAGTGTCGGCCTCCGTTGCAGTGGATGGTTCTATCCTGAAGATCGGCGCACCCAGCAACATTCGTCATGTTCATGCTTCCGTCTCACAAAGCAGTCAACGCTATGTTCCATCGGTGGGAATCTTTGAGACGAGAGAGCTGACGGTGAGTGGAGTGGTGCCGTTCTCCTCCTGTGTCTGCAAGTCAGGTTCAGAATATGCGTTTTCTGTGCCTGTAGCAGGTCTACCCACAGATCCAGCTCCCCCGAGAGAGGAGGCCTCCGAATGAGGGACTGACCATTTTGTGGATCGGGCGAGTTCCATTCACACGCATCTGTCGACCTCACGAAAACACCCTTGCGTGCATCTCCTGAATCCTCCTTGCAAGGATCCTACAGGTATGCATTACCTTTGTGCTGGGAATTTGTGGAAGCCCCTCGGAACAAAAATCAACGGCTCTCTGTGGGATCTTCAAACACCATCCCCTAAATGTCCCTCGACATCCGAAGTCCACGACCCCACAAAGCTGGTTCAAAGGAATGTTGGGGCATGCAAGGTGGTCAGAATTTAGGAGAAGGTCGGAGAAGCTCACTTTGTATGAGCTCTGGATCAATGCTGGTGCCATGGATGGTGGAAGGGCCCCGATGCCGGATGTTGAAAAGTCGGCATGGACCAGAACCTAGGGAGCGGTCCCGGCCGGCACGAAGTAGGTGTGGGACCAGCCTGCTGTTTGGAGTAGGTCGACTCAAGACAATGGTATGGAAAGGTGCTCCCCTGGGGTCTCAAGCAACCGCGGTAGAAAATTCCATCGCTGCTCAAAGAGAACCGAGAAACTCTCACGAGCGAATCTAGACCCACTGCACCCAAAGAGTTTCGATGACAGTCAATTCTGTATCAATTAGTTACGCTGTCTCTCAGAGGGGGGAGACACCATCTTGGGGCCTCCAGCCGCCCGTCCCAAGAACATCCCACAAACTTGATCCAGGTTTTATTGACTGAGAGACGCATCAGTCGTGGAACACCCCCGACATCAAATTTCGCGTTCGAGTACAACATAGCTGTTGCCAGCAGGCACATGGAATCCCACCGTATGGGTCTTGAATTTGTCAGAGCCAAGCAGCCCTCCCAAAACTGGCAGAGAAGAACGTCGAAGAAACCTATCCAAGGATGATGCTGTGAGAGCCACATGTTGTCTGGTCCCACTGCTCCACTACTATACCACAATAGGAAGGATCTCCTAGCGTAGTAGCGCTTACTCGCACCTCGTTCTCCTGGTCTGCAATTCTTCAACGTGGATGCAGGAACCACGCTCCTCCCTTGGGCCTTGCATGCAGCCCCGGCGAAATGGCTCTTCGAGAAGCGTTCCACTGGTGGATTGCTGCTGCGCTGATGCCTGGCCTTCTGTGTGGTGTACCAAGACGGTCTGTTTCAGATTCCTCCCAGGCCAGAGCCGCCTCCATCCGGCATGCTGGGGGTTCCTCTCAGATGTGACGAAGCGCTGCCTGGATCGAGCAGAGTCCTCTCTGCGCGGTATGGAATCCCAGCCATGCATGAAGGGATCACCCTGCGGGCACAGAGTGATACAGTTTGGTAGGCATGATAAGAGTCGACCAGGAATATACAATCATGAGAGGATATTTTCAACTGCTAGAAGACCGAGGATGGCCTGAGTACTCCGTATCTGGCGAAATTAAACGAATACGCCTGGGAGAATAGGCGGCATTCGGCGACGGGACAATGCATCGCCAGGACGGTCTCGACCCAACGGTTTGTTTTTCTGCTCAGCGACAGGACTCACGAGGACGGCGACGAGGAACAATCAGCAGCAAAGTCAATCTCATGAGTGTCGCACCTGCTGTTCGTCTCTCTTTCCACCTTCTTTGATAGCACACTGTGGCTTCGAATGGCTGCATCTTGAGACTTGAACCAGCACACTCCGACAAAGACGGGGGTGTTTATTTCTCATCCCCCAGGCGAGCCCCTGGTGACATACGGAAAGTGGTGCGCCGTACACGGGTTTGATGAACAACAAGCACAATCACATCCAGTCACAAATGCAGGAATGGGCGAAGGAATTCAACCGAGTAGAAAGTCAGCATGAACTTGCCTCTCCAGGCTAAGCTGGAGTCGTTGACAGGGCATGGATGCAGCGATCAAGGTGGGTTGTCTTGTGGCGGTGACCACCAACCAGACACAATGATGTGATGGTTCACCTACCAATTTGAAGCCGACGAGGATCCCTATCAATCACTCGTTCATACGGCATCTGCGACGTGCGGGCCTCAAATCCAAGGTCGCATTGCATGAGCCTTCCCGACGAAAGCGCTGTGTCGCTCTAATATTCGGCATGGATCACCGGGCGAACACGAAAATTGTTCTGTTTCGGGCATCTTTCGTGAGATCGAGTGGCCACAAATGAACTCTTCCAGCAGACCTGCTCGTTGGTCTCAACCAAGGCACAAAAAAGAGTATAGGTAATTGTCACCTCCCGTCCATGCACAGTCCTCCACCGAATTAGAGGACCGTGTTTGGTAATTGGAAGGTCAAAAACTCCATATAGGCACGATAGATTGTTCTCCTTCAGACATCGCGCATTGAAGAAAATAGACACGACGCTGTACACACAAATGCCAGTGACCAGGGGTTCCGTGAAATATCATAAGATCGTTGTTCAATCCGGGCAGAGAGGAAACATGGAGCAAGCAGCTTTGCAGCGAGGGGGTTTGAGGTTCAGTCTTTCTTCGGATTGTCCGTCATCCATTCAAGTCAGTAATCGGACCGTCCGAAAGCAATGTCCGTTAACGGTTGAAACTGTCTCGGTCGTCGAAACTGGAGGATTTCCACCACCTTGGACCATTTTCCATCACAAAACAGCAAACCGCTCTTCATAGACGCCGCGGAAAGTGTCGTTACGCTTTTCCTTGCTCATCGCATACCACAACTGGGGCCTTTGTTCAGAATTTTACGCTCCGTTCCCTAATTTATGCAGTATCTCGCTTCCCTTCCCGCACCTCCTTGAGCGCCTTCATCGTTCCGTGCAGGGCGTGTTTGTGGTTTCTTCGGAACTTGGGATCCGTGCCTTTGAGGGATGGGTATCTGAAGGTCTTGGGCTTCTTGATCCTGTCATTTTGAGCAGCCCGTGTTAGCTGATTCAGTTGCTTCGGTGAGAAAGCGACCGCAAGGAGCAATGCCGCCGCGCTTGCTGCGAGCGAAATTCGTACCCGTTCTTGTGAGCCTTCTTGGCTTGGTTGTGTTGAGACGAGTTCTTGGATTCTAGACAAAGTTAGACCAGCACTTTCAGGATCCTCAATAACGCGCATGCGTAGACTTACTGGCCATCTTGAGGCTCTCAACGACAGTCTGATCGTAAGGGTTTTGCAGGCTGGATTGACGGATCGATCGAAGTCGGTCGTCCAAAAGTTCGACCAAAATGTCGAATGTGGGCACGATATCGGGCAAGTCAGCCGAGGTCTTGGCAACCGTGATCCCCAATGGTGCTGTGGTTCTTCGCAAGGCTGCGGCTGGGAACGCCGTGCGAACCTTGCCACTCCCACCTTCTAGCTGCCCTTCAAGGCCTCGAAGCTCTTTGGCTGACTGGAAACCTACGATCCTGTTTGTTCCTATTCATTACTGCGAGACCACTTCAATTAATGTTTGACTAGTTGAATGCCATCGCGATGTGCTGCGAGCTAAGCCACCATCCCTACACACACAGGCGCAGAGCAACATACTGAATCACGAGATATTCGACTGGTCTATTGTAGCTCAGTTTTTCTCTGTCTAGGCCCAGCGGCCATCGTTCATCCAGGTTCATATGCATCTTGAGTCACAAAATCTTTTGGTATCATATGCAGGGTCATTCATATTCTCAGCGTAATCATGCTTTTCGCTCCTCACATCTGGCCACCTTGTGCGATAAACTTCGCAAAAAAGATCTTGAACGCCTTTGGTTCCATGGTGGCCAATTTCTGCAAATATTCGTTGATCAGGGTATCATTCATACCCATTGTTCTCAACTCCTTTTCTTGCAACCAAGTCAGGTATTGCTGACCTGTTTTTGTGTAGATGGTCTTCTGGAGACCAGCGGCCTCGGCAAGGGCTTGCCGTGCCTGTGCGTCCTTGCTGTTAAACGAAGGATTAGTAGGCAGAGCCCAACACAGTGGGGAGAATCGAGTGATCATGAATTGATCAAAGCCGGGAAGGGCAGGCTGCGGCCCGGGGACATTGCCATCCACCTGGCCGGTTGCGGAAACCACGTCAGGACCTCCCCATACTGTGCACATCCTCGAAAGAAGTAAAAACGCCATCTTCGCAGTCGGAAAGTCTTCCACGTCTCTCGCGAGGTGCTCGATGGAGCCGATCACCGATTCAAAGATCGGCTGGTTTCTGGCGCTGACCAAAATTGCGCCGAGGTCGTTTCCGAGGATCACCATGAGGAAATTCAGATATTCTCTCTTCAGCTCTGCCAACTCGATCTCATCGTCCGTCCCTGCAGTGGCTGCGGATATACCAGCAAAGACTCTCTGAAGAAGCCCTGAGAAGAGCCGATCGAGGAAGTCCTGTATGTCGTTCTTAAAACCGAAAATGACTTGGTCCAGCAGTCGGAGGAAGAGCGCCATCTCGTCTCTCGTCGAAGAGTCCGTCAGTAGACCGTCAACCCATTGAGGCAGCTGTTGCATCATCTGAGTACCGACCATACCGATTAAACGCGAAAAGGCGAACCTAGAAGCGGTTCTGATTTGGAAGGACGAGTTGAGGGCCGTTAGAGAGACAATAGTCACCTCAGCAACCTGTGCAAATGCCTGTTTCGCCTGTGGCGATGGCTCAACTCCGCTTCCTTGCGCGGAAACTCCAGGGTTGAAATCGGAGAAGCCTCGCGCAATTGTACCGAGTGCCATGATACCATGATGGACTTGGAGAACGGCAAGCTCATTCCCTGATCTAGCTACCTCCAAGTTCCGCTCGATATCAACGAAGAGCGGCTGCATGACGGCAGATAGATATTGTACCTGCTTGTCTGCAGGGACGGTAGTTGCTCCGCAGATGCAGCCAACGGCTTCGAACAGGTACAGCTGGCTGGTAAACGTAGAGTCGGTGGCGGAGTCACCATCTGACGACATGTCATCTCCGTCTTCTTCCTTGGGTAACTCCGCGCGTATGGCTAGGAGATCCTGTAGACTCTGCACGACAGCCTCAGCCGCATTCCCTACAAAAGCGCGAAGTTGACGGATAAGTCGCTGAATGAGATACCAGGCTCGCGCCCTGACTTTCAAGCTTGGGTGATGGGCGAGCTCGAGGAAATTTCGCAGGACTGGCTGAATGTATTCTGAGTGTTTCTCGAAGAAGGAGCTGTATCTGACGCTTATCTCCATATACTGCAGTTGTATAGCGGGGTGTGCAAAGGAACCGGTGTCTGCCAGCTTGTCAGAAGAAGTAGTTAGATTCTGAGACACTCTCACTTACTTGACTGTACCATTTCCAGCATCATCCGCACCAGCTTTTCTGCGGCTGGCGAGTTTGGCTTGTTCTTCTGATACAAGCCACCTCCTCTCACAGCCAAGTCCCCTATCAGATAGACTTCGTGTAATGCAAGATCCAAGTCGCGCCAATTGAGTCGAGATCCTTCTGATCGTAGTCGTTCAAAGGTTTCGTGAACAAGTGCTGAAATTGCATCAATGTAGAGCTGCTCATCCGCGGCGGCAATTGCTGACTGCAAGCCCGCTAATCTTTTTCTCAGTTCTTGGAACTCTGCTTCATCTGTCTGCTCGTCTTCCTGTCCCCAGTCGGCAGTGTCGTCATATCTCATCTTGATGAATATTGCTTTAAGGATGGGCAGAAGCATTGCTGCTCTTTGGGCAGAGGCGGCTTCTCCTTGGCTAGCACGTCTCAAGAAAGTGAGAACATCGTTCATAGCATTGAGAACCGTCGAGCAGACTTCGTCGAATATGTCGGAGAAGAATCTAAGCAGATGCGGCAGAAACGCGAGCAGGAGCTGCTCGGCCTTTGCCCACGTTGGTGAGCCTTGGGTCTCCATCTCTAGCACCTTGACGATATCCATTGTTGTAGTGTTGACCAGTTTTGCAACCGTTTCAGCAAGATCGACATCATAGTTTGACGCTCTGGTGTCGCTCAGCGGCGGACAAGTCACAAGTCGTGAGACGACTGTTTCGAGATTGAGAAAGGTGATCATGTTGACTTTGTCCGCGGATGGCATCTTCTTTGCGACCGTCTCCGTGAAGACATCAATGGCTGCGTCTCTTGCTTGCTCCTCACTCTTGCGAGGATCAACCTTCTGTGCTCGTTCCAGCTGCTGGAACAGGAGTTCGAGCATCGACTGGTTCACCACGAAGGATATATCAATCCAGCTAACCCACTTCCCAACAGCTTTCAGACATAGCTCGGCAATAACGTCGTTGGAAGTCCCCCAGTGGGACAAGATCTCCTCCCATGACCGAGCGATTTTTTGAACATCTCGGGCTCGAATCAAATCCTTCAGTGTGTTTGCTCTGTCCTGCTCAGCCCGAGATCGGGAAAGCAATTGATCCCCAATCTCATCGTGGATGGCATTGAGAACTGTCAGATAGAAGACTAGTCCCGGATAGTTGTCTTTTGGGCCGGTTCCTGTTGAGGTAAGGGCCAACAAATCATCGAAGCAAGTCTCCCACCCGGAGCCGTAAAATGTCGAGAACAGGAAGGTCACGGTTTGAGCAAACTTGTTAACGAGTGTGCCAGGATCTGGCGTGTCTGTCTGGCCTGGTGCCCCGTAGAACTTCCGCAGGTATGCCATGAGTTGTTCTTCGATGGTTCTCAAGCCTTGTTGGTCCACCAGACCACCTTGGACTGCATTATTGACGATCTCCAGGCAGTAGACTCGAATGACCATGGGCTGGCGGGGAACTTGTAGGGAGATGGCCAGGCATGGCTGCCATGCCGAGGGCTCTTGCCTCAACTGGTTGACATAGTCAAAGGCCTGTCGTTTGAGGGCTGGGTCTGCGGAGGGGTCGTAAGCGATTTGAATCGCCGAGATTATCTGGGGAGACACATTAGTAGAGACAATTTACTTTGCTGAAGGGTGACGAACCTGTTCGTCCATCAGGTAATACCAGTGTTCCTCACCCACCGCGCTATGACTTCAGGAACACTGGGCAAGAAAGATAGTCACCGCATTTGGGCGTGACGAAAGTGGAAGCACGTGCTTCCGGAGTTAGTCCATGACAAAGCCCGGGTTTTTTGAGGAATTGACAGTGAAGAATGGGTGTCGACATCAATCGTATCAACAAAACTTGCAGTGGACGTCTCTGAATTTTTCGTTACTGCGAGACAGAGAATGTTGCAGCGTCGGGCATCATTCCACTGGGGCCTCAGTGCCGCATCTTCGAGGGCGGAGAAATCTCCCCCAAAAGTTCCGGCCTTGGCATCAAACCACCCCTCGGCCACCACCAAATGACGCACATATTCCTCCTTTGTTTTCTTCCCCTGACTAAGATGGGAGCCATTGTATTTCTTCTTTGAGATAGAATCCCTGCTGCCAGCCTATAAGTGCTCCTGACCGGCTGATGTTGGAACCAACGTCCTTCCGGAGCAAGCAAGAATTTGGGATTTCCCCACCAAGATCTCCAGCGAAACCCTATTATCAATGGCGCCTTGGTCTCCAGGCTGCTTGCTCACTGTGAATGCTGAGGCTAACAGGGCTCAGACAGGTGCCTGATCGTGGCCATTACTGTGAAAGTCGAGCACGTCCAGAGGCTTCTCTATTGTCGGCAACCATCGTTTCCAATTGCTGCCTGACGCCTAGGCTTTGCAAAAGGACGAAGAGGGTGCTGGTTCATGTCGATTCTTTGACCGTAACGGAACAAGTCTTGTGGTCGTGGTGTGCCTGCCAGGGAAGGCCTGAGAAACAAGGCATCACATCGATCTGACCATGTACCAAAAATGTTGCCGAAGCCAGCTATCGCGACATCTTGCTTACAAAGTATTCCTGGGCTCTTGAGAATGCAGTGTGTGTGTCTGTTAGTATCGACGCAGTCTGCATATTCGCTACCTCAACAAACACGTCCTTGAAGCCGGAGTTCGGAAGCAGTTGTGAATGGCAGCATGGCTAGGTCGAGGAAAAGAGATGAATTGACTTGGACGCCGTTCCTGAGCAAGAGATGGTCTTTTCCATACTTCTACTATATACAATTTGACAGATGCAAGAGGCTGTAGCCTTGCTCCGTGACCCCTTTTCAACTCAAAAGACATGGACAGCCCTTCTCCGGTCAAGAAGGCTACCGTTGCAGGGGCAGCTTCAAAATGCCAAAACCAAAAGGTCTCGACCATGAACTAGAACAACCCATTGGTTCATGCTTCTTATCGATGGTTGTATCTCGGCTATTGACGGGACAGCCACCCACTACTCTACAAGGCCATATCTACGCCCTTCTGCCTACATAGACCCTTCTCGGCTTACATGGGTCAAATATACGGAGAGCAATCTATCTGGATACGCACCCTGATGCCACCCCGTAAGGATCAGCCTTACATAAACTTGTGCTGATTTATTGTTACCACTTGAGTTTTTTGCCTCCGCCGTGAGTTTTTATACGACAAAAAAAAAAGTCGCCCCTCCGCATTCTTGGGGTGGTGCTTGTCCTCCTCTCTCCATTTTGTCTGCATTGCACATGTTATTACATATTATATGTCACCCCCCCAAAATCTCTGGAGTAAGATCCCACACGCCAGCTTTGCACCACGAAAAAGTTTTACATCTATCTGGGGACGAGATCCTCAAGTGACGGGGAAACACCATGGACGAAACCCAACCGTTGCTCAGAAATACCATCCAGGCCCAGCAAGGCCCGGACAAAGCCGCTCAGCCAACGGACATTGTTGATTTCGATCCCAACGGCGACCCGGAAAACCCAAGAGACTGGCCGAATGCCTACAAATGGGGGATCGTGGCTTTGCTTGCTTTCATGGCTTTCACAGTGTGAGTCTACACCTCGATCCTGGTCTTATGGCTACCTCTCTCTCCCCCTGGCAGCGACAAGTCGATCTAACTCGGTTTTACAGGACTTTCACATGTATATCTGTCGTGCCCGTGGCAAACCGGATCGTGTACGACCTCGACGGCACAAGCAGCAAGTCCGCCAGCGTCCTCCTCGTCACGATATGGGAATTCGGCGAGGCGTTTGGGCCCCTCGTGCTGGCGCCGCTGTCTGAGTCGTTTGGGCGGTACCCGGTCTTCAACGTCGCCAACGTCCTGTTCATCTCCGCCACTGTGCTGGCGGCACTGTGCCAAAGCACCCCGCTCTTCATCGCCGCGCGGGCCTTGACCGGTGTGGCGGTCGCCTCGAACGTGCTGAACCCGGCCATCGTGGGCGACATGTTCGTCTCGGAGCAGCGCGGGTCGGCGATGAGTTTCATCATGCTCGCGCCCTTGCTGGGAGGAGCCATCGGCCCTGCCATCGCCGGCGCCATCGCCGAGACGCTGGGCTGGCGCCAGGTCCTCTGGGTGGGCGTCACGCTGGCCAGTGCGTGCGAGGTCGCCTTCCTGACCTGTTTCCGCGAGACGTACAAAGTCGCCATCCTCAATCGGAGAGTGGCCAGGTTGAGGAAGGAGACGGGCAACCTCGCGCTACGGACCGCGGTCGACGTGGACGACGCCGAGGCCAACGTGAAGCGATCCACGAAGCTGTGGGACTCGGTCCTGCGGCCCTTTGTCGTCTTCTTCGACTCGGGCGTGCTGCAGGCCATGTCCCTCTTCGGGTCGCTGGTGTTCACCTATTTCTACGTCATGTCGACGACGCTGCCGGATATCTTGGAGGGAATATACGGCCTCTCACCCGCATTGACGGGATCCATGTTCATCAGTTTCAGTACGTATTTATGCCTCAGATTTTGCATTTTGTGACAATTGATTATGCTCGAGCCCCCCGAATGCTAACAACGCCCCGTTCCAGGTGTCGGATCCGTCATCAGCGTGGTCATCTGCAACCTCTTCCTCGACAGAGTCTACATCCGCCTGCGCGACGCCCAGAAGGGCGGCTCGCGCGAAGGCCAACCCGAGTACCGGCTCCCGCTCGCCATCATCGGCGGCTTCACGCTCCCCTTCATGGTCGCCCTGTACGGCTGGGCGGCCGAACTCCGCCTCCCGCTCCCGATCTTGATCCTCATCCTCGTGCTCCTGGGAAACTCGATGATGCTGGGCTTCATCCCGCTGATGGCCTTTGTGGTCGACGCCTTCAAGCTGTATTCCGCCAGCGCCATGACCGCGCTGATCGTCACGCGGTGCTTGATGGGGACGTTCCTGCCCCTGGGCGTCGAGCCGTTGGTCAAGGCCATGGGATACGGTTGGGGCTTCACCATTCTGTGTGGGCTCAGCCTCGGGACCGCGCCGATTCCCGTCCTGATCTATCGTTACGGTTCGAAGTGGAGGAGGCTGTCGACGTACACAGAACAAGATGACTAGAGGACTTTTCGAACGATATGTGAAGGCCGTCTGGGGGTCATTCCACTGACGAAGCAAAAAGCAGCGACAACCGCATGGCGTTCTGGAGTTTTAATGTTCGAGGTGGTCGGAGCGCATTTTCAGGTCGGGCAGTCTAGGAAGGGAACGGTTCGATGCGTCTTTGACGAGACGGGTACTACATTCATGGTCTTCGAAGGATAGATAAACTTAGACAGGCAGAGAACTTCAACACAGCGGCCGGTTAGCTCTTTTTTTTCCCGAAACAACCTTCCTATCTCTACCTCCATCTTTACCAAGCGCGGCAACGACTTGCTTTCGAAAGCCGCTACTGCCCCTTGGAAAAGGATTGGCTGGATTACTTGCTGCTGCTGCTGCCCCTTGTCGCTTTATTTTCGCCATTGTCGACGTGCATGCAAGGTGCTCGACGGCACAAGCAGTCCGGTGCTGTTGGATTTGAGTCGATCGGAGGTCAGTGAAACAGTCCCTTGCAAGGGCGGTGTTCGGCGGTGCTCGCGATTTCTTTTTTTGGGTTTTAAGGAATCTTGAACGATGAACTAGGACATACTAGTAGGTGTCTTGTGTTTCCTACATATTCCATGCTTGCCAATTCACTCGGTCGTTATAGTCCTCCGTCGTTTCCCCCTCTGCCTGCGCGTTCTGACTCCGCGAGAGAAGCCTAACTGCCGCACCTGTCTTGAGTCGGCGAAGTTACCGAGGATCCCCTGCTGCAACTCTCGGCTTCTGCCTTGCGCTATCCTGACGACCTCTTGCGGTTGGGGTATTGTCAGGTCTGCTTCTGTAAGAAGTACTTGGGTATCCTCCGCCGATGTTGACGTCGGTGACCCGGCGCCACTCCCTCCCACAGAAGCGTCGTCCTCCCCTGTCTCTTTCGCCCTCCGCCGACCTCGCAGTATTCGGCACAGGGGAATCATCCTCTGGGCGGAATCTAGATCATATATATATTGGCAGATTGAAAAAGGTCGAGTTTCTCAATTCACTACCATGGTCGCCGTCTGACATGCTGCTTGTGGAAATCGCGATGTTGGCGAGCGGGGTTGGCATCCTTATTTTTCCTGCCTGTTCTGAACTGGGCTTTTTGACTGTGGTTGAAGCTTGGATTGAAACTGATGTATGTCAGTCACAACTCAGCCTCGTCACGTGATGGCGATAAAGGGGGGGAACATACCTGAGGGACCCTGATGGGGTGACCACCATGGTCCAACGACCGAGATAGTTTGATGTTGGGTTTTGATTCGAAGGCACTCTTCTGTTGCAGAAAGTGATGATCGTTGTCGAAGGCAGAACACACACCATCAGTTGCGCCCAGATAGCCCAGGTCCAAGTCCATCTTGGCCGTGACTGCGAGCAGGTCCAAAATAAATGACAGGACAGATGTGAGGCTCGGAGGAGGAGAACCGAACGACAAGCTAGATGATTGAATGGCTGGTGATGGAAGACAGATCTTTCATATCAGATAATCTGGAGTTGAGGAGAGGCAGGGCAATTATCTCATGAATTCGAAGATGGACGAAAGAAGACAGAAGACTTAAAGACATGGGGTGTATAAATAGGAATGGCACAGAGAGAGCAAACTGTGCGGCTAGGCGCGAATGCTGCACAGGAAAGCAGTGAATACAGAACTAGATTTCGCAATGAATGAACTGGCATAATCAAAGCTTCTGGTTCTTTTTCATTCCGCTTCTATCCCTGTCAGCCTCTATTGTGTTTGTGTATCAATCAACATACTATGCAAACAAGTACTTCGCGGCATGGTCAATGTGATCATCCGCGAAGGTCGCCATTGTGTAGTAGCTGTGGTCATAGTCTGGCTGGAACCTGACATGGACTCCGTTCTCTTGCCCAATTTCCTTTGCGGCCGCGGTGAAATTTTCGGGGAGAAGCTGTCCTTGTTTGTAGAAATTGTCACCAGTGCCCTAAGGTGGTCAGCAGTGAACAAGCACGGTCAAGCACCGCGACATACCACGTCAATCAAAATGTCAAGGGGCCCGCCTTTCCACTGTTTGATCAATTCTGTCGAATCATGCTGGGCTCCCAGTTTTTGCCAGTCGTCACCGAAATAACCTTTGAACGCTTTCTCACCCCAGGGGCACTTGAGGGGATTGGCAATGGGAGCAAAGGCGCTGACACTCTTGTATTTTCCCGGGTTCTTCAGGTATAGGGACAGGGCGCCATGGCCTCCCATACTGTGTCCACTGATGCTGACTCTGCTGGAATCGATCTGGTCTTTGAAGGCTTCGAAGACGGTTTTGGGGAGTTCTTCAGTGATATATGAGTACATCTTGTAGTTCTTGGACCAAGGGTCGGCGCTAGCATCGACGTAGAAACCTGCGCCGGTACCGAAATCGTAGGCATCGTCCTCGCCTTGGATACCAATACCCCCTGCATCCCGTCAGTCCAGGTATTGACTGTCAAGGTCCCGATGTGACTTACTTGGACTTGTGTCAGGGTACAAGACGGCGATGCCCTTCTTGCTAGCACCGTGTTGGAAGAATCCCTTTTCGGAACAATTGTCACCAGTGCATGTGAGCCCAGAGAGCCATATCAGCAGCGGGACCTTGCTGTTTGCAGATTGAGGAGGAAGGAACAGGTTGAACTTCATCTCGCAGCCAGTGGTGGAGGCATTGTGAGCAAGCTTGAGAAGCTTACCGCCGAAGTTGGCGATGGTGGCTTGGGTAGTGACGGACATTTTACAACTTTGGGTTCAGAGGCTTCGTTTTGAGGGAGAATGAGAAGACAGCAACGGACTGAAGAAATGTTTTCGTAGAGCACCGTTTTGCATATGTGAAATGACGTGTGGGGGACAGCGCAGGGAGGGGGATGCCGCATTGGAGAAGAGGAAAAAGCCCCGCAGGTGGCAGTTGCGGAACAGCAGCGAGCGAGAACCCTCTGTCAATCCATAGTCAAGGGGACAACTCGGGAGCTTGCGAATCTCACCGGAAGAGGCACCAGTAAGGAAAAGATGCGAACAGGTGGATTAGGGAAGAGGGGCCGATGTGAGCCTCTCCAATCAGTCTATCGGCAGTGGGAGCAAGATTGAATTGGGATAGGTTTTCCGCCTCGACGACAATTTCCTTTCCGAGTGCTGAGTCCCGGGGGTGAGCGAGGGCGCAGGTAACTCGCAGCGCCCGTAGAGCTGTCCAAAAGGGGATGTCTGGCTGGTATTCGTACAGAACCCATTGGCTATTGTTTGTTGGAAGTCGGAGAAGCACCAAACTACGAGCATGAGACCCAAAGGTTCAAAGGACCGGTAGATGAAGCTATCTCAAAGGCATGCAGATACATAGGCGCATAGGTCAGGTCAACTCAGGCTGCGCAGGTGAAGACCGGTAATACTTCGGAACTGCGCGCGAGGCTGCCAGAAGATACCACTACCACCACCTCCAGCGCTGTGTATTTGTATTATTCAGACGCTGCATTCCCCACGACCGCCTTGTTTCCTTGTGCTCCTATATTATCAGCCAAGGATCCCATTTCCTTTGAGCACAGTCGCTCCGCCAGGGAAGCCTCTCAGTATCAGCCATGGCGTCGGTGGCCTCGTCCACCCCCTCTGTGCAAGAGGTGACCCTTCCCAAGGATCCCGCGTCGTCTCAACCAAAATACAATTTCAGCTTTACGCCCTTCCTCCGCAGCAACGCCCTCGCCGCACTCGCATCTACCGTTCCCGTCTGCCCTGATTTCGCCAGTACAGGCCACTGTCCGCGCGGGCGTCGCTGTCCCGACCGTCATCCCACTCCCACCCAAGCGCAGGCGTCCCATTCCCAGCAGCATCACTACGGGCGCCACGCCAATGACAACTATGTCTGCAAACATTGGCTCAAGGGCCTCTGCAAGAAGGGGGATGCTTGCGATTACCTGCACGAATATAACCTACGAAAGATGAGCGAATGCCAATTTTACAATCAAAACGGCTATTGCCAGAACGGCGACGAATGTCTCTACGTACATGTCAAAGAGGGCTCAAAGCTGCCGATGTGTGAAGACTATAATAAGGGTTTCTGCGAGAAGGGGCCGAGATGTCCAAATCGGCACGTGAGGAGGAAGTTGTGCGAATTCTATCTGGCGGGATTCTGTCCGGATGGGAAAGAGTGTAAATTTGGGGTTCACCTCAAGAGCGGCCCGGCTGCAGCGGCTGCGGCAGCGGCAGAGAGAGACGCAGATGCACATAGAAGGGAAAGGGTCGCAGACCTGGAAAAGAGGGAAGAAGAATCGCGCAAAGACTACGGTGGTTGGAAGGGTGGAAGAGGTGGAAAGGCAGGAAGGTGGAGGAGCAAACGAGACAGAAGGTGAAAAGGAGAGAGATTGGACATACTTGAAAAGAGCATCGACATTCCCAGCAATCGGTGCCTAAACCAGTGGTCAACGGGACGGCCATCAAAGGCCACTTTTGAACCTCGCGAATGTTGCGGACGGTTTTCTGCACTGTTGCTCGACAGTGGCGCAGACGCTCTCAGCATGACCCGGCCCAGCTTGCGGGTCGAGAAGATTCTCCATTAGGAGGAAGAGCTACACCAACACACTTGATCGGATTCATACACATATGGGCAACGCCGACAAGATCAGCCAGGAGACAGAGAGCTCTTCATCCGAGTCATCGAGCCTGAAAAATGGACCCGAGTAGCACTCGGATATTATCCAACACGATGACACGCCGCATTCCCACTTCTGACCGGCAGGTGGAAGACACTTTCGCCGGAAGTCTTGTCTTCCCCTCGGTCCACAGACAGCGAACGGGCACGCAAGTGGACGCCTTGAAGAGGTGAGGTTGCCCTCGAACATGAATCATTCCTGTCCTCCTGACGCTCTCAAAGGGGCTGGAGCTTCGAGCATCGTTCTCTGCAGCCAGGACAGAGAGAATGTGAGAAGGAGGAGAGAAGTAGAAGAAGATTGCTACGGCGTTACATATCGTGAGCAGCTACTAATATAACTAGCTGCTTGGACTGTCCACTTGTGCTCGGAATCGGGTGTATATAATAAATAAGAGACAACACCAAACACGTGAAATAGAGAATGAAAGTCGCAAGGCCAGCCGGGGGCTCATTTGATTTGAATGAAATAAACTCTTGCTGGCTCCCCTCTGCCTCTACCTCTACCTCTGCTTCCCTTCCATTATGTATCGGACCATCCAGCACCGAGGCCGTTTGATGCACTTTATATACGTAGTGGCACCGCTAGGAGATACCATCCATCACGATCCTCTCTTATTCCGCCCCCCCCTTAAGTCCCATCGATCCCATCCCATCTTGACCCTCGTCTCGCGTCATTCCTTCCCTCCCTCCCACACTGTCCCAATATCCTCTCTTCCACGCCCGTAGACGAGCAAGAAAACGTCGTCCGATCGGCGTAAGTCTTTCTTTGCACGTAACTCCCGTGAGCAGGGCTGACTGGGGTAAAGTTCCAGGCCAAACGTCCTGTCTTGTCCTCTTGTACGGTACAAAAGAGAGGTCATGACGGGAAGACGCTACCCGGTCCTTGACTTTTCTGACTTTTGTCTCAGGAGTCGACTGAAAAAAAGGGAGGGAAAAACCAAAAAGTTGGTGGAGGAGGGGTTTGGTGTCGTGCCCTTTCCTTTACGCTATACGATCGATTCCGCTAGTCACGGACAAGTAAACGCCACGCCATGTACCCCTGATATGGAGGCTGGTATGCAGGTAGCTGCGTACGTAGGTATCCATGCAAAAGACAACGCCGCCTGCTATGCCCGGCTAAAGGGTCCAAAAGCCCGAGGATACAAAAGCAAAATGGCCAAGGTGTCCAATGCCCCATGCAATCTTTTTCAAACCATTTTTGTGCAGCGGTTTGTATGTTTTCTCAGTCTTGCTGTCCTGCTCCCGCTCCTGCTGAAGCCGCGGTTGCTGGAGTCGCTTTTTCGATATCCCTCTCTAATGTAGCCCTCCTACTCCTTTGCTTCTCCTCTCTCTCGCGCAATAGTTCCTGTCTCACCCTCTCTTGCTCTTCGATCCCGGTTCTTGCCTTCTCGTGGGTGCTGCTGAGCTCCTTCTTCTTGATGAACAGGCTCACCACGATCCCAAACGCCGCAAAACATGTGTAGAAGATCCACATCGTCCTCAATGAGTCGGTGTATGCTTTGTCGACAGCGTGACGAGCGGGTCCGTGAAGGGTGCGCACGATGGAAGTGGTCGCGCCGAAGGAGGAGGAGGTCAGAAGTCTCGCGCGCTGTGATCCTATGACGGGGACTAGGCCATCATACTTCTTGGAGAGTTCATTGGTGAAGACGACACCGCCCAACACCACCGAGATCGAAGTTGAGAGGTTGCGAATGAAGCCGAATGTCGCTGTTGCTACAGCCATGTCGTGACCCTTGATGTGGGCTTGTAACGCAATCAATGGGGATTGGAAATTCGGGCCCACACCAATACCTGCAATGATCTGATAGATGATGATCTTGGCCCAGTCCTTGTTGGATGGCAAGTCGATGAACAGTCCGTAACCAAGAGTCATTACGCAGAGGCCAAACCAGATTGGGTCCCGGAATCGACCTGTCTTCTTGACATAAAGGCCTGTGGCTGTCGAGACAAAGGATAACGTGAGGACCATTGTAAGCAGATACACTCCGGAGAGAAGCGGGCTAGCGCCAATCACGGTCTGAAAGTAAAAGGGGAGATAGTAGCTCCCAGCAATGAAGACGAAGCCGTGGATGAAGCACACTCCCAACGCTGCAAGATTGGATCGGTTCTTGAAGAGTCGGAGGGGGATGACGGGGTATTTCGCCAGCTTCCACTCGTTTAGGAAGAACAGGACAATGGTGACGATGCCGAAGATAATGAGGCATAAGGTATAGGCACTGTCCCAGGGCCTCGTCGTGCCTCCTGAGGTCATGCCAAACAGGAACATGACAACTCCACCGACAATGGTGACGACACCAATCCAATCGATGGCCTTGACTCCAGCCCAAAACGGTGTCGTGGGAGTGTCCAGCTTGAGGAAGAAGGTGAGCAGGATCAACGAAAGACCGTCCAGGGGTAAATTGATGTAAAAACACCATCTCCAAGAGACACCCTCGGTGAAAGCGCCGCCCACAACAGGACCGACTCCGGAGGCAATGGCCCATATCATACCCAAGATGCCAAAGTACTTGGGTCTTTCTCTCATACTGAATAGGTCGCTGATACAGATGTAGACCAGTGTTACGAGGCCGCCTCCGCCAATGCCTTGAATCACCCGTCCCCCAATGAGCAGACCGATCGAGTTGCTCAACGCGGCGACCAGACTTCCGGCCATGAAGATCCCATTGGCCAGCATGATGATAGGTTTGCGACCCCAGATATCAGAGAGTTTGCCCCACAGAGGCACGCTTGCCGCGTTTGCAAGTAGATATGCACTTCCAACCCAGGTGTAGTCTGACGCCGAGGCTTGAAAATGCTGAGCAATAGTAGGTAAAGCTGTGGTGATGATGGTGACGTCCAGAGCAGCCAGAAACAGGGCCATGCACAGGGAGAACATGATAATGACAGTTCGGCTTTTGGAAAACTCGGAGGCTCTGGATCTTGTTCTGTCCAGCGCGGGCTTTTCGAGAGCTAATTCCTCGACCGGTGATCCATTGTCGGGCGGCGTTCCCACGGCGACACCATTTGCCGGGTCAGGAAACTTCTCTGATGCTGGGATGCTGGATGACGCAGGTGAAGGGGCATCATCCTGTACGGCGGCCTTCTCTGGAGGTGCAATTGCGCCCGGCGGAGCACCACCTTCAGGCTCGAGGTATTCGGCGGCCGCCTCGACTTTCTTTTCGGGGTCCGTCGTCATGGTGAATCAAGGCAATGATATTGGCTGTGAGATCTGAATATCTCAAGGAAAGTAAGGACTGTGAATTGGTCGGACTGTGGGAATATGTCGATACAGGCGGAGTGGTAGTGGTGAGTAATGGGTCAATATTTGTATGCGATATTCTTGTATGAGGTTTGCACTGAGACGGTCAAGGCCTTTTAAGTCCGACCCACCGAGAGAAAAGCGAGGGCCTTGTTAAGCCGAACAACCAATACCAAGGGTCTCAGGTGGCTAGCTCTTGCGCCCGTTGACCAGGCGTGCCAGGAAGTCGGAAGGATAATAGAATATGTTGATTTACAATAAAAGAATGCCGCCGGCGGTGAAAATGCGCCATGATGGAGAACAGCCAACAGGTCGGGCCCTTGGAAGGCTTCGAACAAAGACGCAGACGGGCCCGAATGGCAATGCCGAGCCGATTACGAGATCTGGGGGGGAATGATGTTCGATGGGGCAAGAGCGAATCGATGACGAGAGGAGAAGAGTCGTGACGATAGCTCGAGGGTGCTCCGTACTCGTATGGAAGGGTTGTGGGATTCTCTTTGGTCAACAGTTAGCAAAGAGAAATGCGGAGGGGCAGCAGGGGGGTCGGAAGGAGTTGGAAAATTTACTCCGTACACGCTCCGGTGCGAATCACACCCAGGGTCGAATCAGAGCTGCTCCAGCATGCGGAGAAGGCAAGGAATGTCTTCGTTGACTGAGTTTTCGCACAATCGCGTCGTACACAGAGCAAAACCGGCAGAAATGAGCCAGAGACAGAAGGTCAGTGAAAAATCCATTCGGCTCCTCGCGGTGCCGGTCCCGCGTCATGTGACTGTCATGTGACTGTCATGTGACTCGCATATGACCGCCCTCTGACCGCCATCCGACCCTCACCAACGACCGAGTGCTCAAACACTACCGACCACCATCATTATTACGGCGATTATGGAGATATTTCTGGTTTCTGCTGCCCTTGTTATGTGAATGACTCGCCTTCCGGATTCAAAGTTCGCTCGCCATTTCAAAGACCCCAAAAAATCCTCTGTTTCATAGCTGTGTTGCTAGAGTTGCCCGCGTAGCAATCGTCATTTTCCTTTTTTTAAAGACAAGAAGAAGATATCATATCCCCGATTCAAGCTCAAACTCTGTAGCAACGTCAAGCAACCTGGAACTGTCATGATTGCCAAGTCTCCATACTGCTCAAAATTGCCTGCCGTCAAAATTCATGTCCAACCCATCGGTTCCCCTTGCGAGGAAAGTTGTGGAAATGCGAGTGCCACCCGAATGAAGATCCATACTAATGTTCAATTTAACGGTCGGTTGCATCGCAGGCAATTCATTTCCATGCTCCATACCACGGGTCCAAAGGGGCCATTGATCTTGTCCTTGCCTTGAGGCACCAGTTGCCGGATCGTTGCAGCGTGGATGAATTCATCCACGCCGAGCTTGTCGACTCGAGAGATCTTGCCCTCCAGTTTACCTGCCCATGGCTTCTTGCCCTTCAATTTCAACTTGAACGCACGCTTAGTCATCTTAGAGGGTTTTCGACTCGAAGTTCCGTTTTCTCCCTTCTCTTGAGATTCGTTGGTCAGAGTCCCCTTCTTGAACCGCTCCCACGCCCTCTGTTCCATCGCGGTAATCAAGCAAGCTTCGTGGTTCCACGTGCGGCAGCCCAGGCACTGATACATCTCCAGCTCGGGATTGTCATAGCCTCCGCAGATGCAGAACTTTCGGAGCTTGCTGAGCGCCCGAGGGTCGCCGGCCGCTTTATTGATGTCAAGAGTTTGGCGCCAGTATGTCTCACCAAGCTGCGTTTTGTTGGAGTCGTCACTCTCGTTCCAATGGCTGATTTCAGCAGTCCACGTCAGTGTTTGCGCCTCGATGATGTCAACATGATTGCTCATCACCAGTTCTCTTTTGCCGTGGTATGGCTGTCGTCCCATGGGTAGTTCATCTGGCCAGTACAGCCAGAAGACCCGCGCAAAGACCGTTGCCTGGTCCTCGGCTTTGATTTCAGATACAAGGGCCACCCAAAAATTGGCCTTGTCATACTCTAGTTTCTCCTCCTCTGATGCATCCTCCGAAGGCGCAGGTTGCGGCGGCAAATGGCGATTAACATAAGCGAACGAGCCAAGAGTAAATTGAGGACCGACGCGCTCAGACACTGTTTACGTATGAAACGCGTCAGAACTGGACATGGCTACTGGATAGGTTGAGACTCACACTGTGCATTTTTATATCTCTTAAGGCTATCCCAACTGGAGCCCGGTTTCACAGCAAAGTCAATTGCCAGATACGACAGTTGCTCCGGGTAGACACGGAGGATGGTGACATCCTCATTCTCCTCTTCCAGAATTCTCTTGCGCCGAGGCGTTAAAGGGCAAATGACGGTGTACACGGGAGGGTCGGGTTCATTAGTATATACTACTTCAGAACCCTGTCTTGTTCCTTGATTTTCGTAAGAGTCTGCGACCGCGCTCGCGTCGTCCTCCATTTCACTCGCGGTTCGCTTGCGCCCGATCATCTGACCCGACATCTCTGTACCCTGGGTTTCCGGGCTTTCGTCGTGATCTTCGGTACTTTCTTCTGTGTCGCTATCGCGAACTCCTGGGGGAGAAAAATAGACTTCCGTCTCAGTTTCAGAGGACATCGAGAGCAGTAAACGAAAGCGCGCGTAGCGGTAGTAGGAGCGATGACTTGGGGGGGCGTCAAAGCCCGGTCTCGTGATAACCAGAGATCTGTCGACAGGTGGAAGGATTGAAAGGGATTGGATCAGGGCGAAAAGCGACAATGGCTTTACGGTCGGGCGTATGGGTGAAGGTAGACTCGCTTCGGACGCAGCTCAGGTAAAAGGAAACACAGCGGCCCAACGCGTCTGCGAACTCACTGCAATAAGTTGTCGTCTTGACACCTCAGTGACCGGCTCGCGAAACAAAAGAAAAAAAATCCTATGTGCTGTTGGTAGGCTGGTCCGAGATGAATGATGGATGTGAGAAGCAGCGCGAGTTCAAGTTTGTTGGGTGCGCAGGGTGACGGGTTGTGATGGATCACCACGAGCGGGCTGGCGACGGCTCTGGCGGTCCCCGGTCGCCTAAAGCCACCTCCTGAGTTGTCCAGCTGGCCAGCCCAATAGGCCCAGCCTCCCGGCTTCTGCTGCAGAGCTAGGGTGCTGCCAACCACTGCGAGTCGGTGGGCAGAAGAAACCCCTCACTTGGTGTGAACAGTCTCGCCCACTACTGCACACTGCTTTTCCCGCTGCGTTTGCCACACCAGTTGGAGCCCCGGAATGCCTTGGTGTTGACGTCTCAAAGGCACCCTACTTGTAGACAGCGGTGCTCCTTCGAATCAATCTCCTCCATTTTTCTGCTGCCCCTGCTAATTGATTGCTGCGACATTTCAGCAAGTACCCTGACCCAACCACCCGCTCGACAGCCAGCGTTTAGGGTCGGATGATTGGTTCCACTAATTACCGTGTTACATTGTGTTCAGCAGGCAAAGAAACCATGTGACCGATTCATACAGGACGCAGGTAGCCACTTCTGGTTCACCCCTATACCCATGAGTCTCTGTCTAAAGATTCTCTGCCTATGTTCACGCCCAAAGCTTGCTTTCTAGACTGACAACGCCCGGAGAAATCACCATATTAGGGTATCATCATTCGTCGTAGCGCCATCAGCTTCTGGTAACTCCTCTCCGCGAGACATCTCCTCTTTACTTCTTGACCGACGGTGAACCGAAGAATCCCTTGATCTTGTCCATCAAGCTGTCGTGCTTCTTCTCGTGGATATGTGCTTCGTTTCCTGCGCCCCCTCGTCCAACGTGGTGAGATTCTAATTTGGCAACGCGAGTGGCAGTCTCGGGAACAACATCTGCATCGTGCGGCGTCGCTGATGTAGCCTTCCCATCATGCTCAATGTTTCCGACGCCGCCTCGACCTGCCGAGTATGGTCCGTCACCTTGGTCACCGACTGGTCCCTCACGCACTATCCCACCATCGGCGTAGGTCTGGGTATCGGGGCCAATGTTGGCGGCACCTGGAGGACGTAAGTAAGTCGGACTAGGCATCGAGAGGTGCTCGGCCTACCTCCGCGACCGTGAGAGACGTTGGCCATATGTCCGGGGGAACTTGGAGGTCTATAGAAGTTAGCTCAGAGCTGTTTCAAATGCCTGTCGTTAAGATTGCACACGCGCCGAGTTTGTGAGTGGTGTGGTGATTTAAATTTGTGCAGGCGCAAGACGAACACGGAGACGGTACCAAACGGCCCCACAAGCCCAGGGCAAGGCAAGGCTGCGGTGGAAAAGTGAGGGAAGTCACTTACCTCAGTAATATGCAGTGAGATCGATGTTTTTGGAGGTGCAGAGTGGTTAGATTTCGTTTGTCAAATGGCAGAAGTTGAGAAGTGCTAAGGCCGGTTACTTGGGAGATCTTGGAGAGGAAGCAGAAAGTGGACGAGCGAGTGTGAGCCGGTGGGTGTTGATATGGGCTGAGGGTACTCGGTGCTATCCGAGCAGACCAAGAAATGCCATGACAATTACGACTGACAAACTGCAATTGAGGGCGCAGCAAATAATAATGGTGTGACTTCCGCCCAGCGCCCAGCAGCCGCCATCGTCGGTTTGCTCAACATGACGTCCCAGCGAGTGACGGCTGAATGGGGACTAAACAGCAGACAAACACCAGCACCGGTGGCACCAGGCTTCCTTTTGACGTCGGCCAAGGTTCGCTAACCTCGCATGCCCAGCCTTGCGCTATCAATGGCCAATCCCAACCACCCATTCACCCATTCCATCCTCATGATAGTTCTTCCAAGCCAGGCATGCGCACCCAGACAGTACCGAGTCCGGAGTAGCGAGCATGGAGCTCCTTTCTCGAAGACTTGTCACATACTTAATCATCCCGCAGTGGTCCTAAATTCATAATTGAGCTATCAAAAGTCCCATTCTTTCAAGCCAGTGCCCGGTGTCATGTACAGTAATTCATTTAACGGCCGCCCTGCTCTGGCAAGTTATTCTTCATCTTTCTCGCGTCCTCTTCACTTGGCAAGCCCTTTCTACATCTTTGCTGTCTCCTTCTTTTCCTGGGGGCCTCCGGTTGTGGGCAGGCCCATGAAAATCTTGAAAGAGTCGTAGATCATCCATTGCAAGCCGGTCAGGGTTCCAATCATGACCTAGAGAGTTTGGAGCATTAGCAGACGGATTTCACCTCCGTTATCGGGTGCTGTAAACTCACAATTCTGACAGGGAGACCGTTCCAGAGACCCGCGAATCCAATCTTGGAATAGATGCGGCTCATGGCACCACCAAAGCTCTCACCGGGGGCACGTTCCGCGTTGAGTTTGCTGACCATCACATCCGCAGGATGCGACACAATCGCGCAGAGGATACCAGCAAGATAGCCACCGACGAAGGCCACACCAGTTTGAGCACCCTTGCCATAATCCGACTTGTTGCCCGGGAGGTAGTTGTAGATGGCGGCAACAATGTTTTCGAAAGAGGCAAACTTCATCATGGTATACGGGATCTGCCGGCCCCATAGAGGATACAGACCCTTGTACAAGCTTGAAAGCGTCAGTAATACCTGACGCTGAGACCCTGGATATTGGACTTACCCGCCGATCCCTTCTTTAGCCGTGATTGTCGACAACCCATTCATGGTACCGGAGTATGCAGGCGGCATGGTGGTCTGCATGCGGACCTTGACGGCCTCGAACGGGCAAAGACCAACGTCGGCGATGAATTCGGCCGAGGCCGAGGCAGTCAAGTACAGCGTGGTCTTATATTTCTGAGCAGCCTCTTCTCCAGCCAACTCGGAATACAGATGTTTGAAGTATTCATAGAAGCCGTATTTGCCAGCTCCTTGCACTGAGTAGCCGACGAAGGTCGGCCCGAAACCTGTGAAGATACCCCGGAAACCCTCAGTCCTGGCGATGGTACCCCAGGCCTGGAAGTTGCCCTTGTAAAGTTTGGGGTCGACCTGACGACGACATTTGACGAGATCGAGAGGAGTGACAGCTGCGTGGGTAGTACCCTGTGCTGTTGGTTAACTCCGAAAGCACAGCGGAAGAGCAAAACCGTCAACATACGCATGCCAGGATGCCTCCAACGGTACATGCAGCATAGTACTTGGCAGAGTAGAGCTCAATGCCCCCGACTTTGGCTTGGGCCTTTGCGCTGGCCTTCTCGTATTCTTTCTGAGCAGCTTCACTCAGCTCAACCGCCTTGTCTTTGGCAGATTCGGCCGCACTCCATGAGGAGAAGATTCGACGCCTTTCAAGGTTCTCGGCGGGTTTAGGAGCGGGCTTGTAGTATGGAGAGGTGGGCGTGAATGTCTGGCTCAAAGCCGTCGAGTTGGGGAAGAGCCCGACCATGGTGCTATATACTGATCAGCTTATCTCCGAAAGTCCAATTGAGCACGTTGAAAGAGCTATCAGAGGGAGAGGACGGCGGGATGGTAGGTAAGCGGGGGCATTACCTCGAGTCTTGATGGATGAATAGACTGCGGCAGATGGATGGTAGGTATTGTGGAAATGAGCGACGAGGGACGATAAAAAAGTCGAGAAGTGAAGAGAGAGCAAGTCAGTTCAAGGAAGCGAGCAACTGCATGCGGGAGCGAGGGGGACCAAGCTGGGCGTCAGTGGTGCTATCGTCACAGCTTGCCGGCCCCAATGTCCAATGGTCGGTCTCTGCGGGCCTGGGGAAGGTGGGTTTGGGCTTCCCTCTGGCTGCTCCAGCGGATGCTGGCCCGTACTTTTCCAGTGCCAGCCCAGTGCCAGCAGTATACGTCAGTACTACGGCCGCTCACAGAGGCATTCGACCGCAAATATCACGGGATTCATCTTGAAAATTGAGGAACAGCTTTTGTGGTTGCCCCATTTGAGCCAGCAGCAACGTCTCGACTCTACGATATAACGAGTAATAGCATGCTTGGACAATCGATATCTATGACTTGAAACGCTCTGTCGCTCTCACTGAACCCTGACGCAATCCATGGATCATTCTCAGTCCCTTCTCGAACAGGGCGTGCCTTTGGGCCCAACGATCGTCCCCCAGCCCAACGGACTCCCTCCTGACGAAGACGAACATGCTGCTAAATTGTCGACATGGGCGGACAAATACCGTGGCGCTACTGTAGCAGACCTAGATCTGCCCCCTGCATTATCAACTTCTCCAAGCACGTCACTTGCCGCTGCGATGCTCTCGGCCTCATCTCATGACTATTCGCACTTGACAGTCCTCTCCGACAATACTCGTTCCCTCCTGGGCTACCTGCCTATTTCGAAATTGAAGCAGCTGTTTGAGTCTGGACATCTGCAGCCCTCCGACCCAGTCTCGAAGGCCATGGTGAAGTTCCAGCGGGGCGGAGGAAAGAAATACCAAGTTGTCACAATGGAGACCGAGTTATGGGAACTTGAAGGGTTTTTTGAGGACATTGGGCCACTGGCAACCGGCGAAAAGCAACATTTTGCCGTTGTCACTGACGGGGGTAGAAAGTTCGTCCTGGGAGTGGTCACTAGGAGTGATCTGGAAGAGTTCGTAAAGAGAAGGCCGGCTTGAACTTCAGAGGCCATGACATTTGGAATACTCGACCTCAGACACCCAGGAGCAAGCGGCAGCTAAATCTGGACTTCAGCAGCATCCCTCTGGACACGCGACCGGTACTGCTCGCAATGCTCCGCCTTCTACAGGAACACGGAATCCGCTACCTCCGTTCGGCCCTACGTGTAGAGGACTTGTGAGCTCTCTTGCTACTAACCTTGAGGCTAGTGGTAGAGTTCAAGATCCGCGGGACTGAATGCCATTGTGTAATTGGGGGCCCAACCCTCGGGCGCATTATCCACAATGAAACAGAATCTTTGTCCGGCCGCCCTGAACCATTCTCGAAGGGCCGACGCTGTCAGGTCCGGGTATGGAACTGGAGGTATTCCGAAGTGCTTCGGCCTCGTCCGAGAACGAAGCTTCCCCTTGTTGATTCACCGTTGGCAGTGGACAACAACGAATTCAGGCGTGTTGACAAGGAGATATTTCGGGTTCGGGTTGCATTTTTCGTGAAGGTGATCAAGGAAGATAATGTGGCATTCGCATTGTTCACGAATACAACTGGCAGGTGAGACAATTGTGCAGTTAATTGGTACGTCGATATCATCAGGTTTCTCAATGAAGATTCCAGTTCCATCAACAGGCGGTCGAAGCCAGATTATCTGTCATATCCTTCCTCAGAAGGATCCAGTTACAACACCCAGATACCTTTCACGCTAGGCGCACACCTTCCAGAAGCACAAATGATTTTGCGTACTTGGCAATGCACTTCGACTGTCCTTCACGATTGCCGTCCCCAGCGACACCATGTCCCAACCGATCAAGGACCTTCCTCTTAACCTTCTCCGGGATGTTCTCCTGAGAACATCTCATTCCCCTATAGCTGGCGATAGGACCCTCGTATGCAAATCCATCTTACACTGTCCTCCCCAGGGACTCGTTTGCGAACCAATGTTATACTCCACTGTCTCGCTGGCCGATACCCAACTTGTCAAATTCTGCAAGTCACCCAGTCAAGCTACAACATGGAGAAAGTCTCTGACAATTGGTCTTAACCCGGTCTATTACAAGCACGGATCTGTCCTTGATGGTAATGAGACACAATCGCTCAGAAGGGCTATGCGGTGATTATCCAGGATTGTTCGCCTCTTGCCGAACCTGCCAACCTTCTCGTTTCGTGTGACCCACGAAGGACGCCATCCCCTGACCACAGGAATTGCTGTATGCCACAGTGAACTCAAAAACGTCCTGCTCTCACTACCAGAATCAGTCCGAAATCTGGAAGTCGATACCTTGCGATATAACCGCGGGCAAGACTCGGCACACCTCTGTACGATCCTCAGATACTTGATGCCTCAATTAGACAATGCGCATCTGATACCGGCAGAGCTCTGTGAATATCTGCTCCCGGATGATGACTAGGGAGATATTCTTATCCCCGCGACCGGAATGCGCTTGAAGGGTGCTTTTGTCATCAAGACCATTGGCGAACGAGACAAACTTTCACTCACTCGGCCATGTGACAATCGACCAAGTCCTCCCATCGCTTCTAATCAAATGCCACCAGTGTGTTCCGAAGTCCCCGTGCCTTTGTGTATTGGCGCGATGTCTGCAAAGGAGAAAGGGTGTCTCACCAATTTCTGTCGCTGCTCCTTTTTTGATATCCAGCTTTTGTTAGAAGACGTCCAAAGCGTCTCGAGTCTTCCTCCTTTCACAAGCAATCCCTTTTCACCACAGGAAAGCTGGACAAGTATCTGGAATAATGTGTCGCGGACGACGTCAGACCCTAGATTCTGTGGCGCAATGGTAAATGAGAGGCGATGAGAAGCTTGCCAGATTAACCGACCTCGGTGGTCATACTGAAGGCGAAGAATGGGTAGAAACACTTGAAGGCCACAGGTGTGTCTCGAGACACATTTGTCTCCACATTCATATGCATTGGGTGTCTATGGAGATATGGGTTGGCTTCCAACTTGAATTCCTGGGCATGTCTCCGAAACCGATCTTTGTGTCTGGAGCCATCTATACCCCTCAAACCCCTTCACACGGCAACTTGTTGAAGGGGGGCTAGCTGCTCAAGCGTTTTATGGATGATGTGGGACTGTAACTTCTAAATCTCGGTCAAGGGGAGGGGGAGGAAAATAGAGTGAGGGCTCTTTGCTGGGGTCCCCTTCACATGTGGACCGGCATCAGGTAACAAACAGACATATTTGACTTGGTTTTTCGAGGTAGCTGTGGCACTTTACAGCCTGTATACCGGTCAGCCGGTCAAGTTAGTAGTCGGCGAAGATGTGAGCCGACTGGAGGTTGACCTCGGAGGCAGAATGCATATGAGTGTTTCCACGTGACGAGGCTGAAGTTCTCCTTTTTCTACGCCCCCAGTCTCTCACGACAGAGCCCTGCCCCGTCCAGCTTCATTGCTATGATGTTTCGAATCCCGATCAGATATCCGTCCGGGCGACGATTCTCGAATCTTGGAGGAAATCATCACCGGGAATACGCGCCAGCGGGGGATTCGTGGAACTAACAAGACTATATACTGGGTAGAATGAGTGGAGCCCGACTGGGAGTGCTGTGCCCTGCTGCTACAAAACGTAGCAAACGCCGGCTGATCATGAGCGGTGGTGCTGGATGCGTGGATAAAAGATCTACACGGAGCCACGAGAGATGGGTCGGTCGTTTACAGTGAAACGAGAGCTTTCTATTGCGGCTTTGTCTCGGATTCTGCAGGGCGTGGAAGTCAGGTTCAAGGTGGTGAACAGCGTATGGACCGAGTCACAGTCACGATATAATACCGAGATAGAGATTTGAGCAGCAGCTTGATGCGGCAAGATTGTTTAGGAACGCAAAGGTCTACTTGATCAGCCGAAGTGGGACCCGGCTCGTCTCATCTGGTACAATCTCTGCCTCAAGAGATCGTCCCGGAGTTATCTGCGCAGTCAAAGACCTTGGAGATCAATCCGTCATCGAAGGCTTGCTTGATCGACACGGCAACGCCATACCTGTATGTCTTTGGTCAGTCGAGGATCTCAGAAGCAGGGTTTAGGCTCTTTGAGAATCAAGCAACACATTGGGTCTTCCACTTACGTTCCCCCAACCACCATGAAGAGCCCGACCAGCACAATGAGTATATGTGACCCGTAGATGGCCTTTTGCGAGGCACTCCCCCGAGCGTAGGCTTTGTAGTCGTACATCCACAGCATCGCCGGGAAGATCAAGCTGAAGGGCGCAAAGCACAGAGACCCGGCGAGACCGAGGAGGTAGTTCAAGATCGGGACGGCCTCGGCGATGATGAAGCCCAAGACCCCGAGGACCAGGTTGCTGCCCAGCCAGGTGGCCCAGTGCGTGACCGTGTTGGCCTGCAGGTGGTGCGAGTCGCGCAGGACGCGCACGAAGATCAGCTTGGCCGCCACGTGCTGGTAGATGCCGACGCCGACGACCAGGCCCGGGAGCGCGACGCCGTACGAGATCTTCTTGAACAGCGAGCCCGCGCTGCCAAAGGCCGGCGTCGCCAGCCACTGGCCGCACCAGCGGTAGATGACCAGCGAGAAGGTCAGGTACATGGCCCCGACGAGGATGCCCGCGACGACGGCCGCCTTGCGGTAGTCGCGCGGCCGGCGCATCTCGGAGATGACGGGCAGGTACATCTGCGAGCCGCTGCCGCTGATGAAGATGTTGGCGCTGGCCGTGATCCCGGCCACGAAGGTCGGGTGCGCGATCGCCGCCCACCCGAGGTCGAAGTCGCCCGTCTGCGGTGCTGCCGCCGGCCGGTCCTGCTGCGTCACGGCGACGACGAAGATGAACACGGCGATGAAGAAGGTCGTGAACCCGAGCCACGTCAGCCAGCCCAGCCGCGAGAACGTGCGCACCGAGGAGAAGCCCGTGATCAGCACGGCCGACACGAAGCTGAAAACGACCGTGCAGGCTCCGTGCTCCGAGAGGGCGTTGAAAGCCGTCGAGCACGACACAATCCCCGCGGCTGTGATGAGCACCTGTGCGATCAGGATCTGCAGCCCGACGAGTTCCTTGCCCACGCGGCCCCAGATCAGGCCGCACATGTCGGCGAGTGCTGCGCGTGGGAGGTTAGAGAAGGACTCTCTGAAGACTGCCCGGGGACAAGTCGCGACTTACTGTGGCATTCAGGGTGGCGGTTGCGAAAGTCGCCCAAGATGACAGCCGTATCTGTCATATCCCTGCATTTAGTCTCTGGCAGCATGCTCAATCACAGCTGGGAAAACTCACAAGTATTCAGGACTTCCCAGCCCACGATGGACAGAGCTCCGCCAACGGCTCCCAGGGTGGCCAATGCTCCAGGGACAGCCAGGATGCTCATGGCGAATTGGATTTTGAGGAAGATGATGGTGGCCCGCTGCCAGCTAACGGTGCGGAACTTGACGCCCTCCTCGCCATCCTGGAAGATCTCGCGCGCCTCCAGCGTCGCTTCTTTGTCGCCCGGTAGAGAGGCATCAGACTGAGGAGTCCCAATGGCACCGCTGTGGATCTCGGCCGTCGTCTTCTCGTAGGTGGCCATGTTGCTGGCCATGTCTCTCTCCTTCTTTCTCCCTTGCGGCTTCTGGAAATCACACTTTCAAAGCACACCGAAGGAGGCGGTGGAGGAGGATGAAAGAAAAATCCCACTTCTCCAGGGAGGGGGTCGATCCCACATAATAGCCATAGGATATATTTCTCCACTTGATCGATGCGCACCACAGAGAGCACCACCATACGTTCTAGACCAAGGACGAAATTCGGACATGTCCCTTGATAAGGGAAGGTCAGTTAAACCAAGGAATATCAAGAAACGCACCTAGCCGCCTAACTTATCAGTCCACAGCCGCCATCCACCTCCCTAAACCAGTAAAGCTGGCGTCCAAACAGCTTGGGTTCGGCCCGAGACCCTGTCTGTATCTCTTATGAGTTGTTCAGATACGAAATGCAATGGCAAAATGTGGCCAGCCAACCGGGCACCGGCCGCTTGGGCGGTGATAAAGAAAAGTGCTTGGGGGAGCCCTTATTAGTTGGTATAGCGATTGACCAAGGGGCATGGGGAAAAGTTATTTCTGGTATCAAGCACCCCAAGACGCTACGTTATCGGGATCGCCGTCGACGAGCCCTGCCGCGAGATTCGGATTATTCAAGATAAATCCCCCGAGTCGAAGGATTGTGTGAGGAAAGTCTAGAAAGGAGTGTGTCTATCATAGATACAACAGACTTCAGGAGGGATAGCTGGCGTAACACTGCTCTTCACCTCCTTGGGCCAAAAGTCCGTCCGTCATACAAACATTCTACATATTGTGCAGTCTGTACTTTCCTCCGCCAGGTAACTTCTTGACCCTTGCTGAGCACGCCCTTTTGAGGGGGACTGGAAGAGGCCTTTTAGAGTTGGCTTACGATCAAGATTGAACTTGTGGACATTGTGTTGAAACCCATATGTAATCTCAGAACTTCCTGGAACCGAGGCATTCCTCCTGGGCAGACTTGGCTAATGGATGGCCTAGTCAAAACGACATGACCTATTCAAATACTGCTAGGGAGGAAAATGCTTGTAGGCGGTCGCGTGACACCCAATATGCACCCCCCTAGTAACCAAGCCTCGTTAAGCCTCACTAAGGACTCTCCTAGCCCGGTTGATCAGAGATCAATACATGGTGAAATATCGCTTGTATACGTCTAAATTATCTCAAATAGAATCTATCTCGACTTGAAGGCCGGCCGGTGACTCTCTTTTCTCTCTGTCGGCAGTGATTGCTGGTGGGCGCTGGGCAACTACAGTGCACAGTGCTATAGAACATTCTGTCGAGGGCCTCAGGAACGGGCTCGACAAGGCCCCAACACGCCCCCGTCGCAGTCTACAGTTGACGACAACATGCAAAAGCCAAATCAAGCCCATTTCCCAAGCAAGGCCATCAGGCCGGTACCCAGCAACACACAGACGATCATAAAGGCCAATCTCTTGTTGTCCTTTGTGCGCATGGGGTTGAACAGGAAGTCCCGCGCCAGCAGCTCCACAAGGCCGGTGTAGATCAGGATGCCGGCCGACATGGAGTCCAAGACCCCACTGACCACGTTGGCGGTGAACGAGTTGGGGTTGTACGTCGTGCGCACGCCCAGGCCGATGGCGATGGCGATGGGCGTGGTCAGCCCGTAGGCCGCGCAGAGGGCCCACGGCAGCCAGCTCCCGGGCTTGAACGGGATCGCCGACATTCGCGCCCCGATCCCGAGCCCCTCGAAGGACTGGTGGAAGACCAGGACCGGGTACAGCGTGCTGAACTCGTCGCCCACGACGCCCAGGTTGAGGCCGATGACGACCGAGTGGAAGATGACGCCGAACTCCAGGATCAGGAAGGCGGCGATCTGCTGGCGGAACGAGTTCTGGCGCGCCTCCGAGTCCTCCTCGTCCACGGCGAAGTCCTCGACGAACCGCTTCTCGTACGCGGACGACTTGCGGCGCTCGTCGTGCTCGCGCCGCATGGACGCGATGCTCGTCGCACGGTCCCGCTGCGCGTCGGTCGGCGTTCTGTCCGTGTATCCAGTCACCGCTTCTTGCAGGTCCATCTCACTGTCGACGCCGTATTTTACCTCGACGTATCGCTCGGCACCAAAATCGAAGAGAAAGATGACGATCACCGACGTGAGGACAATGGCTGGGCACCACCTACATTTTATCCACCTGGTCAGTCTCGCGCGCGTTCAGACACGATTATGAATGAATGAGGTTAGGAAAAACAGGAACGCTTACGAATAATCGGCCCAGCCGCCTGTCATGCCGACACAAGTTTGGGGTCCGATCTCGCCATATGCCGGGTCAAGGAGATGGATGAAGGCCGTGGCGACGATGACCCCGGCGCCGAAATACCGGGCAAACAGGTAGACATAGAGCGGGATGTGCAGACGGGGAATCCTCTTTGCGAAAACCGGGAAGAACGTCGCGGCCGACGAAACGATGAGGATGACGAACAGGGCCGAGATTCTGGCGCCGAGTTGTCCATTGTAGTCATTTCCCGACTCCGCAAGTGCGCAGATGACATCTCGAGGGTCAGCAGAAGTCAGATTGACGTTCTCGGGGTTGAAAGTGCTTCCACCTAAGTCGGTGGATGAATTGGAAGCCATGGTGCTGGGATGTAGGAGTATCGAGACAGAGGAACTGGCCAAGAGCTTCATGCAGGAAGCGTGTCCCGGCCTTTTAACCTGTTCAGCCCTGGGAGAAGCTAGCCGATTGTAAGGCCTTGCTGTAAGGTCAGGGTGCTTTGCCAGCGTCAAGGATAGCCCGAGCGAAAAGTGAGGACCTTAAGAGTACTGGGAGTTCACTAAACCCAATGCAGTAGGTCCATCTCGATTTTCCGCGTGTACAGAAGCGAGATACAGCCTTGCCTCCACAGTAACCCAAGATGACTGGGTCAGAATGAACCTGGTGGCTGATGTATTGGGGTCATTGGACGTCGGATGGGGACCTTTTCGAGGTCGAAACCCCCACGAGAGGTTGCACTCGGGGATAGGTGATCCTCCCACTTTCGCCATTGTATTCGAGGACCTTACATCAATGCGGCGGCCTTTCATTCTTCTTTACGTTTTTCTTTCTGTTCGCCATCGTTCGGCTGTTTCCCGTTTGTTCGTGTTCCACTAAGTGCAATGTGGTGGCGGGCAAGGTTGCAAAAGTCCACTTTCACTTCATAGTATCATGGGACTTGTCAGCTCAAATCTTACGAATTTGCAACCAAACTGTGGCCAACATGTCAAGCGAAGGATGTCAGGGGGGTTTTTTTTTTCTCGACTCGAATCCCGTGTCGATGGTAGGGTCTGGTCGAGGTATGAGGTGACTTCCCGTGGCAAGTAGATACTCTCGTAGTCGACGAACCGACCACAGAAGCTGTAAAGGGGGGCTTGAGGAATGGTAATTCAATTACTGAGAATGGCTCAGACGGTCCGAATGGATTGGTCTTTAGTCGGCTTCATTGTGCAAAAGAGCACCGAGAATGGCGGCAAACCTTCTCGCAATTTCCCAATGCCCTATCCGCCTCAAGAGATCGGTCAGTCCACTGAGGGCCGCATTAGTTTCAGTCGTGGTAGGCTTTCCGTGCTTATATCCGCTCGCTTGGAAAAGCAGCAACGCCGGGTTGACGCCAATGGTTTTGAATTCTGGAAACTCCAGGGCTTCGGCGGCTCCGGCGGTTCGCTGACCGGCAGCTTGAGATCCAAACCGAGTATAGCAAAACCAGGCGATGCCCGCTCTAAACATCGCCCTAGGTACATGGATGGCTGGCTCAAAGCCAAGTGGTAGGTTCTCCAATTTCTTTTGCACAATGAGCCCGTGAATCACGCACCTTTTAGCGTGGTCTGAGTTTGCCCAAGCCGTGACTGCAAGCTGGTCCTCCGGTGATAGATCTGGTCCATTTCGCCCAATCGCTCGCTCCAGAAGATCAAAATCGGCGAACATTATCATGAAGGCCAGGTGCCAGAGTATGCTCATGTCCATGTGATCTGCTTCCCAAGCTGCCGATTCTTGCAAGAAATTTCGATAAAACGAGGTCAAGGTGTTCAGCATCTCTTCCGTCCTTGATGGGGTTGAACGAGCATTGATTCGATTCTCGATAATGTTTGCGCATATGCCTTCCAGAACTGTATATGCTGTGAAATAGCTGTTGCTGGGGACTGCAGCAAGGTCAAAGTCCAGGTGGGCATCGATCGAAGCCGGCGTAGAATCCATACTTTCGAAATTGCTGGGGTCATTGAGATATGATTGGCGCCAGTCCTCAGGCCGAGTGGCCATGAACGTCTGATTTGATGCGGCGACTGGTAGCTGTCTAGAGTTGTGGCGGAGGAATGGCTCGTGATGGAACATAGCAGCAAGTTCGGCGTCGTGGATGTGCACGCTGAGCGCAATCCGGATGAGTTCTTCGTTCTTCGCCCACTCTCTCCATTTCTTGTCCAGTTCGGTGGAACTGACATTCAAGTCTAGACCCACCATCTTCTTGGTTTTGAAGGTCGACCAGCGTCGTGCCCAAGAAATGAGCGTTCCGTTGAAAGCGTCAACAATGGCAAGATGCCTCGGCTCTCCAGACAGCAAACCAAAAGTTTGTCCAATTATAGCTGTTTGTATGAGAGAGATTCGTTGATCTACACCTTGGGCGATCAGTCGATCCCAATTTGCAAGGACAGCCTTGTGCAATCTCTCGAATATATGTACGCCCTGTCGAATCGCGTGCACGCTGCCTGTAAAGAGACTACCAACTGAGCATATTGACAAAAGGACCATGGAGTTGGCCTTGGAAGGACGAAATGTGGGCGCATGCACCACTGGGAATACCGGGTGGAATCGTGCAAAATACGACCTGACGCAAAGATTCAGAAAGTCCGCCGATGGAAGTGTCTGTTCCTGGATCGGGCGGATTTGTAGGCTTTGCGTCAACGTCTGGCGATATGTATCGTCGACTTCGTCTCGGGACCCGGGAGGTGTCGCCGGGCCTGATCGCGTCACTTCGTCCTGCGCATCATCATTGGCCATGAACCAGAGTCTCTTCGTATTGGAAACGGGCTTGTAGTTGCTCGAGCCAAACGTAGCGTAGGGGCTTTCCGGCCAAGAAGGGCGCAGTTCTGCCATGGTAGCGACCAGAGGAGTGTCCAAAATCCCACCGTGCAGGTCACTGTCCACCAGCCATGAAGGAAATTGGGCCTCGAAATCGAAGTTGAAGACGTCGATCGAAGTGTCAAATCCACTACCTGACTGGTCGGAGGGAACGTTATTTGAGTAGACGTCAGTGGAGGTGTTGCTGGCCATTTGGCCCTCTTGATAGTTTTTCCCATCTTTGAGGTAGTCCGTGGCCGGCGCATCTAGAGACGAGCTAATATTCGAAATCAGTATCGGGTCGGGCTGTTCTGACAAGATTGTCGCGCTGTGAAGCGGCATTGGGTTCGCGGAAAACGCTCTCTGGTCATCCTCTGGTCCAAGTGGATTGCTGGAGCGGCGTTTGCCTTCCGCGACAGCTACGGAGATATCATCTGCTGAATGGTCTTTCTGATGTCGCAGCAGCGTATCGCTAAGAAACGTCTAAGTATCCGCAACGCACTTCAATCGCCATTCACCAACTTACTGCCGACCATATTTTCTGCCACACTTTCCACAGACGAAAGGCTTCTCCTTGGTGTGAGAGCGGACGTGCCTTTCGAGGTGGTCAGTCTTAGCAAAGGTGCGCCCACAGGTCGAACATTGCCTGATTTTGGCGCCCCGGCGGCCCCGCGGCCCATCTTTAGGAGCTGGTACCGTAGCGGGATCAGGCATTGCCGAGAAGGAGCAGGTTGGGAGACGAGGGTGCCTCCATATCAATGTGGTAAGGAGACTTCGACCAGTGACTATCAGCTCATAACGTGATAAGAGGATAGAAAAAGTGCTGAGACTTGTGGGGAAGAAGGAGCGTCGTGGCCAGGAAATCTGGGGGAACTTGGGGGCTTGGCACAGCCCCGCGTGACGAGGGGAAGTCCGCGGCCCCGAGACTCGCAAGGCTGACCAATCATGAGCATCCATTCAACCTGGCAGCCCGACGGCGGCAATGAATACAGCGCATTATCTCGCCCTTGATCACCAGTTGCGAGGGTAATCGTGTTCTTTCTATTTCGTATTACCGTATCCGGACAGGTACGGGGTCCTTGATGTCATCCCAAAGCAGATCTCTACACTTTGGTGCTTGACCGAATCCTAATGTTCCGGGAAGCTTCATTCCCACGGAAGTCGGCAGGGAGTACTGAAGCCTTATGACCTGCGAGCGTCATGCCAGCGGCATTAGTTTTCTGGACACACAATTTGGAGCAGTTGCGGGCAAACGAGCTCTCGGAGAACTTGTCGGTCTCATTAACGCCGTTAAAGGACGTTCTCCCCGCCTCCTCATCTCTTTGAGAGATTGTGGGGGTATCTCAGCTGCGAAATGTGGGACGTTTCAGGCCAGGTAGAGGGTTGCCACAGTCCTAACAGCGCTGGAACAAACAGCACGAGGGACCTCGTAAGATCCCATGTTCCTGTGTGGGTGCTTGCCTGGCCCCGTAGATCTCACTCAGTGTGATGGGAGCAGTCCCGGGAAAGCAACAGCACCCAGCAAAGCCTCGCAAAATGACCCCACAAATAACGTCCCACACTGATCACGTCCGGTACCTGGTGCGATCCTCGGACTTCCAATGCTTTCAGAATTGCCGACAAAAGCATCTAGGGGTCCACCTGCTGGAGGTTTCTCAATATAATGGAACGGGCGACTCCATCCAGAGAACCAGACTCTGGTCAGTGCTTTGGCTCTTTGGTCCTGTCATCGATCTGTAGATCAGAACCACGGAACCTAGTTTGCTGGTGGACTCGGGGACCTTTCATCGACCTTCTGCTTGCATCATGTCTCAAAGGACACCTGATGTTGCAGAGACCGGTGTCATCATATGCGGCGGTGGCCCGACGGGGACGGTGCTGTCGGCCTTGCTCGGGGCAATGAAAGTGCCAAACATTGTCTTGGAAAGGGAGAAAGACATTACCACCGACCCCAGAGGAATCGCCTTGGACGAGGATGGAATTCGAATACTACAGTCAATTGGGATCTACGATAAGATATACACAGAGATTGGGACGTGTGAGTCGACCCCCCCGCTCTGCCCCTGTATTGTCGGAATATGTTCTCGGGCTGATATCATCCAAAAAAAAAGGTATGGAGATATTCAACTTCGTCACTGGCAGTGAGCCGAATTTGTACAGAAAGCCACTCCTCACTATGGATTATACAACTACCGAGGGAGGCACTGGCCATGTCGGGTTTATATGTCACAAGCAGCCGGCAATGGAACGGGCGATTCGAGACCAGATCCACAAAATCCCATTCTCGGAAATCCGGACTGAGTCTACTGTGACCGGCATATCGGAGAATCCTGAAGGAGTGACTGTCGAGTATAGGGACGCACATGGGGATATTCAAAGATTGACGGCTCCGTTCTTGGTGGGAGCAGACGGGAAGACGGGCTACGTCAGGAAGTGCTATCTTGAGCCGAAAGGCGTCATCATGGAACGATGCAAAGAGTGAGGTCTTCGTTTCCGTTAGCGGGCGGTTCGTGCTAATCGGAGGATATAGGTCGGACTACGAGGAGACCTGGGTCGCATTGAACTGGCAAATCTCCCTACCCACCGAAAAGACTCACCCAGACTTTCCTCTGTGGAGGCTGGGGTACACGCCCGAACAAGTCTATGATCGGTTCTTCCCCAAACAGTTCCGGTTCCTCTGCAATCCTAAGCGGCCCTCGGTGTGTGGAAGATTCGGTCTGAAGTCAGATCGGCTGTGGAGATTCGAATTCGTTGTTTTGGAAGGTGAAGATGGTCACAAAATGGCGACGCCCGAGGAGACCAGCAAAATCATTTATCCTTATCTCACCCATCCCGGCAGCTGGTATGGGCTCCAACACCCAGTCATGTTCCCCGAGGATTGCATCAAGACCTTGAGATCTCGGCCCTTCTCTTTCGTGGCACGAAGCTGTAATAAGTGGTCCTTGGGAAGGGTCATCTTAGCCGGTGATGCGGCTCATGTCTTCCCTCCGTTCGGTAAGAGCAATCGCTTTCGCGGATTCGCGCGTATGTGTAACCCATCTGACTGGTAAATAGGCGGGCAAGGTATTGCTTCTGGATTCCGCGATGCTTCCGCACTGGCCTGGAGACTGGCGCTGCTACACCGGCATCCGACAACAGATCATGAAGCATTGTTGACAGCGTGGTACACCGAACGCAAGCAACAGCTCGAACGCTCCCTAGCTGCCACGATCCAGAATGGGGCATATGTGACAGAATCTGACCCCATCAAGGTCTTCATCCGCGAATGGTACATGTGGGCCGTCCAACTTGTGCCCAGCTGGAGGAAAGAACTCCAAAAGGGCGCCCGAGCACTGGGAATGACAAAATACCGATATAGCCCAGGCTTTGCATTTGTGGGGGAGATGGGAGGCGGCCTGCTTCTCCCGCAAATCTATGCTTTCAATTTCAGGGAGAACAAGATCGAATTCACGGACGACTTGATCTTCTCTTCCGACAAGAAGGGGCTTTTCCAGCTGCTCGTCTTGCCTGACAAAGTCAGCCAGGTGCAGTCTCTTACAAAAGACCTCGAGAACATCAGTCAGCTCTCCGGCAACTTCATTCTTGGTGAGGAAGCCACGATCCTCATTCAGTCCACAAAGGCAACGATCTCTGCCGAAGACCTGCCCACCCAACAGGTGGCTCGAATTGCAGCCGGTGACGAATTCGCGGCAGATTCGCTTCTATGCAAGAACCGACCTCCCCCCATCGGTTATGATGAGCTGCGGCTTCGCGAGGAAGTACGGGGCAAGAAGTACGTGATTCTCAGACCCGACCGCTTTGTCTTTGCTGCTTGTGATACGCCGACGGAGTTGAGGGAGGCCGTGAGCAAGCTTCCAAGCGCACTGCATGTGGGTTGAGTCTCTGAGCCGCCAATGGCATGGGTAACCCACATCTCTTCCTCGTTCAGACGACGATGGATCTATAAGCAGCGAATGTGGAAAGGCGCGATTCTTACGCGCTCAACGGGGATCAAGCGGAAGATATACATTCGGAAATCGCTCGGTTGTGTTTGCTGCTTGCATCATAGCATCCCGCGCAGTGAGTCAGGCGTGTAAAACCTTGGTTGCTCGTTGCTCAGGGGCGAATTGAGGAGCCTCGTTTCCGGCGTTCCTAGTGGATACATCTCGAACACCGTGTTGCTCTGGCGAAGGGGCCTGGGCCCACAGGCACGGTGATTACATTCGTCCATGCAGGGATAGAGTATCCATGGAGGAGAGACACAGAGCAATCAATGGAGGAGTGACCTCTCTTCCCGTTGCCGGTGCCGCCTCTTCTACTGTAGACTTCGGAATGGCACCCGTAATCCTCCTTTGTTCTAAGGTCCCATTGACGGATCAGCCGGATTCGGCAACCGTTGGGAGGGGTGGGCCCCGGGCCAATCAGCGTCGCAGCATTGCCGTCACCGTCCTTTGCATTTCAGCCTCTTATCGGAATCCGACGCCATGGCTTGCGCAGTGCTTGCCCTGGAAGTGACCACTGACCAACACGGGTGAACTTCTAGTGTTGTGTACAGAGCGGTCAAGATCTCCGAGGCCTGTCTAATCACGCTAGAACGTGTCATGATTGATGATATGGCTCCATGTGTCGACAGGGGTCCCTTGACGCCCTTACGCCATATATTGGAATGTGGGTGTTCCAGCCCAACCTCAGCCCAAGCCCAGAGCCTTGTCTATCCTATCATTTTCCCACGTCTATCGTATCCGTGATTCTTGCGTCGCGTGGACAGTTGTGCTACCCTCCAGCTCTCTTTTTATATCTTAGAACTCTGTCTGCACCTCACCGCTGTTCCATTCCAAAATTCAGGCGCACACACTCTGGGAGTCTTCTATCCTTCCCTCCACTGCATCGGAGCACACGTCCAAGTCCTGCCTTCCACAGTTTTGAGGAAGCCAGCCTAAGCTGCTTGACATCTCTGCGTGGCTCCAAGGTCCTCTCACAATGGCGGAGACGTCACTTTTCATCCTTCCACCCGAGATTCGTCTGCAAATATGGTCCTACCTTGTTCAACCGACGACAATATACCCTTGCGAGTGTGCCATGAGAGACGAACAATGTCAAGCCCACCGCCTGGGCGCCTGCTGCCACAACACCTCGACATACCAGCACTGTGACAACCGCATCCTTCGAGTCAGCCGTCAGATCTTCGACGAAGTCCAGCCGATGGCCAAGCGAGCGGAACGAGCGCGCCTCTTTGTGCTATGCAACAATCTCTGCCTCGACAATTTCTTCAAGTCACTGGACAAAAGTGACTGGAGGTGGGTCAAACATCTGAGGGTGGATTTGTTCGTCGGTTGGGGCAATGACAACCAGGACGACTGGTTCCTTTGCCAGATGCACCGCTGGGCCAGGAGATATGTGGCCGGCACCTTGAACAAGTATGATCATGGGCGGGAGGTATCGATCCAGCCGGCCGAAGAGGCCAGGGAGGACAAGAATGGGAGGAGGACTCTGACTGTCGACATCTACCTCTCATGACACCCACAGGATCTGGGCTGCCACTATCCGGTGAGGGAGGGAGATGTGGCAGGCTGTGGCCGATGGTAGATGCTGCTTACGCCTGGATCTGGGTGGAACACCCGAATAGCGCCGTGAGCTTCCGTGGCTCTTCGGTTACACCATCGTATCAGCCGCCCAACAGTTTTCGCCGCTCCATTCTGGGCTGATGGCATGGATCGGTCTGAGGAGGACGACGACATCGGCGCGCGATAAGCACGAACCTTGGTGTGTCAGCGAAATGGCCCGGCAAAGATAAAAGGCGCAGGCGAGGGCGCGGGATCTCTTGGCATTTCATGCACGTGACCGAGCGCAGTTCTTATCATCACGTGCAGCTGCGATAACAAAACCAACACGCACCTTTTTCCTCCTTCGACCTCGTTGTCCAAGTCGATGCAACCGCAACACAAGCCGGTTCCCCTCCAACGATTTCGCGCTCCGAGTAGCGATGCTCCGTCTACAAGGGCTAGGCATTCCTTATAGGCTCGGCTGGGATGATGTTCCCTCCAAAGCCGTTGTCAGCTTCCCAAACCAACCCATTGGGAGTGCTCCTTATGCTCGAATCGGTTGCCACTAAAGGATCCCAGTCCACACTTCGAGATGCTTGTTAGGGGAAACGGCCAGTATCATTTCGGGACAGGTATCAGGATGCGGAAGCCGAATGTAACCGGAGATCCTTTTTCGCTGCATAGTGCTCACGGTGGGTTTTGTGTTATTCTGATACCAGCACGGCGGTTGAAAATCGATCTTGCACACGATATTTATCAGTAATGGCAATTCTTTCCTCCTCCTCCCACGACACACCAACAGGAGAGTGGCAGAGTCTGTGCCTGAATCGTCGGGTCTCGTTTACGTCGAAAGGAAAATGTCTTCCTCGGAGCCAACTTTCCCGATAATCTACACGGAAAGACTTCAGCTCCGGGTCTTCGACCCAGCGCGCCCCTCCGACTACGACGCCGTCTTGGGCATATACGACAGCGACTTCATCAGGCGAACGGTGGGCAACCCGGGCCTGCACGCCCGCGACGACGTCGACACTCGGTGCGCAAAGTTTCATCCCCGTCCCAAGGATGTTGATCCCGCGGCACCCTTCCCCACGCACCCCTGGCATCTGATCTACCTCCGCGGGACGGATACTCTGGTCGGCGTCATCTCCCTGTTCCACCGCCACCCGCTCCCGTACCCGGACTTGGGCTACGCCGTCGTCGAAGGGCACATGAACCGAGGCTACGCGACCGAGGCCGGGAAGGCCGCGCTGCGCTGGTGGACGGAAGAGATGTGTGTGCGGGATATCTGGGCGGCCGCGTTCGACACGAACGTCGTCAGTCACAGGGTCGCGCAGAAGATCGGATTCGTCGACGGAGGGTCGATCAGGTTGGTGCTCTCGGACACGCTGGTCAAGGAAGGCAAGGCTTTCGTCCAGCCGGAGATGGGGCGGCGTTTGGATGGGTTGACCATTGATGTCCGCCCAAAGTGAGCCTGGGTGTCTGTGTCTGTGTTTGTGGCTTCAGGGAACTTTGTCGACAGTCCGTCACATCTCGAGTGGGTTTCTTTTCCGGGGATCTTCTCTTTCTCCTTCTTCTATTATCTCCCTCTCCCGTTGTGGCGATGTCGTTTTGTTCAATGCATTCATTGTCCTGTACCAGATCTACCCATTTGCAATATAGACTAGTCTAGATCTCCCCACCAAAAAAAAAAAGTTTCGATGCTAGTAATCTCCCTTGCTTCCAATCCGTCCCACGACGAACATCCACTCAGCTCAACTCAATTTACTTGCCGTTCTTCCACGATGCCCAGCTGGAGTTGGTCAAGCGAATGCTCAGAGTTTGGACGCGCTGCACGATCCCGCTGTTGCCCAGGCGGTGTTCGAATGTCCCGTCGTAACGTCCAGATGAGTACCGTATTGATTATTCCGCCAGCCACATCATCACTTCGCCCAGGACGGCGAACGAGTACGTGGTCGTTGGCTGTCACCCATTGCATCGCATATGACCAATCCTCGCCTCTCCCTATGGCTGATCTTCTGCCTCCCGTTCTTTTTCTTTTCCCATGAACTTGTAATAACCCTCGTACTTTTTTTGATTTGATTTGATTTGATTTCTCTGGCAATCTGATATGAGCCCCGGTGAAAGCAAAGGGCCCCCACTTGCTACTCTTCACTCCACATAGATGCAAGGCGGCGTATTGTTGACGGGGCCGTGGCGTTCTAGACGTGGAATTGCGCCTTGTACCTGGTCTCCAACGCGGCCTTGAGAGCATCACAGGTCTGCTTCGCGTCTCCAAACAGCATCCTCGTGCCAGGCATGTAGAACATGGGGTTCGGGACGTCCGCTGTTGAGACTATCAGCGACTGGATTCCTCGTAGAGGTAGGTTGTCATGGTGGGGAAGAGTCACGAGATATGAGATCGGGAGGGGCCAAGGGGGGAAGGAGTGCATTTGTACTCACCGTATCCACTGCTCATGCCTCGCTTCATAACCACCACCCCTTTACTCTTCCAGGCATGCAACACGGGCATTCCCGCTATTGGGCTGCCAGGCTCCAATGCAATCGGGTTCACCGTGTCGTTTGCGCCAATCACCAACGTGAGGTCCGTCTCCGGGAAATCGTCATTGATCTCGTCCATCTCCAAGACAATATCATACGGCACGCTGGCCTCAGCCAACAGCACGTTACATTGTCCCGGCATTCGTCCTGCGACGGGGTGGATTGCGAAGCGGACATTCACGCCCTTGGAGCGCAAGAGAGAGACAATTTCAGCAATGGCGTACTGGGCTTTCGCCACGGCCATGCCATAGCCGACCACAATGATGACGGATTCGGCGTTGGCGAGCGCCTCGACCGTCTCCTCCACGGTGGTCTTCGTGATCTGACCTTTGATTTCGTGCGAAGTTTGGGCGATTGGTGCAATACCGCCGAAGAGGACGTTGGTTAGAGAACGATTCATCGCGACGCACTAATTTGGACCGAAAAGGAAGTGTTAGCAAATGATTCCCTATCAGCATGAAGACAAGAATTTGCTGGGTCAGTTGCTTCTTTACCATAATGTACGACAGGATGGAACCGCTAACGCCGATCAACGAGCCTACGGTTAGTAGTAAAGGGTTGTCAAGCATGAAGCCCTCAGCAACGAGGGCGAAACCTGAGTATGCATTCAACACGGTAATGACCACAGCTAGCACGAGCAGTCAGTATGAGGCCAGTCAGAACGAGGGATAAGCGGTAACATACGCATATCCGCTCCTCCTATAGCAGCCGTCGTGGTGAATCCCTTGGCAAAACTGAGCGCAGTGTTTGCAGATAGGCACACTGCAGCCACAGCAGGCGCGCCAGGCGCCATAGTCAAGAACGCACCCATTGTGCCGGCGTTGGCTGCCAATAGACTAGAATTAATGATATGACGGCCAGGGAGGATGGTGGGCCGAGATGACATTCGTCCCGCGAGTTTCAGGAATGCAACAAGAGATCCAGTGAATGTTACGCCACCTGAAGACCATTAGCGTGAATTCGAGCCAAAATGATGATCTGGGAAGGTCGATAATCGCAGTCAGGGACATACCAATGAGAACGCCCAAGTATGCCGTCACCATGTGTAAGGTTGAGATATCCGAGACATCAGCCAGTACACTACCTATGCTGGTGAGCACGGCGGCGAGACCAACAACTGAATGCAAGGCAGCGACAGTCTGAGGGAGCTCGGTGGGTGTAATACGTCGGCCGATGAGGGCACCTGTTTGTCGTCGTGAGTACCTCTTTCATGTTCATTGGCAGCCAGATTAATAGACGAACGTACCAACAATACCACCAATAGTTGCAATCGCACCGAACTGTGTCAGGACTTCTGGAGAGAATCCTACTGCGCCGAGAGAGGCGATGATACCGGCTAGGACACCCAAGATTCCGAGCAGGTTCCCAGTTCGGGCTGTTGCTTGCGATGCAAGCCCTTGGATAGATCCTAGAATAGCAAGCATCAGATACCGGGCACGTATTTTGGACACAAGAGCTTAGGCCCTTACCGATACACAGCAGACTGCTCACCAGATATCCGGCCTGCACGAGCCCAGCCATACCTGTACTTGCCGCTGCGATAAACCCACCAGCGAACAGCACGCCAGGAATCGCGTACAGCCACGGATATTCTGGAGGATCTGTTGGTCGTTTGAACATATCCAACATGCGCTTCGTAATGACAAACCCGCCCGATACGTTGACAAACGCAAGCAGAACAGACAGGGCACCGAGTGCTTGTGGGACCGTTTCCGGCAAATATCCTCCGCCCATGATGAAGAAGCCACCTACACCCACGATGCCGGAAATGGCGTTGGTTACGCTCATCAAAGGAGAATGAAGCGCAGGAATCACACCCCAGACGGAGCGATAGCCGATCAGGCCTGCCAGGCCAGCAGTAAACGCGCTACCCATGAACAGGGGGGATGTCAATTTTCCCAATGCAAGAGCTGCACTCATTCCTCCGGTCACGGCTGCTGCATTGCGAGCTTGACTTTGCCAAGGCGTCAACTCAACGGGCTTAGATTCATGTTCGTGATGCTGCTGCACGGGAGCCGGGGGTGGAGCTGGTCGTGGAGCAGGAGGAATGATTTTCCCGTCGTGTGTAACGATGGAGCCTCGCACGACTTCGTCTTCCAAGTCGATGCCGAAGTGGTTGTCCTTGGGGGAAATTGCCAGCAGGAACTTTGTGATGTTGTTGGAATACAAACTCGTTGACTGTGTAGGTAGTCGAGATGGGAAGTCCGTGTATCCAATGATGGTAACATGGTTATGCACAATTAGTTTGCCAGGCTGGGTAACCTCGCAGTTCCCGCCACCCTCTGATGCAAGGTCGACAATGACCGAGCCGGGTTTCATCGCACTGACCATTTTCTCGGTGATCAGTTTAGGAGACGGTCTTCCTGGAATCGCGGCAGTAGTGACGACAATGTCGACTTCTTTGCATTGTTCCATGAACAGTTTCATCTCCGCCTCGATGAACTCCTTGGACATTTCCTTACTGTAGCCACCCGCAGCTGAGCCTTCCTCCTTGACACTGACTTCCAAGAAGTCAGCTCCTAAGGACTGTACTTGTTCTCGAGCGGCAGACCGAGTGTCAAACCCGCGGACGATCGCGCCCAATCGGCGAGCGGTGGTGATGGCACTCAACCCGGCAACGCCAGCTCCAATGACCAAGACTTTGGAAGGAGGAATCTTTCCCGCAGCAGTGACCTGACCTGTCAAGAAGCGACCGTAATGATTAGATGCTTCAAGCACAGCCTTGTAACCCGCTATGTTTGCCATGGAACTTAACGCATCAAAGGCCTGAGCACGCGAAATCCTCGGAATCATGTCCATGGCGAAAGCAGTCACGCGCTGGGAAGCGAGAGCCTCGACAAGAGGTCTGTTCTGCATGGGCTGCAGAAACGAAATCAAGGCAGTCCCCTCTCGAATATTGGGTACTTCGGATTCCAAGTTCGGAGGGCGAACCTTGAGCAGGATATTGCTCTCCGACCACACGGTCTCGCGATCAACCACGGTGGCACCGACATGCTCGTAGACCTCGTCGGCATATTCAGCTTCGATGCCAGCACCTCGCTCAACCAGGACCCGCGCGAAACCTTTCTTCAACAGTAAAGGGATGTTCTGTGGCGCGACAGCGACGCGACGTTCTCCCGGGTGAGTCTCCTTTGGCACGCCAATGGTTAGTTGCGAATAAAGAACTGGCTCAGCCGGCAGGTCGGACTTGAATCTCGACCATACTGCGACGGCTCGCGGTGGTAGTTTTATCAGGCTTTTATGTTGATGTTGATTGATTGAGGTGAGCGGAACCAGCCCGCAACTGAGTGAGTGCACATGTCGCTTCGCGTGACGGCGCTGCCGCACACAACCATAGATGGCGCCTAACGCTGGAACTGAGTCGAATTGTCAGCCTGGATCTCAGGCTCCCAGAGCGGCCTTCAATGCGAATGGATTCCTGCGGTACCTGAGTCTCTAAAGCTGAAGCAGCTCTTGGTTGATAGTTTTACCGACAGGGGCGCAGACAAGACGGGAAAAGAGGCGTGAGCCATCGTGCTGTCTCACCGCCACAAACAAGCCCGATTAGAACCTTGTAGACTCGGATCTGGAGCTGCAGATAACCGCGATGACCTGCATGTCAAGCCCGGAGGCACCCGTCAAGAAAAAGACACGATTCTATGGCATGCTCTTCGACCGAAGGAGCCTCGCGAACTTGCAGTGTAGACAAACATGCGAATGAACAGGAGAATTGGAGAGCAAGATGAGGAGGTAAAACGTGGCAGGCTGGTGAGTCGTCTTGCAAGCAGTCAAGTTAGCGGGCAGCGGGACCTGTAAGGAACCGATGAGACTGCCGAGGAAGAAACGGGCACATGACGGCTAGGCCCATCCAGGAATTCCAAAAGCCTGGAAGCTTGTGTTTGGGAGTGAATGCATGGGTTGCATCGACTGCCCTCGTGGTAAGCCTAGCAGGAAGCGTAGCTGCCTCCTGGGGAGGATTTCGCCGTCAACGGCACCGTCGGCAAAGGTTGGTGCCCCTCCAACCGATTGCTACAATCAGCACGAGAGGCGCCCGTGGGGGTGGAGCAGGCGGGGTGGGAGGTGAATGTGGAGGAGGGGGAGTGAGATGAGATGAGATGCTGGAGGTGTTGTGCAGTGAGGCAGATACAAAATACCATGATCGCCAACACCACCATCACAAATCTAGCTTGTATACCACCGCCTGGCAAGCTGCGTGTGTTTGTCCTTCTGTTGAGGTGCACCGAGTGCCTGGTTGATTCACCCTCGCAGGTGCCGTTGTCTGCAATCATTCTATCATTCTATCATTCTATCATTCTATCATTCTATCATTCTATCATTCTATCATTCTATCATTCTATCATTCTATCATTCTATCATTC